CACCGCGCCTAAGCTCCGCCCCCCCAAACAATCACACCCCCCACCCAAAATGTGCACCCTCTCAAAAAAAAAAAAAAAAAAAAAAAAAAAAAAAAAAAAAAAAAAGCCACTGCTCATCAGCCATGAGATTCACACAGGCGCTTTACCATGCAGCCCTACGTAGTCAACGCCATCCCCGGGCTGCGGCTGGGTCGAACGCTGGTAGACTTAATTCACATGTGAAGGACTATTTGCTTAACAAATTCGTCAGATTTATTAAAGAGATCTAGAATATACAAGTTTGAGATATCTATGACTTATGGACACCGCCGTGGCATTTATAGACTATGTATCGAAGCTTCCAACCACACTGAGTAGCACGTGGGCCTATAATGCGTATCTTCTTTAATGCCAGTGAGCTTCTATTAAAGCAGCATTTGTACATTGTCCACCATCCTCTAGATATGTCCTGGCCATCTATGAGCCAGAGCAGACAGAATCAAGAGCAGTTTGCTTGCAATTCCAACCGCCGCGAGCCTCACACTGTGCCTGGATCCCATTTACAGTGAAAAATGTGCTATAATAGCATTGCTCGACATAGGCAGATCCAATGCACCGGTAAAGGCACTGCGGGCAGTCATCTGCATAGCCAGAAGCCTGTGACTCGCAGATCGCTTCGTAGTCAGGGGTCGCGGAAGGTGCTGCGGAGGTGGTGGTCGTGGTCAACGTTGTGTTGACACTCTGTTGTTGAAGGGTGGTCGTTAGCGAGATATCCCAAAGCATGATGGGCAGGCGCGGATGCTTACCTGGGCGACACTGAGGACTGGCAGAGCCAAATAAAGAAGGGATGTAAACCGCATCGTAACAATCGTTGACAGGACTGAGAGATCAACAATGACAACGAGGATGACGGTTAATGAGGGCGGTAATCGTTGGAACTCAGTCAGATCAACTTTGCGGATGCCTTCAGTTTATATAGGCTTGTTCTCCTGATGTATCCTCAATATGAATTAGGATCTGAGCGGCCGGGAGCCTATTTTGCCCCTGGGCATCGGCCTGTAATGAACCAATGTCGTCGAATCGCTATTTGCTTTGCTGGGGCCAAGCTTCGCAAAGGATTCCTAGCGTGCCGGCAGGATCCTCCGTGATGCAGTCTAATCTCCCGTGGCTCCTGCTCACGCTTGCCAGCAGGCTGCAGCGGGCAGAATTGCAATGGCATACAATATAAAGATTCCTCACCGCCAGTGCAAAGCGATGAGGATCATCCTGCCAGGCCCAGACACACATACAACATTGCATCGAGGATGTCAAAGTTGCAATTTATGTTTGTAAATCAGTCGTGCTGCTGTTGAAAGGCGGCCATGGTCTTCCAGTCGCTGAGGGGACGCACGATTGAAACAAACTAGAAGTAAATATCTAATTATATGTATATAAACCTCTATATTTTGACAAAATTTCAATCAATGGGGGTCTAGCTCAGTGGTAGAGCGTCCGCTTTGCATTGAAATGATTTCAAGTGCTCCTGCGGAAGGCCAGGTGTTCAATCCATCTGTCCTCCATTTTCATTTTTGAATTTATTTTGTTGTTCGCTTTGGTCGATGTGGTGACCTCAGTGGGGTTCCAGTCTCCATTTGGGATCCACTGGTGTTCAGCTAAGCTGGCCCGAGCTTTATGCAATTTCATCCGCTAGACCATGGGCAATCAAATAGGAAGCGGGCCGATACCCGAACAAGCGGCCAAGGTCTACCCTGCCCAGTGGGCTGACCAGCACAAGACTCACCTTGTGTGAGATTCCCAGTTCACCCGCATCTCTCGTGACGTTTTCCTTCGAGCTTCTCCCTGACATCGTGCGCCGGGATGACTATGAAGACATCAACTCTTCTCCAGTATCCAACTAAACATAGAAAATGATACGAGGAGGAAAAGGTCTAACGTGTAGGCTTGAATACGGGCTATTGCAAATCCTGGGCGGGCTCGAGAGCTGAGGGTCTAAATGGCTACTGTGTTCCACTACAAAGATGCGCACATCACGTCGACGTTGGTTTGCATATAAGTGATTATAGATCCAATTACATACACAGTAATCCTAACGAGAATCTCGATTTGCTACGCTGCTCTTCAAGTTAGGATGTTTATACGTGGTACTAATTGCAACCTTAACCGTTTGTCTTCAAGTGGAACTGAAGCAGCGGGATTACAGCTTTGACGACTTCCTCTGCGCTGCCTTCATCTCCTGTCGGAAGGCTAAGTCCGCGATAATCTCCTCGGAGCCACCTCCAACCACCATCATTCGAAGGTCCCTTGTGATCTGTTCTACCCGACCTCCCCCGCCGGGTCCATGCTTTTGGTACGCAACGCCGCCCATCACCTGTTGGGCCTGTCTCGCAGCTAGCTCCAACATCCTGCCCCCAGACACCTTTGCCAAAGCAATTCTTCCCGCAATATCGTCACTTTGCCATCCATGGATTTGAATGTGGTATGCGATCTGCTCCAACCATGCCCAGTGCGATTCGACTTCCCTAGCCAGCGTGATGATTTTGTGTCGGATGATTTGGTGATACACAAGGGGCTTCCCGAAGGTCTCGCGATTATACGCGTACTGCAGTGCGGTGCTGAGGCAGGTCCGGGTCTTGCGGTTGCATATGACGGCCATTATGAATCGTTCCTTGTTGAAGTTCGTCATTATGTATTTGAACCCTGCATTCTCCGAGCCTAGGAGATTCTCAACAGGGACGCGGACGTTGTGCATGCGCACCCAGCTGGACCCGCCAGCGTTCTGGCCACTATTGTGTATTTTCTCAATCTCAACCCCTTCTGAACGAAGAGGTACGACGAGCAATGAGATTCCACCGATTCCTGGTCCTCCGGTCCGGACGGCTGTCGTCATGTGTGTGGCCCACTGTGATCCTGTGATCCATTTTTTCGTGCCTGTGACGGTGAAGTGACTCCCATCTGTGCTTTTGACTGCTTTGGTGTGGATATTGCCAACATCGCTGCCACCACTCGCCTCTGTGATTCCCAAACAGAAGTTGGTTTTTCGCGTGAACAGCCCGGGCAGCCATCGCCGCTTCTGCTCTTCAGTGCCGTGATTAAGAATGGGCGGCACACCGATGGTGTTTGCTCCGGCCAGCGCAATGCCAACGCCCCCTTCAATCCGGGCTACTTCATCTGTGATAATCATGGTGTGAAAGACGTCGAGCTTGTCAGGTGTTATGCCAGCTACGAAACCGACTCCCGGGGGCCTGTATTGGGCGGGTATATCTGCAAAGGCCAGCCCGGACTTGATGTAACTCTCTTTTGCTGCATCCGGACAATCGCCATCTTCCTCCCACTTTAGATTATGCGGGCGGATGTTATCGTCGATATATTGCCTGACGTAGGCGTGAAGCTTTCTGTGGGATTCGTTATAGTAAGGTGACTCCAATGATCTGAACCAGGCGGGCTCGGCCCAGGGAAGCGGAATATCCAAATCCTGCTCTTCTTTTGACATAATGGCAATGATTGAAGGCACGTCTTTAATGGGTTCCTAGCTCTTGCGATTCTACTCTCTCAACTTACAGTAACGCGAGTTGTCTGACATGTGGAGAGGTCGTGCTTAAGCACGGGGAATCATGGTGAGCAGACAAGTTTATTTCAGGTTTCATCCCTTAGCAACGAGCTGACTGTACTTGGAGATGCCGAGGTCTAAATTCAGCTGCACAAGCTCTTGTGTCGACGTTGCCCCGCATCCTGGTGCACCCGACTGATCCCCAAGTGTTTGTCACTACTGCTCCTCCCCAATAACGATGAGATGCGCAGCGGTCAGAGGTCAAAGGCTTGCCAGTCCTCAGTGTCTTGTTTCTTTGTGCATTTCATCTAGGAATCTCTAGCCGTCATTCATGAACTTTTGAAGCCATTCCGTGCGGCCGATGAAGCTTCGAATCCTCTTGCCGTATATCCTGGGTTTCATCGTCAACGTCAGCAACCTTGCAACACTAATGAGCCCAACAATGGATGTATTTGGATCTTTTCACTAGTTTAACACTCACCAAAGAGGTATAGTCAGCGAGCAGACGAAGAGAAACAAGGCTCCCAGGATACAGAACACCACCAGCGGCCCCTGCTCAGCCAGCCAGTCGTTCACAAAGTACGTGAGTCCGAATGTCAAGAGGTTTCGTGAGTTGATTGCGACAAAAGCCTCTTCATTATGGCTCCGGTACGCATCGATGATGTATCCAAACACGCAGGTAGCTGCAAAGACCAGGCTCATATTGGCAAGGCCAAAGCAAAGGACTGGGCCGGCCCAGTGCGTCTGATAGTGGATCGTGGCCCCAAAGCCGAAGAAGCCCACCGTTCCCAAGATCACTGCAACCACAATAAGTGGAAGGCGGAACTCTGGCTCGTAGATGCCCTTGTTTTTCTTGGTGAGATAGATGCAAATCCAGTCATTGGCCGGTCCCGATATGACCTCGCCCAGGATGGTCAGGATAAATGGAGAAAGACTGATGAGGCCGGTTTGGCTGACTGTGAAGTTGTATGGAGGAGAGACGAAAATGACCCCGTTCACCACAGAGAAGACAACGACCCATGTGACTGCAGCATTTAAATTTAGTTATCAAAGCATGATGAAAGAAATCTTTACGGAATTGGGGAGGAATCAGCCACCATATGCTCATAGCCTGGCTTGGGGGCTGTGGCCAGATTAAAGGCTTTGGGAGAAATGCTGAAACAAAAAAAAAATTATAGATGACGAATATTCCTTCTTTAAAGTGTTGTATTTAGAAGATACTTACTGGTTGTTCCTATATTAGGTGTTAGCAATGGTCTCTTCGGCATGGATTGAAGTTGGACTTGCCATAGATCAAGAAAGCCCAAAGGACTGCGGGGTAGAACCACATAATTACTGGCCGCAGGAATACTTTCCACGTCGGAGCAACACTGTATCTTCCAGTGAAAACCCGCAGAGACTGAACATATGTATGCTTTCTCGGATCGTCCTGGTTCCCGGCGCGAGGGGTGGTCTCCTCATGCTCAAGACGAACCTCATGCTCGCGACTCATTTTTAAGTGGACTCCTTTCTCTTCGGTCTCAACGACTGTGATCACAGCCTCCCTGCGATAAGCCGTCTCTGGAACGAAGAAAATGACACCTATCATCAAGATTCCGAAGAAGATGGCGCACACCCCGAAAGTCCACCGATATCCATCCAGCTCAATGATATACCCAGCGATGAGGGCGCCGCCGCTGATTCCAGTGAGGAGGAAAAGGTTCCACGCTGCGATTCTCGTCGCACGCTCATGAACAAAATATAAATCACCTATGGTGCACTGTACCAAGATCTCATACGGAGCCATCCCAATGCCCGCCACTATTCGACTTGCCAAGAATGAACTGTAGTTGGTGACAGCCGCACCCCAAACAGATGTCGCGAACATGATGCATATGGCGATTATGTACACCGGCCGACGCCCGATGATTTTTGCAAGTGGGTTTGTGATGAAGAGACTTAACCCGATGGTGAGGATGAGCCAAGCCGTAGCTTGTGAGAGAATCTCAACTGTAATTCCGAGGTCGGACGAGACTTGTACAAAGCCGGGAGAAAGCATGGGGCCGTAGGCACCAACAACAGCTGCGGAGAGTCCGACTATGAGCAGGATCAACTCTTTTTTCCATTGCGGCCAGTTTAGTGGATCGTTTGGGCTGTTCGAGGGCTGAGGCACGAGGATGACGTCCTTGTATCTGCCTCTTCCGTGTTTTAGTAGCTCTCTAGGGATATTGGAATACTCAGGAGGCAGGTCGTCCTGGTCGCTCATAAATGCTGCATTTTATTTGGGTTAGTGTGACTGTCGACAAATGTGCTCACTTTTTCAATGCTTTGTACTCACCCGTTCCAGGCACGAGCTCCATTTTCTTGCATTCTAGTATCCCAAACGCCATCATGTGAAGTCTGGTGAATAAATCCGAGTGAGGGGCTAAAACGGAGAAAGTCTGACAAGGTGATGGTGAGCGCAGCTAATTATGTGAGTTTTAACTACGAGCTGAGTGGGTAGTCTGTCCCAGCTATCTCCAACTGAAATCGTGCTGAGTCACATTCTTCAAGCTTAGCAATGTCCGCTTCTTTTTCCTTGCAGGAAATGAAGAACACCTCCCGTCTCAAACAGACAGTCAGCTATCGACGCAGAACAGGGCCACCAGTGAGCACCGAGGCGGAGCCAAGGATCCCAGCTGTCTGGTAGCTCCACACTCAAATAGCTCGGAAGGAGCCCCGTCCCGTGGTTGACATTCCTTTATTTTGCGGGGTAAGACGTTTTCTCCTTCGGTAGATGATCCCAGCCGAATAGGCTTATGACAGATCCCTGGATCAACCAATCCTACCCCTCTGGATAAACTGGTTCTCGTGGTGAAACTTTGATCCACCTTGCGTTCAACGCGGGATTGGACATACTGTGAATCTTCAACGCGCCACCTGCTGGACCATCTTCACCCTTCAGACCACACGCAAATATTTTGCTGATATTTCCTCAAACAAAGTTAAACCTTCCGGGGTCGTCAAAAGCGAAATCTTGCAAAACAACAGTTATTATGGAATCCTACCCCCGAAAGACCGCCTCTGGCATCAAGGTGATCGTCGTCGGCGCCGGCTTTGCAGGACTCACTGCGGCCATCGAATGCGATCGTAAGGGACATTCTGTTACCGTATTTGAGAGAGTGTCCGAACTCAAGCCGCTCGGGGACATCATTAGCTTCGGGCAAAACGCGTCGCGAATATTTGCCAAGTGGCCTGGGGTGATGGAGGAGATGGAGCCAATCATACACAAGAGTGAGAAGATTACCTATCACAACTGGGAAGGCAAATTTGTTACCTCGCAGTCGTTTGAGGCTGAAAAGGTGTGGGGACGCAGGATAAACGGGCATCGTGGAGAGTTGCACAAAATCTTGTATCAGCATGCCCTGGACCGGGGTATTGAGGTGAGGCTTGGCCAGAGCGTCGAGGATTACTTCGAGAACGATGACGAGGCCGGCATCGAGGTGGATGGTACCAAGTATAGGGCCGATATCGTCTTGGCTGCGGAAGGTGTCAAGTCGAGAGGGAGGAAGATAGTGCTGGGATTTGATGACAAGCCTCAGCCCTCTGGGTATGCCGTTTATCGAGCATGGTTTTCCACGGACAAGCTCAAGCAGAACGACTTGACCAAGCACCTCGTGCAGGGAGATAGCCACAATGGCTGGATCGGACAGGACATTCATTTTCTCGCTGCGGCTATCAAGGATGGCGAAGAAATGAGCTGGGTTTGTACTCACAAGGACGAAGCAGGAATTGAAGAGAGCTGGCAATTCCCCGGAAAGGTCGACGACGTTCTGAAGGTACTGGATGGCTGGGCACCTGTGGTCCAAGAACTCGTGAAGGCAACGCCTTCTGACCGCCTGTTCGACTACAAACTCGTCTACCGAGACCCTCTGCCCACATTTGTTTCTCCTAAATGTCGGATCGCTCTAATCGGAGATGCTGCACACCCATTCTTACCGACGTCAATCCAGGGTGCAAGTCAGGCTATGGAAGATGGAGTGACATTGGCAGCATGCCTCGACATCGCCGGCAAACAAACCGTAACGGTGGCGATGAGGGTTTATGAGAGAATACGGTATGAGAGAGTTCACAAGATACAAGCTACTGGTGTCACAACACGGGACAAATGGCACAAGGCGGACTGGGACCTGATCTGGCAGGATCCAACTCTACTGCACTTGAAGCGCGAAGCATGGATACTGAACTTCGATGTTGAGAAAAGTGTCTACTCAGAGTACGAAAATGTACGGGGATCACTTGACGGCACGATTAAAGACAATGTCAGTCATGGTGCTGACAGGATAGCGCACACGGTCAACGTTTCTTAGAGCAGAAAGGGCACACAATGTTTTCGGGCTCGTCTTCCTTTGCGGCTGGTGGCTAATGAACAACAAATCTCATAAATCTATAAATATAGATACATTCTATATTTGCTGAGTTCTCGAAGTGACTTATAGACAACACAACTCCTATGAAAATGACATCTCGCCCACTTCTCAGATGCTCCAGCAGACACCGGTGGCAAGGTCACTCAGATAACTTCAGATTGAAAGAGTGGCAGCTGGAATACAAGCTTCGCGGTCGAATACCATTCCACAACTGGCCCTTCAGATCAGATTCTCGCGTATATGGGCCGCAAGCTCCGCGGCATATGGCTCACGCTGTATCAGGCACACGTCAGTAAGTTTGGCAAGAAGGTCGCATTTTAAGAGCATGTACTGACCATCATTGAAAAGTGGTGCGCATCTTCAACTCTCCTGATATTTATCTCGCAGTTTTTACTGGGAAACAGCTTGTCCCAACCGTTTGCTCCAAAATCAGTCCGCCGCTCGGTGAGGAACTTCATCCCTTCCGTGTCATCGGGGTGTGGCTCCATCTTCTTCACGCCAGGGCGGTCTGTGACGGTGTCGGGAGCCCAAATGATAGACACCTTCTTCGGGCACTTTTCACGTCTCAACGGTGTTGCATGGTACTCGTGCAGCACGTCAATGGACGCATTGAAGTGGGAGATGAGTTTGTCGTGCTCCGCATCCGTGAACGTGTGTGTGTGCTGTCGTGAGCTAGCTGGTTTGCCATGTTGGCCGCCTCCGAAGAGATGCAACGATCGGCAAAAGTCGTAAAAATGCTTCGGAAGCCGATCTAGCCCGTTAAGTGGCAAGGGTGAGTCAATGAGTGTCAGGCTCGCCACTTCTTCGCCTTGCATTCCGAGGGACTGTGCCATTCGATATGCCAGCACTCCACCTGCGGACCAACCTCCAAGATGATATGGCCCAGAGGGCTGTCGGCGACGAAGCTCTGTGAGGTAGACCTCGATCAAATGATCCAATGGGCAGGCTCTTAAGGACTCTGGATCTTTGAGAAAGGGCGAGTTGAATGCTACGACGCAGGTATCAGGAGAGATGCGTGGTATACCAGCGTACGAAGTCGCAGATCCCGAACCATCGGGAAAGAGGAACAGGGTCTTCGTACAGGTGCGTTGTGAGCCCTGGATAATGAGTGACGTGGATTTGGCGGTTGCAACGGCCTCTGGGAGAGAGCTTCGGTCTAAAATTCGAGATTCTGGGCTAAGGTCTTCGGGCTTGACTTCGATGAGCTCGTCATCTTCCTCCGGGTCGCTAGCAGGGCTGGATGGGGTGTTACTGCTGTCACTTGGAGACCTAGTATGATCGGTCGACTCTTGATCCGATGGTGTGGAGCCACCACCAAGGAGGTACAATTTCAGGTCGGCGACAGTGGGGCACTCCATCAGCAAGGACTCATGATCGATCTCAAGTTCGAGCTCATCACGGAACCTACTGACAATGACAAGTGACAAAAGTGAGTCAATGCCGCTGTCTGTGAAGTGAGTATCATCTGTCAGATCCGACTTAGCGACTCCGCTTTCCTCCGAGATGATGTGAAGGGCACGTTCAACCACATTAGACGATGGTGCGACGACAAGATCCCGCCCGACAGAAGGATTGCGAATATCTTCCGAAGGTCTGTTGAAGTCCGGATATGGCATGATCTCGTTCTCTTCCGCTTTGAAGAGCTTCTTCAGGTCACCAATCGATGGGAATTCCATAACCATTGACGTCGAGTCAATATCGACATCCAGCTCCTCACGAAACCTCGCCGTGATAGTCAAAGATAACAAAGAATCGACACCCAGGTCACTGAAGAGACTGGAGTCGGTCAGATCTGATACCGAAATGCCACTTTCTTCCGAGATTATTTGCAATGCAGAGGAGACCTTGCTGGGCCGCACTTGAGTCGCTGTACTGGTCGGCGCCAGCGCTGCTGGCCCCGCTGAGGAGGTGAGCTGAGGCTTTTGTGCCTTTTTGCCACTTTCAAGAGATAGAATGACCTGTAGAACCCTTCTCGGCACACCTTGAATCTGATGAGAATGTCAGAAAATATCCATGTGAAGTGCCTTGAGTATCTGAATCCACTTACTGCAAGCTGCTGAAACGATGCGACCACCGTGTCACCGTCGAAGACTGCAACATCTCCATGCCAGAGCCTGTCCTTACCCTCATGCATGCGAGTATAAGTAGTGTATGCCTTTCCAAATTGAATCTCTTCATATATTTGGAACGAACCCCATCCGTGATTCATGAAGACTTCGACATCGAGATCACAGCCGTCATTGCAATTCATGACGAATCCGCAACTTTGTGTCAGTGCGTCGATGATGGCCGGATGCGTATGGAACCTGTCGTCTTTGTTTCGCTTTACACTTCCAAAACTGACCCGACTAGAAGCTTCAAGAGTATGACTGTCAAGAACGAACTCATCAATTGCACGGTAGTCCGCGTGGAACTGGGCCAGAGGTCGGATCATCCGGTAGACCATGGCTCGGTTGAATCTCGCCGTTGTCTCAGCTGCGATACCTTTGCGAAGTGCCTGCATCTTCTCCATAATCCTTACGGAGTCCTTTTGCAGCTTCTGCTGGTAGGCCCTGTCCTGGAAGCGAATCACGCAGCGTGCATGCTCCTGGGGCTGTCCCTTGCTGTCGAAGGAGACAAACTTACATGCAGCTTCTTTAGCGCGCCAGTCCACCTCGGTCTGCGCCTGAAACGGCTGCGGACCCTTAGGTTTCGCTATCAACGCCTTTGAAATTGTCATATCTGAGACATCGACAACCAATTGCTCATTACACAGCTGTGGTTGGTACTTCTCGACGAGGTACTTTCCAAGGGTAAGGGCGATATCAGCGTATACTGACGGCGTGCACAAGGGGATATTGTCAACCATGTGTCCCTGGACAAGGGGATTGAGGTCCGGCCTGGCAATGTCTGCCTCCACCACGAGGCTTAAGTTGTTCTCAGTGGGACCCGGAGTCTCCCTCACAACCCTGTGGATGGTCGTGCTGTCCAGACGAGAGGTGGTAAAGTCCCCGATCAAGAGTGGGGGATCACCTTTCCTGAGTGACCAGTCGTTCACGTATTGGATCCAGTAGTCCTTCAGATCCCAGCTATAAGCAGGCAATGGAACCACTTTGTGTGCTGACGCGAAATCACGATGATACTCAGTCCAACGAATATCTGTGCCCACGCAGTATAGTCTCCTGAGTGTTTCAGTAAGCACTTGCCAAGGAGACTTTGACTGCTTGGAGGAGCTGGTCCGTTGAGACATGGGTAAAGTTGTGATTTGAGACCCTAGTGTTGCCTTCACCATGGCGGAGATGGCTGGGTGGGGTCCTACTTCTAGAACAACGGTCTCGCTGGTGATGACACGATCGTCGTGAGCGGTGTTGAGCGCCTTGAGCATGTTCACGGGCTCGCGGCAATGCTGAGCGAGATATTTCCCGCAGAAAACCAAGTCCACATCAGTTGGCGAAGCAACTACTCCAGTCGAAGGACAGATAACCGGCACACGCGGCCCAGAAAATGTTGCACCCTCAGCAAGGGTGGCGAAGTCCTCCAGAATGGGCTCAACCTGGGATGAGTGAAAGGCGTAAGGGACCTTAAGTATTGTTGTCCTGATCCTAGAGCGAGCCAAGACCTCCGCCACCTTGTCCATATCAGCTGTTTTTCCAGCGAGGACCGTCTCCGAGGGTGAGTTGACACAAGCAAACTCATATTTGGTCTCTGCCATACGGAGAGCGGCCTCAATCTCTCCCACCGAGCCCCTGACAACAAGCATTGAGTGTGTGCCCTGAGAGCATTTCTCCTGGATCATTTCCGCCCGCTTGCCCACGAGATAGATTGTGTCCGCATCAGAGAGCACCCCCGCGGCGTTCAGTGCGGCAAACTCGCCGAGGCTGTGGCCAACGACCGCAGTTGGGGAGATATTCCAGGAAGATAGGAGCTTTGTCAGAGCGATTTGCATACAAATGCTGGCAAGCTGGACAGCTACCGGCGAGGACTCGAGAATGTTCTCCGATTCATCCGCTTCGAACACGGGAATCACTGATGGAAATCCAAGACATTGACCAAGATGGTCAAGTCGATAGATCTCGGTGCGGAAGACGGAGAAATTGTGCAGATAGACCTTACCCATGCCCGCGAACTGAGCACCTTGACCTGTAAAGGCAAACACCATTTTGTGAACCTTTGGTCGATTGGCGCCGGCCTGGTCCCGAATTGCACTTTGTATCTGAAGGTGCAGATCGTCAAAGGAGGATGTTGCCAGCATGACACGGTGCGGATGATGAATGCGCCGGGCCGTGGTTGTGTATGATAGGTCGCTGATTGAGGCGGCGGGCCTTTGGTCAATAAAGCGAAGCATAGAGTTGAGGTTTCCCTGCAGAGAAGCGGCGTTCTTTGCGGAGATGGCGACAAGGTGAGTTGTCCTTGTATCCTTTTCCCCAATGGCATCCATCTCATCGCTATGAGGTGCATCCTCTATCAATAGGGCTGTGTTTCCTCCGGCAGCGCTGAAGTTGTTCACAAAGACCCTCCTTGGCTCAGAAATGCTTCTCTGCCAGGAAACTGGACCGTCTCGTGCAATTCTGACGTTGCGCTCAGTGAGGTCTGTTGGGAACTTGTGGTTGATCTTAGACTTGATTCCACAATGGGGGGGAATCATGTTTTCTCGCATCATCAGCATGATTTTGATAAGGCTCGACACACCGGACGCTGCTTCACCGTGGCCGATGTTGGCTTTGGCGCTCCCGAGGAAAAGAGGCTGCTTGTTGTTTCGAACACCTACCGCCGGGGCAAAGGTATCTAGAACGCTCTGCATCTCGGAGGCGTCTCCGGCTTGTGTTCCCGTCCCGTGCATCTCAATGTAGCTGATGCTTGTTGGATCGACAACATCTTGAGTGCTATGCAGAATCTTGTTGAACATTGCCCTCTGAGCACCAGAGTGTGGACGAGTAATAGAGTCGGCCTCGGCCGAGTGATTTGTATAAGCCCCAAGGATCAAACCAAGAATCGGGTCATTGTCCGCAACAGCGTCGTCAAGCCGTTTCAAAATGACGGTCCCGACACCTTCACCCCTGCAATAGCCATCTGCTGCATCATCGAAGGTTTTGCAGTTACCTGTTCTGGAGAGAAAATAACCTCTATCAAGACCAGCCGTGAAGTCTGGATTTGTCAGAACGTTTGTGCCGCCTGTGATAGCTGTATCGATGTCCCCTGCCCAAAGAGAGTTGCAGGCGGTATGAATGGCTGCAAGACTTGATGAACAAGCCGTATCGATCGCGTAGCTTGGCCCACTGAATTTAAAGAAGTAGTTGATACGGCCAGGTATGAACGCCCTATTACCGCCGGGGATAAAGCTTGAGAGGCCAAGATTAGTACTGATCTGCTCGCGAAAGAATTTGAGGTTTCCACATACTAGGTGTCAATCTTCTGCGCACTATTCGTCTCCATCCAATCATTACTCGTCACCCCATAGAACACACCAACGCGATCTCTACGCGTCGATGGTGTTGCGTCAGGAACAATCCCTGCCTGCTCAATGGCTTCATATGCCGTCATTAACGCGATGCGCTGTGCAGGATCGATCTGCGGTGCTTCGCGAGGGCTGACATTGAAGAAGCGCGCATCAAACGCAGCCGGATCGTCAAGCCAGCAGCCATAGGGTGTGGCGGAGGTGTTTTTGCCCCTTCCCGTGGGGTCAAAATGCGTTGACTTGTTCCAGTGGAGTGGAGGGACTTCTTTGTGCACGTCAAGGCCTTCACTAAGAAGGTCCCAGAATGCTTCGGTGCTGTTTGCACCAGGAAAGCGACCAGACATGCCGATAATCGCAATCTTGGAGCGCTTTCCAGGCGCGGAATAGCTCCTTGGAGGACTAGGTGAGAAGGAGGGCTCTTGTTTGAATGACGGCTTCGATCCCGGTGGAAGTGTAAGTAGTGAACGCCCTAAGGGGGTTTGCTTAAGACCGGTGTGGATAAGCTGGTCGGCGGCTGTACCGATAGGGGCGACCTCGAGTTGCAAGCCTTCGAAGTCTTCAAAAGCGGCCTGTATCCCGCTCAAGATCTGGGTCCAGTTGATCTCCTGGAGAAGAATCCCTTTTACGGCGGCCTGCAAAAGTGACTGGAAGTCTTCGGCCTGCAATATTTGGCCACTACTAGGCGAGAGCACTGGAATCTTTGCAAGGCTGGTCAGCTCTGGCCCGGATGCACCCTTCAGAACCTCGCGTATGTCCTCCTGGGAGAACAATAGATTCGCATGATAAGGGGCAAAGATGGGGATATCCTTGTATTTGATCTTGGTGAACTCCTCAGAAGCAGTTAGTTTGGCGAGTGAGGAAGGTGGGCCAGTGACCGTGATACCATGCAGTGCATGGGCGCTGATGAACGGACGGGCAGTCAATGGAAGTGCCTATACGGAGCATGTCAGCCACAGTTACACTTAAAAGTCTGGCCAAAACTCTTACACTTTGCTCGCCAAAGTTCTTTACAGCTTGAGAGGCAGCGGGGCCGGCAGCAACAAGAGACCAAGACCGTGAAAATCCGGAACTGGTGTCTGATTGACCGAGACTTGTGGCACGCTTGCCTCCACTCGCAGCGGCCACACCCGTCCGAAAGGCCACTATCATAGCAATCACGGCCGTAGGAATCAGGTCTTCCAGACTTTGGGCGCAACTAATTGCCGCGGCTGCAAGAGTACCAGTGCATAGCCCCAGAACGCGGCACTTCTGCGGGGATGGATATGCGTGTTTGACTTGACTGGAAAATCATTCGATGAGTATCTTCCTGAAATTCCGAAGATTTCGAAGGAATACTTACGAGATGAAGGCGGCAATATGATAAATGCAAGTTAAGGACATGTCGAGAGGGACGCAGTGTCGTGCCTCGTCTGGCGACGTGGTCCTCCATAAAATTATGTCTTCGATAGAGGTGAATCTGGGAAGGGATTCTCGTTCCTGGAAAGGTAGCCGGTAAATTTCCGCACGGAGAGCATTGTAGCATCTGTGGAAGAAGTCGGTCATAAGAACATTTCCGTGATGCGACTCTAACAGTAGCGACTTCAAGTGAGGCCCGACGTCATAGGTCTGGTCGCCAAAGAGATAAAGCTTGACCATATTGGGATCCATAGTGAACAAGTTCCAGAGACACTTCGCTGGTTTTTGGATGGATCCAGAATATAGTTGTGAACGAGATGGCGGTTAGTGACGCTGTCTCATGCAAAGGCCTGACAGCAATATTCACTGCAATTGGCAAGGCAAGCAGATCCCTATATACTACAGACGAGTGAACATCGCTGCTGCTTCCGACTCAGGGTGGGTAAAATCCTCCAAGATACTCCAACATCGTGATCTCTGTCTGACTGTATTCTTGGGTTAACAAGGAAAGCCGTTCTTGAGTGAAAAATACTGAAATAGCTAAGAGCATGAATATCAGACCATGAGCGCCCGACGTTCCCTAACGAAGCTGACTGCATGCAGCGATCCCCGAGATAATGCGCCTGAAAGCCGAAGGGCTCTATACCGTGATTGAACAAGGCGTCCAAAGCACGCTCAATACCTGCTAGGTTACGGATGGGAGATGAGATACTCACGCCTTCTTGTCAGCCTCCGTTGAACACCAACACGAAAGAAGCGCCGAGTTTCAAGGGTCCATTCAGGTTCCACCCCAGCCTTCTAGGGACGCTCAATGGTGCTGCTCGTGGCTGAGCTGAGTGAACGCGGCGGCCAAGAAAAATTTGGTCACCCTCCCCGCCATGGTGACGAATGTGAGTCAGTGATACGATTCGAAGAGACTAGACACAAACTTGCTTTTCGAGGGCATCCCCGAAGCGATTCTTGGATTTCAAAGAATCTTTCCATTGGAGAAGTCTCAAGTCGCTCCAAAACGCCACGCATTTCCGCGTCCGATTGATCAGAACATCAGTGGTCAACGATGGGGCATCCGCTGCCTAGTGCTTTCCGCGAGCTACCGGGTGGTGAGGATTTTACATACAATTGAAGTACCAAGATACGTGCTGCGTCCTTTAGGTTGATGGACACAGAAGGCCATTATGCATGCCATGATCTGTTGAGGGGCGGTGCACACCATGATGAAGACTTCCATACTAGTGGATTCTGTTCTAATCACACAAGCTCTAGTTTTCTTTTGTTGCGCTCAAACTGACTCATGGAACACCTGTAGTGTACTTTTTGAGAATGCCTGCTGCGAGATTGGCAGACAGGCCGGCGCTTCGAGATACTGTACTACGGTCCATTGCCTCGCCCCCCTCGACATTCTCTTGTCGAGAGTGCAACGGAGACCACGGCTATGCTTTAGTTGGCGAAGAACAGAGTAGGTCTCCCAAATAAAACTCATTTTCAAAAAGCAGCGCCATGTGACAACACGCGCCTTCGTATTTGAGTGTACGATCTCTCTTGGTGCATCTGGAATATTGTCCGCAGGAGCATCTCCGGACATTCCCGTGACTGATTCTCGATTTAAGAACCAATGATGAAACTAGCCGAAAAGAAAGAACCTGTCTCGGGCCCATGATGCATTCCCTTTGCGCAGCGGCAAAGTATTGTCCGACTAGCTGCAGTCAGATCAAAAGCCGAGCGTGATATACCGAAGCCGTGGACCACGAACGAAACCCGACTTTGCGGCCAAGAACTAATTCGCTGACACACATCAACTGACCTATCACCATTCTAAGCTAGGTATAAGCAGTCAAATGCTGCTTTTTGGGGTGATACAAATGCATGAAACGGTGTAGTGACGCACAACATCCACGTCATACCGCCACGCCTAATTGGGAGCTTTCAGCCTCGTCAAGATATTCCCTTACTACAAAGCCCGAAAGCTTATTGATCGGCTGTATCACCATGATATTAGTTCTTGGTCTGTCAAAGTTGGTGTGCTCAGGCTCGGGAACTCGTAAACACGGTATTGCCGACAAGCAGTTCGGCTCTTGAGATAACTGTACTCAATGGCCTTTCGACTCGAAGAGTCTTGGGGTTGAGGAAATCACAGCATCTGTAAAATTCGGACGCTCCGACGTTGAGTGCAAAACTGTGTTGGTGTTATCAAGAGTCACTGGCCTCGATGTCCGTGCAACCCCACTTGGTGGCGGCTCTGTTGTGTAGAAACGGCTCCACGCCTCTCCCGGTGGTTTCCCATTCCGAATGCAATAGACCCGTATTCTCGAGTTGTATCCGTAGCCCGCATCTTCACGTACCTTGTTGGCTTCTCTTATTGTGGCTGACATGTGTCTTCCTCTCACAGCCGTATCGGCCTGTACAGAAACCTCAGATGGAACTGAAGCGGGTTGTCCTTTTCTGGATGGCTACCACATCACTTCTTCTCTCTTTGATTCACAAATGCATCACATAATTCACAGCAGGCAAAGAAACACAACCTTTTTTGTGCGGAAATGAACGATTTCTATTTTTTGGAAGACTGGTACGCAGTTGAGCGAGGTCTTTGGATGGAACCTCAAAAGACCCAGTCATCAATAAAAAAAATACGAGCAAAACCGTTGTTCCTTGACACAGTTCAGTGATCTACACCAGTGGCGCTAACATGATTTTTACCAAGCATGTAACCTTCCTTCAACCCTCTCTCCCATTGCTCCCGCACCATACGCAAGGCTTGTTCGCTACGAGGCAAAAACCTCGCGGCGAAAGGCTTTGGGGCTTGAAAGGCCGTAGGTTCGAAGGCAGTGTCAAAATCCATATTCATGGATTCGGCTTCCATACCGTTGTCCATCAAAGGCGGCCGCACCTCAAACGCCCACAAAAGGTTCATCAACCCGATATTCAGCGTGTTTTCGCCAAGCTTCGCCCCAGGACATATCCTTCTTCCAATCCCAAAGGCGAAATGATCCCGTTTGTATGGGTCACCAGCAGCATACTCTGCGCTATACTTAGGGTAGTTCAAAAAGCGCTCTGGTCGAAATTCGAAGGGCTCATCGTAACGTTGAGGGTCCTGGCCCAGAAAAGACGTGTTGGCTAGAAGGATCGTTCCCTTTGGTATGACGTAGCCCTTGTACTTTACGTCTTCATCTGCAAAGTGCTTGATGCCCCAGGTCGGAACAGGACGTAGTCGAAGCATTTCTTTAACACATGCGCGGATGTAAGGCAAGTTTTGCACATCCTCGAAAACAGGCGTTCGATCTGGCCCGATAACACGCATCAACTCCTCGTATGCTCGCTTCTGTGCTTCCGGAGATGATGCGAGGTGAAGGATGAGGTTATTGAAAGTGACAAAAGATGTCTCAGACCCGGCCTCTGCCAGCCCGCTGATATTCCATGCAGCATCAACCTCGTTGAGACCCTGGCTCTTGAAAATGGCTTCGTTCTCAAGCAACTCGCGGCCCACACAGTTGGGTGCACAACCGGCCTCCAATTCCTTTTTCAGTCGTCCCCATAGCCGCAGTCTTGCATCAAGTATCGGCTTCACATAGCTCTCAGCCCTTGCTCGACCAGGCTGCAGGGACGCAGGCAGGTTCGCCAAGAAAGGCAACTCATCCACTAAGAAAGCACCTGGCTTGGATACCTGGCCTAAGATTTTCGAATTCTTGTTGGCTTGGCGGACATCTTCATGCTGCCAGCTATTCACGCGACGGCCGTATGTAGCAGTCATGTGAATGCTGAAGGAAAATCGGCGCACATGCCAGTAGAAGTCTCGCTGATTTTGGTTGTCCGAGGCGATATCGTAAAGAAGCTGTTTTGCTTCAAATTCCTGGACTGGAATGAACGAAGCAGTCATTGGCGTAGAGAGCACTCGATGCGACACTTGGCGATAGGCGCGCCATCTGGGACCATACGGCATGGTGAATTGGCGCAAGCCTCCGGTAACAACATCATGACCCAACGGTGCAGGAGTCTTGGAAGACGTATGAATTGACTAGATCTTGTGAGCTTGGCCATGCCTTCAAAACATGGCAGCAGGTATTAGGCTCACCTGCTTGTCCATGATCTCTTTCATAGCCTCTGGGCTATTTAGAACGACCCAGTTATACCAGCCCACCCGAAGCTTGAACACTTCGCCATATTGAAGGGCCCACTTGTGCATGAAGGCACTTTGCTTTGGCAGCCCAAGTCCAATACCAAAAAGAGGCCACCCTTTTGGTCCTGGCATTTCGTCTAGCCGACGATCCCGACGAATCCATATTCCGAGCGCAATGACTGCGGTCATGAGAATGGCCAAGACTGGGACCCTGGAGGCCAAATGTTCAGCAAGCGCTTGAATAGCCATGTCGATTTTGTTGATTAATTGGAAAATGAGAGTGCTCAGTTGCGACAGAGTACCACGCTATCATCGAAACTTCAGCCAAGTGTATTCGTCCCCTTCGTGGGTGGTATATATGGCGCAATGCTCTCGGACGGAGTAAACATATAAATTGAGACTATACATCGCAAAGGTAGCGTCGGGAATCCCCATTGACGTCACATGCTCGCTGTCTGGGCACATATTACTGTATCTGCAGTCAGCCGACGTGAGTCGAGAAGCCCAGACAAGCTTGCGTGGCGTTCTTGATTTGATGCTTATGTGTTACCTCCGGGTTTTGCTGCATGCATTGTGCAACCGTAGTCCAATATCCACTTCGAGCACATTATAATGGATTAATCACCGTACCACAGCAGAATCTCTGGTTGGCGGAGCGGAGTGGTGTGCTCGCTTTCGGGCACCGACCCAGCAATGAGTACACAGCGACTCAAGCGGCTGACGCCTACCATGATCTTTGTTAGCCTTTTCTTCGCATTTCATCTCGGTCTTCATTGACCAGCAGCCTCTTCTTACTTGGAAAAAGACTCATTTTGCGTAAGATAATAAAAGTTTCTCACGTCATACCATAGAAGCCGTAGTCAACATGTCACAGAAGGCACCTTAGATCCATATCCAAAAGGCTCACTCATCGAGCCGCTCACCCTCAAATGATTCAAATGACAATGGCGGCCGAGGTCGCCGAATTACGCGGCCAGAGACTTCTCAAGATTTCTCGTATCCACCTGCCTTCGAAGTCAGCCTTACGATATTCGCGCTCCTGATCGCCGTCTTGTGTGTCGCCTTAGATAGTATGATCGTCTCGACCGCCATTCCCGGAATCCCAGACAAATGTTTCGACCCACATTATGTTGGCTGGAACGGATTTGGCCAGCTGCCATCATTTCTCGAAAGTACTCAGAAAGGCGAAGCCAATTGACCACAGCTTACCTGCTCAGAGAATGCGCGTTCCGGCCTTCCTTCGGGAAAGTCTACAGTAATCAACTTCGCTTGATGCCAAAGCTGTGACTGCTTGGTAATTATTGTTGCCTTACAGGTTCTATCAAAAGAGTGAAAAGACAACCCTCTGAAGAACGAGGGCATCATGGTCACACTGTGGGGTCTACATCCTCTTGGATTCATAACGTTCGTAGCAAATATTACTCGTTTGCTTGTAGCCCTCAAAATGGATTTTGACACCCGCCTAGGTATTTTCTCCAGCTAACCATTCATACTGAGGCGTCGCTACATACTACGGGCGAAGCGGCCGAATAATGGCTCATTTCGTCATCTCTCGGCTAACGCTCATCGTCTTTGTCGGTATCCAAATTTGCCTCCGCAAATGCAACCTGTCAGTCACGCCTCTAAGGTCCTTTTTCTCGTCAATTTAGTAGCCTACTAGCGTAATAAGAGTTGTCCATGTAGTATCCTCTCGAATTGCCAGCCAACGTACCCTCTGATCCTCTTGTATCTACATTCTGTGTCTTGCAGGTTCATTTTTCATCTTTGTCTATTTCCTTCCTGTTCACTTGCAAGTAGTGAAAGGCGCGTCAGACTTGCAGTCAGGGATCGACACCATCTCTCCAGTCGTTACCCAGGTGCTTGCTAATATTATAGCAAGCATCCTAGTAAGCAAAACCGGACACTAATCCCCTTTATTTCATTCTCAGTGGTCACCTTATCCGTTGCGTCAGCCTACCGATTACGCTTGCATCAGACACAGGTATCGCCTAGTGAGGAGCTTAGAAGATGCCCTATGGTTTTGGCAGTGGATGCGGGTTTCTGCCTTTCAAAGATATTGCGACTGGCATTGCCACACCTTATTCTTTCAAAGTCTTGGCGGGTCGGAGTTTGTAAGTGTAGGGAACAATATACTCAACGATAGACTGGTTCGTTACATAGCAGCGCTGAACCTGCCAGCTATCACTGTCGAGCATACCATTCAGGCTGGTCCGACAGCGTGGCACACAGTCGTTTCATGGAATATCTCAGCGAAGTTAGGCGCGCATACAACCACGCTCTCAGGCAGACGTTCCAAGTCAGGCTGATCACCGCATGCTTGGGCTGTATTGGGTCGGTCTTCATGAAGTGGAAGAGAGTGAAGACCAAAATGCCAGAGACCACTGCAAAAGTTGAAGAAGCAAATACGACAGAAGATGCGTGGAAATGGTACATTGTGACTTGGTCATGCATCAGCTAGAACAAAGCCAGCATTCATTCAAAACATACAACTTTAACTCCATCTGCATCGTCGAATGACCTCATTCCAAGCAAATGCTCGACTGTGGTTTTTCCCTTTATTTCAAAGGAAGAAACTCGTTCGTTTCCCACAAAACAGAAAAATTTGGTTCGAAGGATGCATTGCGTGCTATATGCTGTAGAGACCTTAGCTTCCAAGGTCGTCCTACTTCTTCACTTACTCGTGGTCAATACGTAAGAAAGCCTTGTCAGATGATCTCCGTCTCTCACACCTGAGCTTGACTCATGAGTGAGCTATTCTTGACAAAGTATTCTCGTTCCTAGTCAGGCTATATGCGACTCGGAGGATATGACAAGTTTCAAATAGCCAAACCTTGAAAATGGGGTTCACGTCCGCCGGTGATTTCAAGGATTAATGATATTAATTCGAATCTGTGATCGCTTTCACCGCCAAACGATAGTTCTTCTTTCAACTGAGAACAGGTCTCAAGTGCAACTCGACATGACAGCAGTACTGATCCCATATTTCGCGATTACCGGAAACGTCTGAACGAACGAACAATCCTTGCGGGACCACTTTTCTAGATCATTACTACTTCGTAGCAAGAGACCTAACATTTCTCAACATCTTGATACGTCATTTGGACCTTCTTGGTGTGGAATCTTGGTCAAACATGGGTCACAATACACACCCGTCATACATATGAACCCCAATGCCCAAAGACTACGCAACAAGATTTTGACCAAGACGATCATTCAAGAGCGCGCGACGGCCACTCAAACATAAAAATGGATGTGTAACAATACGGCAAGTCCTTACACATGTCAGGATAGGAGAGAATGGCCAGCGAAGCAAATACTTAGGATATCATGTGGCTATAAACCTACGCAAATGCACATCTCAGTTTTGTCTGTCTTATTGATGGAGAGGTAGCAAATTCAAGATGCAAGGAAATTTCCATCTACGCAAGTGCTTTCTGTTTCAAGAAAACAGAGATGCGAAGAAGTTGGTCATGATCGCCTAAGGTGCTCATGACACCCAACAGTTCATCTGGCGGTGCCAAGACTTGCGACATATCCTCTGCATTCGCCTAGCGGGCACAGAGCGGAAAAGTCCCTGAAGGAAGAAACTGAGCCGAGTGCATTGGACCAGGGCTAAGGATGAAGCCACTGCAGGAAGACATACTGTAATTACGGCTAGCTCTTGTGACTAGTCACCCTGACAGATGATAGCCACGTACTTGAGGTTTCAGGCCGTCCGCTCCGCTACTCAAATTTTAAGTTTTGATATTCCATCTATCACCGTAAGGCAATTGACGTTGGTGGCACCAGCCAAGCTTCCGGTTCACCCATTTGAAATTATCTACTTTAATTTCAAGCATTTGCCACTTACGGTGAGCCTTCGGGCCGGCCGCCTTCAATGCAACCTCCGCTTTCAACTTGCCCCTGAGGCTTCCATTTGTGGATACTCGAGTCAAACCTAACCTTGACTACATGCTTGGCAGATTGAGACCCCCACGACACCTTCGGACGCTAATAGTTAACAGCATAGCGTCTATGCCGTGTTCCGAGGATGGTTGTGCTTTCAGAATATAACAACAGCTAATGTATCACTTCATTTGATTCGGAACGGCCATGCCTTCTGCCACTCATTGAATCAGCATGTTTACCCCCGGTCTTGCTCTTGCGGGCCTTGCGGCTCTGGTGCCCGCAGCCCTCGCTACTCCCGGTTGTGACGGGCCCGACGCCCGAGTCCACCCACCGACTGGCGCAGTCGTGGTGGATGCCAGTGGCAGCTACACCGGCAGCTACAAGACCGTCGGCGCAGGAGTCGCTGCATTGAGGAATCAGACAGCAGAGCAGATCATTTTCATTCTGCCGGGCACCTATCACGAACAAGTGCTTGTTTCCCCTGTGCAGGGACCGCTAGTTTTTCAGGGCTACACTTGCGATGCAAGCTCATACGCGGACAACGAGGTGACCATTACCGCCGGGGTCGCACAGAAGGATATTCCCCCTGAAGTCACAGGAGAGACGCGTAACGACCTTACAAGCACTGTTCGATTGAAGTCGGACAATGTCAGGGTTTACAACTTGAATATTGCCAATACCGCGGGCAACGTCGGCCAGGCCTTGGCTGTGAACGTCAACGCGACCAACGTTGGCTTCTATGGAGTCAACTTCACTGGTGAGGAATCCCAAACCGCACTTCAATTCCAAATCAAATATTGACACACAATTCAGGCTACCAGGACACGATTCTTAGTGACAAGGGTCGTGAGCTATTCGCCAGCTGCTACATTAACGGCGCCATTGACTTCATATTTGGCCGCTACGCTCAGTCATGGTTCGAGGGCTGCGATATCGAGTCCATCGGACCTGGATACATCACTGCCAGTGGACGCGAGTCGGACAACAGCTCTGCTATCTATGTGTTTAACAATACCAAAGTCACAGGAACGGCTGGAAAGGGCTCAACATACCTAGGTCGTCCCTGGCGCCCATACGCCCGCGTCGTCTGGCAGAACAGCGACCTGAGCGACGCCGTCAACCCTTCCGGTTGGACAGACTGGAATGGGGACAATGTCACCGAACACGTATATTTCAAGGAGTTCCAAAACACTGGCCTGGGTGCCGATTTATCCCAGCGTGTCGCCTACAGTGGCGTTTTGGAGGAGGCCATCAAGATCACCGACATCCTTGGTGAAGGATATGAGGAGGAAGGCTGGGTTGATGCAAGTTACTTGTAGATGCTCCATAATTTAAGCTGTCACTTCAGCTAGATAACTGCTGTGGTATGATCGTGTGTATTGTTGCTGTGCGACCATGGCTTTAGTGGGTATGATTCTCTTCGCTCTTCATATGTTGACGGACAGAACTCGCCTTGGACGCCTGATATACCGAGTGCCTTGGCATCATGACTGAATGTTTGTTCTGATATAGCTCATGAAAAGCGAAATCCATCCTCTTACCGACCAATTACAAACTCACTTCAACCTTTTTGAAGGGCGGGATTGCGCTTTCAGAACGTCAGAAGCGGAGAATACAAAAAAGAAAATAGACACATTCGCCACGATGTTTCTCGTAAGTGATCCCATACCATGGATCTACCTTGAATGATTAAGGCTATTTCCTTGACAAGTACCCGCAATGATTCAGGACACGTTCAACGAAAAAGGTTCTCTATCTCAATTTCGACATGATTGCGTCCCCCAACATCAAATTGGGTGTGTATGACGGCATGGGTCAGATTCCCCGGGCTGTGGGGGAGGACCAGCCGGGTCGGGCGAGGCCGAGTTGCTGTTTGCGAAGTATTTGGGCGATGTAGGACAGACGTTTGCGCCAGTATACTTCAACAACCGGTCCCACTATCAAGCATTTATAGATGCCGGAATTTCATCCACGGGTCCATTCACTGGCGCAGAGGAAGCCAAGACAGCTTCTGAAGTATTGGTATTTGCAGGGACGGCTGGCCAGTCGAAAATCTCAGCATGGACGCGTTCCCCATCAATACCAAGGCAGCCTTCCATGCGGTGGCAACGTACGTGACATCATTTAATTTGTTGGGGACTAGCAACATAAAAAGACGTTCGGCCATGGTCCCGGAACCACATGCTCATGCCAAAGGGTGTCAGCAACATAAACACGCTGAGCTTGGATTCTAAGCCGGTAGACATGATCATCGACGAGAGTTTCCTTCACTCCATCTTTATGTAGCATTTGTCTAGAAATGTCGTGGAGAGAACTGGATCAAGGCACGGATCAAGGAAGGCCGCCTTCTCGCATTGCGAAGAAAATCGAGATTGGGTGGGATGCCGAATGGTGCTGTCTCCAACAGAATCTACCTTCATCAGAGGTGTATTGACGGCTCGATCGGTGGTGACTGCTAAGGAGATGACGTTACCTGCAGCCATGAGTGCGACTAGTCCGAAACAATTGTACATTTCGGAACTATCAATATTGATGATTGCTTTTTGATTGAGTTCAATCGCAATCAAGATAATAAGAACCAAGATTGGTCTCTCATAATCGATTGAGTTGATGGAGAATTCTGGCGACTTGAACACAATTGCTTGACAATTCGCAATTTCATGAAAAACGCTGCGAAACTGTTACCGTACATGGGCCCACAAGGTGGGAGGGAGGAACTAAAGAAGCGCGAAAATCGGATTAGATTCTGACCTGATTGACTGGCGCCTTTCGAATCTCTCTTCATTCCGTTTGGAAACAGCCGCACAACCCTCATGGAAACGAAACTGGACAAAAGCTTGCGAAAAGTCGATGCCACATTACCGAGTTCCAGTGCCAAGGTGTGAGAGTGGAAACAGCATAAACTGAATACATTAAATTCCCCAATTATTTCGTGTCAGCGAATGACCAGATGACTTTTATTTCTAGCCTTTTTCTCTTGTTATACGCGCCTCTTCCTCTTGTGTGCCGCTTGGGTTGCTCTCGTCTCCGAGACTTTCCAACCCCAGTCCATCTTCTGCAGTCACCGCACCTCTATCTGGATAATCTCCGAGATTTGCACCCAAGTTTTGTTGTCTCCACTGCAGGCCCTTCCATTTTAGGATAAATAGCATGATCGACGACATCAGCACAATCAAGGCGAAGAGAAGAAAGGTCCAGCCAGGGTTGATGGCTCGTAGCAGAGGATCGAGCGCTGCAAGATAGCCAGCGGCCATCTCGCAGCGTATGAGATTGCAGCCAGCTTGCGCAGTTGATGGGTACTCCTGGTTCACATCAACGAGAAGGGTGCTCAACGCGGTAAACATAGTTTGAAGAGTGAGCCCAATGAAGAATTGTGTGACGAGTGGACCGACCATGGACACTTGGGCCTGCAGTTGCCAACCATAAGCGATGATCAGGCATGCACTCATAGAGACGAGTGGTATTACCGTCCGAAGTCTTGCTTTCTCGATCGGAAACATCGAGAGGTTGTCAGCTTTGTTTCGAGTGATAGGAAGACCTATCTCAGCAGCCGTCTTTCTGAAGTTCCTATCGAGTAGTCTACCAGTGGCGAAGGCCGACAGGGCACATGCGACTCCAAATGGAATGTATATGAGCCCGCTAGCTAAGCCAGAGATTTTGTAGATGTCGAGGAACAAAGACGATAGCGACGCTTGTAAACAGGAATATGTCGCATACCCTACGCCATATGATGCCATCATGAAAGCGGTGCCAGGAGACCGAAGAAGCTTGATGGAAGCTAACGGGTTTACCGATCCTTTCGTCTGCATCTTCTTGTCCGGGGCTGTGATTGCAGGCTCAGTAGCCACAGCTGGGACAAGGCAAAATAAAAAAGGTCGATTGATGCCATGAGCGCGTACAATTCCGTTCCCAACAATGCTTCGATTAGTCTCTGGCAGGAAAATCGCAATTGGAATGAGACAACAAGGTGTAGCGGCTGACAGAAACCAGAAAATAGAGCGCCATGACCACCGCAACAGCAATAAACCACTCAGAAGGGGCCCGATACTGGGTGGTGTGTTCAGACTAACAACATAATTAGTTGGTATTCTCTTCTTTTGTCCCATGACAAAGCCTAGGCTATATATATGAGAATAATGGCCAATTAGTAGGAGATAACATACAAAAAGGATATGACTCCTGCATAGCCACCTCTTTCCGCCGGTGTGAACAAGTCGCTCAAGACACCGTACGTCACGGAGAAAGTACCGGAGATCCCTGCGCTTTGTACCATACGCAAGAAGAACAGGAGCCCAAAATCAGATTGCAGAGCCAGCCCAATGTTTGCTAGCAAGTAAATTGTCAAAGCAACGAGAAATACCGGTCGTCTCCCAAAGCGGTCCGCGGCATTCCCTGTGATAGACGGAAAAATCCCCGATACAATGAGGTAAGATGTGACGGTGAGATTAATCCTTTCGATGCTCTGATCAAGATCATGAGCTATCGCCGGTATAGCTGGAAAATATATGAAGCTGCTGACAGATGAGAACCAGCCTGCAAAGGCGGCCAAACCGATGATATACCTCTTCTGTACGTGCGAGAATTCAGAATACTTGGACACCTCGTCAACATGGGATGGGATCTGAGCTGGCTCTGCAAGAGGAGGCATTGTCCTCGCAATTTTCAATGTTTCAGGATAAAAGTTTCGAGCCCAAGAGTACGCGATGTTGAGAAAAGGAATAGTTCTGGTGGCACGGCATAGAAATCAATTCAAAAGGGTCCGCTTGGCAGAAGATCACGGCGGGGAAGCGGGTTATTGCATCCTGCGACAAGGACCTCCACTAGCCTGGTCCTGGTGGGTACCAGATCATCGCGTCAAAAAGACTTGATAGGCGCTTGTGCCAGTGCTAATCCTGCAGGTTAGTGGCACGGAAAATACTTGGGGCTGGTGCCTTGGAGTTGGTGATTTTTGTCACACATGAATACTACCCTGCAGAGATAAAGCCATGGGCTTCGTCGCGAAAATCGAGATGTATGGGAAGCGTACCTCAAGCAATAGCGACTACCATCATCAAACGACAACTCGCAAGTAACAGAGTTCTCAACCAAAATACAAGCTGTTTTTTTTGTATTCATTTTCCTCCAGCAAGACCTATTCGTTCTCGAGACTCTCAACCGAACGCACAAACTTGTCCGCCTTTCCGCCGGTGCGCGTTCTGCTTGCTCGTCGCCCAGTCCGCGTGCCATGGTGGAGACGAATGGTTAAAGCAACGGTCTAGGATTTCTCAACTTCAATCTACTTGTACTTCAGCCTCCACGCCAAATCGTCAAAAGGTTTGTTCATCATTTTCCCAGCCTGCTCTTTCTTCGTCGCGAGCTTTGAAGGTTGAGGAAGGGGAGGTGATAGGGGACAGGATCCGTCCGTAGGGAGCTTCATCGGAACTTTTTCATGATTGAGATTCCAGATGTGGTCATCAAGTGGGTCGTTGATCATCCTCTCAACGTCCCGTTTTTGCTTTTGGAGCTTTGTAGGCTGAGGATGGGCAGGCGACTGGGCACAGAAGCCTCCCGGAGAAGACTCCAGCCCGGCTTCCTTATAATTGAGGCCCCTTATCCTGTCGTTCATACTCCCGTTGACCCTATTCTCAACCTCTTCTTTCTTTCTTGCGAGCTTGGTGGGTTGGGGGAAGGAAGGCGACTCGGCGCAGGAGTTGCTGCCCGGAGAACGCTTCGACCCGTTTTCCTTATAGTTGAGACCCCATGTCTTGTCATCCATAAGCTCGTTGACCCCGTTCTCAATCTTCTTCTTTTTCGTTGCAAGGTTCCTAAGTGGAGCAACGGGAGGAGATTGGACGCAAGAACCGCCTGTAGGAACCTCGATTACGGTATCTTTGTAGTTAAGATTCAGGATGAGGTCATCAACGGGCTTGATGGCTTCTTGACAAAGATTTCGTCTCATGGGCCCATGGCTGGGTGGTGAAGTGGGCGACAGATTGTAGTCTTCATCGACCTCTTGAGTTTGAGTCTTGTCGCGAATGTACGTAATCGGCTGCGAGCCATGTGTCTTGAACCCCGAAATCTCCATGCCATCTTTGATGCTAATTGCATGATGGCATGCCGCTTCCTTTTCGACGTGAAAATCTTGCTTGCTGCGCTTGAAGAACATTTTCGGAGAAAAGATTCCAGTCAATATGCCCAGTTATCAGGTTAGGTGTCTGGTGCAATTTTGCGGAATTCGTCTTCCAATGCACATACATGCGCTTGATCATGCGCACGTGGATCTCGGTAATAATGCGTGCTCGTACTCGTTCTTGAGGACTTCAGAAGTTCGATGAAAGATGAACAACAAGATAAGGATCACAAGCGACTGACATTGTTAATCGAGATATTAATAGAGATGAGAGCATACATGGCGACCATTCTATGAGCATCGAGGTTAAGCGCCGGGTCTCGCGTGGCTGAATGGCCCCATCCATCTGCTTTCTGGCGGCTACAGGAGTTGATGTGATTTGAATGTGCACCCGCGAGCGCTTAACAAGCCGGAAAATTATCCGACGCTCATGCAAAATAACCCGGACTCCTACAGCTCCTGATCTGCCAACATCATTTTAATGCCAAAACAACAACCAACACGTGCATTCGTGGCTCTCAACACACGTATCTGATGACAAGACCTCGCCTTTATGCTTAGCGCCGGCCGGGATCAGGACCTCAGTGATTGTCGGACAGCTCCTTGGTGAAACACCAACACTACTATGCGTTTGGTTCGCAGAGCACAAGGTTTATGCATCGAGAAGGTGCAAATGAAAAATGGGATTAGGAGGAATCATAATTACCTAATAGCGAGGCTTGTCTGTATCGAGATCTGGTGCTTTCGACCGTCTGATACTCCAGCTGGGTCTTTCCACAACCTTTAGTACTACAGACAGTTAAAAGATTGACGTCGTTCACTAGACAGGTGCTTCACACAGGCCACTAGGACACTTTCTTGGGTTTGGATTGCAAAAAAAATTTGGGGTGCGACGGAACCAAAAGCTTTCAGAGAAATCGACTCCAGCAAATTTCCAACTTCTTTTTTCCTTCCATAGAGAACAATGTGGATACCATTCCCTCGGAAAACCTGTTTTCCAACCCACAAAGGCCTGGCACCTGCTTCCAAAGTTTGATCGCTTGATTCAGTAAATGGCATTTTTGCAAAATAGACTCTAGTCAGACTTTAAAACTTGAGGAAAACTTGCAGAAATGTGAATCGTCCTGCTCGCACAACATTTTCAACTTTGGCAACGGCTCCAAGCCCGCGAGCCGCGGCGAATGCCATCGTTCATCTTGAAAAGTCGAATCTCAAATTTCCGTTCCCCGGACACACCATGAAATACGATAAGAATTCACAGCTGTGTCCCAACGTGGATGGCTATTGTGGACGCATGCAACTCACCTCAAGTGTGATCAATCTGCCTCAACCAACTTTTCCCTCACCCTGTCAGCCGTCTACGGCAGACTAAACCTTTTCCTCGACTACACACGAGCATATCACAATTGACACCTCCGCCCACCATCTTCTCGCTCTTGTGTTCGTTGTAGATGTGATCACCAATGGCCGTTCTTCGATTGGTCTTTGACGCTTCTCACTGACAACACAGAATTACATTACAAAGTCACCCTTTCTGCATGCTGACTTGCGATTGAACTTTGTCCTTCGAGATCCAAATCAAGGCAGAATTGGCCTTAACCTGGTTAGCTGATTGGCATCACCATCTCTCCAGATGTCCAAAACTCCGTCTTTTCAAGAAGCACGTCCTCTCCACCCACAGGATTGTCCATCGACAAAATTCAAGATGGCAAAGATCACTGACTTGTCAGCCGAGTTACTTGCCAAGATCTTCACAGAAAATGGCTTGCCCTCACGCGACCTAGCCTCCGCTGCAGTTGCCGCGAGCGGCTTCACTTTTGAGGCGACACGCGCCGCATTTATCTACAACATCAATCATGAGAGGTCGTCTGTGCTTGTGTGGGCAGCAAGGCACGGCCAGATCAAGCAGATTCGACGGGCCCTTACAATGGGTGCGAGCCCCAATACTCTCGGCCCCGGCCATGGCGAGTCGAAAGAGAAGCTGGATGAGTACTATCACTATGAAAGTGAGGACGAGTACGACGGTCCTGACGCATATGGAGCGCCTCTCCACTATGCGGCACTTCAAGGTTTCGACGAAATGGTGCTCTTGTTGCTTCAACACGGGGCTAGAATGGACGTGCCGTCATTTGATGTATGTCCCTGCGTCGAGAATTGCCATCTGGGCTTAGACGAACTCGTCCCAACCCCTCGGTGGTATCCTTTGCACCATGCAGTCTGCAACGGGCATGTTTCGACCGCAAACATTCTTCTGGATTATGGAGCTCCATTGGAGATGTCTTATCTCGATCAAACCTGGTTTTCATCAAGAACGCTGCTCCACTGCGCTGCTGCTCGCGGTCTGGACACACTTGTCCAACGTGCTCTAGAGCTAGGAGCTGACGTTTCGGAGCTTTCTCCTTACGGCGATTCTGTTCTGCACTTCACCTCTGAATCTTGGAAGTCTGCGTCTGTCATCAAAATCCTGCTGGGAGCTGGCGCTCGTTTGGAAGCCAATGAGAGCGAGCATGGACGTACCCCTATCTTTCAAGCCTGCCATCTGGCAAACTATTCGACCGCAATGCACTTACTCAAAGCCGGGGCTAAGACAAACTTGGCCAGATCTTCAAGATCCACGCCTTCACTCCTCCACCTTGCTGTTGACATTGGCTACAGTACACAATGGGACATCAGGCCTCAAGCACATGGCGACCGAGACAAAGAGCAAGTCAACTTCATTCGCGCTTTGATTGATGGTTCTGGCTTCGACGTCAATGAGTTCATGATCCAGCACCTCCAACATGGAGTACGTCGCGTGACTCCCCTCTGTTGCGCGTTAGACCTCGACGAGCCACGTGTCCGCACCATCGAGCAACTGAACCTCGACGTCGCAATTCTCCTTCTTCAGAAAGGCGCTGACCCTAACCGCACGAGCCGGGACAGAAGCCGGGACAATCCAGTACCTTTGGAATATGCATTGCGCCACTTCCTGAGCGAGGCACACGCCGAACCCAAGAGCCGGTTGATCCCCAAATTGAGGCGATTGATCAATCTCATGCTAGACTGCGGTGCTCAGTTCAGTACTGTTGAAGAAGATTTGAGATTTGATGTGGAAGCTGAGGCTGAGCTGTGGAATGAAGGTCACGAAACTTCCTGTATGTTGAAGCGTCTTTTAAACCAGCATCGCAAACAAGCATCGCCAAAGGTGTCTCCCAAGAAAAACTCTCCCAAAAAGAAATAAAGACAAAAGTTTGTAAGTGGTGTCCTCATCCAAACGCATTTCAATGATTGCTAATTAGGACTCAGCAGGTGGATCATCGATCCATTGCCCCTGTACAACAAAACAGCAAGGCTTATTAGCCTTGAGTCAACCCATGTCCTTCCCTTCCTATGGCGTGTGCTGAGTACCGAGGTCGATGAAGCCTTTTCATGATAGCACATACCTGCTTTTAGAGGTGTCGAACGAAGATATCCGATGATACTGTACAGAATAGTTTTTGTTGGGGGGGGGGGGCACGCGAGGTGCTGAGACTGACTAAGATCAGTAAATATTCTCTGAGGTTGGGAAGATATCGAAGGAGAGAGAAAAAGGCATGCCGACTTGGGATTATGCCGCATGCGACACCGGCACTAAAGATGTATAATTCGATGTAAACCTGTCGAAGCCAATTACAAAATTTCAGCACTACAGATTGTTTTCGTTTCCTATGCATTGTCATTGCTAATCATAAGCCCACATATTGAAACTCAAGTGACTGCTGATAAAGGCCATCAATGGTATCGCTATATAATCTAAGTTGTCTGGTACGCGATGTCTATGTATTGACCTGACCTCGGGAACCACTGGGCCAGGCGACTTACCCAAGTTCTACACCGCGGTTAAGCTAATGGACCAGAAACGTGTGGACACTGAATTCAAGAATCTTCTGACAAGGTCTTGTATGACTTGTCCTAGTTATCTTCAAGTCCACAGCAAAGCCATCGTGCGATAAGGCGAATTTACAAGGTCTGTTTCTGCACCGTTGTTCTAATACTTGCACTATATGTTAGAGATGGCATGGGGTTTGCCAGTTCAATTTATGCCCATGCGCTAGCCACCCGTTGGTAGTAACATCTAGGTCATTTCTCAGAAGCGGCAATCATAGATCAAGCCGCTAAATACTGGAGAGCTCGCCTTTCTGGGTCGTATGCTTCAGTCAAGGATATGACTTGAAACATAGCAGCTTACCGCAAATATTTCCCACCGCCGCCCATGTGGGCGAAACTACTATGCCGATAAAAGACCCGCGGAGGTGCTGAGAAGTAGTCAGCCACCTGTTGACTCATCGAAAGACCTGCCGTATGCCAAACCTTTCCACAAATTAGCTGATTAAAATCAGTGCATTGTGTTTTCTCCCCTCGAATGACAGATTTAATGAAGATTTAATCGCCGACCAGGCTGAGATGTTTCAAGCGCACGACTTAGACGAGGCGCCCCAATGTACCTCAGATCTCCAACCTTGACCCCAACCTCGTCAGGAATACGCCAATGAGCGATCGACGGCACGAAGGGATAACCCTGGAGCCAGGAAGGCTGCATGTTTTGATGTGAAAGAGACAAATGATTCCTCACCGCTTCGACGTGGACAAAAAGCTCATTTGTGGTAACCGAATTTGCCAAGGCCCAATTCAGATAACTCTCAACCTTCAAGAGCGCCATCCAACATCGGAAAACCGGCATTGCGCCGGTGTGCAATTGGCTGCACACTAAAGAATATAGGTCCTCCTAGCGCTGCCCCGGCGATCTCCCTCCACTTGTGGCCGCGAACGACGTTGACTGACCGTGCTGCACTTCACCGCAGCCGTAAGAGATCGCCATACAGCCCCCTTCCCTAAAGCATCACCAAGCCCAAGGTATACGGGGAGTGAGTAGCTTAATACCACACTGGCCCGTTTCTCAACAGGTAGCTATCGAATGCGTTCTGCAAAGAGAGCCAGAACGTCAAGTTTCGTAATAGGAAAGACGTGTTAGCATGCCAAGTTCACCGTAAGACGTGACTATCGACCTCCTTCTGACAACAAAGGAGTCCAAGCCACAATGACGTGATTGCTCCCCTGTCCACCCAAGGCTCTTGGTGGGCTGACTCCTGTGGCGAGCTCGTTGTCTCCGGGTGATCTCGTTGTTCAAAAGTCCAAAAAATATGCTGTCAGATGATCTCAAAAATTCGGATTGAGTCATATCTTGATCCGATTTTCCACAGTGAATCTTTGGCAGCTTTTCTTGGTGTTTTTACGATGATAATGTAAATTATTCGGGTCGACATCCGGGTAAATCGGCCGATAAGACTAACAGATCCCATCGCCGACGTCAACGGGAGATAACGTGGTGGATCCGGTCTAGGTCTGGGCAACCAAGTGGATCCTGGCCCCTGACTGTAAATTTTGAAAGAGTCTTTTTCTGACAAGACCTGTTGCAGACTTGCGACATATTCACCTAAAATTCAAACTGGCATATAAAGGCCTGAACGTGGTGGTGAAATAGATTCACTGCCAAACCGCTAGTCCCATGGCGACGACGGAACAACCCTCGAAAGGATCGCAACTCGGAACGCCGGGGATGCTCAGTGAGAGAGTCTCATCTGACTCCTCCGCGATGCCTCAGCAAGAATTGAAGGCCGCTCCGAAAGCCGGCCTCACCACCAGACTACGCGATGATATCAATCCATCGCACTCGGACATACCAGTGCTCATAACCTGCTTCGTTTCTGGTCTATGCGACAGCGTAGCTTTCAACGCCAGCAGCGTCTTCGTGAGCATGCAAACAGGCAAGTCACATCTCACCCCTGATCCACTGTCGAATGTGTCACAAACTTGACCAAACTAACATGTCGCCCAGGAAACACCATCTTCCTCGCCCTCGGCACAGCAAACCTCCCATACGGCGCGGAAACTCTTTGGCTAAGGGCTCTTGTCTCCATCGTCTCCTTCTGGGCAGGTTGCTTCTTCTTCAGCCAGTCGCGTCGAGTCCAGCCCAAGGGGAAGGCGACCCTAGCATGCTCGTTCCTCATCCAGTCCCTCTTCATCCTCATTGCCGCGGCGGTCTCACAGAGCGGCGCGGTTCCTGCTTTTAGTATGCACTCGCTGGGCACCGCGGCGGCGCACGAGAGGCTGGCAAGCTATGAGACCGAGAGCATGACCTTGCTTCCAGTGGCCTTGTTGGCTTTCCAGTTCGGAGGACAAATCGTGACTAGTCGAGTCTTGGGTTTCAACGAGGTGCCGACAAACGTATTGACGTCGTTGTATTGCGATTTGTTCTCCGATCCGCTGATAATAGCGCCTGTTGGCAAGAATGTGAAGCGCAACAGGCGGGTTGTGGCGGTGCTCTTGATGGTCGCAGGTGGTATCCTGGGTGCTTGGCTGCAGAAGTCGAAGGCTGGTATGCCAGCTGCTTTGTGGATCGGCGGGGCAATCAAAATGGCAATCGCCGTGTCGTGGGTGGGCTGGAAAGGGAAGACGGTGGTCAACGATGAGAAAGTGTAATTTTGAAACACTCGACACAGACATGTGACAAAGCTGCTCTAAGATAAATTGTTCCTGTTACGATTATTGGAAAGAGGCGCTCAAAACTATAGATGATAGATTCATACCCATCGTATTGATGTTTCTGATTATTTAATTGCATTCACCGATTTAGAGATAGATTGAAACACAATGATCCTGAAGTCAGCAGTCAAGTCCAACTGCATCTCTATCTTTTCGACCTGCAATTTAATTATTTTCTGGCCTAGATCAGGGAATCGCCTTCATGTTTTGGAGCTTCATATCGACCTCGAGTCTTGAGATGACAGAGTTATAAAACTCCCCTGCTAAATCATCGTTGTCCAGATTCGCAATAGAAAAAAAAGTTCTCTAAGCACCACCGAACGGCTCCTGAATAGTTAATGCCGCCATTTTGAAGGACCTGCCCTGCCATGTTGAACGCCAGTGTCTGCTTTTCAAGTATGCAGTCCAAGGCCATTCCTTCTTCTATGCGTAGTTGCTCAAAATAATTACCAACCATGATTTGTATGAGTAACAATCCAAGTGACAGGAGCGTGGAATCTATAAGTCTGTTCGTCATCGCTGGAATCGGCTGTTGTGGTATTGTCAAATGGGAAGATTCCGACGCCAGTGAACCTATTCGTGAATTCTCAGATGCCCCAGGTACTTGTTTCGCCAAAAATGGGCGATTCAAATCATATGTACAATATCCCAAGGTGTCTTCCCCACGGAAGAAAACGATGTCGTCAAGTGTAACAATCTTCGATAGCCAAGGTGTGTTGTACAAATGGAGGACACTGAAAGAAAGTGTCAAGGCGAGCTTCAATCTTTCCGGATACCCAAGGTTGTTGATGTTCTTGTCTTTGCCTTCCAAGATTTGCCTCAGGGTGATGGTGCTACAGCACGACAATGGGCCATCTTGATGATACAGGTCAAATTGGTTTGACTTGCCATTGATGAAGCCGTAGCATTGTGAAGACAGGCATTTTCCTTTCCGCAGTATCTGGCACAGGTCGGTAATGTGAGCTCGGGGTAGGGCAGCGTGAGTCACGGGAGTTGTTGAGGAATTGAGTGGTGCTTTTGATGACGAAGAGCTAGGGTCAATTTTTGTTGGTCGGACGGACAAGGAGGAAGCCCATCTGAGTTTTCTCTTCGGCGGCTGGGGCTGTGCTGGTGGGATCGTCAAAACCTGTGGACTGACTTCCTTCTCTGCCAGCCTGACGCGCATATTGTCCCATCTCTGAGAGCTTTTCCCCTGAGTGCCGAGCACTATGTCAAAATGGAGTGCTCTCGCTGCCTGTTCTTCCTCATCAAGGGGGAGCATCACAGGTTTTCTCGGAGCTATTACCAGTCCAATATCATGCGAGCTAACACAGCTACATCTCATGGATCCCTGGAGGGCAGAGAATATACTCGCGGACAGTCTGCGAATGAGACGGGCTGCCTTTGTCTGTGATCGTGACCGTCTGGTTGACTCCAAGTCACTGTTCTGTCTCGCTAGTTCGCTCAGCACGGCGTTTCCATCGTGCAATCTGGCAAGAATGCTAACATATTGGTCTTTCCTGAGGGTGAAGGAGGTTTTGCATCTCAGTTCAATCAATATGGAAGCACGGTCGGTGAGTCGCGCCTGCAAAAGGTCAAATTTATTAGATCCACTAACGCTTCCAAACATGCGCATCTTATCAAGACTGTAAATTCACTTGAAAATGGTAGGAGGTGAATTGACTAACCTTGCCCTCGCCGTCCAGGGCCAGCCTTTCCTGAAGCTCTGATGTTGCTTTCATCATGTCTGCAACCCGATCCTGGAAAACTTGCCCAGATCTCCACATGCGCAACCTCACTTCGTCGTCATATCCCTTCCATGCATCGCCATAAGGATTTTCTATCATGTCCTCAATTTCAGAGTCTGAAGCAATACCCCTTAGCAAGGTCTCGCACGTGTTTTGCAGGATTAATGTCTCAGTTTTCAAGTCGCGAATCATCGAGTTCAATTCATGTTGGGTATTCTTCATGGTTGCAAGTATTGTTCGGTATGTTTGGAAAGCTTGGATCACCAGCGGCAGGGCACCCAGAACCAAGCCAGCGGCCTCCATCCTTGCCGTTCAGCTGTCAAAGATCCACAAGGTCAAATTGAGGTGCGTAATCGCCCAGAGGTTCCGCCAGAATATAGAAAAAAAGACGAGGTCTTCGGTGTCTCCGCAGCATTTATGTTCCAACCCGTGCAAATCAGGCTGCGCAATTTCAAGCAGGAAGTGCCAGTGCTGGCTGAAAACTCTAGCTGACTGCATGGACTCTCCGAGCGGGCACCAATCAATCGATTCGACATTGTTGTACAGGAGTGGGTGTTGGACCACGCTGTACTTTGCAACCAGAAACATAGTAGGGGGTTCAGACTTTCTGTATCCATGCAGCGGTGTCCGCGATCGAACACCCGTTAATGCTCTGAGATTATCAGAGCTTCGCTCAGAGCAGAATGGATCAAATCCCGTCACTTGTGCGGTCCAGCCTTGAGGCTTTTGGAAATCTAATCCCCTTCTTTGAGCTCGCAGATCCGGTGCAGGCAAATATCGTACGGTCTCATTTCGCCAGATTCAAGCTGTGGGCTGGCACTATGGGCGCTCATCGCGCATCAGGGATGCGATCCTTGACTTATCGCCTTCGGGATGCATCCGCGATTCGGTCTCATGTTATATCACTGCTCGAAGATCTGCAAGGCTCCCTTAGAGAAGGTATTCTTTTATCATCAGCGCAGAGTTCCTCCTGTCCTTGCAATCCACAGTTGGAGACCGAAGAAGCTAACATCCGGCGAGCTATTTCTTTTCTCGAGTCCTCTCACCCTGCCGACGAAGAGCAGTATTACGACCCTATTGACGATGAACTCGCCCAATTACTCGGCGACACTGAACACATTGCCCGCGACGGTGTTAACTATCATACCGAGCTCACACGTTGCCTGACACAAGATGGAGAAATTATTGACTGCCTTTTGAGGCTGTCCGTTACTATCAGCAACCCAGCCCCTCACGACCAGTTCAAGTCCCGCGTTGATGTGCAAACAACTCACTACGAGCGGTACGATGTCAACCACGTCCAGGAAAAGTTTCCCAAGCTTGAGTCGTCCATAAGTCATAGGCTCGGCAGGGCGTTGACCCAGCGCCGTGGCTATTTCAAATATCGCCAGAACCACCATCTTCGGCTACGAGAAGGCTTGGAAGGGGACGAGGCTGGGAGAAGCGAAGGCGATGGGACTACTGAAACCTCACCTATTCCCCGGCGTCTGTTCGATCTCCATATTCCCGATGTTCCTTCCTCCGACCTTTCTGCAACATCTTATGCTCGCTCAACCACCTTAGACACGTCGGTCATTCGCGTTCCGCCTCTGCCGAAAGAGCATGCTGACGGTCCATTTTTGTGCCCATTTTGTTTTACGCTCATTCAAGTGGACACAAAACATGAGTGGAAGCACGTGTATCTTTTTTTGTCCCCTTTCTTAGCCAGTCACTCAACTACTAATTTAATGCTTCTGCAGAAAACACATTTTCAGAGATTTGAGACCCTACGTATGCATCTGGACTTCCTGCCCGTCTCCAGGACAAGAATTCCAAAGACGAAAAGACTGGATGCGCCATATGACTCAGGAACATTGGAGACAGTGGCATTGTCCCTTCGGATGTTCAATTACCTTTGATGGCTACAGGAATCTTGAGGCCCATCTCAAGAAAAAGCACCCAGGAGAGGTCCCTGTCGAGAGATTGCATGAAATTTCGCTCCTGAGTAGTCGTATTGAAGGTGAAAAAGCCAAAGGACAGTGCCCGCTATGCCAGAAATTCGAGGTCAAAACTGTCCATCAGTATGGATCACACATCGGCCACCATCTTGAGCAACTCGCACTCTTCGTACTTCCAGACATGGACGAATCTGACGGAGAAGATATCGAGAAAGAGAATAGTCAAGTCAAAGACGCCAGCAAGAGACAGGAAGATCGTCTCGAACATGGTAGCAACACTGAGCCGTTGGAGCCGGATGTTGACAAAACGGAAAACTTACCCAAGCAGGCAACTATTGATACATCTAGTGAGTCTGGTCTATCAATTGGAGAAAGTCTTGACGAAGGTATCCCGATAGGCTCTTGGACGACTCAAACTCGTATATACGACAAGGAGGCGCGGTCTTCGCGTTCGCCAGACATCGAGCCAGGGGAGCGAGAGGGAAGCCTTAGAAACATTTTGAATCACGAGATATGTGCAACCAGAGCTCAGGATGATGAGCAATCTCTTGAGGGTGGGGGAGAGTCAGACCTACGACAGGTTCAAAAAATTGGCCAGGAAGAGCATAGTAGGATTAACCTGCCAAGAGCACTCGACCGGCTATCGATCAACTCAGACAGAGACGATTATCAGCTAGGAAAGACCACCAAAGTGCAGTATCAGTATATACAAGAAAAGAAGTGGTTCTGCGCTTGGTGTCACTTTGGTGCACTGGACTGGACTTATGATACGCTCTGTCTGGAGTGCGGGCGTGCAAGGGATCAGTACTGCAGAATAGAGTACCGAACCAGAAAGATTAGACGGTCCTAGGTGGGTTATGGAAGCGAAGAGCTTCGTCATGTAAGTCGGAGGCGGCGCAGCAGGTAGCTGGGGATCGAAAGAGTACATACCGAACTATATTTTCGATTCAATGTTTTGATGGTCATTTTTTCGATCAACAGCATGATTCCGCAGCTTCTACCAGGGAACGGCAAAGTCCGTCACGATAGCAAATTTGAAGCTAACCACTTCCGTGGGTGACATATATTCTGGAATGCTGTACATTCTTGAATGTCAGCCCAATTTTGAGTGGCCTTACCTCACTACCGAAACAGAATGCCATCTCGAGCTGAAGCCGGCGCTGACCAGGTAAGCCCTTGTCTTTGGCTGTGTTCAGACCACTGAGCACTCTTCTACAGACTTGTATTCTGTATTTGACACTACATTGCAAAAGTCGTTGGATCCGGGAAGCTTCAACACTGAAGGGTAAAGCACGTGGGGCGTATGAGAGTCTCTGCAAATAAAGAGACGTCAAAATGACAAATAATTGATCGCATGTTTGGCGAAGACGCCATTCTTATCAATGTCACCATATATTACAATCCTTATCACTGTGACTATCTTCAGAAGCAAAGCTTGCTAGTAAGGTGAATAAGCAGTGTTGAACTGAGATTTCGTTGGTCAGGTAGACTTTTTCCATGGAATCCGTTGGAAGCGAGCCATTCTCTGTGTCTTATTTTACAGCATTTCCGTCGTATTGCATTTGTCACTACTGGCCGGCCTTTTGGGATTGGCCCAACGATAGAGATGGAGTTTCAGATTAAGCAGAATGTCACCCTGGGCCAGCCGGCCCGAATGCAGTACAAATTCTTCTACGATTGCAGATTGGTGGCCGCGGTACGTTCACTTGCAATAATGTTCGCACTAATGTCAGCCTACAGCGTCGCATTCCAACTCGCACTAGTTCAGATCTCTGATAGCAGGAGCATAGATATTGATAACCGTCCCAACGCTTTTCCTCACTCTGGATTTGCTACGGGGCAGCTCAATCACGGAACGAAGATGAGGCGTTCTTTCCTGGACCCTTCAGTCTTCTTGCTGGCTCTAGTACCAATATTGGTTAGCAGCGATGCTACCAGCGCCGAGAACGCCACTGTGTCAGACTCGAGATTACGAACTTGGTGGCATAAGAACGGCGAGATCAACTACGAGACTGCTGTTCAGGAGCAAAATGTCCGACAATCTCATGTTTACTCAGCTTGGGTAAAATCGAATGCAGATCCCGCAGAGGAATGGTATGTAATCCCCTTCGAGAGCGCAAGAGTTTCGGTTGACATCATTAGCTACAATTCCTTCGTCTATGAGTCTATTCCTCGCAATGGGCAAGGAAACATTATCACGCCAGGTGATCCAGACTCGGAAACCGATGCGTACGATGCAATCACGATAGAAGCTGATATCTGGATTACTATGGCCTGGACCCAGTTCCTTTACAGTACAGATGCTTGGGTGAAGATTAGTCGACGCAACAATATCCCAAGCAATGCGAGTAATGTTGTGATCCGGCCTTCGACCATTGACTTCAAGATCAAATATGATGCCGACGGTAATGTGTATGTGCTCGTTCCCTACCGAAGCCAAGGGTACAGATTCTCTGTCGAATTCCAGGACAATCTCTACAGCTATCGTGACAACTGCGACTCAACAGTCTGCGACTTCGTACAGAACTGGCACCCTGACGGACCTAATTACGTTTCAGAGCTCACTGATGATATGCCAGTCATGGGTGTTGAGCCTCATGACGCTCTCCTCATCTTCGCGAGCCCCTTTCCCCAAGCGGACCTCGTTCCAGACCAGTCTTCCCCAGACACTTACGTCGTGCAGCCAGGCCGAGTCCCGGACCTAAGCGACGTCGATAATACGAACGTGTATTTCGCTCCAGGAACATACTGGATGACTGCAACGGACCATGCTGTCCTTTCGGAGTCTGTGGAATGGGTCTATCTCGCGCCCGGTGCCTTTGTGAAAGGTGCGATCGAGTTCACAACAAATGCTACCACAATCAAAGCGACAGGACACGGCGTCCTATCAGGGGAGCAATACGTGTACCAAGCCAACACAGCCCAAGGTTATCAAAACATACAGTCCAACGCAGACAGCCTGCGCATGTGGAGTGGATACAGTACCCCAGACCAACAGCAGACCTTCGTCCTCGCCGGCCTGACGACCAACGCGCCGCCCTTCAACAGCATCGACTTCACAGGCGACTTGAACACAATTTCCATCGACCAGTCGGACTACAAGCAGGTTGGCGCTTTTTTTGGCCAGACAGACGGCACGACTCTACATTCGGGGTCTAGCGTGCGGGACACCTTCTATCACTCCGGCGACGACACGATCAAGACATACGGCTCGAACATCACGGTGCGCGACGTGGTCGTGTGGAAGGGCAAGACCGCACCAGTGATCCAATTTGGGTGGCAGAGCCGGAACCTGAGCAATATCACGGTCGATGGCGTGGATGTCATCCACATGAAATATTCCAGCAACGCGAGCCACCCGAGCATCATCGGTGCCAACCAGGTCTACGGGTACTCCGAGGACGACACCAGCACAGCGAACTTGAACAACACCGTGCAAGATGTGTTCTTTGGCAATATCAGAACGGGTCAGTATAAGAATCTTCCCCTTACGATGTCCCATCCGTCTTTTATCAGAATTTTTCAAATGCATCGCTTCGGGCTCTGTAGCAGATCGTTGACGCATAACAGAGGGGATTGGGGGCAACCTGATGCGCATTGTGCCGCTTGCGCACTACGAGAACGTCACTATCGAGAACGTTAGTTTGGAGACGTTTAGTGACAGGAGCAATAGCATCTACAGGAGTGAGCTGCCGTTGTGGGAGGACGAAGACGGAAATCTGGTCTCCATTACGGGCTTCACAGTGAGGAACTTCAGTGTTGGCGGGGAGGCTATCCTGCCAATTCTGGGCAATGTTGGGCCGTTCGGCCTGGGAGGTCTCAATATTGCGAAGCCACTTCTGACAGGAGGTGGCGTGGTCATTGAGTGATGGACATTCGGTATGACCGGGTCAGACATGGCGATGCGAAATTAGAGTGGGAATTACACAAGACTAGATTTAGACCTTTCTGATTTTTTCTCTTTCACTTTCTCTTTCTATTTCTATTTTCCACCTGCGTTCCAGACTTCTTTCTTTCTTTTCTTTTATTACTTCTCACACGCGCGACCACATAGAGATTCAGATCGATAGAGAGAGAATTGGACGTCGACTTTGGGCTGGATAAATCAAAGCATCTTATCATCCGCAACACAACAAAAGATCCAAAGCCCTGAGCCTCCCAACACTTGAAGTTCATACAGCAGGTGTAACTGGGTTTGCCACTCTTTCCGACATTTCTTACTCTAAAGACTATATGTCTCCACCCAAAAATGCCGAGAAAATCATATTGTTAGACTACGTTGATCGGTGGCAATTTTTAAAATGCATGGAACCATTTCTTGGGAAGCGCATTACGGTAGTTTGGCCTGCCATTACTAATTTTGCAATCGATTCCTCATCGTTGAATTATGCTTCCTGCTTCTATGGTCTATTGGCTGGATAGGCCAAGGTGACGAAAAGTGATCCCTGGATGATGATGTAGGTTCGTCATGGCTGACTGTCAGGTGCTCGGCTGGATCCGGGATGGGCGATGTGACACCAGTTCAACAACAAAAAGAAGCTGACCGTAGGCACGCAGGTTGAACTAAGGCCAAGACTCATCGACACATGATCATTCTTTTTCAAACATATTAATAGAGGATGTAACGAATCATGGTATAGAATAAAGCAGAGCAATCCAAGATAGAATCAAGATCCACGTGTCCATTTGCAACCACCATGGACTCCAAGTCTCTATTGCACATTCCAATCAACCCTTCAAACCGAAAGCCACTCCTCCGGCATGCCCCAACTCCGGCTGAAACCGAGAAGCCTCCAAGACTACCCGTAAAAGAAACACGAGTCCACCCTAGCGGGTCCGCGGGCAATGAAGACGGCAGCATCTACTTCATCGGCACAGCAACGACGGTGATAGAATGGGCAGGCGTGCGCATCCTGACAGATCCCAACTTCCTGCACGCGGGCGACCATGTGCACCTGGGCCCGGGCGTCACGGCGCAGCGGCAGACCAACCCGGCAGTGGACCTCGAGCAGCTCCCCGGGCTGGACTGCATCCTTCTGTCGCACTTTCACCAGGACCACTTCGACAAGAAGGTCGAGAGGGCCTTGGGGCGAGATGTGCCGATCCTCACCACGCCGCATGCCGAAGGATGCCTTACGGATGATGGGATCGAGGGCGGGCCGTTCCGGGCTGTGACCAGTCTTGACCATTTCGAGAGTGCGATGTTGGAGGTCAGTGGATCGGGCGCCGAGTCGAGACCCGTGTTCAAAGTCACGGGCATGCCGGGGAAACACGTCCCTCTTGGCCCGCTGACGGTCGCAAATGAGCTCCTGGGTGCAGTGCCACCGACCAATGGCTGGCTGCTAGAGCTGGGCCATTCTAAGGACAGCGAGCCTCAGCCGAGAGATGTTAATACGGGTTTCCGGATCTACATCTCGGGAGACACGTTGTACATCGAGGACCTCCTGAAAGACATCCCTGAGTGGCTCAAGGGTGAGAATATCGACCTGATGCTAGTGCACCTGGGCGGCACCACAATACCCGGCCCAAAGGCACCGGTGGTAATGGTGACGATGGATGCGAAGCAGGGCGTGAAGCTGATGAGGCTCATGGATCCGGACGTGACGATTCCGATCCACTACGATGACTATGATGTGTTCTTGTCACCATTGGAGGACTTTAAGAAGGAGGTCATTCAGGCTGGGCTGAAGGACAGGGTGGTATATTTGGATCGCGGCGACCAATACCGCTTTTCAGTCACCAATGACAGTGGCTCTGCTTGATTCAGCTAGGCATTCAATTTCTTGATTACAAACCATGGGCGGCATTGATGGATCTTGTCCTTGGTTCAGATGCACTTATTAGCACACGTTACCTTCAAGATCCTGATGAATCGACTAACGACAGGCTTTAGGACTCCAAAGTGCGTGACTTTTCCACGCCCGCTATTGCCTTTACTGCTTAGTCCCAAGGCCATTTCTCAGAATTACCGACCTGACGCCAGAATGAGATGGCATAATGACAAGAGCGTGGTGGGTAAGAGGTGCATCAATACAGGAATTGCATATAGCTACTGAGTTTCAATTTTAAGGCTGGCAGGCCTCGAGTCCAGCGAGTGGCCTATGTTATGGCTGGCAGAAGGCACTCCCTTGTTGATGCTCTAGCCGACTTGCAAACATGAATATGCATGGCCTTCTTCTCCTTTTAGGATTAACTGAGATATTTACCAGGTCACACTCTTTGATAGCGTAGGTCCACAAAAATGCGCGAGGAAACCCTACAAAGTTGCTGCCTGCGGCTAAGCCTGGATCACTAGCAAGATCTTACGGTAACAGTAATGTTTACTTGTCGTTCATCATGGCCCTCTGACGTTCAGTCCTGAACTTCTTGTAGTTTGTTCGCGAATTCACAAAAATGAGACCGGTTCCGGACGAGATCTGGCACCAGATCTTCTCCCATCATCAATGCGTCCTCGTCGAAGACAAGTGGTGGTTGTAAGTGCGGAGCCCAGGTCGACCGCTCGCCCCTGGAAACACTCACTTCCATCGCCCTCGTATCTAAACAGTTCTACCGTGTGGCACTGCCTCTTATATACCAAACTCTCCTTCTCGAAGGAGGCGATAGCGAAACGACGCGACATGAACATCTTACCCGCAACGCTGGCGGCCGGTCCCAACCTCGGGCTACACACTCGCACAATTACTCTCGATGATGCCGACTTGCCGCCCACTTTCGTCTTTGGTCTGATGATACAAAAACTATTGAAATCCCTCGAGCTACCTACTACATTGCGAAAGCACATCGAGACCAGGCTTGAGGAAGACGCCAGATACAATTATTACAGTTCCAGATATGTCGGCGTTGCTGTCTTCATACTTGCCTTGACGCCGTACGTTCGGCTGGGTCGACTGCAGCTATCACGGAATATCTCAATCTTTGATCTGGATGATGAGCGGGCGTTCTGATATGACCGAACAACTCATGCAGGACACTGAGAAGGGAGATTCGGACACGGAGGAAGATAGAATCGATGAGGAAACACGCAAGGATGATGCAGTTAATCTCAGCGCACATGAAATGGCGGGAGCATCTTTTGCGAACTACGGCCTCCCAGACTTGGAAGAACTGCGCCTGCGAACTGGTGACTGCACAGATAATAGTACCTACATCCACTCCATCGAGGCTGCGCTTCTGCACCCCAATCTAAAAGTTCTACGCCTGCTTGGTATCGACTGGCTTCAAAAGAGTCTCAGGCTGCTGAAATGGCCTGATGAGCCCTGCAGTGTCCAGTTGCTTGAGTTGAAGGAAAACTTGATCGAAGCCTCGAGCCTCAGACACATATTCTCTCGTTTCACGAGCCTCCGCACCTTGCTCATTCATCTCGCCGACTGTCGCAGATACAGTAAGTAGAATCCCGTTATAGTTTACCCTTTTCTGGAACCAGAGCCTGCTTCATCCAGAGTCTGTGATCATTGCTTGCCTTCAAGCTCTTCATCAGGAGGCAGCTTTTGAGACAGGCAAGGAATAAATAGAGGCTTTCTGTCCACGATCTTGAATATCGCTCCTTCGCCAGTGTTTGGGTAGCTGATTCGGAATCCTGCAGTGTATGACACGGATGAGATCGAGTGGGAGGTTTACCTGAACGAATTTGGCTCCATCCTAAGGGAGCTGGGCCAAGACTTAGTCGAGTTCAGCCTGCACACCACCAATTTTGAGTCCGACGGCATCTGCGAGGGTCACCTCGGGTCTCTCCGAGAGATGAGATCGCTCAGGCATCTCAAGGTCATCTACACCGACCTCGTAAATACTCGTGTCGAGCCATCGGAGCAGGTCTCCAAGCTGGTTGACGTCTTGCCGCCCTCCCTTGAGACACTGCACCTGCACTGGGACGACAGACACTGCGGTCAGGAATATTACAAGCGGCGTTGTGAATACGTTAACCAGGGGGTGACGGAGCTGCTCGAGCATGGGCATATGCCAAACCTGCGGCAAGTCAGTATCGAACGATATTATAATGAGACCATGGAAGGCGAGTTCGATGGGCCGATAGGTGGATGGGACATGACGGTCGAGAACGTGCATCTTTGGGCGACCTATAGCTCTTCAGGATGCATGCGGACCATTGTGACTTTTACAAGGAGCTATTGAAGAACAAAGTAAAACAAGTCGAAGCAGTAATTCTTCTTAAAGTGTAATTATGGTACGACAAAGCCAGCTCGAGGCGTAAGCAGAAATACTAATGGGCTTCTTCGCGGGCTTGATCTTTTTGCTTTTGTTCATCCGTGATGGCGTGCTGCGAATATATTTTGGCTGATAACCTATATATCTTCACTTGTTACCAGACATGCAGATTCCCTGTGCGCGACGTAACCATGCTTCACTTTGGGTTACATAGCAATACATCACTTGGATGGTGGAGTGATGATGGCTGATGTACTGGAATCTGTTATCATGCTCTCCTCCTCTTGCTCCTCCTCGTCCCGGCTGGTTGTAACGTAGCTTTGTCCTCTGCTTCCACCTTCACAGTCTCAGCTACTACTACGCTCTTCCGCTTCCTTGATGGCGTAGTGATGGGAGTGACGAAGGCGACATCATCCTTCGTCTCTACTTTGACCGCCATATCAGCGGTGCTGTCTTCCTCTGGGGCCTTCTCAACCAGCCGGTCCGAGAAGGTCCTCAGGTCAGCCGTGAACAGCACTGAGTGGGCCCAACCGGCTTGGCTGCCCCAGAGGTCCCTGAAATGGTCCCCGACAGCATCGTACAGGGCCTTCGTGAGCGTCTTATTTTTGCTCTTTCCTCCAAACTTGTAATCGCGCATTGCGATCTGCCAGACATGGGTGTCTACGGGGACAGCCTCGCCCCAGCCCAGGCCCATGAGGCAGACACAGTCGGCGACCTTGGGTCCAACGCCGGTGAGCTGGAGCAGCTGCTCGTGAGCTCGTTTGTATGTCGGTGCTTCGTCATCCGTCCACGTCTTCCCCGGTGTTGCGCCCCAAGCAATGCTGGCCGGGTTTCGCAGGCTCAGTAGCCATCCTTCCGGTCTTTCCTTGGAGATATTCTGGGCCGTCTGGGCTATATAGCGAGCCCTGTATCCAAATCCTAGTTCACGGAGGTGAGCCTCGACCCCTGGAGCTGTGAGCGCGGCTGGGGTGGGAAAATCGTGGAAGACCTCCTCGCCAACGGTCCCGATGTAGGGCCCGTAGTGGAGGCAGAGCTTGTGGACCATCTGCGATATCCTCGAGATGTTGTTGTTGCTGCTGCATATGAATCCGATGAGGGCCTCCCATGCATCCTGGTTCAGCATGCGGACACCCGTGAACTTGGGTGCGCGTTTCCGAAAGTTTGGGTCCGCGTCTGCCCATTGCTTGTACAGCAAAGCCAGGTCATGATGCAGGTTGAAGTAGTTCTTCAGCAGGGCTTCTGTATCATCGGCTGGCTGCTCTTCCGGCGTGCTCACACCTGTGGATGAAGCTGGAGGTGTTAAGGGAACAGGGGCAGTCTTTGGCCAGGTGGCACGGTAATGCAGATGGTCTGCGTCCTGCCTCAGGGACACAATCCTGCCGTGATGTGTACAATGCCTATAAGTGGTGTCAGTCTGATTGTTAAAGCAGCAACAAGTAAAAAGAACGGAGTAGTGCCAACAGACCATTCATCGTTGAGCTTGCGCCATCTGAAAGACTGCCCACAACGCAGCGTGGTGTCGATGCAGAGCTCGGTGAGGCTCAACGGCAGCTTGCGCCATTCGGGCGTCTTGAGGGCACCCATAGCCGAGTTGTGGGTGAGATAGAAGCCGTTCTTGAGGGATGACTTAGATTTGGGGAATTGCCGTCCAAAAAGAGAAGACGGTGGGCCTGGAAGTGGGCATGAAAATGGCCAAGGTGAAGGCCAGTCTTGCCCGTGATGAAAAGGGGCCGGTGAGCTTTCTGGCGTTCAGGGTCTTTGCCACTGGTGCGCACAACGGGCACACAGGGGGAGCTGAGCCGAGTCCAACATTGGAAGGTCGAGTCGCAGGGGTCTCTGGCCAAAGCTACAAGGGTACAGGGGTCCCCTCAGGGCGTTAGGCCTAGCTTGGCCTAGCACCACCTGCCCAAGTCCAGCCTCGCGCTGGATTTTCGAGCGGGAGGGCCCAAGCTGCTGCTGCTGCTGCTGGTGGAGGTGGTGCTTGCGTTGCTTTGCTTTGCTTGCTGTGGTCTGCTTCCCTGGCATCAGCTTTTTATCTGGGGCCCTGCACTACTTGCGACATCAACACCACAACCCACAGCCCTCCGCTGCCACCAGCAAGCCGCCCATTAATCGCACAACGACTCCATTTCCTGTCGCATCTTGAGGGTAAGCTCCTCTGCCAGGTCAATCATGAGCGGCGACACATACTCATCGCGCGGTAGGTTCCGCTCCCGTCTCCATTCCAACTTGATCGCGGGCCAACTGTTGCTAACCATGGATCGAAAAGATGGAGGCCGCCATGGCTCATCCAGGGACTACGGTGTAAGTGCTATCTATTCGTCTCTTCTGCATCTCGTCCTGCTGGTCAATTCTTGGCACGGTGCCAACCAAAATGAGGGCACCTCACCGAACCCAGTTCAGGCATGGCTGTTTCTACACGAGTGCCTGGCAGAAACCATGGTGTCGAGAGCATGTCTATTTACCTGCTGCTCGTCTAATTGCTGACACTTCGCTCCATGCAGTCGTCCCGCCGCGACCGTGATGATCGACGAGACCGTGGCCATGATCGCGACCGCCGCCGCCGTTCTCGATCGCCCTACGATAGCTCCCGTCGGCGCGATGTAGGCGGCGAGGTAGACACCTACTCATCCAGCCGAAACCACCGCGATAGAGAACGCGAGGACAGATATGGGGGGCGAGACCGCCGTGGAGACCGAGACTGGGACCGCGAGAGACCACCACGACGTGAGGGCGGCGGCCGCAGGGACGACGACAGACCCCCGCGTCGCGATCGTGACCTCTTTGACGACAGGCGCCGCGGTGGAGGCGGAGGCCGTGGTGGAGGTGGTGGACGGGACAGAGATAGGGACAGGGATAGGGACCAGGACGAATTCAGGGACCAGCGGCGCCGCAGTGATTCGCCGCCACCTAAGAAGAGAGAGCCTACTCCCGACCTGACCGACATCACTCCCGTCCTGGAACGCAAGAGGCGCTTGGTGCAGTGGGACATCAAGCCTCCTGGTTACGAGAACGTGACTGCCGAGCAGGCCAAACTCTCCGGGATGTTCCCATTGCCCGGTGCTCCCAGACAGCAGCAGATGGACCCAACCAAGCTCCAGGCGTTTATGAACCAGCCCGGAAACTCTGTCAGCAGCGCGACCCTCAAGCCTACCAACTCGCGGCAGGCCAAGCGCCTTGTCGTCTCGAACCTCCCTCCCTCCGCGACCGAAGACAGCATCCTGAGCTACTTCAACCTGCAGCTGAATGGGCTGAACGTTATCGAATCTACCGACCCCTGCGCACTCGTCCAACTATCCGCCGACCGTTCTTTTGCCCTGGTCGAGTTCAAGACTCCCGACGACGCCACCGTTGCTCTGGCTTGGGACGGTCAGTCGATGGAGGCAGACGATGCCAACGGCGCGGCCAATGGCACGGCATCCGGTCTGCAGATCCGACGGCCCAAGGACTATATCGTTCCAGCTGTTGTCGATGACCCCAACTACGAGCCCGGCCGTGTCTCTAACGTCGTGATCGACACGCCGAACAAGATCAGCGTGACCAACGTCCCGCCATACCTGACAACTGAGCAGGTCCTGGAGTTGCTGAGCAGCTTTGGTGAGCTCAAGGCATTCGTTTTGGTCCAGGATCGTAGCACAGAGGAGTCACGAGTAAGCTTTTATCTCACATTGAATCTCTGCAAACCCATGTTTGGCTAATCAATCATTTCACAGGGCATTTCTTTCTGCGAATATCTCGACCCGGCCGCCACTGAAGTCGCGATTAAGGCTCTCGACAACATGGAGCTAGGAGAGAACCACCTCAAGGTCCGCAAGGCTAGCATAGGAATCACGCAGGTTGCGGGTGTGGAGATGGGCGTGAACGCCATGTCTATGCTTGCCGGCACCACATCCACCGATTCGGAGGTCACGCGCATCCTGCAGCTGCTGAACATGGTAACTCCAGAGGAGCTGATGGACAACGATGATTATGAAGGTATGCTCAGCCTTGGCGCATCCACGAAAGACGGCAGATATGCTGACACATTTACAGAGATCTGCGACGATGTTCGGGACGAATGTTCCAAGTATGGACAGATAGTGGAGATCAAGGTTCCCCGACCTGTTGGTGGCAGCCGACAGTCCGCTGGTGTGGGCAAGATTTTTGTCAAGTATGACACCCCGGAGTCGGCCACGAAGGCGCTGAAGGCCCTGGCCGGAAGGAAGTTCGCAGACCGGACCGTGGTCACGACTTACTTCCCCGAGGAGAACTTTGAAGTGGGTGCTTGGTAAACTAGCAAAAGATGGGCAGGTTAGGGCGCCACAATAATTGGCAGGTTGAGTAGCAGCAAACAAGTGAAAAGGGCACCGTGCAGTATCAAAGGAAGTTACAATAAACATTCCAGATTTAACGAGACGGTCGGGGGAAAGCAACCGGGACAGCAGCTGGTCAAACCAATCTATCATGCAAGACTCCGAACAGGAGGTTGTTGTAACATGGCCTTGTACAGTAGAGGGTAGTTCAGCACTGAGCGTATGCAAAATGATCTTAACGAGCAGTAGTGAAGAGCGTGTGGAATTGTTGGGCAACGTCATCACAGGTGGCGCCCGCATGGAAGGACGCAGGTCAAAACAGGTACGAGATCAATCAGGTTCATATTAAGGCTAATGCTAGGGGAGTCGCTCACTCAGGTAAGCTGAGCAAAGACGTTTGAGGACGCAGGGTGACGCTGCCGAGGCCAGCAAGTCCGTTCAGAAGACCACAGATACGGCAGAAAGATTCCTACAAGTCTGTAACACGCAATTAGCAACCAAAATCGAAAGAGAAAGCTTCAATAAAAAGATGCATTGCGGCCATGTGCGTGCTGTCAGAAGTCCATTACATTCATCGGAATCCCGAAGGAAGCCTAACATAAGAGGTACCAGAATAGTATTTATAAAAATAGGTTGTTGATCATCAGGTGAGCACGACGCGAGGAAAGAGATGTTTGCCTGTAACTTACCAGCTGGATTATTTTGATTGAGAGGTTGTTGGCTGTTGTCAACAAGTGTGTTGCGTTGAGGAATGAAAGAATCTTGAGCTTTGCTCGAAAGGTTTGCAGATGAAGCTACCAGGTGGACCCACCCGATCAAGGTTGCAAGCTCTTCGCCGATCCAACATCGGCTTCCCAGTCCACGGTCCGACCATTTCGCCGCGGACCCACTTCTGCGTCCAGGCCCACGCAAACATCCAACGTGGCCAAAATTTGCCGTCCCGCTCAGCAATCGCCGCAGCTAATTCTTAACCAGCACGACAAGTCCTTTTTGACGACGACCACGACGACACCAGTCCCTCTCCTCCTCGCACCGTCAAACACCCCCAATCTTCAATCAAAATGGGTCGTCTTCACTCCAACGGAAAGGGAATTTCGGCTTCCGCCGTCCCCTACAGCCGCAGCGCTCCCTCGTGGCTCAAGACCACCCCCGACCAGGTCGTCGACCAGATCTGCAAGCTGGCCAAGAAGGGTGCCACCCCATCCCAGATCGGTGTCATCCTGCGTGACTCCCACGGAGTTGCCCAGGTCAAGGTCGTCACTGGTATGTTGTGCTTATCTGCCAGGCATTGGGAATGCGAAGGTGCAGGCATGATTGATGGAAGCTGACTTTCGTGTGCGCAACCAGGTAACAAGATTCTGCGAATCCTCAAGTCCAGCGGTACGGATCACCCAGTCTGAGAAACCCCATTATGAACGCGATCCATCCAACGAGCGATTGAACGATCGAGCGAACAACAAATCCTTTGCACTGCGATGCCATGCCCTCTGCAGCGCAGACACGCCTGAAACTCGGTGCCCACGGCACGACTTCAGGACGTGAGCCGGGCGGCTGAAATATGCGCAACAAACAAACATATGCCTCTGTTCAGTCATGTGCTGACGGAGTGATCTACAAATAGGCCTCGCCCCTAATATCCCTGAGGACCTCTACATGTTGATCAAGAAGGTGCGTCAAGAACAATTCCCTCCCTGTACCATCTTAGTCTTTCAGCACCCCCGACCCCACGCGTGTATGCTAATAATCATCGTGTTCTCTCCAGGCCGTCGCTGTCCGCAAGCACCTCGAGCGCAACCGCAAGGACAAGGACTCCAAGTTCCGCCTGATTCTGATCGAGTCCCGTATCCACCGTCTGGCCCGTTACTACAAGACCGTCGGTGTCCTGCCCCCCACCTGGCGCTACGAGGCCGCCACCGCCTCCACTCTCGTCGCCTAAGCGGTATCTGCTACTGCTGTCGCTGTCATGCGTCGATGATGAATGGAGTCTGGTCGTGGAGGGAAGCCCGGGGGAAAAGTGCATTATTGGCTGGTTTATTCTTCAACCTCTTGCGATGATTACGGTCTGGTATGGAGTTTGGGAAGGACGGGAACCGAAACCGACGGGTCAATCCGATCGACAAGAGCTCGGTTTGGGAGGTTATACCATCTCACGCCTCCCTTTGGTAGAGGGTAGACGAGAAAACAATTCTAACACGCCTGCACTACCACCTCGTACAGTACCATAATGACGGAGATTTACCATGTCAAACACGAGAGGTCATTGTGCGGTGAATGATGTGTGCAATTGAGAAAAATGGTATCTTGTGTAATTTCCATCCCTACGACGCCTTGCAATTCCTTGAAGGATCAACAGTCCGAACACGGATGACACCCTAGAACGCCGCCCTCTTTCATGCCGCCGAACTTTTTCATCGCAATGCCCCGAACTCAAAGCGAAAGCCGCAAGGCTCCACGCAAGCGTGTCTTCACATTAAAGATGTCACTCAGAGTCAATCGTACTCCGTCACATGCAAATTGTTTCCGTCGCAGACCGCTCTGGTCACACCGAGTGCCGGAGTCCATCGCCATCCATGTCTGTTGGTACGTGTCCAAGGTCAGAAAAAAAGACTGATATGGATGTAGACTGATGCGACGCGACATACTCATGTGGGCAGCAAGCCTGACCCAGCCCATCATACCGTCAGTTCCAGGATCCGGCAACGGCCTTGTGCAAGACAACGCCACAGTCAAGGACAAATTTTCTTGCAGAGAACGACGTGCCTCCATTTGTCGTATCGTATCTATTGCTCGGTGGTGGTATCGGCGCCGTTCTCTTTCTTCTCCTTGTCGCCTTCGGGAGCAGAGGCGGCAGCAGGGGTACCATCTGTAGTGGCACGCTCGAGCTCGGCGCTGCGCTTGAGCAGGAATTCGCCTAGGACGCGGAGGGGGTCGGCGGGCCTGTCGGTCATTCGAATGAGGCGGTTAGCAGCAAATCTTGACCTTGAATGCGAAAGGGAGATAGGAAAGTATTAGGCAGCGGATCACCGCACATACTGCTCCTTGGCCACGACCTTCATGCCTTCCATGACGTGATAGGTCACCTTGCTGTTCAGGTACTGGCGCGTGGGGGCGCCGTGGGCGGCGGGCTCGGTGGGCATGGTGACTCTATCAGCAGTGCGGTCGGCCGGGGCGGCCGAGGCGGCGCGCGAGGAGGAGGTGTTGTTGTCCAGACGGGCAGGCACGTTTTCCTTGGAGCCAGTAGGCGTGGAGGTGCGGTTGGGAGTGGGCGGATTGGTCGAGGTGGAGGCGGCGGTGGTTGTAGTCGCGTTGTTGCTGGCAAGCGAGAGCTGGGCGAGACGGTTAGAAGGGACTGTGAGGTGGACGAGGCCTGGGTTGCGAGGGCTGCGGTATGAAGCGGTAGGAGAGGGTTTGGCACAGTTCAGGCTCGACGACGTGGAGTTGGGTGAGGCCATCATGTCTTGTCTATGCCTGTTCAATGGGCGAAGTGTGGTGGAGGTGGGAAGGAGGTGGTTTGTCTGACACCAGAAGTGACTCTGCCAACTCTGGACAGGATTGCGTGTAGGATGAAGACAATAAATATGGGCTTGATAGACTTGGAAGACCGTGGTTATGGTCACCGTGGTGAATGTGGTGGTGGTTGTGAGAGCCAGCTACCACTTGGGATGGAGGGCCAGCATCTCATAACAGACCAGGTCGAAGACTCACAGCTGGGTTTTCTCCAGGCTTCAAAGCCTTGACTCCCGAATCCTCTACCCCAGCCATTGTGACGTCCTGCCCATTGTTATCCTTGGCTCCTCCGTTGTCCGTTGTTGAAGCAGGCGGCGCATTGCCATCAGCTTCTACGGCGCTCGTTCCATTTTCGAGGACGGGAGGGTCGAAGACAGGAGTTGGTTCTGACATGTTGCAACGGTTTGGACGACTCTGTGTTGGACAGCTCCTATTCCTGAATTCTGGATCGGGTCTGGAGCTTGAACAAATTGTGCGCCTCGGCGGCTGTTGATCGGATCGCAAGGTGTTCTGGTGCTCTGTGCAAGAGGAAGAAGTCCAAATTGAATTGAATTTGGGAGCTCGAGATTCCCTGCAGCACGTTGGACTCGGCCGCGGCAGGCTCGTCCAGCTGCAATGCGGGTGGGATGCAGGGGTCCTAATGAGAGCTGGGCATGCTCGACGCGCTAGAACGCGCCTGGTCGAATGACATCAACCGCGTCTCTCTTAGGCCTTTGTCAGCCCGTCCTCAGCGGCTTTTGGCTGCCTGGCAGAGCAGAAGAGACCAAGCCATGCCCGCAGAATCTCCATTTCCTTGTTCGATGGCTACTCTTTTCAATCAGGACTCCAATGTTGCCACGCCATGGACGCCTTTGTGCGTAGAGCAACGGCCTCGTCTACGCCTCGAGAACCCCTGGCTGACATCTCGAACTCGGGTGAAATGCCTGGCCGCCCTGCAAAGAGGTTGAGAGTCGAGGGCTCCAGACAAGATAATAGCGACTTTGAGGATGATGAGGAAACCTCCGACGCGTCAATTCGCAAACCAGTCAAGCAGCCTGTGGAAGCGCCTCCAAGGCGCACAAGGGAAGTGATACCGGACTCCGAGGACGAGGACGAGGACGAGGACGACCACGATATTTCAACCAACCATCATGAAACGGCCCTTGAAAGCGTTCTGCCTCATATCAAGGCTGATGCGGACGCAATTGAGGAGTACGAAGCCATGAGAGCCTCTCAACTAAGTGCCGAGGACACAAAAGACGCCCAGCACGAGTCTGATGTCGACCGGAGGAAGTGGGTCAGGGCCAAAAGCTCCATCTACGTCGACGCCTTCAATCTTGCTCTTGACACTGTGCTCGAAGACGAGGCCCATTTGTTCGATCAGAGAGAGATGGCTGTTTTTGGACAGTGGCGCAGTCTAAACTATGAGGCTCAGTATCTCTACGTCCGTCTGTTTCTGCGCAAAGTCGCTGCGTGGCACCGACACGACAAGCTCGGTTACTACAGCGATATTTCGGATCCTGAAGTTGCTATCGAAACATTGCAGCGGCGTCATACTTTGCCTGCAGAGAGGGAAAGCGCTAGTTCGGATCGTGACGGTGACAGTCACGGTGAAGTTGCTGGCGTCGCCCTACAAGACTGGTCCCTCGGGGATACCTTCACCTTCGCAGACTCATCCGATGAATGCATCACCTCGGTTGATGAAGCTGCCGCTCTGCTGAGTTTGGATGAACTCAAGACTTTAGCCAAGGAGGCTAAGGTCCAGGGCAAAAATAAGAGTGATATCTTGAGAAATTTGCTGCGCATGAGCTCGCGGCAAAGTGGTCTCTTGTCGGTGGGACTGCGCCGGGAGAGCACATCTGGGTCAATGGACTCTGCTGGTCGCGAGACAGGCAGCGAAACCCCTGATCCTGATCCCAAGCAAGACTCAAATCGCAATCAACACTTCCTAGCCAAGATTGTGGCCATCACAGGGCCTTGCATCAGGATTTCGCCCCCAGTTTTCAAGCTTTTTGAACGAGTGCATCTTGTCTTCTATCGGTCGACGGAATGGACAGAGAAGTCCCTGACCACCATTATCCTGGCCAAAATCTCAAGACGAAACTTTCCGCAGTACATTGTCGACCGAACATCCAACATCTTCCCCGACCGCCGGAGTCTGCTGGAATTCGAGCAGGCAATGCGACTGGAATTTGAGGTCGATCAGATTCTCGAGTTCAACGGACCCCCAGGGGATGAAGGCTACCGACGTGTGCTTGAAATTTTTGACAGCATCACTGCTCGCTGGCGAGGGCTTCTGAAAGAGGAAGAACGCAAAGAAAATCAAGTGTACGAGTTTGGAGAAGGCGCCTACCTCCGCCGCCTGAATGCCGCACATGCGTACACGAGAATCGCGCACAAGGCAGCGTACGTCTACGGTCGTTTGCATGAATATTTGGAAGAACATGCTCTCCTCACCGAGCTCCTGAACCAGCGCTTCTTCCAGATGGCTCGGCGCGGATCATGGTATCAGCGCAAAGCCCTGCTGGAAGAGCATTACATGTGGGAACAGAAACCTGACCCCAATATTACTGACCAGGAGCAACAAAAGAAACACTGGCGCCGAATAGCTGTTGCGACCTGTGAGGCTGCCTTGGAGGACCGCGATTGCCATCTCATTTACCACTTTGATTTACAGAAGCGCCTGACCAAGCTGGAAAAGCGCATTCGCATCCCTAAGCGCCTTCAGCATGATTTTGGCCACGTCCGCCTGCATAAACCCGAAGAACACAATGTCATAGGGATCCAAATTAAGCGGGATGATCCCACAGCCGGTAAGCGTGGTGGGACGAGCACCAAGACAATCTGGGTAGACGAGGCCGAAGGCGGCGGCGAGTGCAGCGTCGAGGAGATGTGCTTGTCTTACTACCGCGGCGAGGGCTGGAAGGGTTACCATTCCGAGGGCGGCATTTTAAGGACTCTTTTTGCATATCTTTTCTACGATATTCTGTTCCTATACATCCCGAACGTATTCCAAACAGCATATCAAACCTGTCCGCTGGACTTGCACACCGACGCCTTTTACCCGACTCGAGCCTCCGAGATCAACCACCGCCTCGCTGAGATCTCCAACGGCGACGCCACGCGCATTATCCGAGAGGTCGACGCCGAGCACCGCGAGAGGAGGACGTGCGTGGTGGGGCTAAACTGGGACTACGAGCTGGAGGACCTCGTAGAGCTCGCGGGCTGCTTCCGAGGCGATGCCCTCGCCGCCGTGTGCAAGGTCATGGCGCAGGAGTACAGGCAGAGGGGCGGCGGCGTCCCTGACCTCGTGCTCTGGCGGACGGAGCCGGAGCGGGAGTGCATGTTTGCCGAGGTCAAGAGTGCGAATGATCGGTTGAGTGATACCCAACGGCTATGGATTCATGTTCTGACTGGTGCTGGAGTAAGGGTCGCCTTGGTGAATGCCGTAGCGGGTCATGTTAAGGAGGTTGATTGAATCGTGATTGGATGTACACATTGCAAGAATCATACCAAGAATAGGTCCAAAAAATATAAGGAACAGAATCCTTTGCATGAGAATCTTCTAATCGGAGGCACGGGGTCAAGAGAGTGTGTGCCGTGGTAAGTGAGTGGCATGAAGGAAGGGCCCCGCTTGAGTTAGGATGAACCACACCTGCAAACCTCATGGACTGACAATTTCATCAAAGGTTAGTCTTAGAAGGATTATTGTGGCCAGTCTAGATACTTTGACTGAGATGACATTGTCTTAGTGTCGCTGGCTTCTCCAGGAGCTCGGCGCACGGAGGTTCACCACCACATCAGATGAAACGGGCCGGTGAAACATCATGGCTCAACACCAACGTCCCGGGGAAATCTCAGGAACTCTTCAATATGGGAGAACTCACCTTTCACTCTCACAAATTCAAGACTCTTAGTTCCAAAGCACCGCGCATGAAGCTTGCTCATTTACGTTGTCACTTGGCTTAAGACACAGGCTGCAAAGGTTCACGATGAGAACATCCGCCAGCATTCTACTTCTGTTGCCATGGGCGGTGTCAACACATGCAAATGATGCATCGCAACTCCCATCACAGCACCTGCGCAGCTTAGAGATATGCGCTGTCAGCCCCTTAGTTCCAGCTCAAAGTTATTTACAAGACGCACGATGGCAGTGCTCTCGCAACACAGCAGACAATACAACTACACAATCTTCATCTAAGCCTGACGTGCCCCATGAGGAGGAAGACACTTCAGGAGGATGGACAGGACCACACACCTGCGCTGGAGATTACTGCGTCTACGCACATCAGGCCTTCGCCGCCGGCCGGGGCATAGCACTGATAACCACGCCGGAATCCGCACAAGCCCTAGCCAACTTGCCAGTCTTCTCCGAGCTGGCAAGCCCAGCCGCGGCTGCATCTTTCGTCGAGTCCGCAAACATCAACGTCCGCAGCCCGGCAACCGAGGTGCGGTATATCCCGGGTAAAGGCAGAGGTTTTGCGGCAGCGCAGGCCATCCACCGAGGAACACAGGTCATGGCGTACACGCCCGCTCTGATCCTCCACCGGAACCTGGTCGATGATCTGGGACGAGCAGACCAGCTCCGGCTCCTGCGCGACGCCGTGAGCCACCTCCCCGCAGCGACGACACGCGCCGCGTTCTGGAAGCAGCTGGGCCAGACCCACGCGGAAGGCGACGACGACATCCTCGACATCGTCATGAACAACTCGTTCAACCTGCCCCTCCTCCCGGGGACGGGACTGGGCCCGTTCATCGGCAACTTCCCCGAGGTGTCGATGTACAACCACGACTGCCGGCCCAACGTGGCGTTCCACCTGGACCACGGAATCATCCACCGCACCACGGCGGCCAGCAAGGGCGGCGTCCCGGCCGGCGAGGAGTTGAGCATCTCTTACGTGGACGGATTCCGAGTGCGTGACGTGCGGCAGGCGCGCACGCTGCGCAACTGGGGCTTTGCGTGCGCGTGCGCGCAGTGCAGCCTCCCCGGGGCGCTGGCCAACGCGAGCGATAACCGCTTGTGGCGGCTGTACGAGGTCGAGAATACGCTTCTGCTGAGCGCTGATAGCAAACCCAGTGCTCCGGGGGGGGATAAGAGGCAAGGTGGCGGGAAGAAGGAGGCTCGGGCGGCGTATGAGACCCACACCTTGGATGCAGTGTCGCTGTTGCTGTCTATCTATGAGCAAGAGAGGCTGCTTGAACCTCATGGTTCGTCGGCGTACAGGCTTGCGGTGTTGAATTACAACGCGTTCCGCAGGGCGGAGGGAGCGGTGAAGTATGCATTGCTGGCGTTGGAGCAATTCCTAGTTGAGGAGGGCGCGAATTCCGTGGGTGTGAGGGAGATGGTTGCATTGTTGGATGACCCTGAGGCGCATTGGAGCTGGGGCAAAAGAATTTAGCGAGAGTTTTAGGCACATCGCTATGGAGTAGTATAGCCGTACAATGAGTTCAGGTTCTTGTTTGGTTCAGAGGGTCTTTTAATAAACCGGGCAGCATAATCAATTTTACATGTCAGCGGTACGTAACAAACGAGTAGAAATGTTAGGCATGATTGCAGAGCTACTTAAGGAGTATTTCTGAGGATGCCTCTCAGAAATAGAGAGCAAGAGCTCCCACTCAAGGTTGATTTTATCTCACTCTTGATTTCAGGCATGAGAAGTCATTTGTGCTGTGTTCAGCAGGGAGCCACATAAATCTAAAATGGTTGTGTTGGAAGTGTCGGCGGTGAATTTCATATTCTGAAGACATGTCTTCTTACATGAGGCTATGTTCGGATCTTTAGGAGCGCAAATCTGCGCAGTAGCCCAACTCCATTGCATGTGTAAATGCTCACGTACTGTTCCTTCCAGAAAAGTTCAGCTATCAAGTCAAAGTGGTGTGTCCGAGGCTCGTTTTCGAAACACCCCAACATCGTGTATGAACCGGTGATGAGATCGAACGGATCATCCCGACGTCTGGACAATCGATGAGCGTGCAAATGTGATAAAGAGGCTGATGCGAGCCCAGTAATGGGGCCAAGTCTCTTGTTCTCAGACAATTCTGGGAGTCATGCTGTCCCAATATGAGACGAGGGAGCAATCAAGTGCCGAAGAGACAGTTGGATCACCTCGATCAACTAGCGCTTGGATCGACACCAGCGCCTCCAGATGGAAGACCAAGCCTTTCTGGTGAAGGAGAATCCATCTATCTCCAATGAAACCACCCCACCCAGACAGCTGCCATAGCAATGGCGTACGGGGCAACGGAACGAATCGCCTCGATCCACACTGCTTTCCGAATCTCCTTGTCACCCTGACGATGCGAGTCTCGGTCGTTGACGCGCGGAAACTCCTTTCCTTGAGGTATCTCTGTTCCAAGGAACTCGCACAGCGGGTCCCATCCGTCCCGACCGACGCGATACACTAGGAGCCTCTCCGGCGCCACATGGGCCTTGACGCGCTCCGAATGCTGACGATAAACATCGGGTGCTCGGTTGCGGAGTTCCTCCAGGGTGCGCGCACCACCAAAGAAACCACTTATTGTTTTCTGCATAGCGAAACCCGCCCGATTGCCGATGATGATGCCCACGCCCTTGAGGAAGAAGTCGACCCAAGGTCCGAAGAGCGGCTGCAGCACCTCGCTGTCGAAACTCGGAAACCACTTGTCAAAGTCGCGCTCGGTGAGGATGATCTTGGCGTCTGGGTATGCGTCAGCCAGCTGCAGAGCCCAAAAGCACGACAGGTCGGTGACCGCATCGTACACGCCAAAAAGCTCGTCCCAGTCTTTCCGGATGAACGGCTTGGGCGGTGGCGACTGGCCCTTTGCGTTGACTTCAGGCCAGGCTGCGATAGCGGCTTGTTCAAAGAAGACCCAATGCGATGGCTTGGTTCGGGAATCCAGGCCGTGGAATACGTGTTTGAAGCCAATCTCAGAAAGGGCCGCTGCGAGGCTGCTTGTGCCTGTACGCAGCATGCCAACGCAAAGGACCTTAGGAGGGCCAGCGTCGCGAGCTTTTTCTTCGGGTGTGGCCATGATGGCGAGGCGGCCAGGTAAGAGAGTGCTCATTCATCTTAAGCCCATGATGGGGTTTGCGCATAGTGCCTTAAATACGCTTGCCCAGCTTGAGCTCACAAGGGCCTGTTTTGGATAAGCTGGAGCCCATGATCAATGTCTGCCCGTATGCTGGTGCATCCTGCGTCAGCACTAAGCGCCAAAAACGGGCAAGACATCACGTACAAGAGCGCCAAGTTCGTCTAAAAGAGAGCTCGTCTGCCCTGGCGAACGTGGAGACGGCTCCTAGCAAGGGCCAACCCGGCAGCTGTCACCTCGACACCGACTCGCTGAAGCCTGAACTGCACGACTTCTCAACTACAATTTTAGGGAACCTGTTGCAGACTGTTTCGAATGAGCAGCTCTCGGTACTTCTCTAGGCTCTTGCCGATAATGTTGATGAATGGCCACTGTGTGTTGCTCTTGAAGAAATGTGCCCAGATCTTGAGAACGGCTCGGCTGAGCGAAGCAGGGTCCCGCTCCGTCCGGATGTCAGGCTCTTCGTCTTCAAAGTCGACGACGTCGTATGCCTCTTCTACGATACATCGAACCCAATGTAGTATTCGGTCCTCGCTATCTGTAAACGCCTTGTTAGACAGCTACTCAACACCAACACCAACATTCTTAGGTTATGCATACCATTTAGCGGTGTTGCGGCCGTAGACTCGGTAAGCGATGAGAGCCACTTGCTGAGCAGCACGGCGCATTCAAGGCCCGAGAGAGAATGCCGGACACTCCAGAAGAATGCCTGGCTCCGAGCTACACGGTCAACACCAAGCCTGACTGGGATGCTGAGCATATGGGCGGTGTACAGGAGTGCAGTGATGACACCGCTGCTGCGTTCCACTGCAGGAGACCGACTAATTGCATTGGCAATGCGTATTGGATCTCGCGACTCGAGCATTCGATATGGGCCGAGGTGAAGGTAGATGCGGACGTAGGCTAGGCCGAGTAAGGAGCTGGAAGTGAAGGGAATGGGGCCGTTCTCGTTGTTGGGATCAAGACTTGATTCAGGGGCTTGTTGCCAACCCGCGGTCCATGAGCGCAGGCCGCGTCTGTTTCGCGATAATTAGCGTTGTCAATAACACCTTCAAATGCCAGATGTCAGCTGGACTCACTCAAGCTTATCGACTTCTTCAATTGGAAGTGATGCCGAATGGTCCATTACCGGCAAAGATAGGTCACGGACAATGTAGATCCTTTGCAACAGGCCATGCAAGAGTAAGTAGTTTCCCAGGGGGGTCGGAATCGGGTCGAGGGGCGCTGTACCATCCGTGTTTCGCAACAGGAGAGACAAAGCATCTTGGAACAAGAGCTGCTGTTTTCCAGTCTCACGTCGAGCGGCCTGCCACTGTTGTGCTGTTTGCGCCTTCCACTCCCCAGTCGAGCAAGGCAGTCGAAGGCCTACCTCGTTACTGCGCAGCACGGGATACACGTTGTATGCGATGCTGTGTGTGTGCATGAAGGAGAAAGCTATCAGCTTAGCTCGTCGCACCGACTCCTGTCGTACCCAGGCGTGCCAGGCGGTCTGCGTGGTGGTCTGGTCCGCAGGAAGCTGGGGCAGATCCTCTTCGTGGAGACCGATCTCACGCAGTACTTGCGCCAGAAGCGCCTGCAGGGCGAATGCCTCCTGCACAAGCCGGACGCTGGGTTCCCAGGTAGCGTAGCCCATGAGAGCAATCAGAGCTCGTACTGTCTCGATGGGCTCCCACCAACCCCAGTCTCGGTCCGGGACGGCTCTCGATTCGCGCTGTTGGGGCGATAGACTGTGAAGGTGGAGGAAAGATCCGGTCTTTGGGCCAAATTTGTCGGACTCGCGTGCTAGTCTCTGCATGAGAATAGCCTTTCCTGTGTGAAAGAGTCTCTCGGACATGCGGTGCTCGAAGCAGTACTGTGCGCCAATAGCTGCGATGCCCAGAACAACTTCAACAGAATGCTCAGATACCCGCCAGGTCGGCATGTGGATGAAGGGCATGTGAGAGTGAAAGCCTTCGAAAAAGGACGTCATGTACCGTGTGAGGGCATGGCGGGAAGGGAACCTAAAGGTGGGATCGAGGATATCGCGGAATGTCTCGATGATGGCGTTGAGACGAAATCGCTGCTCCTCCGAAATGCGGTACGGCTGGGAGTCACTGTCAACAGAGCGAGAGTCTCGTTTGGGTGTTAGTTGGGCTTTTAAATCATGTGGCACTGAGTAATGACCTACTTGCGTCGGGCAAGGTCTCTGATATGCGGTTGCCAGTCGGCGCTGAGGGTAGCCATGAGCTGAAGGGCGTCCCGGGTCGAGTTCTGCTGTGACGAGCCCCAGGCGTGGCGCTGCCTCCTCTCGAGTCCCTGATTGTCGGGTCAATGAGCTCGTTGTCTCTGTCAGGGCGATGAAAGTAAGGGCTCCATTCCGCTGGCAGACCGACGCCGTCAAGGAAGTTGGCAAATTCTCTGAAATGGGCGTCAAAGCCCACGGCATCTTGGTTGACTGCGTTGGGTCAGCTGTCTTGATAGCCATGAGGATGGAATTACGCTGAAGCAAGTGACGAACCGTTCTCGTAAAAGGACTCTGCCAGGAGACTCTGTTGGTACGGAGCTTCATCCACAAGAGTGCCGTTCCTTGACACCGCCATGGGATACAGCTCAGCCGGCGGTGCTGGTGGCTGCTGCGACCAGTGGTGCACACTCATGCCCGAGAGGGAGACGGCGGCGGCCAGGTCAGCCTCGACTGGGCCGGGATGTTGTTCCCCGGAGTCCGGCTCGGAGGGGCCGTCTGGAGACTCAGACCCATCCTCATGAAGGGCAATGCGCTGATGGCGAGTCAACAGGTCACGCCGGGCAAAGGCAGCTCCACACGGACAGATGAAGGGCTTCTCCTTAGTGTCTAACAGACGAACAGGTCCATGTTAGTGTCGATGTACGCAACCATACCACGAGGATCCGGTTATGGAGACTAGTTACAGTAGAGCTAGGAACCGGTGGGGAGACATCCAAGGGGGGTGAGAAATCGGGATGGGAGGACTGACGAGTTCGTACATGGCGCTCCAAGTGCTCGGTACGTTTGAATGCCCGACCACAATGAGGGCATGACCGCGCATCAGGGCCATTGCCGTGACCTGTCCGTCTCCTCCGCTTGACTGGAGCCGAATTCGGCTGCGGCTGCGGCTGCGACTGCGGCTGCAATCGTCCGCTTCTCGAAATACTGCTGCCGTTGTGGGACAACATGCTGCTGATCCACTTTGCCCTGCAGATCGCGTAAACACCTCCGTTATTGGAGGTGTTGAACGAGAACCGGGGAAGTTGGAGAGACAACCAAGTTGGGGGGCACCCCTTGGCTTTTGTTGGAGGCGATTGGGAATACTTGTGGGCCTTCTTTTCCCGAAGATAACCAACCCCAAGTTGCACCTATCTAATCTTTGGAGACGGAGCTCATGCACGAATCGCGCCCCTCATCTCCACAACACTCCGGCTTATCTCCTCCCAGAAGGGGAATTTACGAAGTTTTGGGTCGTCATCACTAAGCACTGAGGTGAGTTGCTGAATATCTTTTTTCTTACTCCGAGACCGTAGTCCGCGTGTATTGTCTGCTTCTCCGCGGTATCGACCAGTCTGCCGCAGTCGTCTTCTTGGTACTAGAAATGCGACGGCCCATGGGACGGGTTGTATTGGACTCATGCTGCGTCGGAGTACTATTGGTTTAGATTTATGCTAATTGATATCACTCAAGAGGGAAACTACCTGGACCAATTTCAGAGAACGCCAAACCTCACATATTATAATAGCAACGGCAATTTCAGTCTCAGTCACAAATCAAATCGGCATGTTCAAGTTTCCAGGGGTTGCTTTCATAACCGGCGCTGGTGGGACGGGTACGTTACTGGGAACTCCAAGCCCTCGCCCGGACGACTTCTGACTATGCACCACTCAGGCATCGGGGCAGCTGTTGCCAGAGGGTTTGCCCGATCAGGGTGTTGGAGAATCGCTATCACAGACCTCAACAGAAAGTCACTAGCAGATACAAGAGATGCCATCCTTCAGATTGACCCGAAAGCTCAGATCGTGAGCCGGGAAGGGGACATCGCGGACGAGGGCTTCGTCAACTCGTTCGTACGAGATGTCGCCAAAAGGTTCTCACGCATCGACTATGCTGTGAGCTGTGCCGGGATTCTAGGCCAATCATTACGGTCGCATGAGACATCAACGGCTGCGTTTGATCTCATTACAAATGTGAACTACAAAGGCAGCTGGCTGGCTTCCCGGGCAGTATTGAGCCACATGCTACGACAGAAACCACACGAAGATCATCCCGGGCAGCGTGGAGCCATCGTAAACATCGCGAGCCAGCTCGGCGTCGTGGCACGACCAGCAGCCGGTGAGTCATACGAGCCATCTTTACTCGCGACGTCCAATCCTGAAATGCTTACATTTGCTTTGTTCCTCAGCCCCCTACTGCGCATCGAAGGCTGCAATCATCAACATGACTCGGTCAGATGCTATTGATTACTCACAGGACGGGATCAGGGTGAACTGCGTCTGTCCAGGTGTCATCGCAACACCGATGACCACGGCATCGGAAGAGCTGATCCAGAGATTGAGGCCAGCGATTGACATTGCACCGATGAAGCGAATGGGTACACCCGAAGAAGTGGCCAACGTAGTGCTGTTCTTATGCTCAAGTCAAGCCTCGTTTGTTCAGGGCCATGCATTAGTGGTGGATGGAGGATATACGATCAACTAAGAAACTTAGGATAGTGATGATATATTAAGATTTCACGCTCCAAGAGACGTTCCGTGTCTTTCTCACAAGTTAGGAGTAAGTTAATAGGCTCAAGCAATCTTTCTGGGCAGGACACGCTCCAAATTTAAGAGAGATCCTAACACCCAACGTGTGAAGAGTAGACAAAAGGAAAGCAGGGCTATACATTCAGGACTTGAGTCCTGTTCCTTATTAATCACACAGTGCATACTTGGCTGGTCAGAAGGGCAAGTAGCTTCTGTTGATGTGGCTGTCTCGATGAAGCAGGTTTTCGGCAGGAGCAAAGTGTTATATAGTTTGGAAAGTATTTGATGTTTAAATTCACGCTATGTGCTAATGTCGTGTGATGGGACGGCTCAGGCAGAAAGCTTCACCCGTTTCAGACTCGGTGAAGTCGCGCCATTAAGCTCATGCATTGTTCTACTGTTCAATTTGACGGCCGTTACTGATTCAGGAGCAGGTTGATTCGCTCGCTCAGCCGGCTTGAAGTTCCGCCAGTCAAAGTTGGTCTCCCATGCATGCCCAATTTTAAGTACCTTCTTTTCCTGCCAAAGACCTCCCACAATCTGCATACCAACTGGGAGCTGGACTTGCGGGTCGTCATTTGCAGGGATAAATCCCACAGGGATCGACATTGCAGGATGCCCAGTCACGTTGAAGACGGCGGTGTTTGTCGTCAAGCCTATGGTAGGCTCGAATGAAGCAAGAACAGATTCGCGAGTACCGTGACGTGGTGCCACAAACGGCGTCGTAGGCATTATAACAACGTCGTAGCTTTCGAAAACACGTTGATATGCGTCGCTGATCTGTCGAGCAATATTCACCGTCTTGCTATAGAGGCCAGGAAACCTATCGGACAAGTACAGACCGTTGATTACCGTGTTCTTAGTCGAGGGGAAAAGTCTCTGGAAACTTGAGTCTGTCCAAGGAAGCCGGGTCTTTTCAAACTCAGTCAATCCGAGACCTCTTCGTCCGGAGGCTCTGCCCAGGATGCCCGATGAGCCCGAGATACGCTGCTGAATTGTCCAAATCGAAGGCCCTTCCAAGTGAAGAGGAACGGAGACCTCCTCGATGACTGCTCCAAATGATTCGAGTTCCCGGGCTGCTGCAAGAACATGGTCTCTCACTCTGGGGTCGACGATCTCCTGGTTGAAGCCTTCTTTGAGAAGACCGATCTTCATTCCGTCCAATCGGCCAGAGTTTAACTGAAGGGCAGCAGAGTAGCCGAACGAATCGTGGTCAGCAGCGCCGAGAGACCTGTCGTCGATGCCGTCATAGCCTGCCATCACATCAAGACATCGGGCAGCCTCAGAGACGGACCGACATATAGGACCAGCATGATCGTCGATTGCATCCCCACTCGTGATACCGGTAAACGGCACCAGACCGTGAGTCGGCTTTACTCCGACACAACCACAGAAGGAAGCAGGGACGCGGATACTGCCCCCTTGATCTGTGCCAAGTGCGATATCAATCAGGCCAGATCCCACAAGAGCTGCACCACCGGAAGTGCTACCGCCCGTTGAATAGCCTTCTTTGTAAGGGTTCTCTATGGTTCCCTGGGCGCTCGTGAAAGATGCTGTCGAGTTACAGAAGTGCTCACATGTTGCCGTGCCCAGGATGTCGGCGCCGGCATCCAAGACTCGTGTCACCACAGTCGCATCTGTCGAAGGTGTCCATGGGGGGAAGGCATCACTGCCATAGAACTGTGGAACTCCAGCGACAGCGATGCAATCTTTTATGCAGACCGTCTTTCCCTTCAGAGAGGCCAAAGAGGAATCTCTTGCAGAGTCGTCGCCCCGGATCAGGAACCGGTATGCCCAGGCATGGCCAAATTTTTGCTCTTCGGCCGTGGGGATACGCACGTTCTCGCGGGGGTATCTTTTCGTGTCGGGTACTGGCTGATAGTCCGGGAGGCTGTCGATGCGAGTCGCGCAGTCGTGGACCGCAGCGAGAAGTCGTTGGTAATCCGCCGACTCTTCAGCCTTGATAGTCAGGCCGAGGGGCTGGAGCAACTTCTCGACGTCGCCCTGCTGCACCGGGTTGTCTCTGGATGACGGAGGTTAGCTACGTACTGCGATGATAGCGAGAAGTTTCTGCGCACTCGGAAATGTCTTTGAAGAAGACGGACATGGCGGGCAACGGGTTGGAGTATCCCTACAGAGTACAGACTTGTCGTACTGCTCTGTCTAATGGTTTTTGGACAAATAGACTCAGCCAGCGGCAGCTTCATAAGGGCTTGGAGTTATGATCCATGCTGTTTTAGCGAATAAAGGACATTTCCCGATGACAAACAAATTGAGGTCGACATTAGGAGGTTTGACTACATGCATGTTGTCCCCACAACTTGCTAATGTACCCCATCACTGGTGTTGTTGGAGTTGGAGAAGTAGGAATGGGCCATGGGGTAAGCCAAGCCATGGGCAATGACTCGGCAAGCGTTGGAGGAATTGATTGTAAGCTGGAGAGTTCTCCCTTTCTATGTAACCTCTTATAGGGTTTGCATTGAAGTGTCAATATTACCACCCTGATTGCTTGGAGATCAAAGTATGTCAAGTGAGATCATCTGTCCATTACCCAGAATTCTCTTTTCATTGGGCAGTTTCTGGCGAAAGCCTCCGTTCGTCCGACGAAGGCCACGCTCACTTGTGAGGAAAAGACTTACTCAGAGGAACGTATGAGCAGCGGCAGACCCGTTGGCGCTCGATGGATGATGTTCCTTCAATGTGAAATTTTTGGTATTCATTCTCAGTCACTGCAAACATTTCAACTTGTCACCTGCACGACCAGTCTACCCTTGAACGTACTATCTTGATATGCTTCCACAATGCTAGGGATTCCATCGAATGGTACCAATGTGATGTGAGATCGGATGTCCGCCTCTCCCACAGCCTTCATCATCCTTTCCGTGGAATCCCTGCTTGCAACATAGCTTCCACGAATCGTGAGCTCTTTGAATACAACCACACTGGAGTCAAATCTCCATTGTTCGGCAGGCAAGCCCAAGACACCCATCACGCCCCCAGTCCGTAACAGAGTCAGTGCCCAGTTATTAGCTGGGAGGGAATCCGTGCATACCACCACAGCTGCGACACCCTCTCCGTTGGTGAAGTCCAAGATCTGGGAAGTGGCATTTTTTGCGCCTGAGTCAACGACAAGCGCAGGGCGTAAGCCGTCGTTGGCCATCTCAACAGCCAATTGCCTCCCCGCTGGCCGGCTGTCGACAGCAATCGTGCGAAATCCCATTGAACCCGCAAATTGCAAGCCTAAGGACCCTAGGCCGCCAATCCCGATAATGGCTACTGTCTCTCCTCGGCTTAGTCCAACTGTTGCCCTTTCTAAGGAGCCCCATACTGTTGCACCAGCACACATCAATGGAGCTGCTTGATCAAATGGCAGAGAGGGTGGGAGGCGAACTGTAGTCTCGGGGTCTATGACGAGGTATTCAGCAAAGGCTCCGTCGTGTTGGAAGCCTGCGGTCTCTCGATTGTCACAGAACCTTGGGTCCAGCCGGTTACTTGTCCGCTTTGCCAGGCCACAACCAGTACAGTTGTCACATGAGTTCTTGAAGTTCAGAGCTCCGACCCTATCTCCCACCCTCCAGTCGCTGCTGCAACCTGCTCCGATCTGAACAATGACGCCAGCAGGTTCGTGAGATGGTATCATTCCCAAGGGTGACTTGAATTGCCCTTGCAGCACCTGCAGGTCTGAGTGACAGAACCCGGCTGCGTGCACTCTGATGAGCATCTCGTTGTCACGAATTGCTGGAACATCTCTCTCGACTAGCTTGTATGGCTTATTGTACTGTGTCGAGTTCAGCGATTTGCTAACTGAGATGACTGAGACAATGGACTTACTGACTTCTGAAATTTCAGCTGCTCGCATGCGACGAGGAATCTCTAAGTCCGGCATTTTGTTCATGAAACGCACATGCAAGAATGACAGCAAAAATAACCAGTGCTTACTCTTGTTTACTCGTGCTTGGACTGGACAGCTGGATTCATGCAATGTCAAGGCTCAATGGAGTCACAGTGAAGATATCACACCCACACAAGTGAAGGGCCGAAAGTTGGAGATATTTGTTATCTCGAAAATGGAGTACAGCCGCTCAGTGTACTCCAACTTGAGGAACAAAGCCGCTGTCGTTGACTCCAATTCTGCTCATGACCCCAATCAATTATTCACGCCAAGCGTTGAATCTCCAACTTGCTATTCTGGTCGATGACCCAGTTGTACCGAACTGTCCAGCACCCACCTATCTATCTCGGACTATTTACCCCGCGATAAGCTAAAGTTGATGTCGTTTTGTTCGCCAATCTCTAAGGTTGAGCCGAATAACCTCTCCTCCTTTTTTAGTTTTTGAACCCTTATCATCCCTTGAGCCCCGCACAGCCTCAGGATACCAAGGACCGTCAGCCCATTTCAAGGGAAAACGCGCTCAAGCTTGCAAATCACCAATCCATATTTGAAGAGGAAAGCTAATCCGCCACTATGGGCAAGAAGCGTGTTCTCGTCAGTTACGGTGTCGATGTAGACGCGGTGGCTGGTTGGCTGGGCTCTTATGGGGGAGAGGATTCCTCCAACGACATTAGCAGAGGTAAGACTCGAATGCAAGCTGCTTCCCTTCTTTCGCGCCAAGAAACAGCTAACGAAGGTCTCTTCGCCAGGCTACTTTGCGGGAACGATTGGCGTCCAACGCGTCCTCAAGTTTCTAGCAAAATACGATGTCAAGGCCACATGGTTCATTCCAGGTCACAGCCTCGAAACGTTTCCCGAAGATATGGCTGCTGTAAGAGACGCTGGGCACGAGATCGGACTCCATGGCTACTCCCACGAGAACCCCACCGATATGACCATCGAGCAGCAAAGGGAAATACTGGACAAGACATATCACATGCTCACAGAGTTTGCAGGGAAACCCCCGAGAGGCAGCGTTGCGCCATGGTGGGAAACCAGCAAGGAGGGTGCTCAGCTTCTACTAGACTACGGCATTGAGTACGACCACAGCATGAGCCATCACGATTGCCAACCGTATTATCTTCGGACGGGCGACGAATGGACTAAGATCGACTACAAGAAGAAGCCGAGCGACTGGATGAAGCCTCTCGTCAGGGGGCAGGAGACTGGCCTCGTCGAGATTCCAGCAAACTGGTACCTCGATGACTTGCCGCCTATGATGTTTATCAAGGACGCGCCAAACAGTCATGGCTTCGTTAATGCACGGGATGTTGAGGACATTTGGCGCGACCACTTTGACTACTTCTATCGCGAGTATGACGAGTTCATTTTCCCAATCACTATCCACCCGGATGTATCTGGCCGGCCGCACGCGCTACTGATGCACGAGAGACTCATTGAACACTTCAAAAAGCATGAGGGTGTCGAGTTTGTCACTATGGAGCAAATCTGCGATGAGTTCAAGGGGAAGAATGCACCACCACAAGGAGCCATTATGCCAGCAGAACCAGGGGCTATGCTCAAGAAAACGTAAAACCTATATAACACACAATGATATTGTCAATGTGCGAATGTGCAATTGGTCTCATTAAGGCTGACCCACCTCGATATCTATAACGTGGTTGCCCAATGTCTGAGTGGTGATTTCATCCCTCAGATCTTCGCACGCACGCCTCTGTCATCGTGTATCAGAATATTCTGACTTGCACGTTCTGGATTGTGACAAGTCACCTGTCAAACATGCTCATCGTGGTATCATGCTAGGCCTCAAAGCCTATCTTCGTCACATTTGGCTCCGAGTCTCTACCCCGCGCGTATCGTCAATGACGCTCAAACAGTGCACGGAGGTCGGCCCTCGGGGTATAGATATGTCCCACAAGCAAAAAAGAATGGGGTATCTCATGGACCACAAACGCCATTGGCAGTGACCGCGAAAACTACTCCAATATCACTCTGTATCTACTCCAACATAACATTATCTACCTACTCCAACCTTATCAAACCTTGACAATGAGCACACAAGACTCCACATACTCACGTCAAAACCCTGAGCGCGCATTTGACTTCGAGTCCTGTGGTGCATGGACGACCCACAATCTTGGAGCGGGCATCTGGAGTTGCTCGCGGGGTTGGATGGCTTTCCATGTCGACGGCTATCTTGCTCGGACAGTCCTTGTCCCTGCAAGATAAGCCACGTGAGACTTTCTTGTTCATCTTTGCCCTTTACAAGACGTATCACAGTAAGCTCCAAATACACCCGAATGTCAGATTTCCTATAAATGATTCAATGTGATGCATCCACTTTGCTTGACAGGTCTTTGTCGACACATTCGCAGAGTAATTCACTAATACAAAGACCGCCGTCATGTCTCAATCCCCCTCCGAAAAGGCCGACGCCATCACGCCGGTCCCGGCCAGGAGCAGCGGGAGCATCGACGCCGGAAAGCTCGAGAACGCCGAGGATGCCTTTGAAGTCTTCAAGAGAGGCGAGGGCACAGTAGACTTCCGAACGGTCGGCTGGGTCCACGCATCGGTCATCTTTCTCAAGGGTGAGATTTCAACGACGGACTGATTTTCCCCTTTCCCAATGCGGTGCTAATTGTTCGAAATTGAAGTCATCTTTGCTACCGGTGTCCTTTCGATCCCTTCAGCCATGTACGTTCTCGGTGCGCTGCCCGGTGCCATCAACGTGCTAGGCTGGCAATTCCTCAACACATATTGCGCAATAATCCAAGGGAACTTCCGCAATGCTCATGCTGGTTGCCATTCCATCGCCGACATGGCTAATGTCGTGGGTGGTGTTTGGCTAAAAGAAGTTGTGGGCGTTTTGTTCCTCGTTACCTACGCTATCGTCGGCGCATCAGGTATTTTTGGTACATCCGTCGCGTTCAACGCCCTGTCCAGTCATGCCATCTGCACCAACTACTTCATGTTGGTTGCAACCGTGGCAGTCTTCATCCTTGCTAGTGCTCGCAAGTTCGAGAAAATTGCATGGTTGACATGGGCCGGCTTCCTGTCGGTATATGTTGCCGTGTTTATTGTCGTGTACGTACTGTGCCCAAGGCTGCAATTAATGGAACACTGCTGACCATTCTTCAAACTACAGAGTGGGTGTTACGCAAGTCGATCGACCTGCTGCTGCACCCAAGACAGGCGACTTCGACCTTGGATACCATGTCATCGGCAACCCGAACTTCGTCACTGGCATCACCTCCGTGGCTACCATCTTCTGCTCAGGAGCTGGCACTTCAGCGTTCCTTCCCGTCATCTCTGAGATGAAGCGACCCAGAGACTACAATAAGGCCGTCTACCTTTGTATGGGAGTCGTCACGGCTTCTTACTTGACCTTCTCCTTGGTCGTCTACCGCTACTGTGGTCAATGGGTTGCCTCGCCGTCCCTCGGTAGCGCCGGCGAAACTGTTAAGAAGGTTGCCTATGGCATCGGCGTGACCGGTCTCATGGTCAGCGCATGCCTCTATATCCACGTCGCTGCCAAGTACATCTTTGTTCGAATCCTCCGCGACTCCGTTCATCTCCAGAAGAACTCAGTCGTTCATTGGTCCATATGGCTCGCATGTACCTTTAGCATGTCTGTCGTCTCTTTCCTTCTAGCCTCTGGTATTCCCATCTTTAACTACCTGCTGGCTCTCGCAGGCAGCTTGACTTTTGCTCCTCTGGCACTGGGCCTGCCAGGATACCTGTGGGTATACGATCACCAGCACTACCGACAAGGGAACCGGTGGCAAGCTATGGTCTACTGGCTGAATTGGCTTATGATTATTCTTGCCGTCTTCTTGACCATCGGTGGCACATATGGTGTCATACAGAACATTATAGACGCTTATGCACAAGGTTTGATTGGCGGCGCGTTCTCTTGTGCAGACAATAGTGGTTCGTCCTAGACATAGATACAGCCTGAAAATGTGTCATTTGGTAGAGCGATTTTATGATGGGCTTGCGTGATTGTTTTTGAGTTTGATTATGTTGAGACAAAGATAGTTGAATAAGATACCAAAGGTGTGTAAGAATTGACATTATTCCTTTTAATTTCCCCACGAGACCAGTTGCACGGGTTGCAGGCTATCTGTTGGCTGAGATCTTCATATGTTCATTGATTGCTTTTCAAGACTAGGTAACCTCGCTAAGATGAATCGCAATTTCAGAGACCTTTTCGAATTGGAACAAAGACATAAAACTATAAAAACGTATGGAGTCCCTTCTCGGAGGTTGGCGTATCAACGTGAGAGATCAGAAACATTAAGCCTAGACATATACAGCACAATTAAGGTCATTACCCAGGTCCATCACATCCGAAATCGTGACATTCAATTCAAGACCCGCAAGCCAAACCACATGTCCTAAAGTGGTGATGTTCCCGCCGTTATCCCCTGAATAATCCAGAAACTCTGGGCCGGGTGCCGGCAACGAAAATCTCGTCCGAAAGGTTTCCGTGGGCTGATTTCGAAGAGGTCCGATGGCATTTGTTCTCGTATCCGGGTCAACCTGCTGCCAGTCCCACCACAGTCGGTCGAGGTTGGTGTGGTGAAGGAAGAAAAGAGGATCCCCGATTGAAGCGGCGACATTGGCCATCGTCCCGCCGACGCCGCCGTGGCCGCTTGTGTGCGGATTGCCGAAGTAGCAGTCGAGGGCGGCGATGCCGTCATCCATGGCAAAACACTTGTCAATATTCGTCTGGTTGCCAAGGAGGAAGGACGTGTCGTTGAAGTGGCGAGATACGCAGCGATCGTCAGCATAAAATTCTAGGCTGGTGAAATTGTAGCTAAGATGAATCGTCAGATTTGCGAATGGCCCGTCGTCGAGACACTGGCCACCCTGACCGCCGAAGCCTGTGACCGGGTCAAAGACGATGCTGGATGCCAGGTTTCCCATGTCGAGAGTTTCTTCCCAATATGGTTGGTATCCCGCGTAATTGCACTCGTCGCGGAGAATATTCTCGTGAGCCAGCACGAGGTATCGATGCCAAGGGAGGAACCCACCGACATCGTGGATCCATTGGGTTTGAACCTCGTGGGCGATGGTGAATTCATCCCATCGGTTCTGGGCTAGTGGGTGTCCAGTCTTTGGTGGCAAATTCATCAAACAGAGTTCTGCTTCGATATACGCCGCCTTCTCGTCAGCGCTAAGTTGATGCCATGCTTTGCGTTGATGAAGCTCAGTACAGGCCTGAGAGACGGTAGCATCGGTCTGTCGGGACAGAAGCGGGGTAGCAACTGTCAGAGAGGTCAAGCAGATCAATATGGCGGTGATGAAGGTTGCGGTTGCCATTTCAAAAGGGGATGAGGAAATGATGGTGTTCTCGAAACTTTTTGAGTGATGGGTGCTCGGACGTGGCAGCGTCCAAAGAGATAAGCCAGAACGAAACTGAGAAAGAACAAGGGCGAGTTGAAATGACTGAGTGATTGTTGGTGCCACGAGTGTTGAGGCAAGAATGGAAATGGATCAGCATGAAAGATACGCCGCTTATTTATATGTACAAATTGGTCCTTCTGAACTGAATATTTCGCGGCGGCCGTCCTTCAGAGAACAAAGACATAATGATGCTCCTTTAAAGCCTTGGACATTACATTGCTACCGAGGGATCCCGGGCTGCCCGCTGCGCAGAGGCCCATACTGATTCCAGTGGGCCATCGTATTTCGGGCTGATTGTATTGTGCGAGTGTGATGACACCTGCAGTTGCTGTTACCTTATACTAAAACTTGGGCGCCGCGGGCTGTCATTGCAACGTTGGTCAGACAAACGACGTCTAAAGAAACTCTGTGGTGGAAAGGCGCATTGGCATGTAAGCGGTGAAGGGGGAAGTCTCATGGTTTCATAGCCCTGGATGTGATGACGACTGACTAATTTGCTGACTGCTTTTTCACCTTGGATAGTTGGGTAGTTCTTACGGCCCGGAGAATCGCTACATGTGATATGATTTTCACCAGATGCAGCATTTGCGGTGGATCTCGGTAATCGGGTAATCCCTCGAGATACCAGACAACAACAACAGAGCTCCTTTCTGATGGCAAATACCTTTCAGAGTCAATTGCTTCTGGTGCTGAAACTTCGGAACATCCGCGCTTCGAGTCGAAAACTCCCATTGAACCGCGTCTACTATGATGTAGAGAAATGAAATGTAATTCACAGGGGATGAGTACGGTTTGAGGGTGGTCGGCTCTCGGTTCTTCATCCCATGTCTGTCAAGGTTCATAGACCATCGATAGAGTTCAATAATTCGGGAGGCTCCCTCCACAAGCTTCCGGGTATCCCCAGTTCTGTTGTGCCATACAAATAAAGTTCAACAACCCGGGACACTCCCGCACGCTCCCGCACATCCACATGATCCTCCGTTGCACTAGTATATTTAAAGGATCCTGGCTGCAGGGTGCTGCCGTAGCAAGCCACTTTAATCACGAACCTAGTGTTTGCATGCTTCACCGGGTACAAGCGGAGGGTGTAGGTCTTTCAGGCTTTGGCAAGAAAGCAAATGCTCCCTTGGCTCCGGATTTGATGCAGGAAAGAAGTCCACCCCGCTGCATAGGATCACTTGAACTGGATGCACTTTCCAGGGTTGGGACGGTCCAATGCACTTCAAGACAGTTGGCCAAGAGACACAAGCATCAGATCTTGAAGATTAACTTTTCCGCCCCTTCGGTGTTTTGACGCTGCATGTAATGATAGAGAAGGTCTGAATACTTTTGCCAGCAAGTGAAAAGTCACAATTGATTGCAAGATCTAGGTGTTATGGATGTGGCGCGGAGTAATGGGCTACTTCATGCAAACTGCTGAAGTACTCTGCGGCGCGGCTGACAAAAAAGATTTTGATGTGACACATTGCGTGAAGTATGCTCTGCTCAAAGTAAGGAGTTCGAATTGCAAGTTGTTGACACTTCATCGAATTGAAATGGCGAGAACGCAAGGTCCATATATGGGGACTATTCCACTGCATTTAATTCTTTACTACTCCAACTCTGGCCCGCAGGGTCAGCAAGCTGCTACGTAGTGTGTGAGCGTTTGAGTACCTCTGGCCCGCAAGCCGTTGCCTGGTGACTGTCAAGGCCCAATCCTGGAATATATTCCGTTGTTTCATAGTGATATAACATGAGCTGTTTGTCACTTTAGACACTTGGAAGTCCTATTTCTATGCATGGGCTTTATGACTCAGTGAAGACGGCCGTGTATGATGCAGCAGCGGGGTTTGAATTGGATCACGCGTCAACATGAGCCTCGTTCCGGTCGCTTGAGTTCTGCCAGCTACGCAACATTAGGCCCTCTTCTTGCGAACCTCTCGAGAATGTTGGCAGCTTCATACAAACAGTCTTTCCGGGCGTGTTGCGTCATGCTTCGCTCTCACGAAAGACAATCAAGCCGCCAGCTTTCTCACAGAAACTCTGTATCGATTCTCCTATACGTACGGCGGTCAGTCAGTCGCACAAGCTTTTGTTGTGCACAACACAGACCTACAAATACTTATATGGTATGATATTGGGGCCGCACTGACAAAAGGCAGTACGTGCGGAATGTTGGGTTATTGCGATGGAACGGCCGGGACCCAGAAGCCATGGCTCAATCGCGAAGAACCATCGACTACCTAGGTTTTTCTTCAACGGGGAGTGCTTCGGAGACGCAAGGCTTCTTAAAACCGGAAAAGAACCTGGGACATTACTGTCCCTAGGCAAAACTATTTCCTAGCGACCCCCGACCAGGAGGAAGAGGGCTTGGGTGGTGATTTTGGATGATTGTCTGCATGTTAGGTGGTCTAATTAGATTGTAATAGATCCCATGTCCTTGGTAGAATAGACATCAGAATTAAAGAAACATAGTATGAAAAGGCTCTAGCATAATTGAGCGACGTCTTCCCGACCACAGTATACACGCCATCCCTAGCGATATCTACACGTCGAAGCGATTACAAGCCTGAATCCCCGAGGTTCCAGACTTGAGGGACCTCCTGCGCTACCGAATCGCCAGCAAGCTTGTGATGATTCTCTGCTGTTTCAACCATGCTGCCACATCATGTTCGTTGTACCAAGTTGGGCGTGTTTATCGAGCTCCGCCATCTCCGCCTCACTCAGTACCCACTCATCACTGGAAGCCCTTGCATTCTCTTCAGCTTGCTTCGCATTCTTAACCCCGCCGAGAGGGATTGCCCCCTTCTGAATCACCCACTTCAACGCCACTGCACTGGACTTGACATTGTGAGCCTCAGCAGTCTTGCGCAGGGTGTCCAGGAGCGGCGCGAGCTGCTCCATGGGGAAGTTGCCGAACTTCCTCCCAGACGGTGGAGGATTCTCCTTGGAGTACTTCCCAGTCAGGCGGCCCATCCCAAGTGGACTGTACGCCATTAGCACGATACCGCGCTTCTTGCACTCTTCCAACAGGCCGCTCTTCTCGGGCAGCGTGCGCAGCAGTGAGAACTCGACTTGGTTGCTGGCCAGCCTCAGGCCCCTCTTTTTCAGCGCCTCGTCGATGGTGATCATCTCGTCTTTGCTATAGTTGCTCACGCCCACAGACCGGGTGAGGCCCAACTCCACGCACTTTGCCAGACCGCCAGCCATGCTGTCGATTGAGTTGACGAAGTGCGTTGGTCCGTGGACCTGGTAGAGTTCCATCTTTTCCAAGCCCAGCCTCTCCAAGCTCGCCTTGCAGTATTTCACCATCCCACCTGGCAGGAACAAACGAGTCGGTGGCCACGGAATTGGGAGGAACTTGCTGGCGATCACGAGCCTAGACCTGAACTCGTCGGTGGTGAGCTTTGAGTCTTGGCGCAGCTTGGAGATGATCCGTTCCGACTCGCCTTGGCCGTAGACCTCAGCCGTGTCGAGGAAGAACAGGTTTGTGTTGCTCATGCAAGTCCATGCCCCCTCGAGATCCGCCACTGCATCCTTCGAAGCGTTTTTCCATGTCCAAGAGTCTCCCCATGACCAGGTGCCGATGCACAGATTAGGAACAGGGATGGTGCCAGCAGACTCTTTCGCGCATTTGAGTGCGAAACGATTAGCCATGGCTGTAGTCCAGTATCAATATAGGAATAAGTGACGCGCAAGGCCAGAAAAAGAAATTACGCGATGAAAGAAGAAAGATACTGGCACTCACAAGTGGGCACTGTTTATCAACCCTGGTCTACGACGTTATGACGCGCTGAAACAGTAGCCGTCGGGGCCACCGGGACAGATCAAGATCCGCGAGCAAGCGAAAACCCGAATACGATTGGATGAACTAGTGGGACTACGGTTCGAGAGCTAAACTCAAAGTTTGAGAATATGGACATCCCATAATCACCTAGTCGACTTGTGCGCGCAAAATTGCATGTGAAGCAATGTCTCACCAGCAAATTTATACTCGTACCTGTGAATATGTAATCCTTCATGACCCAGACGTCGAATGTTTTCAATCCATACTCATAGGACAGTCGAGGGCGAAAACCTCTACGTGTTCACCCCAGATTGCCTTCTGTGACTTGAGACAAGCGGATCAGCCGGATGAAAACACTTTGAAATTTGTCTGTCTGTTGGGCTGACCACCAAGGCGGTAATCAGTCAGATGCATAAGTCGAAAGCCCTAAAAGATACGTTGATTGGAGATCTACACACACCATTCCACCACGCCCCCAACCCTCCTTCCGGCCCCCCTCCGCGCCCTTCTGTCCTTCTAATATCGCCCTAACATTCCTTTGCTCATTCTACTGGCACCAACTTCCTCTCCGTGAGTTTGACTTGCAACGGGCTTTTCTCCCAAACGATGATGACTCTGCTCTTGTCGAACCAATCCTCCTGGCCAGGCGCAAGCTCATAATCAAAGCGATACAGGAATCGCGCAACAACGACCCTCAGTTCCGAATACGCCAAGTTCTTGCCCAGGCAATCTCTCGTCCCGAAACTGAAGGGGTCTTTTGCAGTGAGTTAGTGCCAGAAGATGAGGCGGAGCATAGGGGACAGCACTTACGGAAAGACGCCCTGTTGTCGTTAGCAAAGGCCGGGTTGTACAGCTCATGGCTTGCAGGGAGCCATCGCTCGGGTCGCATGGTGTCTGGGTCGAAGAAGTTATTGGGGTTCCGGTAGGTTGCGAACTGGAAAATCGTGGTAAGGGTCTGCATGGTGCATTGCAAGGTCAGTAGCTGGAGCATTTGGCAACACAGACGGGACACCAGGCGGTGTATGGAGGGACTATGCGACTTACCCCCTTGGGAATGTGCTCCCCCTCAAGTTCCGCACCTGGGCTGATCCGTGGTGGTGTCTGGGCAGCAGGCGGGTACATCCTGAGTGTCTCCTCGATTGTAGCCATCAGGTACGGCAAGCGGGCGGTTGACTTCATGTCGATCTCGGACTCGCTCGAGAAAGCGCCACGGATCTCGCTGACAAGAGTGTTGTATACATGCCGGTACTTTGGCAGCCCAAGGTGAAAAGTCAAGCCCGCTAGGGTCGTGGCCGTTGTCTCGCTGCCGGCCGTCACGAGCGTGGGCGAGTTCGTGATGATGTCAAGGTCGTCGAAGCCCGGTTGGCCGTCCCGGGTTTTCCTGAGCATGTACGTCATGAAGTCCCGGCGGCCCCCGGGGCTCTCACCCTGAGCCTTGCGCGCCATGGCCTTCTCGGAAGCAAGGGTCCGGTTTTCACGCTCCTTCTTGAGATTCGTGGCCGATGAGCCGAAGAGTTTGAAAAACGGGCGCATAAAGGGGTACTGCTGAGTGACGCGGTTGAGACCGCCACCGAGGATAGCCTTGAAGATGCCCAGGACCCAGGGATGGTACTCGCCGTCATCGAGGCTGTGGAAGCTGTCCGCGAAGGTGAGGTCGCCGATGATGTCGAAGGTCGTGAAGTTGAACCACGGCACGATGTCGAAGGTCTCTCCCTTTGCGGCCTTCTCGCCAAAGCGCGTGAGCAGGAGGTCGATGTACTTCTGTACAATGGGCTCCTGCTCGTACATGCTCTCGTTGCTAAAGGCGTGGTTGAGCTGACGCCGCAGGCGCTTGTGGTTGTCGTGGTTTCCGCCGATCAGGCTCATCTCGTCACCCGGAAAGTAGAAACCGCGCTTCTTGGGCCACTCGACCTTGCCGGGGCGGTGCTGGAAGATCTGGGGCCACCCAATGGACCCGTCTACCGCAAGGTGGTCCGGCGCAACGCGCACGATGGGGCCATACTTTTTATGCAGGTCGTTGCTTTCTCGTGTAAAGGTTCCTGACACGTTGATCCCCCATGTGAAGGGCAGGTTGGTTGCCGCGTAGAGCTTGGGCCCAGGGTACTTGGCCAAGGGATGGAGGAAAAGGCGGTAGACGACGATAGCGAGGCGCCAAACGACGAGAAGCTGAGATTGGGTTTGGGAGTGAGCTACGAAGTTGCCATGTGCAGTGAGCATATGTCGATGAGTCCGAGGTGACTTACAATGCCTATTCCCGCCCCTAGGGCCGCGAAGTTGTGGATTGGTATTACCCCATTGCCAACGTCGTTGGGCAGGATGGTGGTGAGCGATGGTGCCATTTGTTTCGTTGGAAAAGAGACGTCAGAACGTCTCAGCACGTTTCCTCTGGATAGAATGAAGATAGAAACATTGGGGTCAGAAGTGATGTTAGATTTGGGCGCCGTCGCCATCTCCTTTATATCCAACGGCAACCCCACCCTCTCAAAAGTCCCGCCGTCACTTCGTGACAAGCAGGAAAAGTGTCCGCTGAGATTTGACGTCGTCCTTGACGTATCGCCCATAGTGGGGACGGGGTTACAGCAGCCAGACCATCAGGGAGCGTGCTTGCTTGGGAGTCCCGGCGCCTTCAGCGGCCCCGAACAAGCGAGTACTACGGTGGGCCGTTCTTCTTGATCTTCCCTGCATGACATCGAATCCACACTCGCCTCGATCGTCTTCCCCTACCCTGAAGGCTTTGACAATATACAACAGCGGCCGCTGTTCGGCCGCCCTGCGGATTGTCCACCTCCACCTCTCTATCTCCCACTCTACACACACCGATTGTTGCAAGGCCCGAACCTTGGGAGTTAGGTTAAAGTGGTGTGGAGGAGGCGGTGGTGGTATCAAACACACTCTGCGTTACATTGACATGTGCTGGTGTATTACAAGGCGCAGCCCGGCCTGCCCTTGTGGGGGGACTAGCTATCATGCCCTAATGACACTGGCGTACACGGCAGCACGGGGTTCGGCAGTTTGAGCTTCGTTCTAGTGCCACTCCACTATAGGGCTCAAATCAATGGGGTAGCCAAGAAAATGATTGGCACATTGTGTTCGCCCTCGTCCCGTCCACGCATACGTTGAAGAGGGCAAGACAGGCAAGACATTGCGTTCCCCCCTGCTCTTCAGCAGCCTGACAGCAGTCATTTCCCACAGTGTAGAGACTGGGCAGCTTTTTCAGACTTGTGACGACAAGATGTATCATACTCTCTCATCTCTCGTCAAGCGGGCTGTGTTATGATGCAACGAATGTCGAAAAGTCGCCGACGTGCCATGGTAAAGGGGGAATCTTTGCGCCCGACTGCCCGAGCTAAGACCCCTGACACGGGACGAAACGACGCCTCCCGTGTGTGGTGTAGTGCGATGTCTCTATGTAATATGATGTAGGGGAGGTGCCGGGTAGAATACAGTATATTTCGTAGTCAAAGGGATCACGGCGGTCGATTACTCGCCGGCGTTGGGCTAAGGCCCGGATATATGTGGGACGGCCCGCACGGCACCGATTCGGGGCCGGCCGTCGGCTGGCGAATGGGCAGACTTCCTGAGCACCTGCGCCTTTGGCTGTTTCGGTACTCGCTCTCGTTTTCGTCTTTTTGTGGGCCATTAATGGTGGTCAGTGTGTGGAGGACAGAGGGCGGTGCATGGAAAGGGATGAGGTCGATTTTGGTACGGTATGTCCATCGGTCGTGCGCAAAGTGCTGCTTACTTCCTTTCAGCGATTGGGACGGAATCGAAGGTCCCCTATTTCCTTGGGCCCAACGCAACCCATTTTGTCACACTGCGTACGCGCTGTTTTCTGAGCCGGACGGGGCTTTCAAACAACCAGTCATTTCCTCTTAAAAAGGCCAATATTCAACCAAGCTGCATAGCGATTGCAGCTCGAGTCACAGAGTCGCATCGACCTTCATGCAAGATGTGGTGGGGTTCTGATGCATTAGAGCGACATATAAAATGGGGCCCTGCTAGTGACCAAAAGGCAGCATGACGACTTGGCACACGCAGACAAATAGACTGATAAGACAGGCTAAAATCTGTCCGAGGACCTCTCGATCCCCAAGATAGATGGACTCTTTGGAGGTTCTTTCGTCCTCGCTTCTTCGGTCGTCTCTCCACTCAGGCTCCCCGTTACAGTCCGCTTGGGCACTGAGGACAAATAATTAGACCCCTTCCAGCACAACCATCAGTGGTGGCTCAACGATCCCCATTCGAGTTTGACTACGTTCGCTACACGATAGGGCTTGCGTCTGAACATACTGCCTCTGCCTCGGCGACAATATTAGTACGCGTGCGATACACCAATGTGGACCAAGCTTGTCTGGCCCATCTCATCTGGCTGACCACCCTCCTGGCTGGATCGACAAAAGCGCACGATGGTCGGTCGCTAGGTGATTTTCAGGAACCCGTCAGACTAGCCTCACGATTTTAGATGCTGACACATGGCTTTTCTTGGACTGGCTGTCGAGGTGAACAAATGGAAGCTGGACTATCGACCTCTGACACCACATGCCATCACCACTTTTACCTCGACCTGGATATCAGTATATTCAAACAAGAAATTGAGCTCGAAGTACTTATCATTGGTAACTCGTGCACGCCGAAAGTTGTGCGAAAACTCGTAGCGAATTGTTTCCTCATCGATACTAAGCTTCTTAGCTTTAACCCCGTACCAATTAATCAGACAAGGACAGAAAAGAATCTGTGTTTAAGGGCGTTAGGGACGAAAAAGTGTCTTCAGTGTCTAAATCCTTTAGGTTCTCATGTCTCTCGGAATCCCACCAGTCTTTGACGAGAACACCCCTATCTAGACTCCACCATGATCGTAATGCTACAACATGGACATCGACACCAAAAAATGTAATCAGTCTACCAGATATCTTCAAGACTGCATTCTTAGCTACAACTTGAACTGCCCAGGGGCAAACTCGGCGGCCAAATCATCTATTTCATAATCAACAGAAACAGTAGAGACCAGGGCCCGAAGCAGCCCGGGAAGATGGATTGCTCTAGCATAGATGCCAGAGCGTAGATGCCCGACTTAGGCCATTTGGCACCCTCTGATGGATACTCTAAATGCCAAAATGCAATGCACTAACAGGGGTTCTTTTGAGGCTCACTCCTGATAACAACTTGCACTTCTACAAATAGCGTAGAGCTCAAATCTCAGCGAGCCATTGCACTGTGGAGTCCGTCGGCGCAAACAAGTCCCTTTTTTCCCTTTCGTCGGAGACGGCGTCTGCCAAGGCTAAAATGAGCTGACAAGTCATAACTCATTTTTGACGACACGAACGGGATCATGCTCTCTCGTGACCATGAGTTCCACCGTAAGTTTCTAGAATGACCAAGACGGCGTCTTGACAAGTCCGCATCTTCAGCCCAGAGACGGGCCGGAGACATTATCATTGGGCCTTTGGTTGAGCTTCTGCAAGATGACAAGTTCTCGGAGGAACAATTGTTCCATCGCGAGTCAAACAGAAACCGTACCGTCTGATGCAACTCAGCTGTGCAACATGAGCGCAGTCTTGCACGACGCGAGGATTTCAAATAATTGGATTTCTGGCCGAGGTGAGGTGACTTGGAGGAGCACGACATTGAAGCCGATCGCGGATTTTCAGTCAAAATCTTCGTTCACTGCCGACTGACAATGACTCTCGACAAAATCAAGATGCGGCCCAAGAGGTTCATGGCAGGTGTACTTTCGGCGCCGAGCTTTACCGCGACCAAACAAACTCAAGTCGAAATGAAGCCGGCGTCTCATTTGACAACTGCGTTCAATGCTCGATGCCGCTACATCCGTGAGCAACCGATACGAAAGACCCTCCGCGTTCCGATCATCCCTCTGCATACTTTATCATTTCCGTGATTCGCTGTGATGCTGCGGGAAAGAAGTCCCCTCATTCCTTTGACGAAAGCAAGACTTGCTGCATATCTACTACCTACGTGTAGCAAATCGTGTCTGCCTCCGGGAACACGCGCCGGAGAGTTCCGTTCACCTCTGTATACATGGGAGCCCTGCAACTAAAACTACAGGACAGAAGAAACAAGTCTAAATGGTCTCAGAACGCAAGGTTTTTGCGCCTGGGACTATTCATCTCGGCTCCCAGATACATCCCCCTTTTCACTTGCATCACACCGTGAAGCGAAGACTGGCTTTTTGTTTTCCTACCACACCCACCGATAGTGGAAGAGGGCGATGATCATGCAACGGCAGTAGATTTGGTCGATGGATGAAAGATTCAAGACTGCCAAGGCCCGTAGAATACTTTCATAGGCTGAGGTCACAGCTTCAAGGACATGCAAAGCTGAAGATGTTTGGAGGACGAGTATATTCAATGTTGTCATTGACGCAGTCCTCACAGGGTGTATACAACTGATTCTATATTTTCTGCTTCTCAAATCTACAGTTTCGACCTGACGACCGACGCGGCCTTCTCCCACAGTCCGTTCTTGTCTAGTCCCGGCTCGCCATCGTATATATCTCTTTCGACCACTCGTGAATTTATCTAAGAAAAAGACAAAGTTAGTAAAATGAAGCTGGATCCATGTCGAAAGAGCCACAGCCAACAGAAAAGAGCTAGACTTACGAATCTTGGGCCCAACTCATCGATGCTCTTGGCCCCAAGCAGCCTCATGCACGTTTCCATCTCGGCCTGAAGGACTGTGATTTGCAGATGATTAGCATCGAAACACTTCAATCACAGATCAAACACGGAAGTTTAAACGGGAACTCACTCTCGAATGTGCGGTAGACGCCCTGCCATCCACCAGCACCCAGTCCCCAGAGTGGCGCACGCCCAATACCCACCGCCCTCGCACCCAGACACAGCGCCTTGACCACATCCGTGCCTCTTCGAATGCCTCCGTCGACCCAGACCTCAAAATCCTTGCTGTCCAGCACCTCGGGACAGTACTTCCGGCACTCGAGCAGGGTGTGCACCGCAGGAGGGGCCGTATCCAGCGCCCGCCCGCCATGGTTGCTCAGGATGACGGCGCGCAAGGTGCCGGGGTTCTCACGGGCGTACTTGTAAGCCAGGAAGACGTCCTCGTGGGTCTGCACGCCCTTGAGCACGACGGGGAACTCGGGGGCGTGCTCTTTGAGCCAGGGCAGCGTCGTCTTCCAGGTCAGGTCCGCAGCGGTGCCCCAGAACATGGCCTGGCCGACGCCAACGGGGCCGGCGTCCTTCTTGCCGCCGATGGCAGGGTAGTCGACCTGGCTCTCGGCAGGGGCGCCGCTGTCCGCCAGGCCTTGGCGCTCGTCCATCTCGCGCTTGCCGGGCACCGGGGCATCGAGGGTCAGGACGATGAACTTGTAGAATTTGTTCAACTTCTTGATGCGTGCCAGCATGGCCTCGCTCTTCTTCCGCTCGTTCTGCACGTACAGCTGCCAGCCGAAAACCTGGCCCTCCTGCGCCTCGGCCACGATCTGCTCGGGCGTCTGGCTCGCGTTGTTGGACACCACCTGGCATGCGCCGAAGTAGCCCGCCGCCTTGGCGATGCCCGCCTCGCCGTCCGGGTGCGCCAGCCGCGCCATGGCCGCTGGGCACACGAATACGGGCGTCTTGACACCCAGCTGGCCCAGGATGCTGGTCGAGGTGTCGCACGCCGTGCAGTCGACGAAAACGCGTGGGCGCAGCAGGATATTGCGGTAGACGGTGTTATTGTAGGACTTGGAGAAGAGGTCGTCGGACGCGGAGTAGTAATATGCCTTGCACTTATCGCTGACGAGCCGTTGGGCGGCATCGGCTATCTCGTCCAGGTTGAGGAGGTGGTCTAGTGGTGGCCGGACGTACTTCTCCACCGCTGTGTTCTGGCTCGAGGTCTGGGCGGTTGCTGGGGTTTGTGATGAGGAGCCGGAGGACGCATTGTCGTTGCCGGCTGCCGAATTTGAGCGAGCCAGACTGTCTGCGTTGATGCGGCCCAGTCTTGCCTCGGGCTTGAGGTTCTCCTCGATGGTTCCGGGAGGATGGACGGGGTCATATTCTTCGGTTGCGTCTTTTCCAGCGAGCTTGAGGATGATCTTGGAGCCGCCGGGGTGTTCTGAGAGGAAGTCCGTTACGTCGTAGACATTGCCGTAGAGGATGACCCAGCAGCTCTCTTTGGAGGTATGCTGGGCAACTATGAACACATGAAATCGTCAGTATCCCGGTGCTGACAGCTCCAGTAGAGGAATAAAACGAGGAGGGTTGTTCTCTCTTCTGACTTGCCTTCTTCTACCGTGAATTCCTTGGACATGATGGCTCTATGGCTGCGCTCTGGATACGACCAGGGGTATGGAAAAGCAGATCAACGCGAAATCAGAGAAAGAAAACAATAGCAGAGAACAAAAAGGGACAGCAAGAGGTTGAGACCATCGTGTGAAAGACAATGTCAAGGCGACGGAGGTCGACCTGCCGCCGGAATTAATGACGGCACTCGAGGCGACCCCCTCGGAAAAAGGTAAGATTCGGCGAGAAATGCCCCTGGAATGGCGACAGCTCGCTCATCGATCCGGAGTAGTGTCACCCCACTTCCCCACAGATTTGCTGCCAGAAGGCGTGGGGGAGCTTCTCTAGCATTTGCAATTGGCTTCGGCCCATTCGCTGAGTCGCGCCAATTTGTACCGAGCTTGGCTCCGCTCATCGGAGAGCGTCTCACTCAGAAGCACTCAATTGAGATATATAGACTATCTATCTATACAGTCGACCTTGCATCGCCATCAGAGATTCTTCGATGCCATTCGCCCTGCCAACAGAGATTATAGTCTCTGTGCAACCCTTTCCGGTTGACAAACAAGAGCTCTCCGCGTGGAATCGAGCGATCGCAAGCCATCATTACGAGTGACAACCTCTGCACAGCAGGAAGTCCAATTGCTCACACATGTCGGCGACAGACCAGTCAGAAATCGGGCTGGAGGGAAAGAAAAGGTTTAGTGGACAACTCCGGGCACAACCTGGGAAGCTTATATATATATATATACCGGCACAAGCCCAGACAATACGAGAATTACACGTTACATCATATTCGATTGACTTTATCTCCACCACAGATCGCTCTCACCTTCCCATCCAGCTTATCTTGAGGCCCACATTGACAATCCCCGGCTACACCAACCGGACTCGAGTCCGCTCAACCTAATAGTGTTTAGGTAGCCTAGTCTGGATGGATGTTGCCGATGACCCATGATCCACGAGCTCAACGTCGAAATGCGGGTTACGGAACAGACCGTCTACAACCGGGCCGGTCGAATCATGACCAAGACGTTGTCACCCCTACGCCCTACCGCATGTACTTTCCCAATGTGGTCGACCTAGAGCATGCCGCCATCCTCCCACTGTCCAAGTGCTGTCTCACAGGATGGATCACCGACCTTTGACTCACCCAGAGGCCCGTTTCAACGGTCCGCGGATTCCATATTCGCAATTAAATAATCACTGCTCACCGCGGGACTCGAATGAAGTGAATTGACAGAACAACAAGCAACAAGAGCCCTGAGAATATCTCAATCATCACGCCAACATGTCCAACGCTGACTCACATGTCTACCCTAAGACGGCCGACTCGTCCATCAACAGGCACAAGGAAAGAGGTTTGACTACCTAAATATTGGCAAAATACCTCTCTCACTCTATTAACAAGCAACTGCTAGGCCATTATGACGCCGAAACAGTCCGTACGCATAATCTTTCTCCCGCTACGGTTATCCATTCATCTTTTATCAGCATCTTCCAGAATGCTTCAATCCGGGCTCCGTAGCAGGTTGCTAACCCGTACTAGACGGCATAATCAACTCTACCCCGGTAGCCCACGTCTCTTTCACCCCAGACCCCAAGGACCCTAAGCCGGTGGTCCTGCCCATGATCGCCCGCGTCGGTTCCTTCAACGACCAGGAGCCTGCAGTCTACATACACGGCTATGTCTCAGCCCGCATGTTCCGGGCCCAGACGGGACGCCCAGATGGACAGCCGGCAACCGGGGACAGCGACGAAGGGTTCCCCGTGTGCATAGCCGCCACCAAGATCGACAACCTCGTCCTGGCGCTCACACCCTTCAACCACAGCTACGACTATCGCAGCGCCGTCGTCCACGGCACGGCAACCCTGCTGGACCCGGGCACACGGGCCAGCCCCGCCAACCGCGACGAGATCGTCTATGCGATGCGGCTAATCACCGATACCATGGTGGCTAACCGGTACGATAACAGCCGTGAACCCGAAGAGGCTGAGATTGCGGCCACACGCATCCTCAGGGTGCGGATTGATTCCGCGTCGGCCAAGATCCGGGACTCTGGAGTTAGCGATGACGCTAAGGATTTGAAGAATGAGGAGACTACTTCCCGGGTGTGGACTGGTGTTATTCCTTATGTCGAGGTACTGGGCGAACCGCGGCCGGCTGCGACGAACAAGGTCACGACTATCCCGTCGTATATCGAGGAGCATGTCAGGGGCCATAACGAGAGGGCGGGTGGGCAGACCACGGCAGGTGGATTCGTGGGCAAGGTATTAGGATCATTATTTGGTCGGTAATGATCAGAGCGGGATCATCAAGTGCTCCTCCGAGAGGTACCCTTCATTCCTTTGATGTTTCTCTTGTAAGCCCGCAACATTCGATCAACCATTGAACTGGTCATTATACCGACCACGCACTTTTCATTCACTTCACCATGGAACGTATCACTAAAGCTCACCGCGTCTTCCGAATATCAATACGATTAAAATTCAAACTACTAATTAGACCTTTCGGTAGTGACAGGCTGTTGCACGAGCCAGAATATATACAAGGAGTGAAGCAGATGATATGAAAAAGCCACCAGTCCCCACGGACTACAATCTTTGGCTTGAAAACTAACCATTCGACCGTCATATATGAAAATGAAACATTACCATTACCAGAATGGTCCAACAGCACGCACAACGTCACCGTCATGTCATCATCGTGGTCTTCATCATCACACTTAGATTAGTATCGACTCGAACCACGGGGACGAAATCTGCGGCCATTGCCCTTGCCTGGGCGTGATACGGGCGGGGGAGGAGGCTCTTGACCAGGCACAGGAGGCGGTGGAGGGGGTTGTTGACCTGGCACAGGCGGTGGAGGAGGAGGCTCCTGACCAGGCACCGGTGGTGGAGGGGGAGGTTCTTGACCTGGTACAGGCGGCGGAGGAGGGGGAGCCTGACCAGGCACAGGTGGAGGAGGAGGCGCTTGACCAGGAATCGGTGGTGGAAGAGGTGGTTCCTGACCTGGCACCGGTGGAGGAGCAGGGGGAGCTTGACCTGGTACAGTCGGTGGAGGAGGCGGCGCCTGGCCGGGCACAGGAGGCGGTGGTGGAGCCTGGCCGGGCACGGGAGGCGGTAGAGGCGGCTCTTGACCGGGCACCGGTGGCGGCGGCGGAGCTTGACCAGGTTGACCAGGCACAGGCGGTGGAGGCGGCGCTCGGCCCTTGCCCTTGCCCGACCGACCTCCGCGCCCTTGACCGGGTAGATCTGTGTCCTGGCCTACGGGAGCAGCAGCTTGGACGACGATACCGTCAGCCGCCCTGGCATCAGCTGCGGTAAACTGAGCCGGCTGGAAAGCGCACAGGGCCATAATGTCGTTGACTTCTACGCAACACATCCACCATTAGCTTTCAGGCTCACCATGAGGCATACCTTTATATGTAATATGGGGGATGTAATCTCACCTCTGGCATCATTGATCTCGATCGCATTCTGCTGCACACAGCTCTGGCACAGCGCCGTCATCCGCCCGACATCGAAGCTCTGGTTCTGGCAATAGCAGGCCTGCTCGCCTTGAACTTCGGCCGCGTCGCCACCCACGAGGTCATCATCGACATCGCAAGTGCGGCTTAGCTCAAGCGTTGGCCGGCATACAGCCTGGCATGCGACAGGGACGTCTTGGGTGTCGACATCCAGATCAGCGCTGACCTGGGACAGAAGGAAGGTCAAGGCGAGGGTGGCGACGATGTGGGACCTCATTATATCAGTTAACGGGGGCTTTAGAGTATTAACAAAGTACGATTTTGATCTTGGAATCTGAATTATCTTGGAAGGTTTTGTTATTGATGCAAGGCAGAGACTGGCTGAGAAGGCTGGCCATTCCGAAGGATATTTATAATAATCTAGCATTGTAGCAAACCTGCGAGCGTATCGTCATCGATGGCTACTTGGTGGCTGCACACCATCATTGTGTCTATGAACAAGTCACGAAACTTTCCTAGCCAAGAATCAGTCACACACATGCATTATGGGCTCCCTCGTTCAGGCATTCAGATCATGTCATGTGAGCATCGTGGATAAGAACAGAATATCTGATAGAAGCAACTGCACAGCATCATGCCCAGACCCTTGGCGAGCTGTCATCCAGTCGTCGCCCATTGACTTCAACCGAGGAAGCTGAGAATCGACGAAGGTTTGAACGTTGAGCAGTGAGGATCTCAGATTCGGCGAGAGGAGCATATTGGAATGCTAGAGCGTATATCACAGCGTCGTCATTCTTTCCAATCATTTTGCTAGCCTGTAAATATGCCTCAAAATAAGTCCGGTAGCACTTCCGACTAAGCACTCGGCTGAAACGAACCGTAGATCTTGTCGTGGACCCTTTCGTCCTGACTCCTGACCAGTCCATCTTGCCGACGGCCGTTTCCAATGCCAAGTAAACATAAGCATAATCGACCCCGTGGAGCGGCACCACACAGCCGCAGAGTCGGTGGTTTTGGGTGGTGCAGCTAGCAACCTCACCACCGGCTTGGCTACTGTCATGCCGCTTGATAGCTGAAAATTTGTCATGCAGTAGCCGAAAACCGCTCCTATTCGGCGGCTAGGTTCTAGCCAAGGAGAAACAAGCCCAAGCGTCCCGAAAGTCAGTGCTGCCACGAACCACTCAGCAAGGCTGACACCTGGAGATGAACAAGCACTGCATATGCCAAGTATACCCCATCTTTGCCAGTCCTCTCGTCTGGTGTGCAGACTTCCGATTTACTTTTCCTGGAAAAATGCTCCTGTCGCCGGCGGCCAAGCTTGGCAGAGTGCATGCATTGGACTGGTCACGATTCAGGTCTACGGCAGATATTGGAAAGCAGTCGCCAAGAGCTCTGTTGTTCTCGTGAGTGAAGATGTGGCAGTATATGCTCACATTCTCCAGGATCTCTGAATCTTGACACATTTAGACGTGATCATCAATGGATTATACATATAAACTTTGGGTTCATATTCCGTCACTACTGTGTTGGGATAGACAGTGCCCGACGCAATGGACACATTGCAGCTGTTATGAACTGTAGGCTTGCAGACAATTGGTGTCCGTCCTTGCCTTCTTCTAATTGTGAAATATCTGTGACCGGGATCACAGTCACAGATACCCGGGTTTGATACGATCCAAGTGCTTTCTAAGTACTTGATTACCGCTCTGGTCTCAGGAGCGATGTAATGTGTACATCAAGAAACCAAAAACTAGACTGTGATAAATTGCAGAACAAGTATTTCGGCCCCATAAATTACGTACCCTGTCGTGGCTATGGGATGGCCGCGTTTGACTCCGCCCTCAGGGCATCGATTCCTCGATCCGAGATGATTTTAAAACTTTGTTGCTAAGTAGCAATATGCATTACGTTCATTCGTTCTCGGAAAAAGTCATAACTTTGCCCCCATAACACAGAAAGCCGGCGATGGAGACTATAAGTCTGTCTCGATGTGGCGCTTGACGATAGCGTACAACTGTCTTCGCCCGTCATGGTCGAGACCTGGCTGCTAAACTGCGTATTGTTATTCAGATTCCAATACAGTCTTGCGGGGGCTGGTAGCAGCATGTTTTCACCATAATCTACATTAAAAGTTCCTGGCATTTGTCTTAAATCTAAGTCTTGAGAATTGAGAGCCGACGGACAAGATTTGAGACCGCCTGAGCGAATAATGAGATAGAACCTTAAGACATAGAAGGTTCAGTCGCACGGCCGTGAGTTCACGTTCGGCTATTGATGAATTGCTGAATGCCACAAGATGGGATGACCTGCTGCGGACATAGACACTTAGACTGCTGGTCGCTACAGCTCGGGAGGCTCCTGTCCTCTTACACTTGTGCGATGTTGTGGCGGAGGTCTTCAGACGTTCCTACGGCGGCTCTACTGATAGCCCGTATCCTGCTGACAATTTGGACTGGGCGTATCCGAAATGTATCATTCATTCTGTTCATACAACAAATAAACCTGCTTCTTATCGATGTTGGACAAATCCTTTCCGCGACTGAAAAGTCGCCCCGCAGACGTACAGTTGCACACGCAGATGTCCAAAGCTACAAGATGACACAACACCTTGATCGGCCCTCAACGAGGCGTTGAAGTAAACACTTGTCTAGAAGGCGCTCGATGGAATCAATTGGCTGTAAAATAGAGAACGATGATTGCGGAGCAAAGAGCATGTCTACAACGGTGAAGTATTTCACATGATATGAATCGCACTCTAAATGCACACTGTAGCTGTCCAAACACAGTACAGCGTAGTAGCCAGGAATACTGGATCTGTCATACTCGCATGTTCATGTTTTACGTTACAGTGAAACATTCTGAGGCGCCACTGGCAAGATGTTCGTTCCCTGTGACACTGGAGTAGCAAACAATGTCACGACCACCTAAGAACGTGTGTTGGGGCTCTCAATTTTTGATCATTCACATGTTGCTTGATTTCTGCCGAGCTTTCGGCTTTTATTTTCCTAATTACAAGACAGAGCCACACACTCGGACTTCTATACTTCACAGCCGCTCACAGGCTTTTTTGGAAACATATCCCGGGACATTTGATGGAGGGGATGCAGATTTCAGTTCCTAAGCGGGCCGGAAGAGCTGCGTGCGTGAACCTTCACAACACGCGTGAACTGTTCTCAGTACAGTGTAGAAACATCTTGTCAATGTCCAGAATGTTCTTATTTTGCTAACAAGAGAGAATCCCCAGAATTTGCACATTCGAGATCAGGACAATGAACTGAGCCATCTATAAGGGCCGTATATTTCGGAATTGAGCGTAATGATCGTCTGATCTAACTTATGCATGTTCTCTGCTCAGTCTCAGTGCTTTTCCTTTTTGACAGCCGGCTTGAATTTGATATTTTTGAGGTACTCAACGTTCCTCGTTCCCGCTGGTCTCTAATATCTAGCAGCCATCCAGTGCTAAATTATCAGATTAAGTTGTCCGCCTCGGTATTCACGGTTCCTGTACGAAGAACTCCTAGAACAGTATTGATCCCCGAGAAGTCGATTTTCTGATGCATTACTTTGGCAATAGCACGAGCGCTGCCAACAACATTCTTGATCTGGTCTTTGTGGTAAGTAATTGTGGTAGATGAGAGGAGGCTTTTCTTTTCTTTCTCTCCCTTTTCCCCCACAAGACTCACCTGTCTTCCATTAAGTTCAAATTTGGCAAGGTCCCGGACCTCTTCATCCTTTACATCCACCACAACGTCGTCTTGGGATCCTTTGGCTTTAGCTAGGAAATTTCTCCAGACTGCCTCCCGCGCCCCTTCGTCAAGCTCTGGGTAATTCAGTGAGATATGGATGCGGCTGGCGAAAGCCGGGTCGCAATGAGTGATGCGATTGGTCGTCAGGATCAGGATGCCTTCGAAGTACTCGAGCTGGCGCAAGAAAATGCTGACAAGGGCATTGCGATTGACATCGTGAGTATCACGCTTCTGCAAGAAGACGTCGGCCTCGTCGAGCACTGCGGCATTTAGAGTTAGCCATCAAAGCACCGAGGAAGGAGTTTTATTCGAAAATAGGGCGAAGTAGGCCAACATAAGCTCAGTGCCTGTCTCGAGAACGAACTGCAGCTTCACGAAGAGCTTTGGTCCAAGCAGTGAAACAGAACACGCATATGGCAGTCCCTTCTCCGTGGAGGAGTCGAAATTGTATCCGAATGCTGCTTACACAGAACTGCATTCCACCGGTGGGCCAACTCCAAGATCTTGGTAAGATTCTCGTCGACGCTCTTCGGGTCCACGCCTAGTTCACCCGCGGACACTGTATACAGCGGCCGCCTGGTAATCTCGGCTACTGCCTCAGCTGTCAGCGTCTTCCCAGAGCCTGGAGGTCCGCTGAACATCCCAATCAGGCCTTTGCCCTTTCCTGAGATGATGTCGTCGAAACTATCGCTCTCACTGGAGGAGTGCTGCTTGACTAGCGAGTGAACTAAGGCCTTCTCTTGCTTATTCATGACCAACTTTTCAAAAGCCTCATCGTTCCATTTAAATTCGGTCAGATGTCCCATGGGTAGTCCACCTAGCTTGCGATGTTAGCAAATTCTATTCTGATTCGAAGTGGGCAAGTTCCAGTTAAGCGCTGACCCCATTTTTTATCACCGAAGCTGAAGCCTAGAGCCACAGGGTGACATATCATCAGTTGTTCATCGGTAAGGCCTTCACGAGACAGGCTGCGGTGCACCCGAGGGATAAAAGCAAGGTTTGGGTTGAAGTGCCGGAGGGCCTGGGCATCCACAATGGCTCGCCCGTGCGTGGCAAATTTGAAGAAATGCGGTCTCATGAAGGGCTGACGCCTCTCTTCGAACATGGCAAAACCGGTCGTCTGCATCAAACGTGCCTCTTTAATAGCCACATAGCGTTTGCCGCGCTCGAGAGCCTCGCTCCGAAGCTTCTCAGCATCCTGGTGCCGGTCCAGGGGAAATAGCAACATATCCTCGATCGACCAAGCGCCCGAGAATTCAGGAACTGCCAACGGCATGGATTCTTTGGCAACTCCGAACTTCTCCCCATCGTCAACAATAACGTCGAGACTGAACACCCATTGATAAGTTTCAGTAAATTCCTTCTTCTCTTGCTTCATTGTCCGGAATCGTAGAATCTGATGTTGCCCTGTGAGTTCATGATAGTGATAGACAAGCACGTTGGGCGGAAACAGCGCCCACAGCAGCTCCCACGTGATCTCTCCGGCCGAAAGCAAAGAGTCAATATTCTGCTTCAATATTCCATAGTCCTCGGATATGAATCTGAGTACGACTCTGAGGTCGTCGATCAGGTCATCGTTGCGAGGATGGGTGTTCTCCTCAAACTCCAGCCTTTGTTGAAGAGCAACCCAGTTGTGGTAGAAAAACTCCGGTGGTGCCTAGAAATCAGTGTTATCTTGTTAGATTTGTGGCCCCGAATTTTTGACAAGCTGATTGTAGTATTATCGTGTCCGTGCATCTGTATGCTTGCCTTTTGGGGTACTGATGCGAGGGACACTCCTTCAACGTCCGGATTGATTTCCCGCAGGACCTTGGCAAGCCGGCTCGACTTGATGTCGACCTCTGTCCCATAATGGAAGCCCTTGCCGTCGATAAATCTGCGGACAACCAAAGTTGCCTTTCGGCTCGATTTGGAGTCAAAATTCGACTTTGCCGACTTTACAAGACGAGTTTGGCTTGTCTGCCTAACCGCAATGTTAGACTACGAGGTTATACCCAGCCACGGCACGAGAGTACGTACAAATCATATCTTTTCGCGGTATGTATTAGTCGCAGTGTTTGGAGTCAACATGAGCAGGATGGTGGGGACAAACATTTGATCGTACCGAAGAAGAGGATTTCTTCTCGATTTCGCGTGATCAATCACTCCATCTTTTGCGCTTTCATTCTCGGGTATTAACGATACCACTGTAAGGGCAGGAGATTCTTGGGCCATTTCGCGCGCGGTGTATGGGTAGCACAAAGTGGCCGCGGTAGTACGTCTCAATTTGAAACTGGCACAATTCTGAAGAGTACCGATGACTTATGTAGATGTCGAGCTGGTGGCCGCAGACGTTCGTGTCGTCAGGTCCATGATCAAGATACACAAGTCCGAACCGCCCCAAGTTCGTGGCACACGGCAGGCTACCTTGGCAAGCTTACTCGAAACGTGACTGGACACTGCGAATCATGTGTGACTGTGCTTTGCTTACTGTTCCACGAAGCTTGCAACCCTTTCGAGGAATCCTTCTTGATGACCAGGCTGCCAGTGTCAGGCGGTGACAGAGCCGGTGGCACTATGCATGCAGCCCCGATTATAGGGCGGGGCGTTCAGGCGAGGCATTTTATTATTAGGCAGAAGGGCCGCAGCCTTGATAATGATAACACTACAGACAGTGTAATGAGGTGAGATGTTTTCGCTGACAGGTGCAGGCTACGTCACGGGAGGACAGATGACGGTATGTATCTACAAGCTCGGAAGTCCAGAACGTCGGTCTCTCAACTTAGCAATCTATAGTACCAAACCTCTGCTTCGACGCGTCTTCTGTATGAAAAAAAAAAGCCGGCATTCACAGTCAAGCAGAGAAATGGATCCCTTCAGTCTCACAGTTGGCACCTTGGGCCTCATCGGCGCCGTCAAATCATGTCTGAAACTGGCGGCGAAATTCGTTGGGCCCTCTAAGTTTGGATCTGCCGAACTCGCTGCCACGACCAGCACTCTTTACGAAGCTCTTGGAATTTTAACCAGTTTCAAGACGTACGTAGAACTTCACGACGACGACGAAGGCCATTTACAGACACTTATACATATCCAACCAGTCATGGAACGCTGTCGAGATGCTTTACAATCTATCAAAAGTTTCATGCAGGGAACAAGCACATTCGACAAGATGTTAAAAGGCGTGAGGTTTGACAAAACATTTAAAAGTTCTCTCGCTGCTGTGGATGAAAGCAGTAAGCTCTTCAAACTGGCGGTCATGGCGGATCAACAGTGAGTTAGAAGCAGTTGATTTATGTGTCTCCCAGTCACGTGTCGTTATTTGACACACGTTAGTACCAATAGAGTGCTTTATTAACCTCTAAATTACCCACAGATCACTTATTCTTGGGGTGTCGAAATACCTCCAAGCAGTGGGACAGGATGTTGAAGCGATCAAAATCGTCCAGCAGGAGACACGGAACGGTGAGCGCTGAATTCAATATCCACGACATCAGTGACAGATGAAGGAACATCCAGAGAACCGATTTGACTGGGCTTCCAAGTATCAATAGCAATATGGAACTGACTATAAATTGGCACTTCCAGACAGTTCTTATGCCCTGATCAAGGCATGGCTCGGTGCGCAGGTTGATAACGACATGAACAGCCAGCGCCACCAGGACCATGGTCACTCACGATACCCTGGAAGCTGCGAATGGCTTTTATCAAATACAGAATTTGTCGCTTGGGTAGAAGATGCTCCATCTTCAGACAAAATGGCTGGTATCTGGCTGAAAGGCTCTCCAGGAGCTGGAAAGTCATATGTTTGCTCCAAGGCAATTGACCGTGTGGCGAAGTCCCAGGATTTGTGCCTCTACTACTTTTACCGCTTCGATTATCAACTCTCGACACTCGACAAGCATGGGAAAATGGCTGACGAGAGCAGGCTGCGGATGTCATCACTTCTGATCGACCAGCTGTTGCGTCAGCTCTTGCGAGATGATCCGTCCATTGCTAATCGTATCTGGAAGTTCGTCGAAGTTGAGGAAAAGAACACTAAGACGCTCGCTCGAGTCGTCCAAATGCTATTAGATAAGTCACCACCAGGAGAAGGTGCAGCAAATACACAAAACATGAACTCCACACCCCCACGCCGCAAGATATACTTGCTGTTGGACGGTCTAGACGAGACCCAGGGTCCCTTCACCGGACAGGATGTTTTGAGTGTGGCATTAAGTTTGTTTGAAGGTCTTGAAGCACAGGTAAGCGTGAGATTGTGGGTCAGTTCGCAAGACAACATAGATCTCTCCAGACGCCTTCGAGAGTGCGCAGTGATCAACCTCGACGACCAAGCGGAATCCGACGTCCGCGACCATCTTGCTCGAGAGGTCCCTAAAATCATGGATCTCGGTTCTGATTTCGCGGCTCTCGAAGTTTGTGGAAAGCCTTGTGAGTGGCCAAATTCACAAACTTCTTTACTTCAGGCGAGGCAGGCTACTAACGAACACTCAAAAAAGTGGTCCCATGGGTCCTGACTACACTTCAAACGAGGGCTAAAGGCAACTTTCTCTATGCAAAATTGGCTATAGATCAAATCAGTGGTACTATTAGCCCCGAAGACATGATATCTTTTCTGACCTCCGAGATTCCCATCGCCTTGTCAGATATGTACCAACGCATCTTCTCTCGATATCAGAGACCCCAGCTTAAATACGTCAGGTAAGTTTTCTTTTCTGTTGCTTGGTGAGCGTTTGGTCTTACACTCAAGGCTCCATCATCAGCTGACTATAAACTTAAACGCAGTCTGTTGTTTTCTTTAGTGGCATTTGCACGCAGTCCACTTCATCTCTCAGAGCTACAGGACGCCATGACATTGGCGCTTTCGGACCCCTCAAAGGAGCCTGACCCCTCGCGCCGGCCTAGTCGTCTTCAACTGCTGTGTCCACCTCTTATTGAGACACAAGACGATCCTAATCAGCCGGACAATCCTCTCTGCAGGCTTCGCCACTCAACAGTCCACAGCTTTCTCCACTCGAATCCTCATATCCTCTGCGTAAAACAAGACGCGTGTGCTGGTATGGAAACTTGCGAACACCTTATATCTCCAAAAGTCTTAGGGCTCTTGTGTCTACGGTATTTGGCTCAACCGAAATTCAGCACGTTGCTGCCGTTAGAGGAAGGACTGCTGTCTAAAATAGATCCTCTGTTGTTGTACTGTGCCAAGTTTTGGACGAAGCACCTGGAGGGTGTAAAAGCCACGACCGACCAAAGGGAGACTGTGGCCTCATTCGTGAACTCGAGCAATTTCCAGACAGTCATACAGGTTCAGAGCCTCAGCATTACGGGCCAATTTGAACAAATACCTTTCGGAGTTGAATCCGAGGACGATGTTCAGATTATGAAGCGCGAAGGCTATCACCACTTTCAGCGGCAGTCCTTTCCCTCGTGGCTTTTTCAAGACAACCAGGTAGAAATCGAGCACTACGCTCCTTATCGCGCACAGTACCGTCACTTTGTCAATGAATGGGGTTACTTGCTTGAGCGGGCAACGTCACCTTCTGACCCGGACTGCTTTCCAGGAGAAGTCGAACGATGTCTTTCTGGCATGATAGGACCGTCGACTTTCCTAGCCCAAATGAAGGAAAAGTACCCGAGTTTTATGCTGAGCCAGGAACCATTTGACTGCTTACAGCCAAAGTCTCGTGTTCTGGAAGAGAGGCTCTCTGCTACAGGCGACCGATTTACGGTAGTCTCTGCAGTCCCACGGTACGTTGGCTCAAAATGATCTTAGCATTTATCTGGCTTTCTTTGCTTACAAAAACAGCATCACGTTTTTCGACAGACAATTGAGAGGCCGTCCAGTACCTCGCGCGCCTGACTTCGACTCATTCCCCTTACGCATCCACATCGAGACATGGCATCTCAGAGACACAGCTCTACCAAGGCTTTTGTCCACGACTGGTGCCGGTGCCGCAGATTTGATTGGGGCGTCTGGTCGAGCAGATAAATTTACCGTCACCCCTAAACAGGGATACTTCTGGCTTGACGATCCGCGAACTCCAACCCAAGAGAAGACAAGTCCTGTGCTCCTATACGAGGGCCAACGCCACCACGATCTAGAAGATATTAGCGTTGACTTTCGAACAAGAGACAGCATCTTTGTATCAGCAAAGAGGAGCAAGTATAAGTCCAAGGCTCATCGTCATAAGCCCTGCCCAATGCACACGGGTAACTCAATGAAAGCAGTCGACAGTATTGCAGACGGTAGCAGCTCGAATTCTGACTCCTCATCGTCTGAGGATGAACATATTAATTCGGCAGAAGAGACATGCAGCGAAGGATCCACGGACTTCGATTCGGCTGAGGACAGTTCAGAGGACGAGTCTTCATGGAGTGACGATGAATCCACTTCGAGTGGCGGTGACGCGTCCTCTGATACTGCAGATGAGGATTCAAATGGCTCTGATGACAGTGGCAGTAGCTGTGATGAAGATGGTTATCCAAAGATCAACCCCAAAGCGACTCGTCAGCGACGCAAGAGGACGATGACGAGCGAAAACGTTGACAGCAACCTTGCATTTGCTGAGGAAGGCCTGCCAATGCGGACACGCGCAGGACCCATATCACGTCTGTCGGAACGCACAGATATGATCAATGTCTCTATCAGTGTATACGACACACGTTCAGGTCACCCAGTTCGACTGTTTCACTTCCAGCAGGACTTGCCCGTCATGCTCTACAGTTCACCACCAGCTATCCATCCTTCTAAGCCACTCGTAGCTTGGCCCCTTGGAGGCGGTGATGTTCTCTTCGCCGACTACATGGCCAACACCTACTTTATCCGGGGAGCAGTGCCCAGCACACAGGACAGTCAGTGATTTTGGTTGTTTTCTATTGCATATTCTGTCAGCCTTGTGGGATGTTTGAGTAGTCACCTTGTTGCAGGATATCCACTAACCCCATTTGCAGGTCGACATATTACAATGCAGAGTCATTTTTCGACATGTGGGAGATACCTACACATCGCCAGCATCGAGGCGCGTATCGTCGAGAAGGATCAACACAGGTCAGATCGTCACGGCCAGAACACTGGCAGCAACAGCCTCGCGAGCAAGCCTGGTCAGTCAGCCACCGTATGGGCTACCGATCCGGAGCTCCGCAGTCAGGAGCTAGTTCTCACAGCCTTCATCACTACGCACCGGCTGTCCAGCTCCAAAACAACGCGCAGCCCTCCGCGCCTGATCCACAAGGCCATCGTAGGGCTTGGAAGATACGCTGCACTGTCGCTCGACAACCTCCCTATCACCTTCAACTGGGCACCGAAGCAAGTATATCTCAGCCTCAGCGGCCACCGCCTCAACGTGATCCGCGTCCCCCTATTTCGATCGAGACGCTCAACAGATGGACTCGCCGATCCTGTGGCATGTGCACCCCGGCTGCCGGTCATGCTGCCGCTTTCAGCAACGGGCCGCCAAGTCCATTACCTACCACCGCCCTCATCCGAGATTGACAACAGTTCCGGGGCCGACACGCGCGGCATAGTCCTCTTGGGTAGCTACGGCGGATACGGCAACAGGGTACAGCTGATGCCGTCGGTAGAGGTCCCGCACAGAGACCACTGCGGTGTAGATGCCGGCCATACTATGCCGTACCCGTGTCCGCCTGTTGGTTTCTATGTGGACGAGGAGCGAGACTTTGGTGGCTGGGTGGCCTACGAGGCTGAAGTCACAGGTGCTCCAGCGCAAGGAGAGAAATTTCGCGACGGACGCCTGGTCATGCGCAAGATGGAGAGTTTCAATGCGCAGGACGATATTGACTTGGAAGGTATTTATCTCATCTGCAAGAGTCCGATATTTATCAATACTGGGCCAGTACCGTACTGAATTTGCGGAGGTTTGACGTCGGTAGATGGATCGCGTGTTCGTGTCATTATACTCCTTCGTGCTGTGCCCGAGTTGGATGGAGGAGTGAGATTTGTAGTGCCCAAGTATCCGATGTACCCAAGTACCGTTCCCCAAGCGCTCGTGCCAAGCCTTGAGCTCGTTATCAATCTCCTTATCGGCCCCACCCACGGGCCCCGCGACCTAACGCAGCGTCATCCCGCCGATCCGTCACCGTCTCCGTCTCCATGACCGTATCCATCACACTGCTCGCTGCCTGGCCCCGTGACGCCTTCATCACTCGCCCACGTTCTGCTCCGTCGCATCGCACCGCATCGTGTCTCTGGTCGCACTTTACTCGGAATCCAGCATACAACAGGCCTTGTTTCAAAGTTTGCCCAACCTGAAGTTGCTCAACCCCATAGCCCGCGTCGCACGCCGCTTACTGCCGAGGCGCAACGGCGACCGCGATCGCAACCGACCCGCCAACATGGCGACAACGACGCCCACGTCCTCCTCGAACACCCCGGGCATTTCCAGCCCACCCCTCTCTCCAGACTCAAAGCACAACCAAAAAAGCGACACCACATCACCCTCCTCCCGCCCCCCACCCAAAAAACCAAGACGCTCCCTCCGCATCCTCTGCTTCGGCGACTCCCTGACCTCAGGCTACTCGCAGATGGGCAGCATAACGCACCCCTACTCAGAGCGCCTGACCGATGTCCTGTCGACTTCCTTCCCCTCCCTCAACATCGACGCGCACACGGACGGCCTGCCCGGCGACGTGGTGTGCACGGCCGGGTCGCGCTACCTGCGGCGCATCGAGCCCAAGTTCCTGACCAAGGGCGGCGGGACCCCCTACGACTGGACCGTCATCCTGGGGGGCACCAACGACCTCGCGTTCCAGTTCACCGCCGAGGACATCTACAAGGCGCTGCGGGACGTCTGGGACGTCGCGCTGAGCAAGGGGGGCAGGGTGCTGGCCTGCACGGTGCCCGAGGCGGGCGTGAGGGGGTCGATCGGAGAAAGGGTCAAGGCGAGGCGGGACGAGCTGAATACGCTGATACTAGGGCATCGGCAGGAGAATTTGTAAGTGATTCGTATACAAACTCGACGACACCCGTTCGTCTGTCCTTGGTGACTGACCGGCTGACCTTGGCGCGAATAGCTTCACGTTCGATCTCAACACCGCGATCCCCTTCTGGTCCCTCGCTCCCGAGGAGCGCAAGACCTACTGGGATGACCACATCCACCTGACGCCCGCGGGCTACGACCTGATGGGCGAGAAGATCGCCGCGCGCCTCGTCGAGATCATCATGCCCCCTGGGCGGCTGCAGCCGCAGCAGGCCAATGGGGGCGGCTCGAGGCGGAAAAGGATATTCAAGGACGACGACAAGGTATTTGAGGAGGAAGACGGCGACGAACACAGGCTGGAGCATGGGTATTATGTTGTCAGAAGGAAGGATCTGGAATGAGAGCGGTCTTGCCGTTGCTGCTTTTGTTAGATTTTAATGATTTGAACAGCGAATGGATGGGATAGTTGGGAAGGAAACACCTGGTTTGGCACAGCACGGCGTTGGGTAGAAGGTTATGCAAGCGTACCCCTGTCTGTACGCTTGATGTAGTCGTGGATATTATTGGAATAGTCTAATTTATTCCGATGTCATGTCTTCATGAATCCTGATGTCTTTGCAGCTCCTAGCCGCCTCCCAGGATCCGGCCGCGCTCCTTGGAGCTCACGACTTCCAGCTTGCTGGTTGCAGATGTGTGCACAGGTCTCTAGTGGCATGCCTTCCTGAATATAGCCTATTCCTCCCTTCTCCTCTTCCTCGGAATGCTGTTCTCCGACTTGATTTTCCCCTGACTGCACTTTATCGGGCCACTCTTCGCTGGGCCGTTCTTCTCTAGATTGCTCTTTTCCGGACTGCTCTCCTTTCCCTTGACACGCATCGTCATCAATCGGGAACTCACCTCCGAGCCCCAGCCCTCGAGAAACCCAGTTAAGGTTTCAAACAGTTTCTTATCCGACTCCTTACGTACATGTGCCCGAGAACCAGACCCATTAGCAGCAAGCTACACCACCAGGTTCCGGGACACGAAGTCGGGGATCTCTTTCTGCATGTGGCCGACCACGCTCTCGACCTCCTCGGCGACACCGAGTACGTGGTTATCCCATTGTGCAATGGAGCGTGCGCCGTCAAACCAGACGCAGCGGTCGATCTGGTCGATGTGGCCGTCCAGGCGGCCCTGCTCGATCATGCGGGCAGTTGTGTCCTCGGCCCGCTCACCATCGAGTCCCAGCAGCACGCCGAGGGCGTCGAGGTCGATGTTGACGTACAAACGCGATGCAGCCAGCAGGTTGTGCTCGACCATGGCGCGGGCCAGCACGGTGCTGCCATCGGCGGTGGTGGCCAGCTGGTGTGGCTGCAAGCCCTTGGCGAAGGCGTCGACCTCGGCGGGGGCGACCAGGCGGTCCAGGAACATTTTCTCGAGGATGGCGAACTCGTCCAGCGATGGGGCCCGCTCGTCCTTGTACAGCCGGCCGAGTGCGCGTGATCGCTGGGGCCCGGCGGGGGCTAAGATGGCGCACTTGATGGCCATGGCGAGGGTGTGCAGGCGCTCCTCGTCGGCGATGGCGCTGCTGAAGGAGATGTCGTGGTAGGCCTGGCTGGCGGCGAGGAACTGGCGCTTGGCGTCGTTGATGCGGGCCTGGCTGAGCTTAAAATGCAGCTGCAGGGCCGGGTCGGCGATGGCGAAGATGACGTTCTTGAGCTTGTTGAGGTATGCCTCGGCGGCGGTGGGGTCGTCGACCTCGAGGTAATTGCGCACGATGCGTATCCACACGCGGGCCTTGTCCTCATCGCTGACGCGGCGCTGCGACGTCTCAAGCGGGATCTCAGCCAGCACCACGGCGGCATCGCGGAAGTCCTCCTGGGCCTCGTGCGCCTCAGCGATCAGGTCGCGCAGGGTGGCAGTCTGCTCGATGAAGGAGGAAGAGGACGTCGGCGAGGCGTTCAGGGTTTCGAGTAGGTGGGTGCCGACAGCGATCCACAGGTCGTGGTTGGCACGCTGGCGGAGGGTGGTGATGAGCGAGGTGAGCAGGGTGCGCGTGTGCACGATGCCTAGCGACGAGGCGAAGATCTGGTCGGCGGTCTGGTTAAAGTCAGATGCCGACTGTGCCTGGGAGAGGGCATTCTGGATGGCCACAGCCTCCTCGGGGATCTGCTGGGAGGCCATCGTGGCGTGGTGTGTTGTAATGTGTGCGGTGTTGCTTGTGTGGTGGGCAACGTTTGTATGAGGTGAAGGTGGAGGTGGAGGCGGAGGCGAGCGAGGGTCAATCGGTGACGCCTGCAGCTGGAGCCGGGCGCCACAAACGACTGACTTTAAATGAGCAAGCAGAACAATGCTCTCCCCACGTCCTTCTGGAAAGGAACCTAGAAGACAGCTTCAGGCTTTGACAGTCCCAAAAGTGAAACAGACAAAGAAGTAAGTCGTGTGTTGGACTTCAATGTGTCAGCGGTGCAGATGTGGGATTAGCTGTGGTGTGTGGATAAGGCAGATGGAGCTACGATAAGATAAGATAAGACAAGAAAGTACCGAGGTACCGGTGAGATATAGGGACTAGGCGCTCTACTTCCTGTCATCACAAGATGTCCCTCACGTCCTCCCTCCAAGCTACTGAGCAGAAATAAAAGCCCGAACTCAAATGAAATCTTCTTCGTTTTCACTCATCAACACGAAGTCTGGCCTACAGGGGTAGTGGAGCTGAAATACATAATGCTCAGGTCGGAGTTGTGTACTGAATGGCCCTGAGACGACAATCTTCAGCCTGTCATCTTCAAGACCGGCCAGATCCAGAGACCAGGCCTCAACAGGAGATTTGAGTGGAACACGATCCATCTCGATTAGTCCGACCTCTCACAGTGGCACCTCCTCTCCAGCGTCCCGTCTGCGGATGGCAATCTTAGCCAGTCCATCACACTCGAGCCCGTTCCCGCGCGCTCGCCACTTCGGCTGCTCAGCCCCTTCGGCCACCTTCCAGTCGTACTTGAGCAACAGATGGCACATCATCAACTTGGCCTCGTGCGCAGCGAAGAAACGTCCCGGGCAGGCGTGCGTACCAAACCCAAAGGCAATGAAGTCGGGTGTGACTGTCACGAGCTGACCGGCCTGAAGGATTTGCCTGGTTAGTGCCTTGGTCTTTTCAAGGATTAAGTAGCGCCAGAGAGGATGGAAAAGACGCTTTTCAAATCATCGTCATGTTTAAATGGGACGGTTCACCTACCTTCTCTTTACCAGCTTGCTGCCTCAGTCGGGCGAAGCGGTACCCATCATACTCATCTGGATTTTCATACAGCGTGGGATCTCTCAACCTTGGCATGATCATGGTTGCTGTCCCGCGTTTCAGCTCGACATTATTCGAGAGCGTGACATCCTGGAGGACTTCCCGCTCCATGAATGCTACAAGATACTCAAAGTCAGCCTTTTGCCCATGTGTCTTCTTCCTCCGATCGCCTGGGAGGGCCTCGCTTGACGTCTTAAGGGATCAGGGGTCACGAAGCAAGCAACTCACCGATCTGCATGGGCTTCATCCTCTGGGTTTCCTTCATCACGCTATCCAGCAGCGTCATCTTTTGGGTCGCCGTTTTGTCAATCGGCCCCCCGTCCAGCGCTTCCACGATCTCCCTTCTCAGCGGCTCAATCAAATTTTGGTGCACCGCGAGATCCAGCATCACCTGCGTCAGCAGGTCAGCTGTGGTATGGATGGCCGCGAATGAAAGCATCAGTTGCGTGAGTGCCGGGTTGTACTCGCCACCGAGCCTCTGGTGCTGGCTCTGGAACCAGTCCAGCGCGTCGCTGGGCCGGACCTCACTGCCGCGGCCCTGGCGTGCCTCCTCCTCTCTGAACCTCCGGCGCGCCGCTAGCTTCTCGTCGATAATGTCTCGCGCCCGGCGCTCTTGGGCCCGCAAGAGCCGGCACTCTGGTACGAGGTAGTTCGCCATGGGCCGCAGCCAGCGCGGGTAGGCTTGGAGCGCTATCGTCGCCAACATAATGTTTACGGTAAAAGAAATCGAGATATCGATCCACTCCTGGTCGTAGCATGCCTCGGGCCCCATGAAGGCCAGAGTGCTGAGGCGTGCGACTAGTGGTAGGCTTATACCGCTCCTGACCACGACGTCGTGCCAGTCCTTCCCTTCGCCGACCGCGTCTTTCAGCGCCGCTGCGCACTCGGCCGACAGCGCGGTAGTCAGCCGCGGCAGCGCGCGGGTGAGGTCCTGCTGTGCCACCATCTGAATTATCCGGTTACGCTGGTCCAGCGTACCGATGGTCTCAAAGCCGGGCAGCTCGCCATGGAGGCCCCTCTTCTTGAGCGACGTGAAGCTCAAGCGTTCGTCGTTCTTGAGCTCCTCCGCGTACCGCGGCGGCAGGAGGACGGCCTCGGAGCCGTCAAGCTCCCCCGTGAGCAGCCGGAAGGGCTCGCCGTGGTACTTTTCCATCCCCTGCAGCGTCATGTTCCAGCTGTCTGCGTCATACTCGCGGCGGGCGCGGGCTGTGGTCAGCTCGTACCAGCGCTTGGGGTTGAGGAGCGGAATAGGCTTCCCATTCGCCCTTGGGGGTTTGGAGCTTGCTGATACAATGGCAGCGAGTAAGATGAGGATGAGTGTGGTGGTCAGGGTAGTAATGGGCCCACCCAAGGACACAGGAAGTATGGGTGTGGCGGAGGGCGCAGAGAAGTTGGTGTTATGCCACGGAATGTGAAGGCGCGACGTCAGTGTCATGATGGCGATATTGAGTTGAGAAGATATTGGTTCGGCAAAGACAAGAAACCTGGTGCTTCGGCAAAGAAGCAAAACTACGATGAGAATTCGGTCGGGGTTGGGTATTCTTCGACTATCCAGGACACCTGATATCACAAGTCTCTTATGCTGTGATGTCACCCCGCTTTCCCAACTCCTTTGCGCCACCTCACGATGTCATTCAATATAAAGGACCTGGTCCCAAATATCTTGGGCTTATTCACATCTCAAAGATCGTCAGTTAACTGGTCCGTCCCGGCCCGTTCACGCATCTAAACGTCTAGTCTCGTCAGATCTCACATAAGCCAGGTCGGCACATGGTATCATCGTGTGAAATAAACGGGCGGGGATAGGCTGGCATGTGCTGTTCTATGCATTGCTGTGCCGTGCCGAGTCGCTTCCCCTATCAAGGCGCATGAGGTCGCAGCGGCTCGGCGGCGATGACAACAACCCCACTCGTGCGGATGCAACTGCAACCCGCCACGAGCATGGACATTTCACTACAATGCCACTGTCGTCGTTTGCGAAATGCGCAAGTCCACTTCACCATTGAGCACACCACCACATCGATTGGACAAATGTCATCGATAACTCCACCCTAGTCCGGCCGAAAACCGCAGGACGGAGCATGCCCAGGAAAACCAAATACAGCCCAAGGGACACCATCAACAGGCTTCAGTGTCGTGTCTAGTCTCGTATGCGGAGTCACCATCTTAAGGTATGTATCTTCCCCTTCCGCATCGTTGATGATCGCCATGCTTCACCCCTACATATTATCACAACTAGCAATCGCACGTAATATGTTGACAACGTGGAACTTCGTGGTTATATTTGATAGCAATGGACTTTACCTCTCAATGCCTTGTCTTTATACTTCGAGCGAGTATTGATTCTTTTTCTTGGAGGAATACGTGAAACGCCTCAAATTTCTCCTCCCGCCTCCTGATTTTAGCATTCATATGCCGGGGTTCCGGTTTTCCATGTCTTTATCTAACTCCCAGTCCATAGATCTTGGCGCCTTCTGAGAGGCTGAGAGCGTGGTAACGGGCGCTGCTGTCATGCTGACATGCAGTCGGAAGCTGCAGATCAGTGATACGCTTGGTTCGTTGGTGCATATGCACATCAACCTCGCTACCGTTCGGGCTTGGTGCATTCGCTGTTTAAGTGTGAATGTCACGGTGAGGAAAGTGGAGCCGACATTTTGCAAACACGTACGCATGTGTGTGACCTTTGGTTGGCGGGTCATGAATTCTTGGGTCATACCTGCACGTCAGGGCGAATCCGGGAATCTTCTCTCGTATGCATAGTGCCACGCACAATGTTGCCCATGTTCGTCCTTCCACTCATCCAAGTATCCTCTCAGCCTCTGCGCTTGCTGATCCACAGCGTGGGCCTTCTAAATATGGCAACTCGAACCTCAATGTGTCATCCAATGCAAGCCAGTCGCGACTCGACGTTCCTAAGGCGTGGCTCCGGGCCGTGCCTACGGTGAATGAGCCTGCAGGACGCATAGTTAGATAGTCAGCGAAATCAGACCACCGACTGGCAGGCTTTGTTTGGTTGGGTCGATCGAAGACGAGGAGAAGCTGGCACGCTATGGAACCACATAGCTAGTGGCAACCTTCCTCAGAAAACCCAATGCCAGCTGTCACCCCATCGCCATCTTTTAGCTAGGCAGCAAGTTTATCGTGGTGCAGAGGCTCACAGCGGCCGAATCACCAGCTAGCGTCACCCATTATATTGGACAACCAAGGTCTCAGTCGTGAGCGGTACATATTGGCATCTATCGATTGAGTTGGAGCTTAGACTCACACGAGGAGGGAGAGGCAGAATACGGCCACCCCCTCCCCCTAATTTCTTTGTTTCCTGCAGAATCCCCTGGCCGAGTAGCTAGATCATGAACGATTTTAACGCCCACACGACAGCGGTGTTCGGCCAATATTGCTGAAAATGACAATTGGGGAAAACTTCTCACATGAATATTCTCCGCATCTGAGTACGGATGCACAGGAAATAATAATGCCGCAGTTCTATCAGGCACTGCGGGCTATACCAGTAGCTGGAAAAGGCACAGCCTGCTCGCTTCGCTGCACATGTCGGACGAGCTCACGACCCATAGAGGTGTCAACATGTGTCACTGAAGCATATGCTTGCCGTGAGTCAGCTGCCTTGGCTCATGAGAGTGCGTGACCACCTGCACGTACGACATGCACTTTGTTTGGTTGACAAAAATGGTTGGTAGAGGGACACGGTGGGTCGCTGAGGAGTACAGTAACTGTGAGAAAACATGATACATCTCCTGCGTATAGCAGATGATAATAGCAGCATTCCTTTAAGTTGTCTACACATAATTATCTGAGGGTCTCAGTCTCATAAGCGAGTCTCATAAGCATGTCTGTGTGGAAAGAAAAAGCAATACCATGAAAAGGTGTGGGCTACACTGCGGAGTCGCACCAATTATGATTGATGTTGCCTTGTTACTCAATGATGGCTGTATGTATGTTTCGGAGTCCGAAGGCGTTGCCATTACACAACCGCAGGTTTTAAGGTTGCCACTGTGTCTTTCTTCAACAACACATTATACATATGCACGATTGTCATGGAAGTGAAAGCGACAGACATGCAGCTCGCCATCTTTAAATTTCAAGTCCTTGCTTTCAGCCACATATGTAGCCTACACGCTATCGACTCGTCACGTTTGTGTGGAATCGGGCTGACCAGCCTGAGCTGCGGCACTGGAAACGGCATGTCTGTTTGAAACGTGTGATATAGGCGTAGATTGGGAATCCAGCAACACGTTCGAAGAGAGCGACACAGGCCTTTCGCTCCTCATTTGACCCTAAAACACCCTTCTGACCAAAGATCCTAATTGAAAAAGACTCCATTCACTTTTCAGAGGTCAACACAGAATGTGGAATCATGTATACATTTAGACGTTACTAAGGGACTCCGCGTACGCCCTTGCCTAGGTAGTGCTACACCTGCTGTCATCGCGCATAGTCTGAAGTAGCATCGCTGAGACGGGACACAGTTCTCCGACAACCCCGACGAGACGATCTGTGAGCACTTATGTAGGAATATCCCAGAACGGACGACGCAAGCATCCGAATGGGGACACAGCTGTGGAAACCTCCAGACATCGGAAAGCTCCGTCTCATAACTGTCGACGGCTGCGGAGGTCTGAGCGAAGTAAATCCACCGCTGCAGCCCAATTTCCCGCTCAACGGCAACGCAAGACCGAAGACCAGATGGAGCCGCAGAAAAACCTTTTTGGTCCGTCACGTCCTTATTCTAAGAATAAATAGCTTCTGACTCAGGCGACTCTCATCTCATTTCAGCTCTCAGCTCACCGCAAGCCGGGAAATGCCACGTTTGCCCTTCACAATCTCTCGGAACTCCCGGCACCGGCCACTTGGAAATACTGTTCCCTGTGTCTCCCCAGCCCTGGGCTGGCCGGCCGGCCGCTTGGATCGCCTCGTGCCGCCATGCGCCTGGCCCTGTTATGCGGCGGGCAGGCCGGCACGCCGGGCGGTGGCCCACTCCTTCTCGGCTTGATCTTCCGCACGTGTAACATTGCACATGACATGTTCAGGCGACAGCAGAAACCGCAAGGTCGTCCCAGTCCATCTATCTGCCCACGAGTCATCACACTGCCCACCTGGCGCTGGTGATCTGTCTGTGCTTCGTTACACGTGTACCGCGTTGCCGGAGAATACGGTGTGGTATTCTCACGGATGCACATCCGAACAGTTTTCATTGTGTTCTGAGCTGGAGGGAGAATAATTATTCCTCGGTGGGAAAGTATGGTTTTTAATTCTTCCACATAGTGTAGCCTGTGTGCCGTTCCACAGCTAGCTTTCGGTTTTGCATACCGTCTTAAGTCTGACACACCAGTGGAATTACGAGCAGAGTATTAAAAACATACCATGGTTGCGACACATACTGGCAGTGACAGACTGAACAAATTAGAATAAAAGGTAGTGAATTGTAGCAGCCCGATCTACTAGTCACAGCACACTTTGGATGAATAATTTGCTCGTCTTCGGACATCAACTTCATATATCAATCTGCTGATCTTTTGCATTCATTACTTTCTCAATCTAGCCTTATTCGTTCTTCTCATGGCCCTCTCCTTTCTGTCGCATATGTGCTCTCCACTCTGGCGGAAGAATCAAACAAGGTCCCCAGTCACAGACTGCGATGACAAGAAAACATTGGTTGCCCTTTTGGATATTCCTCTTGAATACTATCTAGTTTGAGAAGATAATGAAAAAAAGCACACACAAACCGATACGCCCGCTTAATAAAAGCCCCAATGATCCCGTACCGCTATAGGAAAACTTATTTTTGGTTGACCCCGAGTCCCTTTTTTGTAAACCCCCAAAACGCCATGCCGCAAATACATGACAAAGAGAAGAGACAGAGAGAGGGGAAAAAAGGAAGGAAAAGAGCCATAAATGGCACCAGGAATGGCCTGAGATGTTCAGGGTTGCTGAACCTAAAGCGAATCTAGTCGCAGTGGCTGAGACACGACCCACGATGTCGGTGGCGGCAGGGCGTGGACCTCCCATTCGTAAGCCGCCAAAGAAGAAATCGGAAGGCTCCGTCGATCGAGTCCGTGAGTGATGGCTCTGTCTCTTGTGCACAACATTCGTCCTCGTCGGATTATTCAACGCCAAGAGGATGTCCATGACCACGAAAGGACAACACCTCCCCCCATGCCAGCATCCGAGGCAGTATCCAGAGACCCCGTGCACCACTCGTCATTTACGTCCCGGGCAGGCCGCCCCGAGGAGGTAGACGGCCACGCGCCACTGTCGTCGGACCAGATGACTTCCGCAGACCAGGCAAGAGCTTTCCCTTCCTGCGCGGCCACGGTGGAATGTTGTGCACCCATTATGAAATCGACCTCCCTGAGTTTGGTCCAGCCAGAATCCGCTGTCGCCGAGTGATCCCCGTATTCTCCATGTGTGGTGAAAGAGCGTGACTGGAGAGGGCTCTCATCCGGAGCAAAGGGGGCACGTGCCTGGCTGGACGATATACCTCTCGTGAGGACCCTTGGGGCAGGCCAATTTCCTGTTGCCGTCGACTGATGTGCGGAAGAAGTGTGCGCCTGGGTCGAGGCACGACGAGTAGATGTAATAGTTCTTAGTGAAGTCACACATCCTGGTGTGAGAGAGTGTTTGCGTCTGTGGTTTGTGGTTGAGTTTGTGAGGATTGCTGGAGAGTTGTTGGAGAAATAGTGAGGACCGTCCGGATATAGGTTGGATGGATGGGAGGATGAGAGGCCAAGACGGTGAGAGGGAGAGAGTATAGGAGGGCGGGTCGTTGCTGATGGTGACTGGTGATCGCTTGCTGCACGTATACACGGCGCGCTTGAGAGAGATGTATGTGACAAGAGAGGTGAGGCAGGTGTGGTCAAGCCACGACTTATAAACAGAGGCGAAGACGGGACGAGGTTGGAATTTGCCCACAACGGGGTGGATCCCCCAAGTAGGAGGGTGTGAGAGTGTGTGTGACACAGAGGCGTCTGGATAAAATAGGGCGGTGCCGCGGTGGGGTGCTAGATAATTGATGGGACGAAGAAGAAAGAGTACAACAGCGATATCCCCCGGTCTATATGGATCTTGACATATATCTCCCAGGGTGGTGGACGGGGCGGCAGGGGGGAAGCTCAAGCTCGACCCAGGCCCAGCCTGGTGCGCAGATCCCGGGGTCGTGTCGAAATCCTCAAGGGCAACAATAGGCTTTCCCCGGACTGAAAGGGTGTTTGATGAGAGCTGGTCTGATAGACGCGCTCGTGCGCGCTGCTGCTGCTGGTTCTGAGCCAGTTGGGCAGCATGAAGGAGAGGGACTGCTGCAATTTGCGACGGTAAAGTGCGGAAGCAGCGGCGATGAGTCTGTAGATGGTAGGCGGCATCGCAAAGCCGGTTCACGGAAGTCGTTGCGACTCACACTAGTAGAGCCAGTCCATGCCTGATGACAGGGTCCCGATATATCCAAGACGAGACGGGGCTAGTCCGGTATGAAGGATGTGACATGGGGGAAATTGTACCCAGAAAAGCGAAAAGGAAGCTGTGACGGGCGTGGAGTATGTACAAGAAAGCAACTCGAGCCCCAACACGGGGGAGGGAGGGGAGAAGGGGGATAAAAATCCTGGGGGGACTGGGCAGCAAGAGTATTATTGCAAAGTTACAGTGGGCATGGGCAGCTTGTCCGCGTCTGAGAGCGGCGCGAACGGTTGATGACAAGGAGCCCACGGCCAAATTGAATCTACAGTCAAGATGCGACAGTGCAGAGCCCAAAGGGGCAGCGCAGCATTCTCAGATTTTGGTAGAAGAACAACGACAAGACTGTCAAAAAGTCATAGGGACTGTGCGCGGGGACACTTGTCCGGAGCGCCCAGCTCCCTGGTCCTGGGTGTTAGGCGATGGGATGCTTGCATATTTCCTTCCCATACCTTGCTGCGGCGTACTTTTGGGCTGCCGTGACGTTGTCCTGCTATCGGAATTGCCCACCTGGGCACGAGAGAGAAAAGGTGGAGCGGGAAAACGGACGGTCATCGACCCATGGACGGGCAAGACGGGGCGAGCTTTGACAGCACTGACAGCAAAGCTGCGGCATGTTCGAATGTTCGAACGGGGTTGACTGCCGGCTGGGGTTCAAGGGAGGGTGCTCAAGTGTGGATTGGAACCCGGCTCACGTTTGACTGTCTTCGGTGATCCTTCCGCAAGCCCTCCCGCCCGATCCTCTACTGTTAGAAGAAGCCGTGGCGGGTTTTGGTTAATCCATAATTTTTTCTCGGGATGACGAGTTTCTGCTTCTAGGGACGGACATGCAGACTACAGTACTATCTTTGAGCGGTACATGCAGCGGGAGGAGGGAGTGGAAACCCGGGTGATGAAAGGAGAGGAGCAGATGTCGAAGACACTGCCCGACATTGCGAGTAGCTAGTGGAGGCTCGAGCGAACGAGCCGGTCCAACGGTGGTGGGGTGCATGTCGAGTACTTGGCATGTTGTACCCGCTACATGACCAGCCAGTCCCGCCACACCAGCCTCTCGCGCCTCGCTCACCGAGATGGAGCAAGACACTATCGCGGTGGAAACATACAAAACACCGCCGCAGTCCTGATGGAGATGATCCATAAGTATTCGGACCTCACCGAGGCGTGCTGCACATGAGATCCCTGGCGACCTGTCTCGCTATACAATAGTCTTGTTATAGACAAAACAGCAGCAGACCTGGATCCGTTGTCGACGCGACATTCCACCAAGATACTACAATATATGAATCACGCCCCACGCTCAGGTAGGTATTGCTGGGCTCTCAGGACGAACTCTATCTAGTAAAGACTGAACTACAGCGTTCAAAAATAGCATCCATTTGTGCCCCAGAATGATACCGTTTGCGACTCTCTGTAAACAGAACAATCACATGGATATGAGTCGGACACATCTCACACCGTCTGTCATCCTACCTTCATGTACAGATACGTGTATACGCAAACATGAAGATACGAATGCAATGTGCAAGCTGAAGACACGCATAACCATCCACGAGCGCGTGCCGTTTCGTATCAACCTACAGTAGTCTTCAGGCTGGCTTGCCCTGAGGGTTGTGGTCAACTCTCAACGAGACAAGCAGGTCACCGATACATCCGGCTCACATAGCGCAAGTACCGAAGCGCCCTATGCCCTGCCCTACCCCCTGAGTCGCACGGACGGCTCCCCATAGTCGACACGACCTCAACCTGAACGTGCTGTCGCTCCTCCGAAGCTCAGACGCCCGACCTCATCGTCCTTCATGGCATTGATTGGTTTTGGGTCTTGAATCCGACGGCGTTTTGACACGGTCCGACCAGCACCCACCCACTCTGGCCCCTCCCAACGCAGTTGTTTCACTCCTCATCGTGCGCTCCTTACCGTAGTACACACACCTGAAATACCAACGCTCTCAGTCTCACCTTCTCGGACACATATTTCTAAGTTAAGCCTGACGGCGCCCTCGGGATCGGTCTTGCGCCCTCGGCATCGGCCCAGTCCAGAACAGGACTTGGTCCCGGAGCCAAATGTCAAGGCCACTGTACTACTAGAAGACACATGATCTATTTCTCTACTCTGCAACTGTGTGCACAGATGACGAGCTTATGAAGACATCACGTTTTGCATCTCTTGAGCCGCATCTGGGGGCCACTTCCGAGGAATCACCAACCATGTTGATAAGAATGCACACATATCGGTTCTGGTTTAGCCGAATTTACCCAAGAAACAATCGCGTATGCGGGCCCGGTTGTGCATCCGGGCGAGCCATTGCTCGTAATCCCTGTCCAAAATGGGGTTGCGGCTCTGCTGACGTGCTCCTGACAAGAAGGCATATCTCGTGACTACGACTCCGATGTTGGTCGCGTGGGTTTCGAAGGCCTGGAAGTCTGTTTGGGCCTGGATGATATATCACAAAAGGGTTTCGCAGGCCGGCACCAAGGCAGGCGATATATGACAGCCGGCGACTAAGTTGTTGAGCAGCGGAGGCCCGTTCGCCTGGGAGGGGAGCATGCCCTTGCCCAGCCCCGGCCAAGCCTGGGGTGCTCATATTAAAACCCAAAGGGAGAGAAAAAGGACCACAGGGCCTAGAAGTCAAAACGGGGCAGCGCCACAGTTGCTCAGCTGCAAAGGAGTAGGCCAGGCCGCCCGTAACATGTTCATGCAGGGCTATTGTCCGGCTGCTACCACGGTACTGTGCCCCGGCTCACCGAGCAACGACAGGTCAAGCTCGCATGCACATGCAGATGCAAAGCTGGCTGCGTGCATCGTCTGTTCTGCCCACTGCCTGCTTTGGTATGGTGTAACCTGCAATGCGCCCTTCCGGCGGAGACTTTGCCTGTCTTTGATTGATGATCTGCACGTCAGCCATATCCGCGGATGGAGCCTCAATGGGGAGTTCCTACGTTGCGTTGGGCTCCACGACGTGCGTCGGGATGAACTCGCCCATACAACCAGCGCTACCAGAAACGGCCCTTCTATGGTACGCCTGCACGCACGTACGCACGTACGCCATCAACATGTCAGTCAGTCCGTCAGTCAGTCGATCAGTCTGCTATTTAGTACAGAACTATGGTAGACTGGATCCGTGTGGCAGCCATGAGCCATGTCATCAACTACCTCAGTCCAGGATGACCAGCCCTTGAAGAACTCATCCACCAGGCCCAGAGAGGACGTGCATCTGGGCAGAGACTCCAGCGGGAGACTCACCAATCTTGGACGGCGGGCCCTGCCGTTCAGCTTTGACCGTTGAGCTGTGACAGCGTCCCGCCGGGCTCAGACACCAGGGCACTCGTCGGAAGAGTCCGGAAACCTTCTAGAAGTCTCATTTCTCCAGCCTGGCATTTCTCACCGTTCACATCAACAAGCACCATCGCCGGCGGCGCAACGAGACAAGATCAGCCCGGCTCGGTTCGGTTCGGCACTACCGCGGCCCTGTACTGAGTCCACGCTCGATCATTACGCACATGGCAAAAAGTATTACAGCAATTCACTGCTGGTAACCAGTCTCTACCACCCTACTACCCGGCATCAACTCCCCCGACTTCCAGCGTCGCAAGCCCCCACATCCGGGAAAGTGACAGGTCGGAAGTATCTTCCGACCCTATTTTCATCGCGAGAGGAGGCAATGCCAGGCCTTCGGTGCTCAAAGCTATCGCTTTGACCATGACACACCGCACACTATTGACTACGACAAATGAAGCTGAGTGCACGATGAGACGCGTCAAAAAGTATACGCGGGAAGTAAAAAAAAAGGGAGAGAGGCGGTGAGAATTGCTTGGTAATTGATCCAATGGCCGGCCATGGGCACCTTGATGGACATGGGACAGTACTGGAGTACCTCGGCGATCCAATGCCTTGCTTCAGCAAAGCGGGCGATTTTACTTTTCGATCGGCATCCCGGTGTCATAGCAGGATCCTTCGGCACACACGCGTCACTTCGCTTCTAAGCTCTGATAACCCCCTCTCACCCCCAACAGCGCGAAGATTATTTAGCCTTCTGACCGTCGTTTTGTTTATTCACTTCTCCCTGGCCGGATAGCTGACCATGAGGACCAACCGGAATCCTTGGATGCTCAGGTCGGGTTAGCGATGGGCAAAACCTTCACATGAGGAGCAGTGTCTCATCGTCACCTCGTCTGAGCTAAGCTACAGCAACTAAGACATGAGGGTATATCCTTGGACATCTCAGGCACATGTAGACTGTTCCCTGAAAGGAGACCACTCAACGACTTTCAGAGAATGTCTTGTGGGTCTCGAAGCTGGTCTTCGAGAATTCGGTTCCCAGATGAATGATCCCGGGCCGGGGGTACTATGGACGTTCCGCCTGGTTCGAAGAAGGCCAATAGTCTCACTCTCATATACTATGCCAGGATGAGCAGCCAATCGAGATCCACTAGCGAATTCAGTGTAGCATTCATCGTGACGCCGGTCTCTGAAGCAGCACACCACCCCTCTCGGACACGGCCCGATCTATAGATCTGAACATCAGACTGTTACCGCGGCGAGCCCAACGCCACCCCCAAGCCCCCAAGGTGACGCTGAAGACAAAGCGCGAGCTGCGAGACACTTTGCTCTCTGGCGATGTATTGGGATCCCCAGCTGGAAACTTTCTCATCAACGTGTGGGCTTCGTTTCAAAACACCCACGTCCCCTCTGCTTCTCATTTAATCAGCTGACAGCCTTCCCTGCTCGGACAAATCCGAACGGGCATGACCTTTAGTCGGAGCCGAAGTCCTTGAACTTTTCGCGGCTGTCGTCTCGTCCTTCCCTACAAGGCGTACCATTGCATTATCAGAAGACATACCCGCCGCTCGCTCGCCTTGTTGTCGTTATCTCTCCAGCATGTCCCCAGTCTGTCAACTGGGCCCAATTTCCCTCGTTGACACGCCAGGAGACAGGCCCCACACTTAGAGCCGCCTTGTCAGGAACCGGCATCGAAAAAGTCTGGATGCTCTTCCGTCATGGCCGGCGCCGAGCTAGCAGACACTTAGTGTCCCACGTCTGATCCCAGTGCGGTTGTGGCTGACGACCAACCGTCAGCGGCGGCGTCTTTGCCTCGTCCGGCAAGGAGTGCGTGTTCTACTCATACCCCTTAGCGACCATCATATGGTTCGGGCGTGGGTACCCTCGTCTGATGTCTGCTTCAGCACACAACAACGGGAATCTGTCGCAGTTGTCCATGGGACGGGCTATGGTGCCACCATCCATACGAGCATCCATGCTACCACGCACAACACACATGCATACGACTTGGGAATAAGCCTTTGGAGCCGCGTGGGCCCAACCTGGCCAACCTGGCCAACCTGGGATCGCCCATTCTCGAGTAACACGGGCATCGCATGAGGCAACAAAACTCTCTGCGTCGTCCCTCCTTACGCCAGCCCAGCAGCCTTAAACCCTGCCGAATATATGCACGCAGGAGGAGTCGGTGACGGCGACGACTCACATAGACTTCAGCCAAGCTAAGCCCAAGCCCAAGTAAGGCGAGGACCTCAGCCGCAGCCCGCCCGCCCAGCCATGTATGCCTTGCATAAGGTTGTGCCATACGCACGCTTACGAGGCTCGTGATTTTCCTACGCGAGCGCGCTCGAAGGCAAGCACGAATGGCGATGATTGATTGTGCTTTTTGACACGGATGTCTCGGGCATCTTCATTGACAGGCGTGCATGTCGGGAGGTTCGGGCGTGACATTCACGAATCTGTGAGACAACGTGTCACTGTACCCGAGACATCACATCACTCCCAGCCAGGCTGAACAATTTACCGGAGCACGCCTCGCTCACCGCCCTGTCCGGAACTATTTCAGTAGACGTCCAATGCAGCGTCGCGGTGAAGGAGGGAAAAGCAAAGCCCATGATCCCCTCGGACGTCCACCTATCGCGCCAGCAAAGCATCATGCTCTCGGCCCTCCCCGACATAATGCGGCGTGCTGTGTCGGGAAATGATATGAAGACATGGTGTGTTCATGCTGGTCACGCACAAACGCCATGACAACAGGCTTGTGGCTTCTCGTCGCAGAATAGTAGATATCCAGCGTGCGAAAGTCGCGACAATCTCTACTTCACATGACGGCAAGGCAAGGGGGAAAGACCACCCCCATCCCTGTTGATTACTGCCAGGGAGGCAAGGCCGTATGTTGCCTCCGATTGGGGGATCTGTAAGGGCAATAAGATCTCCGGCTTTGCAGCTGTCAAAGGTGCATGATCTGGCAGGTGTGAGATGCATAAAATCCAAGGGGGTTCGATTTCACACAAGGGCATAGTGGAATGGCCCAGGTGACCCCTCTCCTGTAATCAAAGAATGCAAACAAGGTCTATTGTGAAACTGTCTCTCAACAGAGAAGAAATACTGGTATGCGATTGGCACACCCGGAGCTCGCTCGCACGGTTGAACCAGCAGACCACAGATCCCAACACACGGAACGAAGACTTGGGAAACTAGAATAGAACAAGTTACGGCCGCCAGCGTTCGTAGTAGTCTCATGTTAATGCCCAGCCTAGCTCACTAGTCCCGTCTATTGCGCATACCCACATCGGCCTGATCCACTGTTGGTTACATAGTAAGCAATTACAAACAGTGAGAATGATCTCGAAGAAACTTCCCGCTCGGGAGCCCCCTCCCAGAAACCGAAATATCGTTTACGCCTCGGAGGGCCGAAAATGTTTCACAACCCGGATCGCCAGCAAACCCCACGTGTCAAGCCCACGGCGGACCCTCTCTTTGGCCCCAGTCCTCTAATCTCGTTCAATGTTGTCAGTCTACTTACATGTTCAGGGTGATTGACGCGGAAAGAAACCCACACACAGCCCGCTTTGGGACACCCACACAATGGAACAGAAAGTTTGATAACTGAAAGACTGGGAAACTCCAACTGGTGTAGCCCAGTCACCCAAAACTTCCAAACGTCTCACGACCCCCACCGAGATGCTGCTCCACCTGGAATACGCAGCGTGACACCCAGACTGGAGTTGAGAGTTCAGTCTCAGCCCGGCTGGAGCCCACTCACCCACCCACCAGGAACCGACTGATGCAACAGCGTCAATCTGACAGCTGTCAAAGGCCACCAGGCCCAGCCGGGAAAGGAAAGAGAAAACCGTTGTATGCAGCTACTGTCCCGTCATCAGTAGTTCGCGGCTCCAAGTCTCGCCCTACCACGGTACGGAGTGCGCTGGCCCTAGTAGCTCGCTCGCTTGCATAGTTTGGTAGAAAACGGTTTTCCGGACAGGCTGCACCCAACTTGGCCCTCATGCCCTCAACCCTCGCTCGTCCCTCTCAGGCCTTCACAGCCAGTCCAGCTGTGCTTCCCTGGACCACGTCAAAGCGCTGCGATACGAGGCAAGCATGCAGCGATCGGCCGCGAGGTTCCATGGTGCTTGGCGCTGCTGTGCATCGTCTGCCCCTACTGTCAGGACTGTCAAGTGGGCCGGCCGGTCAGTCATAGATGCTGCCCGGGGTCCAATGTCCCATACACCCCCCCCCCCAAAGCCATCCCATCATCATTCACCCCCCATCCCCACCCCGGCGCCTCCTCTTATCAATCGCACGTTATAACAACCATCGCAGACACTCAGACCCCTCCGGCCCCTCCTCCAGCTCCCAGCAGGCCACACAAAAAGGGCCCAGAAACGTCCCAATGTCTTCACCGGTCGTCCCAAAAAGGCACAGCGGCCGCCGCATTGACGCTGGTTGACGCTGGGTATGATGGATCCCGAGGCGGCCCTGGACGCGCCCAGTTGGAGTCAATGAGTCCCGCCGTCGGCTTGACAAGACGGGATGGTTCCGCGGAATGGCGGGAGAAACGGGAGAAGCAATGTGATTCTGTATGCGACTCTGTGGCTCTCTGCCGACGTCGTATAGAGAGACGCCCTCTCTCCCCCCTCGACGTCGGCGATCCAGCGAATCGCCGACCGAACGACGTGGGATTTTCACTAATATTCACGTTTATCTGTACGCCGAACTGGGGTTTTCCTGGCGTGAGTGGTGTGTTGGGCGCTTCCTGGGCCACTGTCAACACTTGCCGTGGCCAGGCCAGGCCAAGCCGATTCATCTTTGTGTGGCATCATGTCGCACGCGGAACGAGAGGATCCCCTCGCATCGCTAAAATTGCCCCAGCAGTCATGGGCGGAAGCAGCTATGCAGCTATGCCGCCATGCACCTTGGCGGCGAGGTGGGCAGAGCGTGACATCCCGGCCAGCCACGCGTAGTCAATATAACATAGCCAACAATTAATGAGAAAAAGTAAAAAAATTACCCGCGTGCCCTCCTGTCCGCGACGTCACTCACTACTTGACCCCCAATTTCCCGACCAGGTAACAGAATCGTCCGGAATATATCTGGCATAGATATAGTTGCAACCGCGACCGCAACCGTCACAGTGACAACCACATAAACCCCCCGGCCAGCCATCCATCCATTATCACCGCCGAACTAGACCCCCCCTGAGATCTCGGTGCCTAACAATGCGATGCGAAGCTGATGTGGTGCCGATGCGGAAAGCCGATAACAATGTAACCTAACTGAGGTACCTGGGCGGCAACGGTGACACCCGCGCATCAGTGTGTCACAGATCGATATCACTCGCAGTCTAGACCGCCGCACCCGCGAAGGTTAAAATAAAAGTCACCCAGTCGAAACCACCACATGGACAAAAAAAGCCAAAAATGAGAGAAAAGAAGGTTATTCCTCCAAACACAGCGGCACCCCGCCCGGAAATCATTTAGTCCCCGGGCCGAGGCGTCCGTCTCGGTGAACACGCAGGACTATCATGTGCCTGCGTACGTGTGTTGCCGCCGTCTTGTGAAAGTGATGACGAGCAAACGCCGAACCAGGCCAATCAGCCCGGTGGCTTCTTGTGTCTTGTTGCCCCCGCTGCTTGCACAGAATGATCAGAGGTGCTGAAGACATAGCTCGCTCTTTACCGCGCTAGGGTGTCATCCGGTCTGCCATTCAGTCCTTAGCCCCAACGGCGTGCGCGCACGATGTGACAGCACGTCATTCTGTTGGGAAAGGGGGATATCGGCTTTAGTCTTTCCTCTCCGGGAAGAGGGGGCCGAGCGGACGGAAGTAAGGCATCGGTGAGAAGATTTGGTCGATGTGTGGCTTCATCAAGTACTGTCTTCTTTGGAGGTGTAGGTGGACATCAATATTAGAACACTGTATATTCACGTGAAAGCCCCCGAAACGCGTCGGGAGGAATATAGCAGACAGAGCACTTGGCAGAAGTGAGCGAAACACGGATTTCAAGGCTTGCATATTATGAATTTGTGAAATGAAGACTGAAATTGTCGCTCGCTTTGAAGTGTTAATGGTATCGTCGCTCTATGAAATGCTAGGTAGAAAGATGCATATTTCCCGGGAGGTGTAGATATTCCCGTCTCTGCCACACTCGCATCATCATAACCACTTTGAAGAAGGCTGCTTGATGCGAGTGTCGAGAATTCGTGCGGGTTTCAGAGAAAAAGCTGCGAAGGGCGACAATGCTGGAGGCAGGGTGCTAATGAGGACACCAGTGCTGGTTTCCCGGTTTCCTCAGACCTTCCTTTCGTCCCTTCTTTCTTGAGTCTCCACCTCTTAGAACTGTCCGAGATGACCAGGCTCTGGCATATCTACATAACCGCTCAGAACCATGCCGACGTGCTTGCTCATGAATTCGCCGCGAACTTGCCGGGCCATCTAAGCCACAGGTCCTTCGAAAGCCGTATGTAAGTGACATTGGCGTGGCACAGTGTTCGTGCAGTGATTCTCGCCGGTATTTGTTGCCGGGTATCGCATTCACCTTCAGAGGCAATAGTCGCCACGTAGGCCAGAGAAGCTCATCGCAGTTCTCACCCAGACATCCGTCTGCGCTTGACTTTACGATCGGACACACCCAACCAACTTCAGTCGTTTAGGCCGAAGATCCCCTTGGCGATACTCCAGGCCCACTCAGCCTGCGGATCCACCTCCTTCAGGTCGCCAATCCACTCCAGCCCTAGCCTGACCGTCTCGCGCGCGTCGGCCTCGAACCTTGCCCCACAGATGCCGCTGGCCTTGATCCGCGCGAGTATGGGCACCTGATCACTTAGATGCAAGATGACGAGCGCGCCGAGGATGTTCTGTGTCCAGAAGAACAGGCACGGAATCAGAAGCTTGCGCGTGCAGGCAGGCGACATGGTGATGGGCCACTTGAGGCACGTGTTGAGGCACGTCGCAACCCCATCCGCATCCTCCTTGGTCATTTGGTCTGGGTGGTGGAGCGCCTTGTAGATGAACGGTCTGTAGAGCAGCAGCTTTGTAGTGTAGTAACGCGTGCGGAGCAGGGCAATTTGGATGTCCATTGCATAGGGATACGCAACCGGCTGGCTGCTGAGATCCGCTGTAAAAACGACCGATGTTATTGGTGGCATGCCTGAAGAGGGAGCTGGCGATGGTGCTGTCACGGGTGTGGTCGTCGCGTAGACTGTGGCACCGTATATACCCTGGGTCGTCGACGGAAATAGTCCAGGGTCGGGTTCTGCCCAGCGGAGGTGCATGGGCAATAAAGTCTCGCGCCATTGATCGAGTTGCATAGCAAGTGGCTTGATTGCGCCCGGTATCGCCGGCGCAGGTGACAAGGAAGATGATATGGAGGATGCTGGCGAGCCCGATACTGCAGAAGGTCAGCCCGGTTGAACACGAGATATGCTCACCTCGAGATGGGATGCATAAAAATACTGTCACATCTTTCGTGAACGTACCATTGCTAAGGACGTTGTTGAAGTCCGCCGACAGTCGCCGAAGCACGATCTGGGACGCAAAATGCTCCTGGAAATGACTGATGTAGTCCTCCTGCGAGATTGGGCCCCCAAAGTCTGGCACTCGAACCAGAGTCTCGTATTTGTCCAGCCCAGTCAATGGCATTCCTAATTCCAGGTTGAAATAGCTAAAGCTTGTGAGTCCCCTCTGCGTAGGTAGTAGGATTGGGATCGACTAACGTCTCCATGACCGAGCAGTGCCAAAAGGCTCTCTTAACAATATCCCCACGCGCGGATGTGAGTTCCTCAGGATTGCTGTTCCCTCTGTAAGCCAACGCCAACGCCATCCGAGCGGGAGTCCGTGGTTCACATACCTTGATAGCAAAGCCTGACAAGCAGAAGACGCAGAAATTGTCATGCGCCAGAAGTCCTGGTTTTGTTATTGTGCCGTCCCAAATTTTGGAAATGATGCGTAAGAAGAGAACAGGGCAACTCACCATGTGGCAAAAGCACGTCTCGTAGTAGATTCTGGTTGACATTAGAAAGAGCCCAGTTCGCTGAAAGGGGACTGGAGGGACTTTACCCTGCGAGAGCGAAAACCTGGACATTTTCCAAACTGCACTCGGTCAGACTGAAGCCCATTCTCCTCCGTGCCTCGTTGAAGAATACCAGTCCAGGATGCTTGGCTGTGACGCGTGCCTTTACGCGTCCAGGACGCGAGTAGGCGTCGATGGCAACCTCACCCAATGCAAAGATCAGGTATGTCAATGTTGACTGGATACTGTCGTCAAACATGAGTCCGTTCGTCAAGATTGCCGGAAGGGTTGTCGATATGAATGCTTGGCGGTCGACGATAGGATGCAGGAGGTTGAAAGTGTCGAAGAAGGCCTTGGTGAGGACCTGAACTGACTCCCAGGTCAGGCTGTTTAACACCTGAGTGGAAGATGGAGAGCCGGCAGAGGATGGAGATTCAAGACTTGATGCAGCTCGACTGCGCCGCCTCGAGCCGGTTGCGGCTAGGGGCAATGGCGGTCCTGCTCCTTGTAGTATTGAAATTCCGTCTTGTTCGGTCAGAGAGGACTGGTCACGACCGGGCACACTTGGGAGGGTATCTTTCAGCAGCTCCTGGACGGCGGGCCAGCCGAGCATTGCTTGCGCCGAAGAGACATAGTTGTAGTGCGTCACATTCCCGGGCGACAGCACGGCGTCTGAGGGCGGCGCAGGGACAAAGGCGCTGCTGCTCACGCTTGCGATGCTCCCACCGATGCTTCCTATGGGCGCTGGTGTTTGCACAAACGCATCGCCAGAAATTGAGGAATGGAACGCAGTTGATAGGCCTTGGGCAGTCAAATTGTCTATCTTGCCTTCAAGGGATTTGATGCGCTCTAGAATCTCAACGAGAGTCTTGTCCTTTTTCGTGGGCTGAGGCTCTCGGTACCGGCAATCTAACTTGAACTTGACGCATGTACCACACTTGGGTCTCTGTTCGTCACATTTTTGCTTTCTTGACCGGCAGGTATCGCAGGCTTGCGCGGCAATGGCACCTCGCTGCGTGCGCGACAGTGTACTGGGTCCCGAAGCCTGAGGACTTGACGCTGGTGAACCAGACCCGGCTTGAGATTCCCCTTCCATATCTAGCTCGTCGCCCACTCACCGGATCAGTCTCCGGGTTATCTTGAGTGGTCAGCTGCTCGAGGTTGGTGGAATATGTATTTGCTTGATCGAGCACGAGCGAGACATCCGCGCAATTGCCGAGAGAAAGCACTTCGAGCAAGACCGATTGCATGTGAGGCCAACGAAAGCTCGATTTTCGGCTCGAGCAAGCCGCTGGATGTTAGGCTTGGCCAGGCAGGATGAGGTCTGGGCTGTTGCAGGCCCAGATTGTGGTGTCGAGACGGGGGTTGTATTTCATGCGGGATTTGCGGGTGCGGTGAGAGATAGAGATTGAGGTGAGGAAGCAAGTGATGGCGGTACAGAGCCTCGTATTGGAGCGACGGCAAGGTCACGCAGCTGTGGTCAACAACTTGGAATGCAAAAGGCAAATTTTAGATGTACAGACAGAAGGGTAGCAACACAAGCAGACGAGGCCATCAAGAGGCAAGGATAAATTGAAATTCCGTCGTCGAGGCGACGTAGGCATTCGTGGACGGTAGAGGGACGGAGGAGGTGATCCCTGAATTCCTTGCTTTCTGTGTGGACCTACGTCATAAGGCTGCTGCACGCGGGTCGGAGTATTATTGCGCACTTGGCCGAGGGGACTCATGAAAAAGGGAAGATAGGGATGGGGGGGGCAAACGATGACGAGCCCCCAGGCCAGCTTCTGGAGCTACCACAGCAGTGGGTGGCTTGTGGCACTCGAGCACATGGGCATGTCAGCCCAATGGCGACATAGCCCAGCAAGAGATGAATGCACGGCCCTGTAGGAAAGAGCCGTCGGGATATCGAGAGTGGCAGGGCAGGGCAGGGCAAGCATCACCTTTCGAGAGGCGTTTGACGGGGCATGGAGGCGCGCAGACGATGCCCACTTTCTGGACGAAAGGGGAGCGCGATGCCTGTAAGCGAGGGCGACCGCGGGCCTGACCGAATGCGCGTTGGGTAAGCTGTTCAATCGAGCCTGGCGACGGCACGCGGGCAAGATCCAAGGATGAGGATGACGAGGTTGGACAGGGCGATGATCACCTGGGGAGCCTCAACGGCTAGCCCGTTCCTGTTCTTGCAGTTGATCGACAGCACCACAGCGCCGACAGAATGGACCGCTTGCAGAACGACTCGCCTTGACCTGAAATAAGCTCAAGCGATATGTCGAAGAGTGGTTCTGCGTACCAGAGTGCTGGATCTCACTCAGCCTCTGAGCCCAGGGCGGCTGCTGACTTGACTTGGCTGCTCGGATCCGACTTCAAGGGCCCGATTCCACCGCTGCGCTGGCGGGACAGCGGGAGCAGCCACTGGTCTACTGTGTACTCTGGTAGTTAGCCTTCTATTGCCGCCCGAAACGTCCCAACCGGGTTAGTCAACACAGCAACCAGTCCAGCCTCTCACACATGTTTGTCGAATAGAGATAGAAAAGACTGCATGATATTATGTTCCTTTGAAACTAATTATCTTGAGACTGCTCACGCTATGGTTCTTTGGATTAAAGGCAACCCGGTGCAGGGTTGTGACTCAGCCCCTTACTACCAGCTCGCCCTTCACGTAGGTTTCCATCCTAGCAGGTAGGAATTTGAATATGTGTCTTAGTTTTAGCGTTCCTGTCACCAAAGGCGCTTTGGCGGAGTGGTTAACGCGATGGCCGTAAGTTTCCCATTAAAGACAGATCCACTAAAGCCCTAAAGCTTATCTAACACATCAAAACAGTGCTAAGCCATTCCCTTCGGGGGCCAGAGTTCGAATCTCTGAGGCGTCGAATCTTTTTCATCTTTTTTGTCTTTTTGCACCAGTAAAGATAGTTTGAAAGAACTCATCTTTTGGTTGTTTCTTTTTACAACCAAAGGGAATGGCTTGGCAGGGCATTCCACTTCGCTATCGTGCCTTGTATGGAGCTTTGGCGCTGCCTTTTTACCTGTTCCCAGAGCGCGAACAGCTTGTCGCCGATTGTCTATGTCATGAGGATTGATCTCGGAAATGTGGCCTTTGAATTGAAGGGCCGCCGTGTCTGCAAATAAATTGTTTCATCCGCAGCATTCCGAATATCGATTTCTTCGGTGGTGAAATGGATCGTTCATGTATCAATGACGATTCACTCTTCCAAGTAAGCCTTTCAACTTCGGCGGAGCTCTCAGAGGCATAGTACCTGATTTGAATTCCTTCTTGGGGACCGATTCTGATCTTGCTACCATTCAGGTCTTTCTGTCTTACCTGCATGATATTGGTTGCCCTGTACTGTGTCTTCTTCATGGGGAGATCCAACTGCGATGGATCACTGACAGAAGCATCTTCATCTTCTATAGGTAGGTCTAGCGTTTCCTCTATTGTCAGCATGTCCGGAGCCCCGCCGATAATATGTGCTTGCTAATCTTGCAAATCGAGCTCTTGATCCATAGCCACGGAGGCTAATTGTCTGCAGTCTATTTGAGCTTCGTGCTCGGCCTCAAAGTCGAGGTGGTCCGCGCGTGATGGGAAGCTGTTATGCTCCAAGGACTGTTGGCTTTTTTAGTCCATGCGAATGGTCTCCAAGATCTTCTGTACCTCGTCTACACATTCGAAGACAATCCTGTGGCGCGCCTTCGGAAGGTCGCCCTTTGGTTCGAAATGACTCGATGACGTTGTGTGGAGAGGGGGGGGGGGGGATGGCGACTTTTGGCTCTGCGATATCGATGAAGTCCAAGCACCCTCACCTCCTAAGGCAAGAAACTCTTCATTATGTTCTCTGCGGTGTCCGTCGGTTAGATCTGTAATATGTTTCTTCATACTCCGGAATGCCTCAACATCGAAGGGCTCGTCGTGACGTTTCCGGGAAGCGCTGGGCCCGGAGATGATAGATCTCTTTTTCGACCTCAGAAGAACGGATAGCACCATCAAAAGACCCCAACTGAGAGAACCGGCAATAGTTTCAGTCTTTCAAATATCCTCCAGGTGATCGATACTTTTTCGAAATGACCAGACCCTCAATATTCATCTAGGGTATCGATAGTCAGTTTAGGCTACCCCTTCCATTCCAATGCCACCCCAGAGATAATAGACCGCTGGATAGAGCTTGTTTGAACAAAGTATGGTCTGGTCGCGGCCAATGAGGCTATGGAACTCTAAATCTCAAAACCTCACTGATCCGGGTGGCAGCCGTGGTGCTCCTAGTACGGAGGTTCGCTGAAAGCTCTGGCCAACGAACAAAAAGGCGGGCTATGCCGGAACCAGTGCCGTCGTCGACATATATGGGGTATTTACAACCGCGGAGCTCGAGCATGAATCTTTGAGAAAGCCCCAAGGCAGTCCGAATCGTGTGTCCGGCCAAAAGTCCGCACAAGAATATGACCTGTAGCCGACTCGCCCTGATGAGCGTAGCGTGCTTCTCGAGAGCCAACGCAGCTGCGGACACGGTCTGCAACATTTGATTCAGGCCCTCCACATCGAGGATTGAGACGTCATTGAAGTTCGGGGTCCACACAAGTGTATTTGATGCGTTGAAGCCGCAACCCGTGCAGTGACCATAGAAGCTAACCAACAGCAACCGACGTATCCTTCCCTGCTATATGTCCATGTTTCTGTCCAACCGTAGGTGGGCAAGACTCATGAGACACGACAAATCCGATTCTTGCCGTCATGTTGCCAGTCCATACCAATGAGTCCAGGTTGGGGTCCTCTGTGTTCTCCATAAAACGCTCTTTATTTACTGCAGTCGCTAGCGAAGCTGTGATCGTCTGTAGCAAATATCATCGGGTATTGCGTTGTTCAAAGCCGCAGTGAAGTCAGATCGGCACAACGGTCGTTGGTTTGTGCGGAGAACCTCGCGGTTTTTGCTTGAGAGCTTGACGAAATCCCAGCCAAGCTTGGGTTTGTCATCAGGAGATCCGGAAATTGCTTTGGAAGCTTTCAACTTGAGGAAGCTCAGTCCCTGACCACCTCTCTGACCACGTCCCTGAATGAGTGGCGTCGTAACATTGAGTCCATAGTAACTCGAAGCGATTTCATCCTTGGTAAGAACACGCTGCATCGACCTGAAAGCTTTGCAGAACAAAATCTCCAGAATATTGGCCCTGATATGATACATTTGAGCTAATGTTCCTGACTCAGGGAATTGCCGAAGCTAAATAAAGTTTACGGTCCAGTGTCCACTGCCCATGAATATCATGAAGTGGTGCAATGATGTGCGCGAGCCCTTAAGGATACTCGCAGCATGCTACCACAGGATTCGACGTACGGCATTTGTTTTCTATTCCAATCTCCATTTGAACTTTTTTTTTAAAAAATAAAAAATAAAAAAAAACAGTATCAGTTTCCTTTTTTATCTTTTAGATCGGCATTGATTACAAAACATTTGACCAAGGTACGAAAAAGATTCGACGCCTCAGAGATTCGAACTCTGGCCCCCGAAGGGAATGGCTTAGCACTAAGATGGTATGTTAGAATTGGTTAGGAACAGGTATTATGTAATAGGTAACTTACGGCCATCGCGTTAACCACTCCGCCAAAGCGCCTTTGGTGACGGGAAACCAAAGTTCGGCTCTAATATCAAAAGTTCCTAGAATCACGGTTTGTGCCCGAGCCAGCCCCGCCAGGCGACCATTTGGGTGCCTGCAGGGCTGCGAATTGTTGTATTTGAAAGCACAAAGTGTCTCAATTTCTTCTGCCTCGGTTATACAAGTAGTCCTAGGATGTGAAGTTATCTGATTTGTTGATGGCCCAGGTAGTCAATGTATGTGCCTCCTCTAGTATGTAATCATGCCTCTTTATTGTCTTCATTGACATTCTGGAGTACAAGTTGCTGTTGACAAGTTAGGTTATGATATCGAGAGCAGAGCACAGAGATTTGTCGAACCTGAATGAAGAACTGGATAAGGTAGTCGGACTGTGTCATGATGATGCTGTTGAGGCGTATATTTCTCTGTGGCTTTGCGGGGGTTGTTAGTATGAAGTTCAGAGAGCCACGAGTATAATGCACCCAACCTGATGACTGCTGCGGATGTGGATTTGTCTTGGTCTGCTTGAGTGAATGATGTTGCCAACTGCATGTAGGCAAGTGAGAAAGGGGCAAAATGTGCAGTCGTGGATAAAGGACTTATTAGTACTTTTCCGAAAAAGCAGTCTTCAGGCTGCAACCATCAAGCCCTTTCTTTATCACCGGATCTGGGGATGCACCAAAAGCACAAACCTATCGTTGCATGCGTAAGAGGTCTCCCACAGTAGTCAACATGAGGCCACCAGTTGATGCCCCTTGTAAACCTGTCATCCTCTCCTCCAGCTTAGAATCGCCATGATGAGATTATTTACACCAGACTTCGGGTTAGTTATCACTAACTTTATCCTTGCAATCTCAAATGAATGTCTAATTCAAAACCAATAAAAGAACGTGAAACAGCACCTTGCCGCTGCACTGTAATTTAACACCAAAAGGTCAGAATTCCAGAATGCCTTCTGCATTACAACGCAGTTCTGTATAGCTGTGCAGTCACACATGGCTGCTTGGCTTCTTCGATGTGAGACTCGAGGATGATATTGGATTTACATCCAGGAGCTAGCAGGCCATCGAGGTCGTCCCGTGAGGGCTTTTCGGTTGGTACAAAACGACTAATAGCTAGGACAGTCGGCCAGATTGAGGTACTCTTCGAGCTGAGGGAATTCCCCATCACGGAGGAACCACGAGGCCGCGCAAGCCATGTGAAGCAAATCTCTACATTCAATAGGTTCTGAGCCCGGATGGCCCTGCTGTTTGGCATAAACTGCTCTCTCATTGGCGTGGATTGAGCAGCATATCGAAGCCCTGGTGAGATCAAGTCACCTGAAGGAACACGAGACAGTTACAATGGTCCATGTTCAAGAATGCAATGCCATATAACTACCCCTTCTTCTTGCGTACCAGGTAAGGATTGGAGGGCTTGGAGACATAATGTCTGCAACTATTTTGAGACAAACAGAGGTCATGTACACGTAGTGGTTCCCTTGCAATTTTTTGAATCTTGCGGAATTAATAGATTTCTATCCTTTTAACAGAATATCTAGTCTTCCAACAGTTTATCTGGTCTAATAGAGGAATCCTTCTGACAGAACTTCTAGTCTAAATAGAGTATTCATTCCTTAATATGGCGTGCTCCATAGAAGTAAAAATAAGATGATGAGCTTAGGAGCTTCTTCCTCAGAAGCAACCTAGGAGCCTCAGACTAAAGATTTCAGATCAAGAATCTCAATTGATTAAACTGATTTGAAATTATTAGTAATTAAAATCGACTAGAAATACTCTTAATTCTCAAGAATCTTCATAAAAGAACCAAAGAGGGAATCTTTTTTTAGTTAGAAATCATACCCAGCTAAGAAAATAAAGGAAAATCCGGGAGGAAATCTCTATCAGAATACTCAGTCAATTACTCTCAGAAGATGATAAATTCTATCAGAATCATCTTCTCTTCTGATTAAAAGAAATTCTCAAAAGAATTGTAATAGAATCATTATATATATTAATATCTTTCTTAGCGACGATATAATCGCTGATATCATATTCTTAAATTCGCAAATCTCCCCAAGGTAGTAAGCCGTCGGGAAGGTGGTTGTATCGGGCGGACGAAGTATTGTCTCAAGGATGTTCAATGGTCCGTACGAGGCTGCTGTGGCAGCGTTACTCGTCCAGAGAGGCAAGGCCTATTTCCGATATTACGCGGTGGTGCTGCGAATCAGTCACTGCAGCAGGGATCGCATAACTCGCTTGCACCATTATCAAGGCCCAATTGCAGTCAATGCCTTTCGAATATGGATAGTTAATATGCTTGTACAGCTTGTAGCATTGTGCTCGGCCGAAACCCAGCGTATTATAGGCTTTGGTCCGAACTCGGATTATGGATCTGCCTTGGATGTATAACGTTTTAACAAGAGAGTTTTGGTCGAGCAAATCGCCTCAATTTTATGTTTGCTGACGAATATTGAGTAATCGACTCGGTGAATGTTGGGTATACATCTTGTTCTCTCTTCCTATTCCTCCTCCTACTTCTCTTCATCCTGCTCCTCTTCACCTTCCAAGACCGGACTCTTGACCCCAGTGAGGATGTATCTAAGTACATGTAGCAGTTTCCTTGCGTCAATATGTGCCCGGTGGTGAGTATAGGCTAAGGGAGATTTGGGAAAGAGTAGCTAGAATAGCGTTGCGAGATGTATTAGGCTACAATAGCCCGCCATTCTCGAGAGGTCGTTGCTATGGAGGTATTTATCCAGTACGCTGCGTTCTGTAAACTCGTGCTTTAGGGTAAGCCAATCCTAACCATTTAACGATTACTCAATTAAGAAGCTGTTTTTAAGACTAAGGGCGATTATCTCTCTCTTAAGCGGCGTTTAGTAGCAGGCCTCTCGTGTTATGCGTAGTGCTTGGAATACTGTAGATTCTGCACGCGAATGCTATCAACTGTTCCACATTCCCCTTGCACAGCTCCGAAATTGTATTGTCCCTGTGCTGAAGGGTTGTTTCCAGCCTGACTACCCCGTTGGCATTTGGAATAGCTAGCTTGAGGATCAGAAGCTTCCTTGGCTGGCCCCCCTTGGCCCTGACAAGGGTTGTTTTGGTGTTGACGACGACGTAAACGGCCTTGCCTTCTCCAGGATTAACTTCTATTACGCGCGAAACATGGTGCTAAATTGGATACGGCTGGCACTAAGATCAGATACCCACTACTCCATGTCTGCCGGTGACAGTATCTTCCAAAGCCTCGCGCCACGCTGTTGGCTGCGGGACGTCCTGGCCGGGTCGGTTAGGCGCCGCTGGGCTGCCCTCAGCCTGGCCTCTGGCCTCGCCTGGGCGTGCTCCTGGCAGTCGATGCTGTCTACGAGTCACCTCATCAGATACTACGTCTGCGACCTCGATCAAAGGCAACCAAATGCCCGCCTGGAACTTGTCTCAAACGGTGTAGCTGGGTGATACACCCCCCTAGGATAGCACAGCAGTTCAGCACGACAACCAACACACACCTACAATGCATAGAAAAGCATCACAGACCTACAAACGCTCCTACAAAAATAAGTCACTCAGTGTCTGGCCTAGCACAAATCCATTTCCAGGCTGCTGACCACAGCCCAACGTACCCAGCTTTGCTCACTGTCTTTACATCCGGGGCAGGCTTTAGATTTGCCCCTACCTCACTTTAGCACGGTCACATTCTGGCCTCATAACCATTTGGCAGCTCAATAGAAGGGGCGAGTATAGAGGTAGCGTGCATTTCGAGCTCCCTTGGTTCATTGAAACTCAGGCTCAGCTCTACACTGGCTCAAGACTCGGCAAGGTCGGTGGAGTGTGAAAGCGACTGCGGTGTTTGGGTCTAGCCACACCTTGATCTCCAGTCTCAAGGGTCCAGTCCAGTCCATGTCCGGGTCCAGGGCCGGAGGGCACAAGCCTCGGTCCAGGTGGTGTCGTAAAGGGTGGGACTCATGCTCGTCATGGTAGAAATGTAGATGGCTGGTGGTCGGGCCAGTCCCACGACATTACGGGAAAACGTACTAGCACATTTGTGTAGATTTAATAACCGACATGAAGGCTGTTGTTATGGATGGAATGGTCGACCGAGGATCAATGCAACAGCAGCCCACGGGAAGGCAGCAACAGCCTTTATACGAGCGCTGTGTGTCGTGGATCCCCGACGAGTCCGGGGCAAGTGAAAACGAACATCGCGGTGTCGGAATCATGGGCGCCAATGCAGTACGGCTTTCTGACGGCGGGACGCGATGGGCTGACTCAGCAGGGTCGGAGCCGTTCGACTCCGTCTTGCGAACGGCGGCTGACTAACCGGATCCATCTCCACCCCCTGTCTCCGCCTGCCCCCAAGCGGCCGTAGAAGTACCCAGGTACCCTCAGCCTGACGCAAGGCAACAGAAGCTTGGGTAAGCTCGGTCGCTCTGCACCGCAACGCGGCAAACCGCCCGTCTGTCTGCACGCCTACCATCTAACTGTCTCGACGATTCCATCGACACATCACCACCCTTTTCTCGCAACAGCCATCTCACTCCTTCGCTCTCCAACCTCAGTCCAGTGTCCATTGGATCCCGATCACACAAGCAATTCCATCTGGGACTGCTTCCTACACCCCTCCGCCTCCTCCTCATCCCGACCTGCCCAACATGTCTGATCCAGAGCGGGCCGACGCCATCGCCAAATACACCGACTCGCTGCTTGAGTCGCGGAACTGGGAGGTCAAGCTGAAGAACCTGCGCCTGGAGATTAAGGATTTGGAGAAGGAGTTCAACAACACAGAGGAGAACATCAAGGCATTACAAAGCGTAGGCCAGATCATCGGCGAGGTCCTGAAGCAGCTCGACGATGAGAGATGTGAGAACGCACAATGCCCACCCTTTGCCGTGCCCACAAGCACCATTCTGACCTGTCCTTCCGCAACATAGTCATCGTGAAAGCATCCTCCGGCCCTCGGTACGTCGTCGGCTGCCGGTCCAAGGTCGACAAGGCGAAAATGAAGCAAGGAACACGTGTCGCGCTCGACATGACCACCCTCACAATCATGCGCATGCTGCCCCGAGAAGTCGACCCCCTCGTCTACAACATGTCCCTCGAAGACCCAGGCCAAGTGAGCTTTGCCGGCATCGGTGGTCTCAACGACCAGATCAGAGAGCTGCGTGAGGTCATCGAGCTGCCGCTCAAGAACCCAGAACTGTTCCTGCGTGTCGGTATCAAGCCACCGAAGGGCGTCTTGTTGTATGGCCCCCCAGGAACGGGAAAAACTCTTCTTGCAAGGGCAGTGGCGAGCAGCTTGGAAACAAATTTCTTGAAAGGTGCGTTCATGTAGCCAATATCCGGACAGCGTTGTGCTGTGAGTGCTGGAAGCTAACAGATCCTGTGTCTGATCTACAGTCGTCTCCTCCGCCATCGTCGACAAGTACATTGGTGAATCCGCCCGTCTGATCCGCGAAATGTTCGGCTACGCCAAGGAACACGAACCATGCATCATATTCATGGACGAGATCGACGCCATTGGAGGACGACGTTTCTCGGAGGGCACATCAGCAGATCGAGAGATCCAGAGAACGCTCATGGAGCTGCTCAACCAGCTCGACGGCTTCGACTACCTGGGCAAGACAAAAATCATCATGGCCACGAACCGACCCGACACACTCGACCCTGCGCTGCTACGTGCCGGACGTCTTGACCGCAAAATTGAGATCCCTCTACCCAACGAGGCTGGCAGACTCGAGGTCTTGAAGATTCACGCCAGTAGTGTGATCACGGAGGGTGAGATTGATTTCGAGAGCGTGGTCAAGATGAGCGACGGGCTGAACGGCGCTGATTTGCGAAACGTGGTTACTGAGGCGTGAGTCTAAGTTTCCCAGTACTCTTATTCCCCTTTGATGTAATAAATGAGCACTAACACCAGCGCAGAGGCCTGTTTGCCATCAAGGACTACCGAGACGCAGTGAATCAGGACGATTTCAACAAGGCCGTGCGCAAGGTGGCTGAGTCCAAGAAGCTGGAGGGCAAACTAGAGTACAAGCAGCTATAATCTTGAGATTTGGGACATGATAATGCCTGCATAGGGTATTAGGAAAGGCATAGTGTTTTGATAGAGGCCGAGTAGGAAGTCTGGGAGAGGTGTCGAGGAGCTCCCGCCGTCTGGTATGAACGGTGTGTTCATCATACCTAGCTACCCAGCCTAGGTAGTAAATCATGACACATACCAAAAACAAACATTCCAGTATTTGATCCAAATGAAGCAAGGCATTTGCTATCCGAAAGCGAGCAAGTCTTTCGGCAGTCTCTGCAGTCCGGTATTCGGCAACCTCTGATCCGCGTAAACCACTGTCAGCCACTTACCCTCTACCGTGCTGACCAGCTCCTGTGGTTGGCGACGCTGCGAGTTCCCCTTGTATACGCCACTGAAGATCTCATCATCATCGATCTATGCCTACGTTTGACAGTAGGTGGCTGTTCGTTTCCCACGCACTTTCAGCCACTTCTGCTCCTTGAAAACCCACACATTCATCGTGGATTGTTCTATCCATCGGCCATCGTTTCAAGCACTCGCCAGGCTTGCGGCGACTTTGGGAAGAATGACGGCGATATGAAGCTGCTGGGATTTAGATAATCATGCACATCGTGGCCACTTGCGACGTCTATGGAAATCTCATTCCTACGGCATGGGAGCTTTGCCAAGAGAAATTCTATTCTGTGTTACTCCACTCGAGTTATAAATGTCGAGACTTCTCTTGTTATGATTTATGTCAGGCAAAGCCTATACTATCGCCATTCTGAATTAGTGGTATGACACAATCAGTCCAAAATCGCAGTCGTTCGCATGCGATGGGCTTTTTTGTCCCTCTATTTCAGGAGAACGCCTCTTAGTCGATTCTTGATCCCTTGAGGCAGAAGTCCACAGAACAAGTTAATTTAGCAATGATGCACCCGGCGCAAGACAAGCAAGGCCCGACATTGGAGCAGATACCTCAAGGAGACATCTGGCTGTGAAGACGAGTCTCGTTTGTCCTGAAGCTTTACCGCTTAGCCCCGGTGCCTGTTACCTTGCAGCATATACTCCCAGCCCATACTATGTCTCTCTTGTGATTGGAAAGGGGGAATTTGAAGTCGCTGCTAGCATTTAAATGATAATTTTGTCTTACAATGTAGCCCATATCTCATGCCAGACAGGTCCACGCACTACTCGATGACACATTCCCGGACAGAGCCTTGTTCAAAGAATGCTCTCGCGAGCCACCCTCCCACTGCTTTACCCCCGGACCTTCTGTAGAAGCCGGACAAGATGCCCACACGGAAGTACGGGCCACCCGCACCAAACCTACGCAGAATCAGCGCCGCACAATTCCCGGTCTCCTCGATCCCCATGAACAACAGGCACACATCGACTTGTTCCGCTGGCCTTATGTCGGTGTAAGTAGCATATTCCCTGAGGAACTCGAATGACTTCGTGCTGGCCGTGCACGGGATAGAAAGGCTCTGCCGAGTCTGCAAGGTTCCATCTGAGTGGAATCTTAAATCCCAGACGCAGTCGAGAACCGGCCCCCTGATGGTGATGGACGACCCTGATGCGATGCGTCCGAACCTGCTGTTGTCTACGTATCGCAGAGACACTTTGACTATCTTGGCGAGATGCGACACAAGCTCCTGGCCTCCCCAGAGTCGTCCTTGACAGGATGCCCAAGACCAGGATGGCGCGATATATCTTGGTCGCTCCGCGGCGGGAGGACCAGGGCCCATGTGGGGGCTTGTGAGGCTCTCGTGCGGATTGAAGGTCATCGTCAAGCCCAGGTGCATAGAATTTCTCCATAGTCCGCAGAGGTATTCGTCGTTTGGGTTGCATTGTGCGAAACGCTGAGCGATGGCGGAAATGGCGGGCAGTCGGTCGGTCGGTTCCGACAAGTGAAGATCGTTATAAAGTTTGACGAACTCGAGCCACTGAAGTGCCATCTCCTTTGTTGTGTTCGAGATGGTACTGTATTTCTGCATCAAGGTGTAGGGTCTATTCGGAGTGCCATATACATCCATCTCGCCCCATGAAGTATGCGAATATTGGTCTTCCTCACACGAACGGCCGGTTGGACACTCCCATATCAACTCCTCTCTACCAAAGTAGAGAACCCTGGCAGACACAACCCGTTCCTGAAATGCCCAAGCTCTATTCAAGAGTGCATGGGGCCGATCAGCGGGCATTCGATCCTCACTTTGATCCTCGAAGTCCTCAAGCTCATCCGGTACACTGAACGCTTCGACCTGATATTGCTTTCCCCGGTACCCGAGGGTAAGCAAGGGGACAAGCGAGCCCGGGGCCCGCTGGGAAAACAGACCACCATGGCTGTCATGCGCCTGCAAAGCGGCAAACGTGATAAACGCGTTGGAGTATACCGAGAACATTTGCGTAGATTCTCTCTGCCAGTCTTTCTCATCGCCTTGAATTATACACATCGAATCGATCCAGACGAATTCCAGTCCGAGTTTCCTAGCAAATATTATAGTGTCACGGAAAGTCTGGGGAAGGGTATCCCATGGGATACACTTAAGCTGAGACTCGTAGTTCGCGTTTGTGGTGAGACAACGAGGCCACATGTCCCGGCTGCCCCAGCAGTGACTAAGAGCAACGTAGCGGGCGCCAGAAGGGACACTGTATCTCAGCCGCAGAACGATCCCTTCGATCGGATCTGGTGGGATGTAAAGCAGCCTAGAAGGGATGTAACCGTCAGGTGCGGTCGACGTCGTTCGTGAGTGACAATTTGGATGATCCTGGCGACACTCATTAATGCGGTCTTTTACCCAAGCAACAGACCTTCTCGATCCAGTGTCAAGTGATGGGAGCTCATCAAGTCCCCAGTCACATATGCCTGGCGGTGCTGGTGCCGATCCGGCTGTGAGCAGTTTCCAAAATCTAACCTTCTTTATTGATTCACCAACAGGCTCGCAATTTCGTTGCTCGAACCCGAATCTCACAAATGCGTTCTTCTCATAGCTCCATGTACCCCTCAACCAGTCGTACTTGCCGCCGTTCACCTTCTGCAAGAATTCGGACAGAACAGCGCAGCACAAGTTGCCCTCTGATGCAGACGCGGAGAGTATGGATTTGGAGAATATGCGCCCGAAGCGCTCTTCATCAGCCACAGAGTCGATGAGCAGATGATCCCAGACCCCGTCCCAGAGGCATGTCGAGCACCACGCCTCACGTGGTTTCTTCAGATCCCCACGCCAATCATCGGGTAGATCGATGTGGTGAAGGGGCACTTCATCCGTGGCCGTGGTCTCTCGCGAGGGGTCGGTCACGCCAGACGCCATGCGCGGCTAATATGAAGAGAAACCACTTCGTTGGGAAGGATGGGCGACCTGAAAGCAGCGCAGACTTTGCAGACTCTCCACAACATTGTGCCAACACCTAGACCAACCAATTGAGCTCGCAAGAGGATGCGAAAGTAGAATCACTGCTGCTGAGAGGATTGAGCGGGGGACCAATGCCTTGGCAACTGCACTAGGCAATTGCGCGGCTAATGTTGGATGCATGCCTCGCTCCTTTGTCGCGCAGTGGTTTGCGGATGGTCGGGATTGTGAGGTACACAAAATGCTGACCTACTCTCATTCTCCCATTGCCAATGATTGGCAACCTTTGTATTTCTCTCCGAATGGAGCGAATGCAGTGGGCGTATTTAGAGTTTCGCTCTGTTGGAGACCTAGAATTTCATGGTCCTCATACCCAGTAATTTTCCTCCAAATAGACTTCAGAAGTCTTGAGAACCGCTCGTGATACCCTGAATAAATGTAAGTCTAGGGGAATGGCACCGCTCTGAACTCCAGAGATTATGTTCGACACCCCTATCACGCGCGTTGTGGCCGGTAGTTGGCTTGCATTCATGGGTGCCTGAACAGGACGGTGAGATGGAGACGAATGGAACGAAGAGATGCAATTACACAATCTGATTGTATGCAAAACTTACAGCCCGTCAAACTTACAGCCCGTCATTCACCACACTTGCGGTGCAACTGGAAGAGAATGGCGCGTGGACAACTTTTGGTGTTTGCGCGACGGACAGTCCGCGTTGGCATTGTAATGGATGAAAAGAAAAACAGCTTCTCGTGAGGGCAACACGGCTTGGAATCATTGTTCAGACCAACCTGCAACGGTAGTCCCGAAGCCTCGTATACGCCGAGACTGCTCATCCTCGGTTCAAAATATCTCAGGCGATAGTCCGTCAGCGGCAAACTCAACGGTCCGGAAGGCCTCCCAAAGCAACAACAAATACGAGCGAAAGCTTGACTGAGCGGTCCCTTGGCAGGGGTAATTGACGGCGCTCTTGGATCTTGCCCCGTACAGACCCCCGGTGTTGGATTGCGACCCCGTATCCCGAGCTGCAGGTTCCTGGTCCGCAGATCTCGGGGGCATCTTGGGCGGGCAAGGGCCGTTCAGATCAGCGAGCCAGATAGACGAGAGACAGGCCGTGCTATGCCTGGGTTGATCGGCTGTCCGGAAGCAGGCGACGGGCTAGCTCGATCAGCACTGCCCGTGGATAGAAAAGTTTTCTACTCTTCTCCTCTGCATTCGGCTGAGACATGCAGACAATCTCGTAAAAGACATGTGCCCAGCCCAGCGACTAGGGAAACGTGGGGAGCTCCAGGGGCTATTCTTAGCCGAGGATCGACCAGCTAGGCCCGGGTTGCAGCTTGTTCACCCCACCATCTCAGCAGTTCAGCCCCTTTTTTATCCTGCTCTTTTTCTCGGGGCTGTGAGACGGCGTCAGGCGGGACTGTCAACCTGAGGCAGGGGGAGCAGAGCTAGTGGCTGGCCCGGACCTGCATTGTCCTTCATCTGAGCAGACCTGCTGGAGGGTTGCATCGAGATTGGTGTGCTGGTACGGCCTGTCGGGAGCGATTGGCTCACAGGTGCAGGCTTTGGCCGTCTGGTCGGGAGTTTTGACGCCCAGTATGCGGATTGCCGTTGCTAACTTTGTTTGAGACTTGGTTGTTGTTGGACGGGCGTGTCGTCATTGTCGAAATCGGCTGGGGTTGGCCGTATGATGCGTAGTTCTTCCAGGGTACTATACGAAGTTGACTAGGGTCACAGAGGCAGTCTGCTCCGAGCAGCTGGCCTCAGAAAGCATCGCTTGTGCTGTGTGCAGCCGCTACTGTGCTTTGAGGTTATCGGCCACGAAGCCCAGAAGCTTGGTGTTGCCACGAGAACGGTTGGCGCGGCGAGGCTGAGGCCCACAATTGTACGAGTCGGAGCCGACACGGGTCCAAAGAGGCGGTAAGGCAACAAAACGGCATCACTGTTTGGACATCGATCAGTAGCGCGTGGAACACTGCAGTTACCGTTATCTTTCGGTGTAGATGTCTCACTGACAGCACCAGACACCGGAACAGACAACGATGGTTAACAGACTGTCTGCCTGGTCTGTCTGTTGAATGGAGGATTGGAGGATCCGATTTGAAGTGCTCACTTCAGCCCCAAAGGAGCCAAGGCATGGACAGTCGTGCCAGTTTGGACGAGCTCAGTAAGCTTCGAGGCTCAGATATTCCATATTCCGAATTCATCTTAGACAGACCACAGGCAGACCCCCACGGGACTATTCATCTGATGTCGGCCCGTGCCTGGGCCAGCTGCTACCTGGAAATGGGTAGCAGATGGGCTGGTGTTTTTGCTTGGGCCCCTCACGAAGGCAGGCTAGGCTCTTCTGACAGCTTTGATCGCCACGGGAACAAAGGAGAGGTGTTATTAGGTTATCAACAACAGAGACACCTGAATTCCAGAGCCAACGGCGAGAAGTTGGAATGGCTGGAATGTTGCAGCAGCAGCAGCATCTAGGCAGGCGAGGGCTGGTGAGAGATGGGTATAGGGTATTGGGTATTGGGAGATGCGAGATGCGAGATGAGAGATGAAGGATGACATGCACCTGCTCTGCTTACTGCTTGCTGGGTGCTGCTGGCTGTTACGAGTAGACTAGGTGCCGGTCAGGGGTAGGTAGTCTAGCTTCCTACGTGTAGTCCTGGCCCCTGGTCGCTTGGTCGCTTGGTCACTGGTCGCTGGTCGCTGGTCACCGCACAAGCTGTTTTGATGTGTTGGAAAGGTGGAAGGAGCCCTGGACAGGCAGCGTCATCGGGAGCAAGGGTCCCCCTCCACTCAGCCCACCTTCCCACCTCTGCCTCTGCAGGATACGGCGACCCTGAGCCTGAGAGCCGGCAGACGCTTACAGTACTGTAGAGAGAGGGGGGGAGGGGTCGGCAAGGAGTGCAAAGGAGGCTGGAGCTGGACAGCTTCCCCCCTCCAATTCACGCATCCATCCATCCCACCTGGGCCATACCCAACAATCCACGTGCTGGCACATTGACACTTGGTATTGACTGTCCCATCCGGTTGATTGATTGATTGATTGATCGGCTTAGCGACCGGGTGACTTACTGCTGTTGCTGCTGTTGCTGCTATTACTGCTGCTCCTCCTTGTCACTTGCTGGCCCAGGTCCCAAAAGCAAGGCCCCAATTCTCAGCCCCATTAAAGAACAATCCCATCCCCCCCTGAACTAAACACCCTTTCCCATCCAGCTGGCCTTTATTCTGACTTCTCTTCCTCTCTCCCATCTTCGTCCTGCTCTTCCTTCCCACAACTTGTCGTCCCTCTCTCTCTTTCTAGCCTTTGATACCCATCTCGACTCTGCGCCTCTGCTCAAGCAGCTTGTCGACACCTCGCGGCCGGCTCACCTCAAGCTTTGATATACTACAAAAGACAGGCAGAGCACTTGTTTGATCAGTCTGACAAGATGTGGTATGTACAGTACAGCAACAAATCCAGATCTAAGCTCGGAGGACACAAGAGAACACGGGCAAACCGAAAGAGGATGGTACACAAGCAAGCAGTTCATCGACCCAGCGCTCTGGTGCAGTGCAGTCTGCCCCGTTGGACCAACCTGAGCTCTCCATCCGTTTGGCCCACCTAAACGGACACTGGTGGCAGTTGGGAGGATCAAACGAAGCTTACCAGAGCTCTCGGGTCGAATGGCTGAGCTTGTTCTGGAGAAGTCCTTGCGCTCTGGATGCATGAGAGCAGCCGTCAATGATCGATTGCTAACCGTGTCTTCTCCCTATAGTGGCATTTTCGGCTACGTCAATTACCTGGTGGAGAAGGACAGGAAGTTCATTGTTGACACACTCATCAATGGTATGTGGCCCTCCCCAATCCTCCCAGCCAGCTAGCTGCAAGAGGTGGTGGCGCTTTGTTGGTTGGGCTGGCTGGTATGTGAGCGAGGCTAGCAACAGCTCGCTCAGCTTCCGCTCTCTCCCCAACGACCGGCAGCCAACGCCAATTAGCACCTGCTACCCCTCCCCTGCACCCGCGCCGCGTTTGCACTGCCCCTTCATTCGAGGAGCGAGCAAGCCTATCACGGCCGTATGCGAGCACATGGCATCAGCATCGATTTCCCAGCTCGAGACTGACTCGATCCCGTCCTTCTGCAGGTCTCTCCCGTCTCGAATACCGAGGATACGATTCGGCTGGCCTGGCTGTCGATGGCGACAAGAAGAACGAGGTCTACGCCTTCAAGGAGGTCGGCAAGGTCGCCAAGCTGAGGGCACTTGTCGATGAGCAGAAGCCAGACCCCACCAAGATCTTCGACTCACACGCCGGCATTGCCCACACCCGATGGGCTACCCACGGCCCCCCCTCGCGTCTGAACTGCCACCCTCACAGGTCAGTAGCCTCATGGTCCTGTCTGAAGCATCTGCAAGATCTTGAGGAGCGAAGCGAAGCTAATCAATAGGTGTCTCTCGCAGGTCTGACCCCACCTGGGAGTTCTCCGTCGTCCACAATGGCATCATCACAAACTACAAGGAGCTTAAGACCCTCCTCCAGGCCAAGGGCCACAAGTTCGAGACCGAGACCGACACGGAGTGCATCGCCAAGCTCGCAAAGTACATCTACGACAAGCACCCTAACTTGGGCTTCGTTGACCTGGCCAAGGCCGTCATCTCGGAGCTTGAGGGTGCCTACGGTCTGCTCATCAAGTCCATCCACTACCCTCACGAGGTCGTGGCTGCCCGTAAGGGTTCCCCTCTCGTGATCGGTGTCAAGACTCAGCGCCGCATGAAGGTCGACTTCGTCGATGTGGAGTACGCCGACGAGCACGCCGCTCTCCCTGCTGAGACCGCCTCCCAAAATGCCGCCATGAAGAAGGCTTCCAAGTCCACCGACGGCCTGCTCGCCCCCACTCTGCTCGGTGCTCCCGACAAGTCTCTGCTCCACCGCTCCCAGTCCCGGGCTTTCATGACCGACGACGGCATGCCCATGCCCGCTGAGTTCTTCCTCTCCTCTGACCCCTCGGCCATTGTCGAGCACACCAAGAAGGTTATGTACCTGGAGGATGACGACATTGCCCACATCCACGAGGGTTCCCTCAACATCCACCGCCTGAAGAAGGCCGATGGCAGCAGCAACGTGCGAACCATCCAGACCCTGGAGCTCGAGCTGCAGGAGATCATGAAGGGCAAGTTCGACCACTTCATGCAGAAGGAGATTTTCGAGCAGCCCGAGTCCGTCGTCAACACCATGCGTGGTCGTCTGGACGTCGAGAACAAGAATGTTACGCTCGGTGGTCTGCGCTCATACATAAGCACTATCCGCCGCTGCCGACGTATCATCTTTATCGCGTGCGGTACCTCCTACCACAGCTGCATGGCCGTCCGAGGTATTTTTGAGGAGCTGGCAGAGATCCCAATTGCCGTCGAGCTGGCATCCGACTTCCTGGACAGAGAAGCGCCTGTCTTCCGTGACGATACGTGTGTGTTCGTCTCCCAGTCTGGTGAGACGGCCGACTCTCTGATGGCTCTGCGCTACTGCCTGGAGCGTGGCGCCTTGACGGTTGGTATAGTGAATGTGGTCGGTAGTTCTATCAGTCTGCTGACCCACTGCGGTGTGCACGTCAACGCCGGCCCCGAGATTGGTGTCGCCTCCACCAAGGCCTACACGTCCCAGTTCATCGCCATGGTCATGTTCGCCCTGTCCCTCAGCGAGGACCGCGCTAGTAAGGCGCAGCGGCGAATCGAGATCATGGAGGGTCTCGGCAAGATCTCGGAGCAGATCTCCGAGGTGCTGAAGCAGGATGCTGCGATCAAGGACCTTTGCGGCAAGGTGTTCAAGGATCAGAAGTCCTTGCTCCTGCTTGGTCGTGGCTCCCAGTTCAGCACAGCTCTCGAGGGCGCCCTCAAGATCAAGGAGATTAGTTATCTCCATTGCGAGGCCGTCATGTCTGGTGAGCTGAAGCACGGTGTGTTGGCTCTGGTTGACGAGAACCTGCCCATCATCATGATCCTCACACGTGACAACATCTTCAAGAAGAGCTTGAACGCCTACCAGCAAGGTATGTACAGAACTTCTTACATTCTGAAACTTTGCTCGCCGCTTTGTACTGACCGAAATCAATAGTTGTCTCTCGTGGTGGTAAGCCGATCGTCATTTGCAACATCGGCGACGACGAATTCAGCACCAGCCAGGCCCAGACAATCGAGATCCCCAAGACGGTTGACGTCCTGCAGGGTCTCCTGAACGTCATTCCCCTGCAGCTGATTGCCTACTGGCTGGCCGTGATGGAGGGTCTCAACGTGGACTTCCCCCGTAACCTGGCCAAGTCGGTGACTGTCGAGTAAGCGGGGTCTCTCTGATACTGCTCAATTATACCAGAGGAACCGCTCGATACCGAACTGTTTTGCATGCGTTGGATGTCTCTGTGGGATGGGCTTTTGCATACCTGGTCGGTCTTGAAGATGGGCGGGCATGTGATTTGGAGTTGGCTTGCTTTAGTTGCTGATAGGACGGGCATGGGAAGGAAAGGAAGCATTCAACCATGTAGGACCAAGTACTAAGCCGAAAAGCGCGAGAGCAAAGGAAAAAGAGACAACGAGGCATGAGAACAAAATCCATCGGGATGTCTGTTACGGTGCGTGTTGGGCTAGCTGGCCTTTTTCTAGAATAATGATGAGACAGCGGAAACCTCGATAGTTATAGTAGTAGAGAGTGTCCACAAATTGAGTAGGCTTTCATGATGTATTATTGTAGTGGCCGCTATCAACTCGGTGCCTGTCTCGTCATAGCTGTGCTGTGTCTGCATGTGTTGTGTGTTATGGGGTTCGAAGCTTGCTTCATTCTTGCCCTCGCGTCTGAGTCTTACTCGCCATGGCTAATGTTATTAGTGCTGGTAGAGGAAAACTTGGGTGGACAGCTGATAATAGGGAAAGCAGGGCTAGATCGTCTCTAGTGGTAGCACGAGTAGAATGGACTCAAGTACGTGCTTGCTCTGCCCAGGCTAGGTTCACAAGCCTGACTGGCCAAATATCTAGCACACATCGTATCCGTTTGGTCTTGTGATTTCATTCAACTGGATTGATTTATTGTTCTCATCAACCCGAGCATGCATTCCATTTCACGTCGGGATAAGTCTAGACATACACGGCACCCTTTACTTCCCGTTTGCCCCCCCCCCCAGTAAAACCACCACGAACCCGACCGGCTGTATCTACACATCCTGCGTGCCGTAACCCTTGATCCGGTCCGCAAAGGCCCAGCTCTGGTTCTCGAGCTTCTCGTCGTAGCTCACCTCGACGCCCTCGCGCGTGACGACGGCGAGCGAGTAGCCGTCCCAGGACCGCGCGTCACGGTAGTACAGCACCTTCATGCAGTCGCGGACGATCTCCACGGCCTGCTCCTTTGTGAGCTTAGCGGCGTCCTCCTCAGTAGCAGCGTACTTGCGCATGATGGGCTGGGCGAGCATGGAGCCGAAGCCCGTGGCGAGCGAGGGCGACGAGAAGACGGTGCCGCGCAGGTCGGCGGCGGCCAGGAAGGGCTTGTTGGTGGCCCCGCTGAAGCCGGCGACCAGGACCTGGTTCCAGAGGGGGTCGAACTTGTTGCGGCGGGCGTAGAAGAGCTTGGCGAGGTACTTGTGCAGGTTCTCGGCGGAGAGGCCCGACAGCGGGTGGCCGGCGTCGGTGGCGGGCTCGCCGGCGGGCGCGGCGTCGCCGCTCCGCGTGGCCTCGCTGCCGCCGTAGGCCTCGTCGATCTCCAGCTCGTTCAGGTGCCGGTCCAGGTACTGCATGTCGCTGACGTCGCCCGAGAAGCCGACGACCGACGTGCCCGCGAAGGGCCGCAGCCGCTTGATGTCGTTGAAGCGCGCCAGCGAGCCGTACGACGCCAGGTTGTCTGCCGCCAGCACCACGCCGTCCTTAAACTTGAGACCAAGCACCGAGGTTCCCGTCACGGCGGGCGACTGAGTGTGGGTCTTGGGTGCCGAGTGGTTGAGGTACGTGTGGTCATAGGCACCGTAGACATCGTCGCGGGGACGGCCCCAGGCTTGTGGGCGGTGGTCCATTGTGAGTGTGAGAAGGAAAGAGAAGAGTAGAGATAGAAAGGAGATCGAAAGGTCGAGCTGGTCGGAAATGGTAGGTTGACTGGTGGTAGAGTGGGTGGAAGTGAGGGTAGGTGATGATGGTCTGTCTGTTTGAAGGAACGACGTCAGTCGGTAGCTTGTAATGGAGCTGAGTTGTGTCCCGAGGAGGATTGAGCTGCAATTTGGATGCTAAACATTAAGGCCAGTGCTTACCTTGTCGGAGGGGTTGATCAGCGGCGGAGCACAGCAGATCGAAGTGGTGGTGGTGAGAGGATGTGGTGGTTGATGGAGGTGCAGCCGAAGATGGAGCTGGCCAGCCGTCGACGTTAATCGCCTGGAGCTTCACTCAGCCTCCAGCAATGGGGAGCTGTCGCGTTCAGGTGCTGCCTCCCAGACACAGCACGCCCCCTGGCAGCCTGCCGTCCCCCTGGCCAATTGAGGTCGCTTATCTAATCACAGCCCGGTACGTACATTTGTGCCTGTCTGAGCCTGAGTCCGTCACCTCGACCAGGCTCGTCTCTATGCGTGCCATCCTCGTCTTTCTTTAAATGCTGACTCTCAAAATCTTTGGTGGATGAAATTGAAGATAAACCTGGAATACTTTCAACAGAAAGAATGGCGCCGCTGGTCGGTTACGGCAGCAGCGATGAGGAGGAAGACGATGTCCAGTCACCCGCGGCTCCAGCTGAGGTATGGATATGCATATGCTTAACGAAGCCCTTCATGTCCGTGATGAATGGAAGAGACTGACCAGAATTAGGAGATAAAAGAGATTCAAAATGAAGCTGCAATTGAGACGCCACAGGAAGAAGATGGGGAAGAGAAGGAGTCCCACGTCTCACCACCATCACCACCACCCCAGACAGAGCAGTCTACTCCAGCGCCACAGATAGGACCAGTAATGCCACCAGATTCAGCTACCATGGGCCCAAGTCTACCGCCAACAGACCAGGTGGAAGCCTATCCAGAGGAGATGGACCAGGACCAGGACACGCAAGGAGACCAAGGCCAACCGCCATCATCACCCTACTCAGCCAACCGCGCCCTGCTACACCAACTCACCCTTCCCACAGTCCCAAACCTCGACATTCCACCATCACCACCTCCAGGCACACCCACATCAGACTCAAGACACGCAGCACTCACAGCCAAGTTCGACAAGTTCCTCGAGCTCAAGCGCACCAAGGGCGTGCACTTCAACGCTCGCATCGCAGACTCTCACGCCTTCCGCAATCCGGAGCAGACCGACAAGCTACTGGGCTTCATTGGCATCGACACTAAGTTCGACAGGGACGTTGGCGCCGGCGCCAGCCAGTACGCCACCACTCTGCCCGCTGAGCTCTGGGATCCTGCTGGCTTCCCTGCCTGGGCGTACCGCGGCCAGCTACGGAGGGCGCAGGAGAAAGCGTCTAAGGAGCGGGCAAGGGCCCAGGGCGAGGCGGTACAATTTGTTCCGGCGGCGAATCCTTAGGGGTTGTTCTTCTTGCTGGATATGGGATGCTCGCAGTGAAAGTTTACGGCCCTGATTAGAGAGAGCACCCAACTCTTTCTGATGACACAGTTTCGAAGCAGTCTGAATCTCAGCTTGTGAAGACTTCAGTGAGAGTGAAGGACGGTGTGCTCTTCAGTCTCGATAGAAGTTATGCGGTCGAAGGAGGAGGTGAAGAAACGTCTATAGAAATGCCAGTGGGCTACGGAATCGAGCACATACGGCGTTGCCCTCAAGAAGTCCGAGGAAAGAGCAAGACGCGGCGCCACGGAGGCGTACAGATACTGGTTTTTCCAATTTGTTCCAATGACTGTTATAGGAGCGGACTGAAGTCAGGACTCCCATCATGAGCATGATTCACGGAGAGGATTTACGAGAAACGACCCAAACCGGCATTCGGGTTCCCACAATCAGTCCGATCACATTGTGGCGCACTTCGAATTACACTGAACAAGTCTTCAATTGAGGTATCGTCAGGTATGGTATGGTATGGGTGTGTTTGTCTACGCTCAGCGGCGTGACCACATCAAAAAAAATATATATGCAGCGAGAAAACATTCGCGTGGTTTTCAAAACCTGTCATGTCGTGGAGGCGATTTGCCATCGTCCTCGATCTCATAGCCAATGTCATAAATGTCCCATCGACGCAAAATTAAGTCGCCGAGCACCGCTCGATATCTCTCAAATAACACGTGCCATACAGAACATTATTCACAATGTCCATCTCCCCGATCTCTGCTGTCGTCCTCACTTAGATACCGACCGCACTCACGAGTACAACGGCAGCGACCGACGGTTGTTGGAGCAATTGATAGTGAGGCCCAAGGCGGTGAGATCAGCGCCGACGTCGATGCTGACGCTCTGGTTGGTGGAGGCGAGCGAATCGTTGTAGTAGCTGAGGAACTGGCCGTTATTGACGACGTTGGCGCCGCGCAGCTGCATGGGGAGCACGCCGTCCTCGCAGAAGGGCCGCTCCTGGATCACCTGCAGGATGGGCGTCTGCGAGATGTTGGCGTGCATGCTGAAGTTGTTGATGCCGGGCCGCACCACCATGTTGTCCACGAAGACGCGTCCGATGTCCTGGCCTTGCAGGTAGTTGATGAAGGTCGTGTTACCCTGTGTCACGGTGGGTCAGTTTTGTGCTCCTGCTTGCTCAATTGGGGGATAGGATGGGGGATGCAGGTAACTTACGATATCAAAGGTCAGGAGCGAGACGTTCGGGATGGCAACGGTTCCGAAAAAGTTGTCACCGTTCGAGTCCGGGGTGAGCTGCACCCTGGACTCGGGCACGGTGGTGCCGTTGAAGTTGTTGAGCCCTTTGAGCGTGACGACCTTCTTGAAGTGCACAGGGTACTTGCGCGAGATGCCGCTGACCTTGAGGTGGGTGTCGCCCTCGACGCTGACGCGCAGCGACTCGTTGACCAACACCCACGTGTTGAAGACGGTGAAGGCGTTCATGTCGAGGATGTCGATGAACTGCGTCAGGTTGACGGCCGACTCGGTCGCGGACGTCGTCTGCGGGAACTGCAGCCGCGCGAAGGGAGTCTGCGGCTCCCAGTCCTCGAGGTACATGACGCCCTCGAACGGGTCGATGACGGCGTGGATGCTGTCGTCGGCACGCAATGTGCTGTTGATGGCCATGGTGAAGTTCTCGGACTGCGCCTGCGACAGGATGATGCCCTGAATGGTGAGGGTCGCGCCATTGACACGCTGTTGGGCTATCCTGGGAACGGCGACGAAGATTCTGCGTCAAATTAGTAAATGAAACTTGGGTTCTCTTGACCGGCCAGTCCCTCAGTGACTTGAGAAATGAGATGGTGAGCACTTACATCAAGCACACCACCAGCACCGTAATCGCTGCAAAAATCAACGCATGCACCCACCACCACCTCGCACAATGCCTCTTTATCTTCTGGCCCCTCGTGGCCCCCCGAGTCTTCTCTGCATGCTCATAAACCCGGTCCCCTTTGTCCGACATGGCGACGACTGGCAGAATACGGTTCTGATCCTCACTCTGCTTCCCAGCAGATGAATCCCTCCTTCTCCCTTTTCCTCGAGCAGGCTCTTTGGCCTCGACCTCTTTCTCGGCGACGACGTAATGGCCTCTGGTCTTGCTGAAAAGCCCCCGTGACGGCACCCCGGCGCTAAGAGGCGGCAGGTCTGCCGGGTCGGTTGCTGGCGGCCGGGACTGGACGAGCGAGTCTAGCCCCTCTGAGTGCGAGTTGCGGTCCTGGTGTGAAGGTGGCGACGGGGACGGTGCCTCGATGAACAATCCTCCTGTGCGCTGCCTTTGAAAGCCTGCGACAGGTCTCTGTTGCTGCTGCTGGCGAGATGAGTCCCTTCGTTCGACCGCGGCGGTGTTTTTCGTCAGGGTGTTCCTCGCCCTGAATCTTCCTGTTCCTATGTCCCTTGGTGTGGCGTTGTGATGTGGGAAACCTTCTATCAGCGGGCCCTGCAGTATATCCTGTCGTGACGGCCCGTTCCCAAAATTCTGAAAGACTGATGTATAGGATGGCTGCGGGCGAACAGAGTGTCTAGGTGAGTGTCTAGGTGAGAGTGGGTCTGGGCGCGATATGTAGTTTGCAGATGGTGAGGACTCCCTCATAAGAGTATCAGGATCACGGTCTGCAGCTCTGCTGCTAGGTGCTGGGCTTGGGCTTATAAGAGAGTCGAGAAGTCGCAACGGCAGGCTTCCAATTTCCCCTCGGGGCATCACAGGGTATCAAGTAGTGCGAGAATCCTAGGAAGGGGATAGTCCTGGGGCGTCCCGAGACGGAGTATTACCCGAATAGGTGGTGGGGACCAGTAAGTAGATCGAAGGGCAACCTTCTTTTTTGTAATTGCATCGGTGCTTTTTTGGGCCTCGTCTCGTCTTCTCTCTCTTTTTTAATTATCAATGGCACTTGTCTGTGTAAATCAGGTCGAATCAAGTCATTCCCGCGGGGTACGATACGCCATCTAAGGGCTGGGCCGGAGTGGGAGCGAGTGGCCGGGGATGGTTACATTTATGTTACTGATCGGTCTAATACTCCGGCGGTATGGGTGTCCCATGTTCGGCGCTACATGCCCGCAGCAGTAATTGACTTTCAGGCAAAGCAAACCAAAGCACGCAGCGCTGGACGGCCTGGACTGCGCGGTTTACTCCCGGGAATGTCTTGCTTTTCGACGAGAATTGGTGGTCGCAGATCCTAGACCATCCCATTTGTGGTAGGAGAGGGAGAAAACCAATTTCGAGGCACTCAACAGCTGGTCCAGTGAGAGGGGCGGGATCGCCATAAGACAAGGTACGGCAGAGCACGACAAGAGACGACAAGGAGGCCGCTCGAAGCAAAAAGGCGCGCGGAAATTTCAGTCACCGTCTGTCCACAAGGTATGTGCACCTTGGTGTCGGGACGTGACGGTGATGAGGTGTGTGTGACCCGTGTGACACGACTAGGAAAAGCGCCGAGAGGGCTGGATGCTACGTTATGATGGGATGGAGCCGGCCGACTGCCACGGCCGAGGGTCACCTGCCAATGTTTTGGTTGTTGATATGTATACTCTTCCCTTCTGAATGCAAGAAAAAAACATGAATGTGAAAGCTGATATGAAGGTGTGCCCGCATGCCGCAGGTACCATGCTGCCGGGCTGATGATATCAACAAAATGAATTTGAGATGAATGTCACTCGGCAGTCTGATCGCCTCTCTTCTTGTCTGGTTTTTCCTCCCTCTTTCTTAGGGCGATGCGCCCCTCTCTATGGCCAGAACATCAGCTGATTGAGGTCATATCGCAGAGGCAATTCATGCCGTCTTCCCTGCCGTTCGTCTCAGCTTTCCATGTGTTGTGCTTGTGCCTCCTTCGTCCTTCAGCTTCTCTCCTCCTTCTCCTACTCCTCAAGGTTTGTTCTTCGGCTCCGTCCACAGTGACCCTGCCCACCTCGGAAATATCGACTCGCGTGATCTGCTCGCCAATGCCTGAACCAGGACTGGCCTCAGCAAGTCGCAACAAGCATCATTTTAGGGTGCCTGTCATCGGCCGCATTAGTCCCCAGCTACCCCGTGGAGAACGGCCAGCAGTGCCGCTTCGAGGATAATCACTGGCCGATCCCATGCAGAACTGCATAGTCCCCGTGGTGCCCCCCAGCCCTTTTCCCCGCACCGACATTGCCACGCAGGGATGGAGCCTCCCTCTCCCCCCACCCCTCGAAAGCTTTTATCGAATTTGCTTGCGCTTGACCTTGGAACAAGAACTCATTATGAAACTCTATTGGGTCGTGCCAGCTTGACGAGGGCCTGAACCTCCGAGGCAGCTTGTGAAAGTTTGCACATGTGTTGGAGAAGCTGGCCTTGGGGTAAAAGCATGTGAGCTTTTTCTACTGTCTCGTCTTGTCATGACATTTGATCTGGGCCGCCGCGATGCGCGCCTCATTTCGTGCCTAGGCTTGGTATTGATTAATGTCTTCTGCCTCACATACTTTCATGCATCGACGATCTAACAGTCGTGGCTCCAGACGGTGACACTTGTCCCGTGTCGACAAGAATAATTGACGAAATAATGAGCATGTTCTAGTTATTTCCGGAGAACTCTCTGACGCCGTGAAGTTCTTTGTTGCAAAGGTCTCGATACATATTTCGGCTGCGGCGCTCGGGTCGGAACCGTGGCGCATGATATGGACATGATGGGACGATGAAATCACTTATCATTCAACAAGCGTGGCTATTGTCAACTCGTGCCTGCGTCGTCCTAGCCTACTGCTAGTGATGATTCGACTCGTAAACCCGCCGGCCTTGCCGTGTCAGTTCAACGGATCTAAACGGCGGGTTATACGAGACGATTTAGTGAGACGCCACACTCAGCCTAGCAGCTATTGTCTCTACTCGATTCGAACACAGCCGTCCCGAGGCTTCTTGGCTGCAAATTCTTCTCAGCTGGTATCCACCCATGAATTCGCTCGTTTGCTTCATCCGCCAGTTTCAAAAAGGAGGCAGGCATGAGGCTTCCAGTCCCGGCCGGGTTTGTTATTCATATCATCCGAGCTTCGCCCCAGGTCTCGCCGGACTTGGCAATCTGCCGATGCAAGTGGTCATTCAACTTCCACGCGTTGATCATGACGTGAGATACACCTCTTTCGGGGATCTAGGCCGTGATCTTAGTTTCAGACGAAAGGCAAGACCAGCAGGATTGTATGATGTATAGCGCAGCGGAGCGTTGGTTCCACGTGTAGATTTAGGTATGCCGATGAGATCAACTGAAATGTGTAGCACGCCCTTGTGAAAAAATATGTCTGCGGCATGCCAGTCCACATGCCTAGACCTCGGTCCCCATAGTATGATGAGCCCCAAGTCTTGACTGTGACAGATCTTTAAAGTGCTCAGTCTTCCGCTGAATACTTTGGTACCTAGGTATTCATCCACATGCTGCACACGTCGAGACGAACCTGTGGGACGAGGTGAACACCGTAAACTTTCGACTATGAAACGGTGACAGATGGGCCCTGCGCCGTTGAAAGACTATGTGTAGGCCCGGTAGACCTTCGGTATTCGGCGCTGTTCACTTGGATGAATCACTTCACCTAATTGGGATGATTCTTGGCTACATATAAATGAAGCGCAACTCCGGCGTCTCCGTGGCAGTTGTTAATCGAATGCCGATGCCTGTCCTTGACAATTCGAGATCAGAGTGGACGAGGCCCCGTTAAATGGATTAGATATTTATATCCCTATCATGGCATATCTACAGCCACTTACCAAATTTAGCTTTATGTAATCTTACATTGCTTGCTCCATTTATACTGGCTCGTATTTTTGCATATTCATAGAAACTATAAAGGGCACACATCAAGGTTTGCACTTGTTTGTGATTTGTTGGTGATGGCCTTGAATAGGATGACGTTCCCTACGATGTTTCTGTGGTAGTGAATAAGGCTCAGAGAGGTATGCTCTTTGGGTCATTCATAAAAGGTGAGACTGGCTCTCTCATTTGTTCAGATATCTCAAATATAGCCATTTGTTGTGAGCTGGACGTCTTTGACCACCCAAAAGCTCACTCAGAGGCAGAAGTTGACGAAACCCCTACACTCAGTGTTGCAGGAAGATTTTGTTGCTTCACACTGTGCCCCTCATTTTTAATGTGATTCTGTGCAGGTATCTATTATGATGACGATTTGAATCGATAGTATATGTCTTGTCGCATGTTGATATTTCTAATGTAGCTTATAGCATACACTACTCTCTGTCTTATAGCATTCAATAATTTCTTTACAAAGAGACCCAAGCGGAATTTCTAGCCTTGTTAGACTGCTACTACGCGTTTGGATATCCAGACACTTCATCCTGACAATCATTCCTGGTCTACTATTCTCAAGAGTATACAGGTGAGATGTGATCCATGAGTGACTACTCCGCCGATCTTTGTCGCCATATGTGCAGTCAGCTTGGGGCACCTCCTCCTTCTGCAACTGCTACAGGTATCATAGGGCTCAGTATCTAAGAATATTGCCTCATTGATGCAATAGTACCTGCAAAGTAAGGAATCAGGATGTGAAATATTAGGTTGAAATTAATATCCACCGGGAAAGGAGGGGGGGGATAAGATAATTCAGACGAGAATATTGACACGCGTAAAGAGCACTTATTAGGCCTTCCGTCTGATGAAGACAATTGATAGCAGGCAGTAAGACAGGCGACCCTCTGGCTTCAGATGAAGCCTTCAACGATGCCGGCTGCATCACGCAGCTGAATCGCGAGGCTGCGAGCACACAGCTGTTAGAAGGCGCCGGTGCGAGGCCGTGACTGGGATGGACGGCTGGGAGTGCGCCTACGTTTGGGCATGACTTGGGGGGACAAACGGCTGAGGGAGCATGGCTGATTTGGACTTGAGACTTGTAGTTCATGTCAATGGAGGATGTAGAGTGATGCGTAGGAGTTGTGTGAGCCCCTGAAAGTCGGGGATTACCACTTGGATCTACAATCCCAGCTCGACATTTCCCCCATAGGGCGCCGTATAGATTTGATCTGACCCTTTGTTTCTACATATGTAGATGTTCACATGACTACAGCCTTTGATCATCAGTCATCCCCCATGAGAAAATATGACATCTACGGTCGTCTTCGCTTCCTGAGATTGTTGTGCAGGTGCAGCCTCGGAGACCTAAGAATTGGGACATGTGGACCACGGTCTTCGCGTCTCGCCATGATAATTGATGGACAGCCTGTGCACCACCACCAAACACTGCACGCGAACGTACCTTGGTTCAACAACATGTGATACATGGTGGATCGCAAACGACATCTTATCCTCGGGATCACGCAAGATAGTGCTGTGGGAGCATTTCCTGTGTAGATGTTCCAAAAAGAATAAGCTTGATACGTGTACGATCCGTAACAATAGGACTGTCACCAAGTCGATAGACAATACATATGGTCAGAATGCTTCATTCCACTATTATCGCATCTGAAAGCCCAAAAACAACCCTCGCCGCCTTTTCTCGATTAAGCGGACCCCTCAACTGAATTTTGTGCTGAATATAGATGGTCATCTTTCCATCAATGGGACTGACAAGCATCCCTAAGCGACCCTAATAATGCAGTCCTTTTCCCCTGATTTCCTCCCGCCTCTGTCCAGGCTGTTGCTGGATATCGAGGCAATAGGCGAGATTCCCTGGAAGAGACCATTGGCTTTGCGGCTCGACTGCTCAAGAATCGTAGCTAGCAGCGGCTCCTCCCCATCCACAACCCCCCACCGCTGGCAAATCGCCTAGTAAGACAGGAACTTGAATTCCACAACACCTCCACAGTGAACGGGGTTGCTCGGGAAGGGCGAGAAGTCGTCGGCATCCACGGTGAACAAGCAGCGGGCGTTGCAGGTCTCCTCGAACATCACGTCCAGAATCTCCTGGGTCTCGTCTGGAACCGCAGATGCAGGCACCTCGAAGAGAGTGATTCCGCAGCCATGGAAGGACTGCGGGCCATCGGGGCCAAATGCCTCTACGGTCTCGCTGCCTGTGAGGAGCACTTCTATCAGTGGACTTATCATACGACCTTATGGAGATATTCCCGAACTTACTGAGGAGTCTCAAGGCGGGCCTTGTACCCCAAGCTGGCATGTGCATGGGCGTCCGCCGGTCATACGAGGAAGGCGGCCTGGGCAACGCTGCGATGGCAGCTTGCATTGCCGCAGGCGCTCCCCAGCGGTACACGATCTGCTCATCGTCGGCCTGAGCCTGGGGCAAGCCCGGAACGATCAGGTACACACGCTCAACATCCCTGAGCTGGGCAGTCCAGGATGCCATGCAGGCGATGCAGACCTCGAGCTGGCCCCAGAACTGGCCCGGGTCTTGGGTGTAGTCTTTGAAGCAGTCCTTGCAGATGAAGTCATCCGTCGCCCTGTTCTGTCCTGGCATGCTGATGGCCACGAGTTTGGTGTCCTGCATGCCCCTCTCTGTCAGCTGGGATACCATTAAACTGCAGCAAATATACTGGTGTCTGCTCACGCGAAAATCTGGGTGTGAGCAGGAAGTGCCACCCGAAAAGTGATAATTGGGAAACCAGGGGCTTCTGAACGTCGAGAAACAGAAGAGATCGTTGTCTTTGTCCACTTTGATGTGGGGCCTCTTGAGGGGATTGATGTAGCTTTGAATGCTGGGCATGGAAGCTGGAATCAGAGCGCCAAGTGCGACTCTGAAGTTCAGAATGATGCGACTCAATCCAAACCGGGCGACCAATGAACCGTCTGCATCTGTAACAAGAGATCAGTCATTGTACCTCCTCCGGAATTTGAATGATTAGGTGTGCTGATAGGAATGTCCATCCACGGATGGGGTTGAGGTTGCTGGTGCGGGTGCGGAAGAGTAATCAGAGGTAGGAGACTGGCTTCCACTTCAGCTGGAGGCAGTGACATACTAGATCCACCAGCTATGGACAGCCTAGCAGTGTCGCAAGCTGCTGACATGGAGGATACCTCTGAGATGCCCGGTCCCTGGACAGGCTGGGAGATCTCTGCAGCAGGGAAGAGGTAAGTGCCATTGTAATCATTGTCCAACTTGAGGAAATGGACGCCATGCTTGCTGATCATGGCACAGGTCCACACCTCGTTTCGGAGCTCCTGAGGAAGCTTCTTGAAGGGTACTACCTCTGATGCCATGATGTATGCGGAGAGAGAACCTGATGTAGTGGGTTTCAAATGGAGTAAGAACAACGCGAAGTGGGTGGTTGTCAACAGTTGTGGTGTGGTTGAGGAAGAATCAAGAGCTCGGTCAGTTTGATAATTTTCTTGAATGGTTTGCTGCCTGAATTGTTGGGAGCTTTTGTGGGCTTAGTGTATCATGATCCTCGTGCGTACCTGTTTGGTACCACCCTCGTTGTGAGTGCTCCAGGGTGGCATAGAGCACTGAACTCAACTCTCAGCCGCGTGTGTGAGCCGTGTTTGCGTGGGACTTGGTTTGCTGCAATCCCCAAATATGCCAACCAAACAGGAAAACTGATTCCCAGATTCAGCCGGATCCCTCAGCCGCAAACAAAAACCCTTATTTGTGTAGAGCTTGGTCTACTGTGATGCTTATATATGCTCAACCAAACAGAGTCACTGAATTCTAGGCTCAACTTACAGGAGAGCCTTGTTTGCGTGAAGCTTAGTCTCCTGTGATTTTCCCATGTGCTTAAAAGAATAGGAACACTGAATTCCAGATTCAGCCGGGTTTCTCAGCCGCAAACAAAAACCCTTCTTTGTGTAAGGCTTGGTCTACTGTGATCCTCATATATTCCCCACCAAACAGAAGCACTGAATTCCGGGCTCAGCCGGCCACTCCGCTGTGAGCGAGAGCCTTGTTTGCGTGAGGCTTGATCTATTGTGATCCTCGCACGCGTTCACACAAATTATACTGCCCGTCCCTTGTCAGGACAGCGGGTCCAGCTGAATGCCATCAGCCAAAGGATCCAGTGGCTCAGCAATTTATGGATGTCCCACAGCTGTGCTCTTGTATCCAGGTCGTCTCAACTTCGTTTTCACAGCCGATCAAACGTCAGGTGTTGTCAGCCTGGTGGCGCTCTATGAAACTCAGCCGACGCTTTCAGCCGCCGTTCTCAGCCGCGTCTAAGCCATGGCCCCTCGACCTTGTCCCCCTTAAACAGATATTAGTCCGGTGCTTCACTCCAGTGACTCAGCTGGATGCTCTTATTTGGGTCTATATGTCTGTTTGCTGCGCTTCCATCTTTCTGCTCTAGCTTCTTAATTGTACAAACTTGGCTCGGAGGCCAAACTTGGTGAGAAGTGGTGTGTTGTCAGCTATCTGCTGTTAGTCAGACGCTCTAGCCTCCATAAAGGATCAAACACTTTATTGCCCAGGAACTCGCAGCACCTTTGTTGCACCTTATCATCCAAAGAATTGTAGCAACAATGGACGTAATGGATCCCCAAGCCTCCAAACAGCTTTCTGGAGTAGTGGAGCAGAATGGTGATGTCAGTCCCGTGTTCGCCCCCCCATCTCTCGTTTGCTGCCGCAGCTACTCATCACAACGATTCCAAGCCATGGAGGCGCCCGAGAAAGCAGGCGTCCATTTTTTTCCTTCAATCTCTGCCGCCTGTACAATGGCTGCAATGAGAATGAGTGACAAAAAGGAGTATCACTGAGCGAGGGGGATTCAGAGTGTCTTCTCCCCTTCGAGAGCTCTTGATACTACTGAAGCTGTAAACGAAGTTCACCCAAACAGTAAGTCGTCTTTCCAATACACCTTCAAGCAGCCAGCAAGTGCTCTTGTGGTCCAACCATAAGCTCGAAGAAGATCACTGCAACATCAAAATTGTCCAATATCTCTGACCACTGTTGATAGAGACCCCGATCAGAATGAAGATGTCCATTCTTCAATAAATAGCCTCGATATGATTTCTGGGCGTCTTCTTTCTTTGAGCAGAGTGCTTCAGAGAGCAGGGCAGGTCGCAATGCCATCGCTGGTATTTGGCGGTAGGATTGTACCTCCCGTGCGAAAGAAAATTAGGGTTGCCAGCACCGAGTTCGAACTCCGAGCTGGTCGCTGATTCAACAACAGTCACGGAATGGAGAGAACGGCTCAGGATGACCAGAAGTATTACTGATCCGGCCTTAACAGCCCAACGACTAAACTTCAGTCTGAATAAACACCTTCGACCAATCCACATTCCTTTCAAGACGGTCCAGCTCGGGGCTGGGCGAGCGGAAGACCATCTCGGGGGCATTGATCCGCCTCGAGCCATGCCACGGTGGCCGGTACCAGGACCACGACTGCCGCTCGCTGTTCAAGCCGGACGGCCGCGAACTGTGCGATCTGGGCCGCTGCGAGTTCGTCCCCGCGGACCAGTACACGCCCAACTTCTCCCTGGAGAAGCAGCCCCAACAGAGCGACCACAGTACGACGGGCCAGCAGCTGCATGCCATGGGCGGGACGACGCGCGCGACACCATCGCGCACCTCGGCAGCTCCCAAAGCACTGGGGCGCCTTTGATGTTGGGCGGTTTGCGGACCACCGATGGTCGAATCAAGATGGCCGCTTAGCAGATGCTCACGGCGCTGCAGAACGGGGGCGTCCCTAAGAACAAGTGGGACTCCACTGGGGTGCGGGTGGATATCCGGGAAGTGGTGCAAAACTGGAGGTAGACTGGCGGTCGAGTAATACACTCTCTTCATGACTGGCATCCCTCATTCCCTTGCATGACAGAATGAGGGCACACGAGATTGAGGAGCCCTAACTCCAGAGAGTCTGTCCCCAAGGGACGCATTGTGAATACTTGCTTGAGCAATGTGATCCCGTTCATTAAGCTCATCAATCAAACAGTGACTGTGATCACTATTAATATTTAAAAGGCATTTCGGTCCAGCTGAGTAGGCGAAAGGTATGCTTTGCAACTGTCCTGATGATATTCTATGTTCAACGAGCGATCATCTGTGGTTCTACTTGTCGCCTGGGGGCCGGGATGTTGGAAGGGCATGGATTTGTCTACCCTGCGAACGCGTCCTAAAACGAAAAACACTCGGGAAACCAGCGCGACCCGCGCATTCTTTTTGCAATTGCACCATGGCCATTCGCACGTCTCCAAAAAGTTCGGCCACTTGGTCGGGAGACGCTGAAACACCAGACCAGATTCTGATGATGCCGGGTGCGAGGCGGAAAGCTACAGCCCCAGCCCTCATCGCAGTGTACAAGCGGTCCATGGATATGGCGGCCGTCACAATAAGCACAGCACCCTGGTTTCCACCTGATGTTGAAGGCATCGCTCAACGAGGAGGCATCCGGTTCATGACGGTGCCTGTCACTATGTCCGCAAGGCCGACTTCGAACTTTGTGCCGAGCTACATCCATGTCACTTGGCGGTGACGGCGATCGGTCTTGCAGGGCCTGTCCACCCACTCAGACCAGCAGAACGCACAGTGGCAGCGTGTTTCGAGGTGTCTGAAGCGCAGGCATTCAAGCATGGCGTTATGTCGGCCCATGGTTGTTTGTTCGCTTCCAAGGTTCCTTGATATTGATTGACATCGAACAACTGTCAGGGGCCCACCCGGCCGACATGGAGGGAACCGCTCCCCCACACTCGGTTCATTCGGCCCTTGGTGGAGCTGCAAGGTTTCGTGGAGAGGAAGGATGTCTGCGCGTCAGCGTTCAGGAAACGGCCCGAGAGCATGAGGAGGTCGGGGAGAAAATGTCGCGCGGCGGAAAAGAAGAAGATGCGGCGGCGGAGGATCGAAGTGGATCGATCACAAGAAGCGTGTGTCCATGGCAACGCAACGAAACGAAATGGAACGAAACCAAAACCTGGCCGGAAAGGCATGGGTCTCGGCAACTTTCCTCGCGGCCGCGTCGTGTCGTGTGCATGTGTCGTGCTATCGTTCCATCATGGTCGGCGCATTCACTCCCTTGGTTGCTTTCATCTCCCTCTCCCTGGCATCTGGGATGGAGGAGAAACGATGACGGTCGTGCGTCTATCACAATCAAGCTCCCCCACGCACACAAGAGGATCGAGATAAAACGCCAAACCGCTCAGCCAACCACGACCGACGGGGGAATAGAGTGCTTTTTGAGCATTTCAAGTGCTGGGCAGGGAACAGGCAACACTGTCTCTTGTGTTTCCACCTCCTTGTTTCTGCTTTTCTCCTCCTTCCCAGGCTCTCGGATCGACAGCCAGGACCACCCTTTGAGCATAGCTCGGCTGCAGGCTTGGCTGATAACGGCGCCTGGCACCCAACCAGTGTGCGCCTATGGTGCCAGATCCAAAACCCTGCCTACAACATTGCAATCTTCACGCCCTGATTCATCACTCATCCACCAGGTTGCACTGGTTGACTGGTTGCCAGGGCTGCCAAACAGCGAGACAGACAGGGCTGGCCCCGTGCTGCGTGCTCGAGCCTGGGCTTGCCTGGGGCCCGTCATCAATCTCCCTGGCCCGGTCTTTGCTGACTTTCGTTCGAGAGATATGTGTATTTCCCCTGACTAGCAACAGCCCTGTCTTTTGGTTCTTTTGCGCCGTCAGCGCCGTCAGAGGATCGCCTCGATACGCACGGCCACTGGAGTCAGCTGCCAGGGCCCCCTGGAGTGGCGTCTAATCGGGCATGTCAATTTCCACACATTTTTGTATGACTGGGTGCCTGGGCTGGCGTATGTGGGCTGCAGGTGGGCTGGCGCGATTGGGGTGAGCAAGCTCATGGCGTCTCGCCGTAAGCCCCATCCGTCAAGCTCATACGGGGGGCCCACGGGCGTGGTCACATATGCAAGTGTGGGCCCCTTTCTCATCCTACCTCCCAGCCTGCCTACTCAGGTACCACAGCCAACGTGTTTGAGAACTGGGCAGCTTCAGTATCCATGCCCCAGCCTTCTCGGTTACTCGGCCTCTGGCCCTGGGCGAAAGAAATTCACCGACGCAGAGTGACGGATTAAGCCATCAGCAAACGCCAAGGAGTAGAGAGAAAAGAGCCAACAAGGGCTTGACCACTGAAAGCGCATCGAAGAGTCCTGCGAGCCCAGGACGCCAAGTGGTTTGTGGCACTAATTGCAGCAACAATCTCCCCGAACTGCCGGGAACCGATCTACTGTGAGATACATAAATAAATCTGAAGCTCTGGTTCAAGCAAGGGCAGCCCTTCACGGTGCCCCGGGCCAGAGGCTGGCAACACCCTGCTTCATGTTGTCTGAGTTCCGAGAACAGGGACCATGGAAGCAGGGCCGATGGACACGGGCGACGCAAGCCATGTACGTGTTGTGTGTGTGTATGAGTAGATTGTGCGTGTGCCTGTATGTGTGTGTCGACATAACTCGAAACATTATTGCAGTACATTTCCATCCGTGCCAGCCAACACCAGAAGAGGTATAGACAGCATGCGCCGGCGATCACGGACGGCGGTCAGGTGTGGAGCGGTGGTAAATGTACCCATACGGTGCTCATTCAAAACACGACTGAGCCCCCCCCAGCGTACTCGTAAAGCTCCACCAGTTCCTCCTTACGTCAACATTGCGCTGGTGAACTTATTCATGGTTCCTTCGCCCTGGTCTGTTTCCATTCTGTGATCTGGTTTTTCTTTCTTTCTACTGCCTTTTCCCATTCCTGACCCGAGACGCTCGTTTGTGAACCTCTTGTGTGTCTGCAGCAACGAGGCCCCCCCAAAATTTTCGGGACTCGGCCGAGTTGAGTTGCTGGGACAAACAATAAATAGCCACCCACCTGGGCAAGCCCTGGGAGCGACATTGTGGCTGCAGCTGACGCTTCCAACCACCCCCCCTCCAGTCGCAACACAACATCTTGTCGATAATCCGGCTAATAAATTGCCCAATAAACCAAGGCTGAGCCCCCAACAGAAGTGGCACATTTCGGACCCGACCATCATCTTCAGCTCGCCTGCCTGCTTGCTCGCTCTGGCCGAGTGCGTTGCTTACTGCAGAGTGGAAAACCCCGCCTCAGCCTCAACATCGCTGTCCGACGGGACAACATTTGAGAGCGAGACAAACCCAGTTTTTCCCCCAGGGCCCGCTCTTTCTCACTCAGGCCGAAATTTCGATATCCAGACACATTGTTGTTGTTCCTGTCGTTTCCAGACGTTGCAAATTTCCGAAGACCACACCAGATATCGACCGGGGGGGAAGCTGACTGCTCGGATGTTCCGGACGCGCATGTGGAATATGACGAGAGAGTGTCGACACCCAGGCTGAACCATTTGAAGTGCAATAATCTTTTCTCCGAAAGCAGACAATCGTTTTTCATTTTGAGTTTGAAGAGGACTATTACCTATCTATTGCTGGACAGCAGCCTGCAGACCCCGAGGGAGGCAGACAGATAGATCGACACACAGACAGCTCCGTTGAGATGGCAGCCGCTAATTTTGCCCGGCCGCCTCAGGCGCCGGTCCAACACCAACCACGGGCCAGTGGCTCCTGGGATGACCTGCTGCGCAACAAGGGCCAGGACAAGGCGCAGCAGGCGAGGGCGAGGGCGGCGCAAGGCGATCGGGGAAGGCGGCCACAGAGCAGCGGCGGGGGCGCTGGCGCGAGTGGGAGGCCGAACAGCATGGTGAACCCACCGATGCGCCGCATGGAGCTGCACCACGACAACCAGCGGTCGTCACAGGCCTTTGCCGCGCACGTCGCCGCGCTCAATGGGAAGCCGTCGCCGCTGTCGCGAGAGGTGACACTCGGATCGGACTTCGACTACGGCCCGGAATACGGAATGATGCCCGAGATCAACCACTACAGCCTCAACGACCGGCGCTATCAACCCCAGCAGGCCCCGCAGCCGCAGCGACCTGGCATGTACGCGCGGCCTCGACGTATATCCAGCGGCGGGCCCATGGCGCCACGTCCGGGCAGCTTCCACTCGTTTGACGGCACAGTGGACAGCCAGGGCCGCGCAACGCGGGCTAGTAGCTGGGGCGGGATGCCGGTGATCGAGGAGGCGCACGCATTCGAGACGTTCCCGCCAGCGCACCAGCCGTTTCGGAACTCGGCGCCGACGTGGCAGCCGCGGCGGCCTGAGCCCATCAAGGCGGTGGCGCCCCGGAAACCGGGGCCGAACGAGCTGTTCAACAAGCTGCCGGTCGAGGTCCTGAGGCTGGTCCTCGAGCACGTGCGGAGGCTGCACTTCGACGACAAGAGCAGCAGCTGCGCGACATGCTGGATGCGCGACTGCTGCGCCGTGGCCCTGTGCAACCACAAGCTGCTTGCCGTGGCGAGGGAGGCACTCTACAGCGACATCCAGCTAGTCGGCAAGGACGCCCAGCTTAGCAAGAAGTATAAGGGGCTGCATACTGCTAGGCTGGTTCTGCTTCGGCGTACGCTGCGGGCCAACAGGAGCCTCGGGGCGGTGGTGCGCTCGCTCAAGGTCCCTGCGCTGCCCGACAACGCGCCAATCGAGGCGACGAAGTACCATGACATGGTGGCATCGGTGGTGATGGCGTGTCCCAACCTGGAGCGTCTGGACGGCTTCTACCCGAGCTACCGGCATGGCAGCGATAGTCACTTCCTGCACGCCATGGAGACGCGGCGCAAGCTCAAGGAGATGACGTGGGTCATTGAGGCGGTGCCCGAGGCGTCGGTGGAACACGTCCGCTCAAGCAGCAGAAAGAGGGCGCAGTCGATGTCTAGGAAGTCCAAGAGAGCGACCTTAGCCCCAGCGCCAGCGCCCGCGGACGACGGCATCCCGGACCACTACCTGACGGCAGCACATGCCAACCGCTTTGTGCTGCGGCACGAGAACTGGAAGGAGCTGACGCACCTGACGATCCACTGTCTGCCGGGTTCTAACATGTCGCCCCACGGCATGATCGGCGCCGCCCTGACCTTTCTCCCGGGCATCGACTCGCTGTACCTGTCCCACCTGCCAGCCAGCTCCTTCAACGACGACTCCCTCCTGGGCCTGCCGCGAGCGCTAAAGAAACTTAGCCTCGCTCACTGTTCAGGTGTGACCACTGCCGGCCTATCGACCTTCGCTACCCGTGCCGCAGCCAGCTCGCTCGAGACCCTAACGCTGATCCACCAGAACATCGACAGCGCGGACGCGCTGGTGCGCATGTTCGCCAAGCTGAGCAACCTGACGACCTTTAACATCGTGCAGGCGGCGGCCCCGGCCATGGGCGACGATCCGTTCCTGTTCATGCCGTATCTCGCCTCCCGGTCGCTGAAAAAGCTGCACTGGGACGTCTTCGAGAGCGACGCGGCGGCGACGAGGGCAGACGACATCCTGGCGCGCAGCATCGCGGCCGGCGGCTTCCCTTGCTTGCGGTCGATTCGTGTGCCCAACGACCCGGAGGGGCGTTTTCAGGCGCTATGCAAGCCGCAGGAACGGGCTGACCTCGCTGGTGACAGGTACCGCCGCGGGCTGGTGAGCCAGGCCACCAACGCGGCGGGCGCGAACGCCTCGTCCACTAACCTGGCCGCCCTCGCCGGCGGGCCCAAGCAGCCCTCGACCGACGACCAGGGCGGCGCGCGCTCGTCATCCGACACCAAGGACAGCGGCAAGGAGATGCTCCCCACCCGCGAGTACGGCAGCGACCTGCACGCGGCACGGCTGGCGGCGCAGGCGCGGCTGGAGGCGGCGCGACGCTTCCCGCGGTTCGAGGCCAACGTCCTAGACGAGGACGGCGAGGTGGTGTCGACCGAGGGGCTGGCGGGCTTCATCGGCGACGCGGCCAGCCGGATCTGCTATACCCTGGTGCCGGACGCGGGCGGGTCGGACGCGAGAGGCGGGCTGGTCGTCATGGATGACCTGCTTGGTGACGGTGGCGAGGACCTGTCCCGTAAGGGGGATATCAGTAGTAATGCTGGTGGCGGGTTTGGCACGGGAATTGCGCCCTGCTGTGTTGTTCCTGGTGTGCCGGAGAGGGAGGCTGTGTTCACGAGGGGCAAGTTGGTGAAGAGGGATACTGGGGGAAAGACTGGCAAGGAGAAGGAGAAGGACAAGGACAAAGACAAGGATAAGGAGAGGGACAGGGACGGCGAGGACCCTGGCAAGGCGAGAGAGGGCTGCACGGGGCGGTGGAACTCATATAATTCCGAAGGGCTCGTGGACAAGAAGAGCGCCTCTGGCGACCGGTGGTGGCATGTTGAGCGTGGGAGGTGGAGAGGGCGAGTTGAGCTGTCTTAATTTTTTGGACAGACAGACGGTAGGAGGAGTACAGATAAAGGAGGATATCGACGGATGATGATGGATACCCAGTGCTGCAGATGGTTTTGTTTCTTGTAGATATCTCCTACGGTCTAGATGGGAAGGATAGTCATAATGATTAATGCTGTTAATCAAGCTGAGAGACACGATCGACTGGGGATATGGACTATTGGTTGAGATATCAACCTGGAGTTGGCGCGACTGAGGTGTCGAACAGATGAACTCTATATATGTTCATTTATGTCTGTATGGTGGGTGGTACGGCTCAATGCTGATTTGTCTTTGCTGGGCTACTACCGTCACCATGTCTTCCAAGCTACTGTTCCACCTGCAAGGTCCAAATAGAATGATTTTAAATAGGAGCAATAGTCCATTTACAGCAAGCCACAAGTTGGTGGGAGAGACAATCGCATCTGCTAGCGGTCTCTTCTTGACCTTTCGGTTGGCTGGTTGTGCTGAAGTGATGAAATGAGCAGCTTTTGGGGGGGGGGGACCTGGCTCCCACTCACAGACCCCAACCCTTCTCTTCTCTTTGCCGCTGCTTGCCGCGCCCCCCCAAGAAATTCCAGACGTCATCGCAGCGCCGAGCCGAGTCCGGGAAGGCCGAGAGAGATATTTCCAGGGCCCAGCGAAGACGGAGGAGGGAAATAGAAGCAGCCCGCCACTGAACATCACCCCTCTACAACGTTGTTTCCGCTCCTTTCTTTTCTTTGCAAATATTTGAGCACGGCTTTAGACGAATTGACAGTCCACAAATTCAAAAGACGCCGGCAGTCAGTCATGCGAAGGAGCCTCACCTCGACAGGTCGCAGCCTATGCTCGACCTGCTGCGCGCAGAAAAGGGCATACGCGCCGCTGGCCACGACGGCTGGGAGAGCATTTTCAACGACACAGCCGACCTCACAAAGCTCGTTGCTGAACCAGAAGCAGCAGCAGGGGCGAAGCGCATTACCACAACCATCCCACGGCGCACAGCACAGGTGGCTGTCCTCGCAATCCCAACCCCAAACCGCTGCCGAGGAAGCCCAAGAACAACAAGACCAAGACCAAAGCCAACCAACCAAGCGCTTGCCATACTACGACCTCTTCCCCGAGACCCTCCCACACGGCCCACCGCCCGAGGGCCCCTTCGATATCGACGTGCGCGCCTTGCGCCGCGAGTTCCTGCGCCTGCAAGCCACAAGCCACCCAGACTACTTCCACTCCGCGTCGACCTCTTCCACAGGCGGCAGCTCCGACAGCACAGCCAAGCTGCGGCGGCAAGCTGAGGCCGCGTCGAGTCATATAAACGCCGCATACAAGACGTTGTCGCACCCGCTGTCGCGCGCCCAGTACATCCTGGCCGAGCGGTACGGCGTCGACCTGGCGGGCGACGAGGCGGGCAGCCACACGGGCGGTGCGTCGGCAGACAGTGCGCTACTGGTCGAGGTGCTGGAGGCGCGGGAGGCGATCGATGAGGCGGAGGCTGAGGGGGACCTGGAGGGGCTGATGGAGGAGAACGAGGAGCGGATCGGGCGGTGTGTTGAGGGCTTGAAGAGAGCTTTTGAGGAAGGGGATGTTCAGGGTGCTGTAACGGAGGCGGTGAGGTTGAGGTACTGGGAGAACATTAAGGAGGGGATACGGGGGTGGGAGAAGGGGGTCGGGGGTGGTCTTTTGCACCATTAGGGAATGCTTGATCGGTTGTGGACATGGGGTGTTTGGTTCGACCTCGGTGATGGTCATGGATACGGGGCTGGATGTCCAAATCTTGAATCTTGGTAGTATATGATCGTGCAGGAATGGCAGATCATGGTATGAAGGGCAAAAGGAGGGGCCCGTTGGGCCGCTCTGTATCAGACCTTGAATAAGCGGGAGCTCTTTCACGATCGACTTTGACCGTGGGAGAGCTTGTAATATACTAGGCTATTATATAGAGACTCTCCGCAAGTGAACATAGCACAATTTAGAAAGCATCATCAGGAATCTTACTGTCACGATTGTATTAACTCAAAATTCTGTATTAACAAGTCATCTGGGATCTTTCTTGCGTTTGCAGTATTCATCTCATACCGTCAAATGTATGCGATAATTCCAGCAAGGTATGTTGAGACACATGAATTTGAATACTTTCTTTTACATTGTATCACCTTAATCACAGAGAATAGCGGAATAAAGGATTACGATCGCCCATCGTTTCCAGGACCTCCTCACTGTACTTCTCTTTGACCTCCTCCTCGCTCTGCCGTGCCCTCTTTTTATTGATAGAAAAGTACGTGACCTCGAGAGCCAAGGCCGCTACCATACCAGCGAGCACAAAAGCAAGGCAATTGCCCCATCCCGTGGGATAGCTCGGCTTCTCCCTGTCCTGGAATATAAGGCTGCCAATGATGCCACCGACGCTGCCTATTGCGATCATAAAAGCGATGCCCACGGCCCTCTTGGTCTGGCCGGCGAGGTTGTTGAGCGTCCAGGCACTTGCACCAGGGACGATGGGGTACGTGCCGATGGTAGAGAGGTGGACGCAGAAGTAGCACGCAGCGACGTTGGACCTGATGTCGCCGCTGAGCTTGAACAGCACCGAGTACGCCACCACCAGCAGCGCCTGCGGCCCCACGATGAAGGGCAGCCTCCATGTGAAACTGTCTGCCAAGATGGACGATAACACGGCCGAGATAGCTCCACAGATGTAGGGCGGCGCGGTAAGAACCTGCGCCTGCGTGCTCGTGAAGCCCACTGCAGCACTCTGAGTTAGCTATCGAACCCCCGGGAAGGATTGCCATTTGAAAAAGGGGTGCCATCTGCTTTTAGCCTGGCTTAAAAGCTGCAACTTGACAAAGCGTTTCGGTGCAAATATTTAAACAGGCTACGGGTGGCTGATGTTTTTTGTTGAAAGTTCACAATTGTACGAAGCTGCTTACTGTTAAGAATGATTTGGGGCATGGTGAACTTGAGCGCATAGTTGGGCACGGCGCTAGATAAGAATATCAGGGATTGCAGGTAGATCTGCCAATCGGTCAAGACGCTCAAGAGAACGGTCCACTGGAACCTCTGCTTCTTCTTCTCGGGACTGCTTGCCGGCTCCCTGCGGGCACCGCGATGCTTCTCATGCATCCGGATCAGAAACCGTATCTCGTGCTCGGACAGCCAACCGCCAGAGAGTGACGGCGAGTCAGGCAGTATGAAGAAGCACGAGAGCCCGACGACGACGGTCAGGAGGCCTTCGATGATGAAGATCCATCGCCACGCCTCGTAATTTCCGAGGCCGTCCATTTTGGCGATTGCGGCTGCTAGCAGACCGGAGAATGCCCCGGAGATGGCTGCGGCGCCGTAGAAGACGGCCACGCGGAGTTGCGTGAGGTGTGGTGGGTACCATTGACTGATGAGGAAGACAGCACCAGGGAAGAAACCGGCTCTGCATATAGGAATCAGTCCCTTCTTGCTTCCACAAACTCGAGCAGGGAGTGTCTTACTCGAAGACGCCCAGCAAAAACCGTCCTGCAACCAGCCCACCAAAGCTTTTAACGACGCCGCTACATGTCATGACAGTGCCCCAGCAGAACACCAATATACCGAGGTATATCGATGGTCGTTTGAAATTGAGGAGGATGGCGTTGCTAGGAATCTCGCACAAAATATATGGCACGAAAAAGATCATGGAAGCAACATTGTAATCGCTGCCCCCCATCTTCAGGCTGGCTTCTAAGCCTTGAATCTTTGCGTTTCCAATATTTGCTCTGCCAGGGCAATCATTAGCGATATCCTGCTGCAAAAATTACGAATAGACCGATATGTTATTCGGACCTGTCAAGGTTGGTAAAGAAGTAAAGCAACATGAGCATAGGCGTCAGTCGCCAGTCCACCTTGCGGTATATTCTCTTCTGCTCCTTGTCGGAGACATTGTCCAAGTAGTCGATGTCTGCTTGAGGGAGGTTGGCAGGAAGGGAGCTCTTCAGATGCTTGACCGTGGCCCTCCTGTGTTGCTGCCCCACGGGAATGGTGTCGGCGGCTTTGGAGACCAATTTCGAAGCCATTTTGAGTTCCAGTACTCTGTGGGTCCTTGTTGCTTATGGGTATTCTGTATAATAATAAAGAGGTGAGTCGGATCCGGCATGACTGGAAATCCGTCATTATGGTCACACGAAATTGAGAACGGTCTTAGACATATGAGGAGAAACCGACGAAGTGGAGGCCATGGAATATAAACTTTAGCGAGAGTGCCTCGTGGCTCACACACATTATACTTCGCAAGGATGTGGAATTCGGAATTAAATCATCACCCCAATAGTACTCTCAATTGCCGATCTCCAGCGTTGAAGTAGCACTACACTCCTGCACTCCATACTTGAGTACCAAGGTAACTTTGAAAGACAGCTGTGGTGGAGTCGTGTAGGCCATTACAAACAGATATGAAAAGCACAGCATGTAAATTTCACCCTTCAGGACTACTTGAGGATATCATTTAACAAATGCATCATCAACAACAACTTTCAACTTTTTCCTATTACGCATATCAGGCAGCTTGAACTGGTTCGAATATTGGTCGAAGCTCAGGGACCCAGTCGCCCCAATCGCCCGGCTCTTCGCTCCCGAACGATAAATCCGTCTCCCGGATAGGCGAAAAGGTTCAACGAGACATCCGGCCTGCGCGTGAGGTGGAAGTTACCCCGGTGCGGGTGCTTGATGGTTTCCATGAAATGGAAGATCATACCGCCGTAGATGACCACCACAGGGGTGTCGATGGCGCACATGATGACATCGCACTCGGCTGATTATCCATTTTTACAGGTGAATCCCGCGCAGCGTGACGGGCTTGATGATATCCCACAGCATCTTGGAATTACAAGTGTCTGCAGAACAGCTTCTAAGACGCCTTGACCGGTGTCTGCCGTCTACAACCTATTGGCAGTCTGGGGATCACATTGTAGGGTGACCTTCGGCAGAGTAGACTCACTTGAACTTCCAGGTAAATATCTGACCACCTCGCTTAGTCTTTGAGAATTCCTTGGAACTATATATGACTTTTGTGACTTGCACGACTTTGAGGATATGGCCGCACAAAAACACAACACATTAGACAAGGGTAAATCGGGGTGGAAGCCGATGCACGAGCGCTGCCCTGGCCACCTATCCCACCTTGCCCTCCTCGACCACCTGAGCCTCCCTTGCCGCCGTGGCCTCCTTTCCCCCCCGACGCCTGGCCTCCACCACCAGCGCCACCTTCGATGCGACCGATGTGTATTCCAGATTCAGGACCCAAAACATCGTGAACTTCTGGAAAAGGTAGCGGCGGAGGTACTGGCAGGCCGAGAACAGGCGGTGGAGGAGATGGCGGATCTTGTGGCCCAGTGACTGTTGGACGAGGTGTACGCTCTCGCTGCTTCGGCGGCGCCTGGACGCAACACATCATCAAAGTGTATACCGAAGCATATGCTTCAGCACGAGCAGATGCCCGACCGCCGTCCCCACCCCAGCCTCCGTCACCACCTTGGCCACCGCTGCCTCCTTGGCCTCCATGCCCGCCTTGCGCAGCCCCGCCGGTGCCAGTTCCTCCGCGCGGTTCACGGAAATTAGGACCAGAAAACCGATGATCTTGACTATCTCTGATACCATTACCTCTAACAGCAGAGTCGCCGCCTTCGTGGTGAGGTGTTTTGTCATAGAAAGGGGATCCTTCTCCGACAGCTTTGTCCCCTTGTCCGCCCGGTCGCCCCAGCCCACCACATCTTCCGTCCGCACCTGGCTCTCCTCTCCCACCTTCATCCCGAACCGAGATAGCTTGTGTGCTTCCAGCAGACAAGAGCATCTTGAGTCTCCGGTGACGGTGGATGGACCAGTCCCTTGAGTGATGACGTCGCTGGGTGCAGGTGCAGCGGCAGACGTATAGTGATGTGATCGCAATGATGAGAAAGACGCCTAGCACCACACCAAGGATGACCAAGACGGTGCGGTCCACGGTCTGGAGGTCTTTGCGCTTGTCGAGCTTGTGTTCATTCGTGAGATGTGTAAATGTAGAGAACATCTCTTGTGCAACCCTCACGTACCGAGGACTTAAGACGGGCTCCTTTCCCCGATTTGAACGTAGGTCACTACCGACGTCTTTTTTCCAATCAGAAGACTTGGAAGGAAGCATGCTCGGAGGCAGAGAAAGTCTCCAAGGCGTTGGAAATACCGTTTCAAGACAGCTCACTAATATTACATAGGCTCAACGTTTTGTGTCACGTATTGAAGCAATGTTAGGGCAGAAATAGGAAGGAACAAAGTTTTTTTTACAACAGCAGCTTTGGTCTCAAGGAATGAAGTTTCTACAACAATATCCTTTTCTTGGAGGGGCCCTTTGATGGCCGCTGGGGACAATGCTATTGCGCCCGCAGAGCCTCAATGACTCTGACCCAATCGGCGATGCCGCATTCAACTTATTCACCAAGACCCTCCCACTGAGAGCCTTGCGAGGTTGAAGCTGTGTCTTGGTATTGCTGAGCGAAGTGATTATGTGATTTGCGACGGAATGATGGAGGAGGGGTGCATTTAGAAGATTGGTGCCGTCAAACTCGCAGGATGACGGGTTACCATACAGAAATAGTAGGTGATACAGACAAAATGTAGGCCTTCGTGGCAGCCAAGTTTTCACTACCAAGGTCGAACTTGCAGGACGTTGGCTGACCATGCAGAAGCTGAACTGACTGATGACGAACTGGTGGATGGTACAGACACAAGCAATCACGCCGATTTCTACGCAGCCCGGTGTTGTGGCTGCAACGAGGATTGAGTAGTTGTAAATAGCGAAAAGAGGGATCTGAACTTATCTGTCACTATTGTCAATAGCCGGGTTCATCGTTCACAAATTGGCTAACAAACACATACACTGTACTTTCCTCAAGACCCTGCTGGTTCCCCTTCGCTCCCAGCGGCTGAGCTGCCGACTTGGAGGTAACTTATCTCCTATACAGATGGGCCATAGCATCAGGTACATTTTGGATCAGGTCGCCACCCGTTCCATCTCCAGCCGTTGCAGCAAGGCCAGGAGCGGCAACGACTAAGCCACCATGACCCGCCCCTGCGGTCCCAGATATCCCTACCCCTTTACCATCTCCACCGACTCCATGGCCCCCTTTGAAATTCCCGAACCCATCGATTTTCCCGCCCGTGCCGTAGCCTCCCTCTGCAAGAGCCGCCGTGCCGATCCCCGAGCGTATGTCTGCGCCCGTGCCATAACCGCCAGGAGCGACTTGGACCCTCTCGTCGTAGAGGACGATTATGGTCTCGCCACTTTTCAGGATCAACTCGTTCTCGGTGATCACTGGGCTGAGACCCCACTGGCGCGTGGTACCATTCCATGCGGGACGATGGATCGTAATTTCGCCCGGGAGACGATACTTCTCGCGAATTTTGGTCCTGAACCCCTTGAGCAGCACGGATTCCCTCTCAACTAGATCCAAATTGCTGTGTAAGGGACCTTGATACGGAATTTTGATTAGTTGACGACATATAATTGCGAAGAATGGCACATACTCTGCGCGTGCTTGCTTTTGATGGTGCACTTGAACTGGACCGTGGCCATGGTGTCGAGGCTGCTTCAATCAAGAAAGACGAGATGGGTATGATTGCAAGATCAGTACACCTCTTGAAGGTCGCAGTTCGCCCTTCTTAAATAGATGTGGGAGCCGAGGAGCTGGATTGTTGAAAGCAACTTTCTCACAACTGATCAGTCTAATCCTGCATACTGCCAGCCTGCCTGACCTCCTATATTCACCTATTGGAGGATGACCAGCAAGGCAGCTTGAGGCTTGCTTTCAACATCTGACTAGAACTAGATTCGTAATCCGGGCGAAGCATTGAAATGCATGTGTACTTGCAAGAAGTAGACAGTTCGCTTGCTTAATTGGACAGACCTCTGCAATCGTTGAATGGTTCGGCTGTGTACGATAGAAATCCACGGTCAAAGTCAGGCGACCTGCCTACGAACACCCCCCCCCCCCCAATTTGCAGGTGCCCCTAATCTTGCCACAACGGACTGCGCCCGCTTTCCTGCAGGCTGTGGCATGTGTAACTCTTACTGCATATTGATGCATACGTCCCGTCCTCAAGAAAACAAGTTGGAGGTCATCAGATCCCATGTCGGTCCTCGTTCCTCATTTGGAGGCACCATTCATACACTCTAACAGCTGTCTTTGCACCCCAGAATGTTCTCACGTACGTCTCTTACCATCAGAGTCTCCGGTATCAGTCCGGAGACCGAGTCGACAGAGTCGTTGAAAGAGCGATGTCGAGAGTTTACAGATCTCAAGCCGAAGAAAACATTTTTTCGGACGCGCCATGAAACACAACTCCGTCCGCTGTTGGTCTCCCTAGCACGCCACGGTGACTCGGACATGGGGACAGTCACCTTCCCATCTCAAGGTTCCAAAAAACGAGCGCTAGACAGCCTTACTCTTGCAGGTTGGAAGGTCGACGATACCTTTGCGGATTTGACAGTGTTACACTCAGCACCAGAGCCTGATCTTGAGTACGGCCCCCACCTCGCCCTCCTTTCCTCCTACATTCCTTTTCAACCGGGCAAATATGCACAATTGGGTATTATGCTAACAAGAATCAGCATCTGCGCAGTTCACGGCTTGAATGGGAACGCCTTCGATACCTTCGCCTGGGAAGGCCGGGAAATGTGGCTCCGCGACTTTTTGCCCGAGTCACGGCCTTTTCATCCTGAATTCTCACGGGCCCGCATTATGACATATGGTTACAGCTCCTTGCTGCGAGATAACAAGAATACAACTGGGCTAGACGAATGGTCCCTAGGGCTCCTCCAGAGTGTCTCGGCCGCCCGCAGATCACCATCTGTAATCTAGACTCTCTCACTCTTCCGCAAATGGTCCTTATCCGAACACACACTGACCGTAAGTGGGGAATGTAGGAACGCTCTCGTCCTATCATATTCGTATGTCACTCTCTTGGAGGAATTGTTGCAAGGCAGGTATGTTTGTTTTCCACAAAAACCTCAATCGAACTGACGTTACCTGACAACTAATCCTGGACCTCTTGGGTGGCGTAGGCGATGATTAGGTTAGAAAAGTTTCCGACCGAGGGATTGAAGCTAGAGAATTGCGGTCTCCTGTTCTTAAGCACTCCACATTCAGGGACTGTGGAAGCGGACTGGAATGACCTCTGGCTTCTGTTGGCAAAGGGAGGCGGAGTGAGCCGTGGCTCAGTCTTTACCCAGTTGCTCAGTGCCTTCAACCAAGCATCGGTCAATGCACAGGAGCAATTTTGTGCCCTCAATCCTGTACCTCCTGTTGAATGTCTGTACGAGACGCAGAAGACATCAGTCGCGGGAACGAAACGTACTGTTAGTGGCCAAGAATTTGTTGAAAATCTAATTCTTTCAGAGGGGGAAAATTTACAGAACTCTTCGGTGTCCTCGGCCTAACTAACACGTGTTTGTATAGGTTGTCTCACCAGCTTCAGCCGGCTTGATCAGACGGGCGGAGCCTATGTTGAACGTAGACCATCGGACGATCTGCAGATTCCCAGACATGTACGACCCGGGTTATATGCAGGTGCTGAACTGCCTAGACAAGATCCGAAAGTGTCTAGTGATGTCCAAGACGGAGCAGCATGGGCTTCATAACGATAACTCTGCCAGCCCCGTCCTTGCAGAAGGTATCCGGGGTGGTAACGCGGTCGGCGGAAATGCAATGAGTAATTCTCCAGGCAGCAACGCAGAGGGTGGATCGGCTGCTGGTGGGGACATCGAAGTATCATCTCCCTCTTACCGTGGCGGGTTTCCGCTGGTGGGAGGCAATGGCACAGGAGGAAACGCGGTCGGTAGCAGAGCGGTCGGAGGCACTGCGGTTGGCGGGAGTGTGCGATGGGGGTGATGGAGGATCAGGGGTGGCTGCGCCATGCAGTTCAGACTACAAACTGCCTGTTTCTCTGATACCCAAGACATCCTCTGTTGTTGATGGTCTATAAGCACGGTCTTTTAGTCTCTAAGCATTCAAATTCAGATCGTTAATGCGGTCTATCGATCAAATTCTATTTTCTAGGCATTGCACCAGGAAAGAAGCCGGCTCCACATAGTGAAATCAGTCTTTTCTTTCTCAGAGCTTCACAGCACTGAGCAGGTCGTATCTTACTCAAAGGTGCTCAGAAGAAAGCGTGCTGCAACTAGGTTCCCAAAGTTTGCAACGGCACTATATACAGCTTCGAGCTTCGACTGCTAATGGATATCGCAGACCTCAAGAGTACTATACTCTTCAAAGATCTTGCTAAGAGCCTGACCACTAAACCATTCGATCATGCCGACCCTATAATACATTCCTCCGCTTTTGTTATCACGGCGAAGGACCAATCCTCTGTAGACTATTTCGCTGTTCTCCCCACGCTTATGCTCTCCCCTATTGTCATACTCTTCCAAACCCGGCGCGCTGTCACTGTGGCCGTGGAGAAGCTCGCTTGCTTCATTGACGACTTCATTTTCAAGCCCTTTGAGATTCTTGTTTTGATCTTTGATCACCTCTTCGTTTCCCTGTCCTTGGCGTCTAGTCGTAATTGTTTGTATCAATTCAAGCACAAATGCATCTTGACGCTGATCAACGCTCTGGAAACCGGACTCATCATGGTCGATGTGCAGGGACTTGGACTGAGTACTGAATGGAGACACTCCTCCGTTGGATTGATGAAACAGCCAGAAGCGCTCGTAGCCGTCCAGGGTGTATTGCCTTATGTGTTCCTCGGGAATCCATCCTATTGAACATTGCAAGACCCTGCCTCGTATGACCAAATCGCTGCTCTCCAACTCACCAAATCGGCTGTTTTCGGAGTATTTGCATTCTGCTTTGAGCACATCTGCCACGTATTTCACAACCTCGCGCGACAGTCCACTTGGGGGGTCGTACATGACGCCGACTGTCAAAGATGCCCAAGTCCATGTCGGTAACCGAGGGTCCGTTCGGCCCAAGGCATTCTTCTGCAATGGCTGCTTCCATGCTCCAAAATAGTAACAATGCCAAAGCAGGTCTTCAAGAATGCTCCCAGACCACAGGCCACCCAAGTAGCGCTCGTGACAACGGGATGTCTGTATTTGTTCAGCGATCGCTGCAAGAGCTGGGAGGCGATCTTGCGGGTGGCTGAGGTCTAGATCTGAATATTGCTGCACGATCAAATCCCTCCATTCCTTTTGGACACAAGAGTCAGGGGTCCTGTTGCACTCCTGCGAAGTTTTAGACGGTGATCCAGAGTCCTCTTTCCGTGTTGTCATCATAGACATGTATCTTCTCTTTTGCTCTGTGTCTCCTTGTTGTGTACTCATGGCACCACACTCGCATGCAGTGAACGAATAACATTGAAATATTATCTCATCGTCGTCGAAGAAAAGAACTCTGGGCGACACTAGGCGTTCTTGATATGCCCAAGCTCGGCGTAAAAGCGGTCCGACACAATCAGTTAAGTATTGGAAATCGCCATAAGAACCATCCCAAAGATAATGTGGAAATCTTCCATAAAGTGGGTGGAGCTGAGAATCCTCAAGTTGTAGCTTGGCGAATAGCTTGGCTTTATCCCTACTGGTCTTTACTTTGAGCCCGGATTTGGGACTTGTCCCAGATAGAGCTGCAAGCGTCACATAGGAATTCCGGTAGACTCCAAACATCTGTGCAGCCTCTCGGCGCCATTCCTCTGGATCCTGTTGTATGATGCAGAGACTGTCGATCCAGAGATAATCCACTTCGAGATACTGCGTGAACTCGACGGCTTGTTGGAAAGTAGTTGGCAAACTCGTCCACGAAATACGTGTACAGTTTCTTTCGAGGGTCGCGGATGTAGTCATGCACCCTTGATACCCTCCCCAACAGTAACTCAGTGTGACGTAGCGAGTCCCGCACTGCAGCATCCAGAGTTAGCGATCAAAGAAATGGGAAGAAGTTTATTCCAGATGTAGGTCGAAGCAAGCCACCTCATAATTACATATTGCCAGTCTCAAACGCTGCAGCCTGGTACAGTGCTTTAAAACAAACAGCGAACAGACCACACATGTATTAAACTTTTTCCCATTAAGAAATTGAAACATTATCCAGAGGCTGCTTACAGAAATGGACGATCCGTTTCCAAGACGGACGTCTTCGCTTGCAGGGAAGAAGGCGTTCACGTTGATCAAACGAGTTGGTAGAAATGCGCTACTTTTATCCGTTGCGCATCTGATGTGAGATCGTAGACAATCATCGATATAGCGTCGTGCGAATGGTGTGAAGTCCTTGATCTCACGCGTCCATTGACATCAGGGAATTTGACGATATGAATAAAGCTCTGGCGGTGGTGGAGGATCTGCTGCTGGCGTGAAGGCAACCATATCATGTCGGCGGTTGGATGTAGAGTCGCCGGACAAGAACGTTATGATACCACCCCTGCAGCGCAAGAACTCTATTTGCTCCAATTTCTTGTTGTCTCGGAGTGCTATGTATTTGATTGCACTACTTATGAACTGGCAACTGGCGCAACTGGTATCTGAAGGCGGCAGCCAGAGCAGTTGCCTTCCTGCTTCAGGTATCCAGGGCAAGTTCAAGAAGCTTTGAAATTTGCCGTCCCACCCACACCGCATGCAGGTCCCTGACGAACTGCCAGGAATTAGCCACCCCTTCTCATCCAATCGTTGAACCAAGTCGATGATTATGGGCACCCTCAAGTGTGATGCATCGTTGACTAAGTGCTGGTCGTGTTCTCCGCTGGACATATTGGATAGACCTTCTGTTTCACGCCCTCCGGCAGATTGGGCGGTATCCATGTTCGCCGCAGAGTAGCGATGCTCAAGAGAATGAATGCCGATTTAGCTGCTATGGGAAAAGATCAAAGTCGCGAGAGACGGTAACCATTGTATGGACAGTAAAACTTGCTAGAAGAGAAGAGGGATGATTGACTGGGCCGCTAGTGCCCCTCTTTATTCTGGATTCGGCTGAAACATTTAGCTGGCTGATTTGTCCTACGTCAGCTTGCAAAATCAGGATAAGGCTTCACCCATTGAAGTCTTTCCACTCGTTCGTCCAGCTGGCTGTGCTACCACACTGCTGACGCAGGTAGGGCGCATCCATAATACACTTACCGAGTCTTTTTTATACAGGCTGACAGGTCGTCTAGCTCCACTTATCTGACGTCTGGGCCTGGAAGTAGAAATAATCGCCACGTCTAAACATTTGTAACATCGGACGGGTCCGTTGTGTACCAGTAAGTGATCGTCAGCCGCGCATTTCCGATATTTAGTAGAAGCTCCCCGCTAGGCATATTACTACTGAGCTATCATCAACTTACTTGGTATAGCTGGATCTTTTTGAAGTGAAATTTCTTAGGCCACGTTATCGATTCTGATCTCATTGGCAGTGACTACGACAGGCGACTAAGTCATCACCCGAAAGGTCTGTTGTACATTGGCGACAAGAAACGAGCTTGAAGAAATACAAAGCCTGTTGTATGAGCTTGCGGACAGGCTTGGATGCAATGCAAACTGATAGATAGCCGGTTCCAAGTATTGAAGGCCAAGCGCCTAAATTTAGTCCATTTTCCGGTGGCTAATTGTGCTTCCTGTAAGCTGTCCTTCGCCGAAAACGACGGTGTTCGTCATTGGTGGCTGAGCTTGCCCTCGTAGAAGGCGAATGACGGTTTCGCATCCAGCGATACTGAGACCAGGCTTTCATCTGCAAGGGGCCAACCGAGAAGGGAACAGAAGGTGTGCAGTAAAGGCAGATCAGTATCCCCCTTCTTGGTAGGCAGTTTCGGGGTAGCGTGGCGAGAGAAGTTGTCGCGGAAGCCAAGATGCGTTTATTTTGGTGACTGTTGGCTGGGTCACGTATTCGAATACGATGCGCGTTTGGGGATGTTGGTGTTGATTTGTGTGTGTGTTGCTTGCTTGGTTACAGGAAGCAGCCGAAGGCTGCATCGCTCCAAGGCCTACTTATAGCCGTAGGCCCAACGGACCAATCAGCTCGCTACAAACGCTAACGCTATTATTCACACAGATTCAGAAAAAGATTGTATGTCAGTTTGTTTCAAAGGCTTTGCTGTTGATTTGCCCCTGTGTTGTTTTTGGCCTTTTGAGAGCGCAGAAAAAGCTGTAGCCTTTGACTTTTTTGCCTTGTTACCCTTGGTATTGTCGGAAGAAGCCGAGGCGCTGGCGGCTAAGCCTGCTGGCTTGTGGGCCAGGTACCGTGTCTTGATTCACAAAACTGCTCGGGAGCGGTGTTCCATGTTGGTCTTGTCGAGGCTCATGAACTCATCTTGACGTACGATGGAGAGACTACATTTCGAACCGACGGGCCTGACGCCGCGGTTCTCTCAATAGGAAGAGCTGCGGAATGGACAGAGCTATGTGGATCTCGCGATTGGCAGCCGTTCTGTCGTATTGTGTGTGGCAGTCCGAGGACCGAAGTATTACATGTTGCGCTTCGATGTTGAAGTGCCTCTCTCGCAGTTTCCTGTGGCTGGAAGAGTGAAACGGGCAGATTTTGCCGTCTGGAAGGAGATAGGCCCGGAAAACATGTATTCGACAGTCCGTGTGACCTGGAAATCGCCAGGCAGTTGCTTTGGATCGAATGCTGGCAAGCTCGCTGGGTAACTCTACGAGGTCGACGAGGGTGGCGGTCCTAACCGGTGACTGGAGCCGATGATGGTTGCTGTGCTGGCGTCGGTGGGTTGTAGTATTGTCCTCAAGTTCGGTTCCATCATCTTTTCCAATCGCGTTGGCTTGTTGAAGTGGAAGGGTATGTGTCAGAGTTGCAAATTGGCTCAGAAGGATGGTATTTGACTGTGATCACTGCTTTCATCATCCTCGAGATACTCCTTGCTCTCCTCACCGTCATCCTTGTCAGCAGGATTCGCCGCTTTCTTTCTTCCATCTCTCAACTTCTATTGCCTGCTATCAGACATCTCCGAGTCGTTGTCATTGTCAAATGATCGTTTCCGTCCCCGGGTGTCATCCAACAACAAAAGTCTCCAGCAGACCTGTGAGTGCCGAGCTCTTGGTCAATCTCCCGGAATACCCATGGATTGGGACCTGAGAGTGGATTGCAAACTGCAAATTGCAGTGCGAACGATAGATGCCCCTCCGAGCTTGTTTCTGGCATGGCTCTCCAAGCACATATTCCCGTAGTATACTCTCGGGTGCCTCTGGCAATGACATCACAGAAGGCAACTCTTCCAGCTGAGGGATGGCACCAAGACAAAGGTGATGGGGCTCGACGTGATTATGACGGTGAAAGACATTTCCCGGTCTGAGCAGTGGCTAAATGAGCCGCCGGGCTGGGGCGGGAGGTTGCAAGGCCGGGGCAGCTCCAGGCAAGCCCAGGCTGCTGTAGAGAAGCCGCGTACCGCTCCGGATGGCGTGACTGCTGGGCTCGAGGACGTTCTGAGCTGTGCCAGGATAGGTTGTCCTTGTGTTACAGACTGTGCCTTTTTGATCGCTTATCGGTAGGCTGTTAGGCGGTGGGCGGGCGTGGATGATCCGGATGAGGCTACTCGCACTGCTGTCATCCTCATCCTTTCCAACTGCGAGCTTTTTGAAGACGTTCAGTTTTTTTTCTTCCTGTGCCTGCTCCTGGGCTTCCCCGTCTGGCACGATTGTGCACTTGTACTTTTGTTGGAATGCATCCGGATCTGCTCTCATCTCCTTCCTTAATTCACAATTCTCCTCTGGTCGGAGTCGCTGGTATAGTTGTGCATGGACGATGTGAGGCTGGCGTGGTAGTGACTCGGGGTTTGTGAGATCTGGAGGCTGGACGGGATAGTCGTGGCCACAGGGCCCGGGTTCAGAAGGTCTCAACACAGTAGCGGGGCCCGAGCTGAGAATGCGTTTGTCGAAAGTAACTTGCAATCCGACTCGGTATCCAGTATTGTGTGCTTGCGCGGGTGGTGCTCGCGGTATCTTGTCTCGGCATGATCTTGGTCGTCGAATGTGATGACGTTCCTTCGCGAACTTGCCCTTGCTCTGTTCGCCGCCGGGGAGAGAAGTACGAGAAACAGAGCCTGCTGTGGTGGTGTTTTTACAATTGTATCCTCGCACGGCACTCTCTACAGAGCATGGGTCCAGATCTGCTGGCGGCGAAGCGGAACAACGAAATCGCACGTCCATCCACACAATTGCATGCTCCAGGCTTGTGTTTTTGGTCAAGTTCAACATGCGATCTTTGATCTGGCCTCGCGTCGCAGCAGCTAACGAAGATGTGGTCGACCAACCGCTTTGATCCGTTCCAAGACTGTCTTTGCCTTCCATTCGGCTAATGGGGAGTCGATCCCAAGGTTTTCATCCGCCAGGTTGGCAAAACCACCCTGGACTAGCAGGGATTCGGACCGGATGCAATCATTTTAGAAAGTCGAAAACTAGATCAGGGTCTCGATCATGCCAGCTTGTTTGGTCGCGTCAAGGCCGAAGTATTGAAGCAACTCAACTGGGTCGTTCATGACCCTCTTCCACTCGGCTGCGAGAGTCAGATCAGTGGCGAAGAGTTGTGTCCCTTTGGCTTCATTCAGCATTTGGAACAGCATGACTATAGCTGCAGCGACATGGCACTCACCTGAACTCGAGCTCCTTGCTTGTGTATGGCCCGCGTTGGCGGGGTGTGGTGTCGCCCATGTTGGCCTGGTCTATGTGATGGCTGTCAGGATACATGATTCATCTTCAATCGCGTTGCGAAAATAAGCACCAGGGATAAAGGCCTCCAGCTGTTGGGCCGACCGGCACGGACTGGCGGCTTCTCCAGCTGGCGTCTGGGCCAGGTAACGCTCTTTGGATCGTCAAATTGCCTTGAACCAGTGCTTCTTGTCGCGATCAGGGAGGCTCGTCGATATCGGACGCCGTCCAAGCCGGGATGTCGGCGGGCCCTGACCCAACATTGCCTAGAGAGTATCCTCTCGCTGTGAGATGCACTTTCAACATATCACCTACAGCAATCCGCCCTACCACGTGGAAGGATAGGCGTCGAAGGAGATCTGCGAGAAGAATAAGGATAGCCAACGCCACAGGGACGGATGCTCTCTCTCCATAATGAAGGGTTTCATGTTGTCGTCCCAGGGCGTATTCTGCACAGCCTCGGGAATCCTTGCGTCGAATTGTAGCAAATGGTGTAGAAGGACGACCTCTGATACTGTCCGCTGTGGAGCAGGTGACAGTCAGGACAGACATGATGCAGGGCCGGCGCGTGCCTCTGAGACCTGCCGAGCAGCTGTGTGAGGCTCCTCTCGCAGAGGTGGCGCCCGTGTTTGTCTCGAACAAAGCTGGGCGGTTGCCGAGCCGTGTATCGCCGCTTTCCTCGTCGACCTGGTACCCTGTGAAAGTCGTGCTTCCGTTTGGCGACCACAAAGCGGAATACGTCACTTGCGGCAGTATGGATATTCCCTTAGGAGTTCCTCCTTGGTGGGCCATCTCGCCTCATCAATCCCCTTCCAGAGGAAAACAGTATTGTACATGCCAGAAAGACATTCCTGGCCCGACAGTCCATGGCATTTGATCAATTCTTCCTTTTTCCCTTTCTGTCTCGCGCAGCCTAAACAATCTGCTGTGGACCAATGTGTGTCATTTGAGCAACCTTTCCGGGGACAGAACCGGCGCCTAGAAAGACAATTCTTGCATGCCTGCAGATTGCTTCGTGCATTTGCTTCGTGCATTTGCTTTCTTCTTGCCATCGCAACCGTATGGACCGAGCGTGTTGACGGCGAGCACAGGCACCCGCTGTTCTGCGTCCTCCTGTGTATATTGGGAGGGTCTGTTGAGGAGGTTTAGATGCGTAGCTGGGTAGCCAACTCGGTCGCATTTAGTTTCCCGATGGCTAGTGATGAGAGCTGATTGCAACGGCCCTCCCATACCGGGGCGAGAGGGGTCCCTGCGGGAGAGCGCGAGAGCGCCTCATTGACCGTGTCGGTAAACGAGTTTACGACACGAGACACGCTCTCTTCGGCTTTAGTCAGGTCCACGCACGTCTTACGAAAGACGTAGCGCAATGCCTCCAGCGCGATCAATCCCCAGAAGTGCGTATCCCCGACGGACTGGTGAGGTTCCCGACCGCACTGCAGGTCGATCTCGGGTCGATTGCCCTCAGGAAGGCCTGTTAGTGTTCGTCGACGTTGCGAAGGTGGCCCTTTCTATCGGCATCTGATCAAAGGAACGCATCGATTAGAGCTTCTGTCCTATGCTGAGGTCACCGAGTTTGATAATGAGATGGTGTCTGTGGAGGCTGGACGACCTCCTTCCGGGACCCACCCGGGCAAGATAATCAGCCTGACTGGTCTGATCGTTGACCTCAAGCTCGAGGGTGAGAAGAAACCCGGTGCCGTCCCCGGATCTATGCGGAAAGAGAAGAGCTCTATCCTTCACACTGCCACAAGAGCTATGGACACCGTCTCTTCCCTTGATGACGTGCTGGGTTAGATAATGACTGGTGTGATCCCCTGGGCGCAGGCGATATTGCCGCGTACCGCTGTAGAAGGTCTTCAGCAGGTAAACTGGACCAAACTCAAGGCCATTCCAGAATTATGGAACTTTCACACAAGCAGGCACGCCCTCTCCTGATTCGTGCTCGCTACTGCCGGCAGAGGGCAACGGAGCGATACCAAAGAAACGGCGCTGTCTGACAGATTTGCCCTCTTTCGAATGGACCAGAACTCGGATCTGTCGTCCTCTGGTGTGGCCTCAACCTGTGTGAAGAGGTTGCTAGGGGGATGGACTAAGACGCGAGCCTGTTGGCTCTGCTATGAACAAAAGCCTTCCATAGAATCGAGCACTGGAGGAACGGGGTCTAGCTCTGATGCGAGTGCGTTGTCGACAAGGACCATGTGTCCGCTCTCTGGGATGTACAGCTGGTACTTATCCCAGCTTAGTCTGCCTGAATCGGACACGATTGGCCGGGGGAAGGGGCATGAAGAGCGCGTTCTCTGCAGCATCACCAAAGAGGTAGGAATAATGTGTCTTCTACCGCTGAAGTGCCGGAGATCTGTTGCTAGAGAATTATCTCATCAGCCAACTTAACCCTGATAAGGATCTGGACAACCATACTTGCTTGTAGGTACTGGCTGTGTCTAGACCGCCGAGAACGAGGTGGGGCACACATAGCTCTCTGTGTCATGCCGACATGCCTGTGAGGTGCCGTGGAGGACAGATGTGATCTGTCTCATAGAATAAGTCACGTGAATGTCACACACCACAACATGTTTCTTGTAAAGAGGAACGGGCAGAACATACCACACATGCATATGAATGTCCGAGGCTCTCCTTCCATCGCTTTGTGCGCCTGCCCGTGTAGTTGGGATTTCGGTCTCGAGTGGAGCATGGGCTGGTGTGGGGTTGGAGATCGAAACTGTCATAAGAGGGCTTGTCCCTCTGACTGAGCTTCCATGTCGTTCCTGTGGTTACGGAGGCCGAGTGGGCTCTCCTGGGAAGGTAATCTGACTATGGGTAAATGTAGGCGAAATGCCATTGACATTTGCACGGAATGATGTCGACTAATACTCTGTTGTATATCGCATCATGCAAGGTATGACTGTGCTTTGATGACGAGCTGATTCAGTCATGAGGTGTTGGAGTTGCCTCCGGAAGATACACAGATCTGGGAATCTTCGTTAGATCGTGAAGACCCTTCTGATATAGGAGAGTGATGATACCTTCAAGTTGCTAGTCAGCATTGCAGACAAGCAAAAGATGCCAAAGGGCATGGGGGTTTGAGTGCCATCATGGATGGCTTGTGAGTAAGTTTCATTATATATAGATGGACAAAGGAGATGCAGAAGAAGGGTTTCCACAACTCTCGTCTACGGCGAGCTCTGGCTGTATATACTTGATCGCTGTCCGCGGGATGAGCGCCTGAAGGCCATGTTCAACCTCTACGGTCAAAGTCAACGTGAGACGCAAGTTGTTTGGAAATGCAATCACGAAGAGAAATCACGACGCAGTCCAGTTTGTCAAACCCGGTGTGTGTCAACAAACCCAAACTAGACCACGTTTGCGCAAGCAAAAATATGAAGGAAACATCATGTTTGAACGGGCCAGGAAGGTTTGATGACTTGCTGATTGCCATGGTTTGGCTGCAAACCATCGGCCGGAACAGTTGATCTAGTTGATTGATAGAACGCAAATGCGACCGTTTGCTCAAACCTCTTCATTTACACACGAGCGCAGTGCATCTCGCCTCAACAAACTCATGCAATCATTGACAAACCAGAATAGCTTGAAGTTGTAGTTGTGGCGAGTTAGGATTCGACATCGAACCACACCATACACGCTTGTCGATGGCAAACTTGGCGAACCATGACATTCTGGACAACGAAATGATTTCCAAGGTGCGCGTCAGAGCCACAACGGCAGCAGAGGACAATTTTGCCAGGCTGCCAGGGACATTCGTCTGTGAGCAGGTCTTTTGCAGTGGCATTGACGCAGCCTGTGCCAATGCCTACTCTTCTCGAGACACTATTTCTCGCTGCTTGAGATGATAAGATCTGAAAAGCGTGCTTGAGACCAACTTGTGTGCTACAGGGTGTGAGTAACCTGGGCGGGCAGTATCAGACCTTACACGTCGCGGCCCTAGCATGCACGTCGAGACATAGTATGTCCATTGGTGATGACCTATTGCTATGCAACCATACGACTTCCAGATCGCTGGCGATGTCCACTCAGACGTTTTAAATATACTATCGCCCTTGAAGGTCTTTCATGAGTGTAGCAGGCAGCTTGGATCTCTGTGAATTGTGTTCCATTTGATTTGTCTGTCCCAAAGTTGTGACTAGTACTGCCACACGTGGGGGCACCGGTGGAGATCATATGCATAATTGCCTTTGAGACGACAAGTTAAATTGTTGCTTTTGGTAGACTCGTTCGGTATCTTTTCAATAATTATCATCAACGAGATATCAATGCGGCTGGGTGAGGCGTATCGTGTCGGTAATCACAGTGTGCTTCGTCAAGTAAAGGTTGCCGTCAGGAACCTACTTAGGTACGTGGCAACTGATTTTTGGAATTTTGAAGTTAGTCTTCATTTTGCAAGCAATTCTTGGACACCGTAGCTTTTACTGGAATGCTCTTAGAATCGTCTTGCTACCGCAGTCAGCTGTGCATGGCTCTGATAGCCTAAACCGAGCTGAGATGAGGGCAAAGGTCCAACAGGACTCTGGCAGACAGTCTGCCACTGTCCCAATGCTCATGGACAACTTTGCAACCTAGGCATGTTGATCAAGTTTCTGGATGGCCATATCTGACTGATGGAAAAGCGAATGGCTCTCATGGTGCCAAAGCCATGTTTGGCCTGATTTGACTGCCGTAGGAGCTTTGGCACGTTATAGACCATAGTATTCGAGGGTGCATTGTGGAACCCCTTGAATGTAAAGAATTTTCTGTTTCCTCTTTGGGGAGATGGCGGTCGGGGTGGACTGTTCGGGCTGATTGACACTTACGAGAAGCAAGACTCAATTGCAAATGATGTTGAATCTGACATGGTAGGTGCCGGGGGTTGCTACACCTGAAAGGGAAGGTCTTGGGGTGCCTGTCCCCGGATCCGAAGCACCTCTTTGCGATAGCGGATACTCACGCGCAAGAGTCGAGAATTCGAGAAACGAGATGGGCGAAAATCATCACCAAGAGCTCTGCGGGCAGACAATTCAGATGACACACAGATAGAGGGTAATTTGATCCGTGGTTAAACGCTGTGCCTTGCTGGCTGCAGGTCTGCGCCGTCGAGTTTATTGCCTGCCCGTCCTATCTGGCTGACCTCGGAGGCAAACAAGTCGTCCAACGCTGCGGCTGTCGAGTCTACAAGCACCAGAGCGAGTCGTGGAAGAATTGAGCAATAGAGACAAACTGTGCGCGAGGTCTGACCAACAATGATCTGACCAACAATGAACACTCATGTTGAGTTGCAGACAATTTCAGGTGGACCGAAGACTCGTTCGAACAGATCTCTCTGTGTGTGTGAAGGAGAGCACGTTTGTAGTTGGGTGAGATTATATAATCTTGGCCATGGCACCCCCTAAACGGTGGGGTGGCGGTCCCACCATTCTGGGGAAGTGGAGCTTGTACCGATGTACCCTGCACTCTCCCCCACTTACCTCGAGCTTCAAGTTATCAGGCAGCCAGTCACTCGGCTCGGATTCCGAACATCAAACACATCATTGTCGACCTTCACTCACACCATGTCAAGCCTCGATTCCATCGCAGCCGTCATTGTGGCGATTCACTATCTGTTTGTGTCACACCTCAAATAAACTCCAGGACTGTTTGCTTGTTCCGCCTCCGCCGTGTCCGAGTACATGTCCCATGATCTGCCCAAGGTTACATCTCATCACCAACTGGCTAGTGAGTGAGCATGGCTGCGACTTCGACTGCGAGCCATGGCTTTGAGCCAGAAAACCGACAATACATCGCTGTTGGATGCCTTGTCTGTAGACACAGCGAAGTGGATGCCACCATCAGGCCCTATTTCAAGCTTTTGGACCGCAAATGGTTCCGTTTCGAGACCACTGTCAGCCTCGACGATGCGACCACTGCAATCGTCAGAGTTCATGTACTTCCCGATGACTCATGTAACAGCCTCATTCTCCGAGACGATCCTTTCCTCCGCAGCAAGAAGAAGGATCTTCTCGCATCTCTCGACTATTCTCCCTCCACATGGCGAGGACTGTCCAGCCATGGTACACCTGTGGGCTTCCCTCAGCTCTCATCCCAAGACGAAGCTGTTCGAAGCCGTCTTGTAGACGATGACCCTGGCCAAGATATGTCGTTACTGAAGATGTTCAATACTATTCCATCACCGAGACCTGACATCAACCTGCTTGAGGACGCTGTATCACGAGAGTCCATGTCCAACCTGCTGTCAAGCTCAGTCGAAGACCTGATCACCGAGCTCTACCCCTATCAGTGTCGTTCAGCCGCACTGATGTTACAGAAGGAGGAGCAGCCTGGTCATGTGCTGGACCCGCGCCTTGTCCAAGTAAACGATCAAGAACGAAAACCTTGGTTCTACAACCCAAACACAGGTGAGGCTCGCAGGGAGCCTCGTCACTACGATCACATTTGCGGTGGAATCCTGGCCGAGGAAATGGGCTCAGGCAAAACCTTGATCTCTCTCGCTCTCATTGCCGCGACAAAGGACCAGCCTGCTGTTGTCCCAGAACTTTACCGCGGCGGCAACATCACTGTTCGCCCCAAGGTTGGATCCTTGATGGACATGGCCGCTGCAGTTGCCACCAAGAGCGGCGTCTCTTGGAAGCGCTATATCGACTCAAGATACGAAAACTGTGTTCAGGCCATCGAAAGGAATCCTGGCTGGTACTATCTACCGCGTCCAGAGGGCAGGAGACCCTCTCGACGTGCTGAGCCCCATACTCTTCCGTCAATTAAGATTTTCGTCAGCCACGCAACTCTGATAGTTGTACCTCCCAACCTTTTGAAGCAGTGGAAGCAGGAGACTTCCAAGCACATGCGGGGCCTCAAAGTCCTCGAAATGACATCCAAACAGAGCAAGGGTACGACCTCGAACGAATTCCCATCCATAAATGATCTGACTCACTGTGACATTGTGATCTGCACCGTGACCCGGCTGGAGAAGATATGGTCAACCCATAAGCGATCAGAGGCAGATGGATCACAATCCCTGGATTGCTCGCTCGGACAGGTCCAATTCAAGCGCTGTATCGTCGACGAGGGTCATAAACTTGGAAACATCAAGCTCAATAGTATCAAGACGACGTTGCTACAGATTCTCGATGCTCTTCATACCAACGCTCGATGGATCATGACGGGAACCCCAGCTAAGGGGCTATTCGGAATGGAGAAGGACAGCGATTTCAACACGTCCTTGGCCGAATCATCCGCCAAGCAGGAGAGCGAAGATCTCGAGCGCATTGGGGCTATCGCAACTTTCTATCTCAAGGCTCGGCCTTGGTCCAACACGGTCCTTGACCACGGTGATACCCTTGCTGACTGGAAGACTTACGTGATCCACGGCCGCAAGGACTGTCTTGCATCCACCTTCAACTCCTTGATCATTCGACATCGCCTCTCAGAAATCAGCCACATGATGCCGGCTGTTGATTCTAAAATTGTGAAGGTTGAGGGCTGTTATCAGGACAAGCTCTGCCTCAACCTCTTCTCCATGATGATCATTTTCAATGCTGTAGAATCTCAGCGTGCCGATGAGGATTACTTCTTTCACCAAAGAAATCGCAAGAGCATGCTCCAGTTGGTCAGCAACTTGAGACAAACCAGTTTCTTTGGTGGCTCATTCTTTTCAGCGTCTCAGATCCAGAAGTCTGTCGAAACGGCAGAGGAATTCTTGGAGAAAAAGACTGTCCCGATCAACGAGTCTGATGAGACACTGCTCAAGGCTGCAATTGAACTTGGGAAGACCGCTATGCATAACAAGATCAAGACAGCTGCGAACACCTTTCACGAGATGCCCATTTACATCGACCACTTTCCAGGCGGTACACCCCCCGCATGGTCAGTGGACGACGGAACCAGCTCTGGTCCTATGTGTACCAATTACAAGTTAATGATTGCAGCCCAACGGGCGCTGCGCCCTTTCCTTGGCTCGACCGAAGGCCTAAATACGTATCTCAACAGTGGCTCGTTCCTCGCGACGGGCACATCGGAGCGAGACAAGGCTATTCGCGATTCCCAGCCGCAACAGACCTCCAGTGTCACCAACAAAGCTGATACCACTCTCGCGGGCAACACAAAGCCGGGCGAAGACCATGTCAGCCCACGGAAAGGCCACTCTGCAACAATAAGGCTGAACGAGAAGGGAATTCCAACTCCTCCTCAGACCCCTGAGGTGGTCATTGAAATCGCTGAACCGCTAGCAGAGACCCAACTGATATCGACCGTCTCCGCGAAGCTATCCTACCTCATCGATGCTATCGTCATTCACCAGAAGGAGGAGCAAATTATCGTCTTCTACGACAACGACAACGTAGCTTGGTACCTCGCCGGTCTCCTTGAGATGCTTCAGATTCACCACTTGATCTACGCCAAGGGCATCTCCGCGGACCGTCGAGCCCAGTACGTCTCCACCTTTACGCACAGCAGCAAATTTCGTGTCTTGCTCATGGACATTGCGGAAGCCGCCTTCGGTCTAGATATGCGGTCCGCGTCACGAATCTACTTCATCAGCCCCGTGCTGGACCCACAGGTGGAGGCGCAGGCTATCGGGCGAGTGAGGCGAATTAGCCAACAGAGGAGGGTTACGGTCGAGACGCTAGTGCTCCAGGGCAGCATCGAGGAGGTCATCATGGAGCGTAAATTGAAGATGACGTAAGCGGAGCACCGCAGCTGCAAGACCATCCTCGACGACCGCCCGATCTACGACTGGATCCTGAACGCGAAAATCATCCCTCTGCCGGACGTCGCCAATGATGATGGCCCGGCCCAGATGGCGCCTCTCGTGGTTCCGCAGTATATATTTGGTCGTGAATTCGGTCGCGAGGTGGTTGACCCAGATGAAGATATTTTGCTGGAGGACCCATCCCATTCAGCTGCTGCAATGTCAGACAAGGCGAAGGGCAAGAGACCAGTCAGGGGTGTCGAGCCTGCCGTCGACGGCCCGAGTGCGAGGTCTAGTGATTCGAAGGGAAAGGTGAGAACCCGAACTCGTCCGGTCAAGCGGGCTCGTTTTGCGTGTGCAGACAGCGACGGTGCAGCTGTGTCCGATAGGGCTGCCGATACTGAGCAAGAATCGGGTATGGAGAGTGCCCTGGACGAATCACCACAGACTGCTGCCATTGGTAACCAATCCGTTGGTGGCTCTTCCTCGGCGGCAGTCGTGGATGTTCCCAGTGGCTCCCAGCCTGCGCTCCCGGCTCGTCCTGCTAAACGTGCTCGCTTCACGGACATTCACGGACCTGACCACGTGGAGTGAGGTCGGCCTCAATGAGATTGCAAGGAGAGCCAATGCCATCTACGCGTACATCTGGCTTTAGTGGCTATCTCTTCATGGGTGTATAGACCTGGTGGCCAAGTATAGAGGCTTTTTACATCACGAAACGGGGTTTCCGCAAGGCCTAGCTTTGATATCGCGCGGCGTTAACTGGCATACGAATTGAGAGACTCGTGCATCGATGTATGTTTGCAAATCTTTCTGTATATTTGAATTTGTTTGAATGCTCCTTGAATGGTGGTTCTGTTGTATTTCGGCGTTAGTATACACACGACAAATGGTACTGACTGAGATGGCGTTGGGGTGATAGAGGTCAGAAATGGATTTTGCCTTAGCTCCCAGCGGTTCTACTGTGCTTCTTGGCGCTTTGGCTTCTGGGTTGTACTTTGGGCAGTCATGTCGAGGTTGGGAGATACGTTGGGCCAAGAAGGACGAACAGGACGAGTGCAGCATGGTGTAGTTCGAACTGCCCCCAAGTCCCTCTCAATCTGCAGGCCTCGTCGTCTGGACATATCACTTGGCGCGCGACTGTTAGCGTGCCCAGGGCCATCACAGGGCGGCTTGATGACAAGCTTTCTGGGCGTTTTTGCGGGCCATGCAGCCAAGGCGGCGACCGTCCAAGCGTACCAGAACACAACATCAAGACGATTGATTGTCCATCTTCGACAAACGCATTTTGGCGCCCTCTCAGCTCTCTCGCCATTGCTACCCAATCCCTAGTCGACGCGAACAGTCGTTGAGACACGGCCTAGTCATGGTGACGGTCATGATCATGCAACAGCCCCCTGATTATAGAGACAGAAGAGAGCGGTGCAGACTTGACGCGAGGCAGCTCGCAGACTATCTCATTCGGGGTCACCGTCGTTGTGGGCTGCCAGGACGGTCAGTCATTCGAACACTTCTCCATCCAGTCGCATAGTGGATATATCAGGCCAAACTTAGCCCCTTGATGTTGGGACAAGTGCTACGCAGCCTCGCTCGTAGGAGGTCAATGCTGCTCTGCCAACGAAGAACCGCTAGGCAATAGAGAAAGCCCAGGGTATCGGCGACTCGCCCAATGGCGCGCCCCTGTGCTCCCCCACCACGGCACCCCTGAGACGTCTCAAAGGTGTCGCGCAGAGCCTCAAAACTACCATGGCTTTTAAGCTTTCCTCTCCACTTTCGACCTCACTCACCTTACCAACGAACGCCACCATGGGCCGGCCCTTTAAACGATGTCGAATCAGCGCGCACGGAAACTTCCAGCCCAATGGCAGGTCGGAAATGCTCTTGCAGAGTTCCTCCTCCACTCCGGCGGCTGGTGACTTCGGCACTCAGTAATAGACATTGCTGTCCCGATTGGTCGATCACTTCTCCCAGCCCATCCCTGTCCACAAACAGGGGCTGACACTGCGCCCCCATCGAAGGTGCCACCGTGCCTGACAGAAGGTTGTGTCGATCAGGAAGTCCACGCGCTAAGGGGATCAACTCGGGTGCTTACCGAGTGGGTGCCAGTCCCCATTGAAGAGGCTCAGGAAGCTTGTGCACATCATTGATTGCCGAATAAGCTTAGCATTTAGCATCTGGAGTCTAAGGACATGAGCCACACGCCATCTTTCGGGCACTACATCTCATCTCTCACGTCCGATGGCTACTTCGCACTATCAAGCTGACACTTGAAGACATCCGACCTCCAAGCTCAATCGAACAGTATATCTTGGCAGACCTGAGATGGCAGATGTCAATTGTCAGACCTGAGGCGAACGAGCGCACGGTGCATGTCGTCTTGTACCTGCGGCGAAAGTTCGGGTGGAACGACCGAGGCTGTGCACAATCCTGGGTGCTCCAGAAACGCAAGGCTTGGGAGATCAACGATGATTTTCATGATCCTCAAAACGAAGAAACCGGGGGGATCTAAGCAAGGATTTACTGGGAATTCCCGAACACTCATGCAGCTCTCGTCACACAGCCATTCCCCTATTTCCTGTGTCCTCCTTGTCTCCCGTGTCATGTCGTGGCCTTGGTCGCGAGGCTTCATGATTCCTCTTTCTCACTTGTCCTGCCCACATTGGGCTGGCGTCAGTTTCACGCCAGGTCTCATCCCATCTCCCCCATCATTGCTGGCGGAAATGCCAAATCGCACCTGGAGCACGTGTTCGTGATCAGTTATCACCGTCTCCACCTCGCTATGAGTTTCGTCTTGTCTCTACCTCGTCGCATAATTCCCCAAGCCAGCAACTTGAGGTGGCAGCCTTCTGACATGGCTTGGACGTTCTACGCCAAGCCGTCTCAGGCACGGGCCCAACATCACGAACTTCGATCCAATGATTGACCCAGGGTTCGTATGCACTCACTGCGCAGTGAGCCTACGTTGGCGTCGATGGCTTCTTCCACCTGTAGGATGGGGCCACCACGACAGGGTAGGGACAGTTCGAGTGTTTCGTCCCCGTCATGAACTTGCCTCTAGTAGGCATTTGCCGCGATGCCCTCTCGCCATGGACCTCGCGCGCCAGCCATACGGCGCTACTGCGGAGGGTCCTTTGACCAGGGCCTGATGTTTGGGCCAAACAAGGCTTGGTGATGCTTGTGTCACTATCCTCGACGGCCTTACCCGCCATCGCACGGCATTTGAGGTCCACTCATCGAGAAGACCTCCTTCTCTCGCCGAGTATTAATATGAGCTGGCTTGCCCACCTATCTCGACTGTATTCGTTCTCATCATCGGCATCATCATCCTCTCTAATCAGCTCTCTTCTCTCATCTCAAGGCAGGGCCTTCTTCGCTTCTAATCACTACTTTTTATTCTAAGTGTATCTGCTTGTGCAGTCTTCATATCCCACTCATCCTCATTATCTTATATAACATTAGTCAAAATGTTCGCCAAGGTCCTCGTCCTCGCGCTTGCCGCATCTCCCCTCGTTGCCGCCCACGGCCGTGTTGATGTCGTCACTGGCGACGCAGGCGGAAACGGTACAGCTCTCGCCATCCAGGGTGGAGTTGTTCCTCTGACCGGAAAGAACAAAGTCGTAAGTCCACACCGGCAACCCACCAACAATCCGGAAGGATCACAAGCTAACCGAGGCCATCGGCGACCAGACTGAGGTAGACACCACTGTCTTCGGCTCCAAGCAGCCCGCCAGCAATGGCCTGGGCAAGACAACCGACACGGGCAAGATCGCGGCCGCGGACGTGCCTCAGCTGATGTCGGCGGCGACCGCACAGGCGGGCACAACGCTGCCGCAGGTCAACTCGTCGCTGAGCGGCACGTGGCACGTCGTAACATCGGATGGCTTCGGCCAAGTCTTCGCAGTGCTGGACCCCACGGCCACGGGCAACTTCGCCAACGGCGTCCCGCTCACCACCACCCAGGACGTCCCCGGCAACAACGGCAACCCCCCTCGCGGCAACAACAAGTACAAGAAATCCGTGCTGCGCCGCTTCGCGGAGAGCACCGGTATCATTGCCAAGCGCGCCACCAACGTCAATGAGGACTTCCCCATGACTTTCTCCGTCCCCGCTGGCACGACCTGCTCTGGCACTGCTGGCGACCAGCAGAACGTGTGCCTCGTCAAGATCGCGAACAAGAACAATGCGGGTCCATTCGGTGGCGTCGTCGCTATCCAGATGGCGGGCGCTGCTGCCGCCCCTGCTGCCGCCGCGGCCCCTGCTACGGCAGCCAAGGAGAGGCGGGAGTTTGTTGCTTGAGTGAGCATTGGTCGACTCGTTCTTCGGGGTGCGCCTGATACGATGACCTGACCGACTTTTTTGCTTACTTGGCATAAATGCCATGACCCCTTCGCGGGATTGGACTGGGACTGATGGGACTGACTGCTGCTGCGGTGCGCTGGATGGATAGGTGCAAGAGGGTATGTAACGACTGGGTCGATTCTCCTCTTGCCATTCTTGACTGTGTGTCATGGCGTGGGTCCGGGTTCCGGAGTGGTGACGGCCCGCTGTTCGTGTGTATATAACTCACGGGTCACAAAAGAGCTCTTCAAGGAGAGAAGGGGTGGGGGGCTGTGACTGATACCATTTGATCTGTAGATGATATTCTGTCGCTGACAATATTTAACATTTTAAAATGTGCTTGGCGTTGAACCTTGTGAATGCTTCGTTCCTATCTACTTACTGATCATAAGGTGCTGGTGAATATGTGTTCTCGTAACCTGGATGTGCTAGATGATGGACTTGAAGTTGAGATCGTGCAGCTTTTTAGGATTTAGGACACTGATACATCCCAGGGAGACTCCACACTGGTGCTCTGAGGTGCAGCCTGGGCACTCGCTCTGCATTGATCGTACAAGCTCAAGCACCACGAATAACAAGTTCGACCAGCCCTTTTCTTTTCGCTGTTGACATCGATTTAACATTGTCGTTCCGCAGCTTCCACAGTAGCATTTCCCATGTACAATTCTCGAAAGGCTGTCTGGCAGACAACAATATTACACAGTCAATGGTTTAACAAAGAAAGGCATTCCTGTCTTTTCGCTTCACCGTCCCGCAGTCTACACCGCTGGGCCTCTGCCGATCCAGTACCTGTAACTCCTAAAAGGGCCCCGACGGCGGTCAATGTTGTTGTATTGTCGCAGAGGGGCCAGACCCTGCTGGTTGGTGTCGAAGTACAGCCAGCCATCCAAGATACAGGCTGTGTCAGCAGCCTGAAGGAGCCCGCTGCGAACCAGGGTCCTGTGGACCAGGTTCTCCACGGGTACGATACCGGAGCCATCAGCTGGGACGGCAGTGACCGAGTCTGTGAATTCAGACTCTAGGGTGTCGACGTACAGAATGGCGTTATGCTATCACGAATGTTGTCAGGATCATTCCAATATGACAAGCTTGGGGAGAGTACTAACCTCAGAGGCCATCATGTAGATACGGCCCTTGTCGTCCGCAGTGAAGCCCGCCTGCTCCGAGGGAATGTTTCCCGGGATCTGGATCTTCGCAGCTAGCTCCTCATCGCTAAGCCCGCTAATCAATGCCTCCTGAGAAAGTATATACCACCGGTGAGAAGACTTGACGCCCCAGTACACATTCCCAGACGTAAGGGCAATGCCGTTGGTCCCGGACGTCATGTACGACGGCTTGGTGCCGTTCCAGTTGCGGATCGGCTCGCCATTGTAGATGGACGTAAACCGCTCGTCGGGCCTGGTGAAGGTCGTGTTGTAGAGGTGGCGGATGAACTCGCCCGTGGAGAGGTCCAGTGTGGTGATGGAGCCGTACTGGGAGTCCTCCGTGATGAAGGCGTAGCCTCCGGTTCCGAGCGTGTTGTTCACCTTGATGTCGTTCAGCTGCAGCTTGGCGAACCACTGGTCCTCGGGGTAGATGTATGTCCTGATGGGCTCGCCCGTGGTGTAGTTGAAGTTGATGATCTTGGGGCCGTCTGGGACTGGCATTGCACTGTGTAATGTTGTCAGCATGGTGGGCTGTTGTTGGAATACGTGTTGTCACTATGAGGTGTGATAAACTTACGCGCCATTGGGGACACCAGAGTCAATCACCCACCAGCCACCGACGGAGTCAAGCACAATATTCTGCACATTGACAAAACAGGTGGATGCGTTTTGCCCTTCGGCACAGTTCTGCCATTCCTCCGAAGGCCATGGAATCTCTTCGCTGAAAGAAGTGGCCTTGGTCAGGGTGTGGTTCTGCTTCTCCATGTTTCTGGCGTACGTGAAGAAGATGTTGTGTTCCGGGTCCACTGCAATGCCAGTAGGAGGTATGGCGCCCTCATGGATCGCATCCGGGACGTCGCCAATCACCTGGAAGTCGCTGGAGCACGCTCCAATCGGGTCGGAGTCGTTTCGGATCCATGAGTACGGCACCGGGCATGCCGGCGACTCGGTTGTTGTTGAACCGTTGCGAAAAGCAGTAGCTGCTCCGGCTAGCGCAGCCGTCGACCCCAGGATTCTCATCATAGTAAGAAAGGGTCGAAAAGATCGCAGGGAAAAGAGTGAATGGCGGAAGTCTGCTAGACAATGAAGGAATTGAAGCGAGAGTCACGGTCAAATGGGACAGAGGTGAGTTCAACATAGGGCTAAGATGTCCTCATCTCGATGCGCCTTTTATAGAAATGCACGGCGCGAGGCCATCTGTACTCCGGTCTCCGCTTCGTGAGGCTCGTTGCTTTGCCAAGATGGTGTTGTGGACTCGACGACGACGCATGCTCGCGGTCCCGAGTCGTAAAGCCTGTCTTGGCATTGGCTTTTATGGTTGGCGTCAATGGGTGTGGAAACTTGGTTAGACTTCATCCTATAGTCTAGATCTCCCGAGGCGATCCGGGCGGAATTGAGTTTGATGAGGGGATCGTTGAGGCTGAATTAACGCAGAATACCTCCCAAAGTACGAGTTGGCAGACACGCCTAGACGAAGAAAAGGGGCATAGGATAAAATGGAGTGCGCGACATCTATTATAAATAGCTTCACCATGCCAAGATAACATGGAAAGGACGGCATTAACCGAAAAGTTATCTCCAACTGAGCCATCAAGGTTCTCTCGAGTGCTTCTGATGATCACTCCAGTCCAGCGGTGCCCTCCCGCTCAGCACAGCAGCCAGATTCTGACCCGGTAATGATATACTCAATTGAGCGTTCAGTTCGCAAAGAATGATGTCTATTCTAGTGCGACATGTAATATGCTAGCTGGGACCTAGAACACGAGCCATATGGAAAGAACTGGTTTTAACTTTAGCGTCCCCGCATATAATGCCGCTATCACGGCCGGGGTCATTGCCCTGCAAGTTACAAACCCACACCGGTGATAGGTGCCCGAAGTTGTTCCGAAGGTAGTGCGGCTCGTAAGTTGTGGGTGCCTCTCGGAGTTTCGACACAGTCGTGTGTTTGATTGCGAATTGAGTTGATGAATGGTGTAGCGATGATAATCACGTCTGGCCGACTAACAACTCGAACAACGATGATTACAGCCTCAATTACTTGCGAGCATGTCCACGCATTACTCGTCCTCACGGCACTTGCCGAAAATCCTTCAAGAAATCAAGGATTTGGTGACTACCAGAGACATTCTCGTTCTTGTTGGCGACGCCGCGCTCCGCTGTGGGACGGTATTAATTTTCACGATTCGGCACCTCTCTCCCGGGTAGTCATGACCTGTCAATTATTTACTGGTGTCTCTGCTGTAAAATTGCCGCATGTCTCAACGCACTCAAACTGTGTAATCTTTCGGATTGCCGAAAAATCCAATCCTCAGCTCACTGCCGACCCGTCCATGATGGAGCCTTCGAATGACTGCCCTACTGAGTCCCACCGCCCATAACACGATGATCATGCCCACGCTCTGAGGTCTTCAGCTAGGTGGACGGATCGCAACGGAGGGAAAAGTAGTCGATGGTGAGATTCTTTGTGCCAGACCCGCCTATAAATTGCTCATACTCACCTGTGCAGTTCTCGGCTCTATGAGATGACATCGCCGTGTTAGCACATGCATCACACTTTGCGATCTTTTGAAGGAGAGGCTTTTTAGGGTGAATGTGATAGAAGCTGTACGGCTATAAGAAGCAACTTACTTGAAAAGATAGCATGTATAAGGGTCGTCAACTGTAATCTTTGTTGGTGGGAATTTGAGGATGGGCGGATCGTTACAATGAATGCCGTCGAAAAGGTGGGCCAAGAAGTCTTGCTATACGTCAGTCAAACTCTTGAAAAGGAGGAAATACGGAGATCATACTGCATTGCCCAAGATGAGTCGTGGTCGGCTTGTAGAAACAAGTGTTAATGTATGGAAAGTTCACGAGCTCGTCGAAACAGAGCGTCGCCATCCTCTCGTCCGACGCAATAGCCATCTTGCGTTCGTATGCCATGATGACAGCAACGACCGCAAAAATTCTTATGAAGCATTTCATGACTGTTGGGTGTTGGGTAATGCGACTTCTGCTTTCGATTTGCTCTCTGACCTGGTTGAACGCACTTGGTTGGGATTGTAATGGAAGGGGAAGAGGAAGGGACAAGTTTGGTTATGGAACAGCTACATTGAAGGCTGTTCATATACAAGTATGGCTGCGAGTGACTGACAACAATCACAGTCATCGATTCCAGGAACATCTGAAAGTTCTCGGATGAAGGATCCTTTGTCACAAATCAATGTTAGTCAGACGCTCGAGATCTTTCGGTTCTTACAAACATCTGTTACTAAATCCGTGAACATGGCTGCCTTCACCGACGCTCGAATGGATTCTTGTTCATCCTGCTCAAGCTCTCGCCCGTCTCTTGATGCGACCACATCGAGATATGTTGCATCACTTAATCGCTTTGTTTTCCCTGCCGCTATCCCCATTCCCCTCCCGATCTAAGCCCACGGTACGGCTGTCAAGTGATTTAAGTGAGATCGCAGTGAAACATCTTTCTACACACTCGGATCAGTATGGTACAAGCCACACTGAATATTTTCGCGCGCTTGCAGATCATCTGTAGGCTCAAAATCTTCACAGTGGCGGCCCCTGCCAGATGAAGACATTGAAACTTCAGAGATTACATGATTATTCAAGTGCTTAGAGGCCTGCTTCATGGGGACTTCACCTGAAAAGGTAGCGAGGTTACAACGCGTTGACCCCGATGCCGGTAGCGTCCCCGTTCCGAAAGGGTCCTTGACGGTGTCAGCAAGCGAGTGCAAACAAGCAACGTATTGAGTCCATACGTACGGCATTTCCAAGTATTATCTGAGCCGAAAGACCAGTTCATCAAGTCCCTACTCGAAGCCGTATGCCATGAATGTGACAAGATTTGTTAAACCAACCGTCGGAATTGCTTTGGTGGTTGGACTGCTGGTCTTAGAGATATTGTCTGATACCGCTTGTAACAATCTTCACTAAAATGGTGATGAAAGCGTATTCGAAATAGGCACATTCAAATTTAAACCAGTGCTGAATTCATAGCGCATCTAAGCGTCTCTTTATTCAAAGGTTTCTCAAGCCCGGCCCGTGGCTTCCTGTCATCACCCAATTCATCACTCAATCGTTGACATGGAGTCCTACCGTAGACCATGGTTGAGTGTATGCTTCATCTTATTATCCTGGATTAGCTTCAGCAGTGCAGACCCTTGGTGGTCCTGCCAAGTCCAACAGTTGTCCTGTGACTGAGCAATAGGGTCTTGCTGAGCTTCTGCCTCAGCCGTGCGGCTCTACAAAAACGACGGCTGGTGACTCTGATTCATTCATGGCTGTACGTGGCTACCAGGGCTTTCTTTGCCTATGACTGTGTCTTCACATGAATCTCCAGGTATAAAGTGTCTTCAGCATTCCTCGGTTTCTACCAATTTTCCCAAATACTTTCAACGCCAATCGCATCACAGCACAGAGATTATGAAAATCTGTATTCACAGTGAATCTACTTATTTTACTCATAAATTTGGATAACCTGGCCGAGGGAGACTCTTCCGATTAGGTCGTAACAATGAGGTCACGCTCCCCATTGGTAGAGTCTAAGTTCGTTTACCGCGGCAGGGTGGGCGAGTTCTTCTATTCTTGGGTGCGCTGCGGTGCGACGGCCCAGGTAAGGGCCCAGGCCGTCCTGCCAGCCGTTATTGCGTTCTAGCTAATTATATTTGAAGATAATTTGTTCAGTGATTTCCCTCGCATTGGTAGCAGGGACCATGAGACCGGTGGGACCGGTGGCATTATCTACCCTCGACTTAGCCACCAATCGGACATGGATGACGTTGTTCATATTTGTGAACCTAATGTGTCTCGGATGGGGCGTTTTGTCAATTTTCAAGATGTGGCTCCTGGCATCGCTCGAGCGCCATCCAACCTGCTTTCGCCTCTACTTCCTCGTCAGCGGTGGACTGATGATTATATTCAATGCCGTGTTCGGCTCTGTGAGTGACCCTAAAGAAAATGATGTCTTTTGACGATTTCCATACTGAAAACAATAGACGTACATCATTTCCGTTCTCAATACCCCTGAAGGCTGCCAGGTTACGACAACACCAGGTTGTTCTAATGCCATCGCCATTCCGGCCCTTCAGCTTCTGTGGGTACTCATCGAGATGTTTCAACTAATCTACACAATGTGCAGATATTTCGGAAGGGATAGGGATTTTGAGAATCGTAACAGAAGGTCTGATGAATGGAGAACTTGGACGAGAGGATTTCAAGTCAGTGGCAAAGACCAGCCCGGTCATACACCTCGGCAACTTTTACACCTGCTCTGCTGATTCTTACTCAATCCTAGGTCCTCAGCACTCTCGGCTCCACTGCACTAGCGATCATTCTGTACCTTCCTTTGTCACCTGGAGTACCTGTGGTGGACGGAGTTAGAAAGATATCTGGCGGGCTATTACTTTCTGGGACCGTTGTTTGCGGCATTATACTCCTTTGGCATGCCATTCTCTGGACCAATCACGGGATGCGTAGGTGCCACCAGCAGTACGGCTACTACGTGGTCTACATTGTACTGGAAGTTCTTGCGGCTCTCGGTCTCTTTGGTGTCAGTATTGTAAGTCTTCGACTTTGATTTTGACCTAGTGCGCTGTTATTCATCTAGATGCTGATCTAGTACTTACAAAACTGTCAAGTCTTACATGATCGCCTTTCTCTTAAAAGGCGCCCCATGCAACCCCCTTAGCAACCAGGGGTGTCTCGCGGTTCTTGCCATGGACGGTTTCGTTTACCTGGCAGGCTTGTTGCAACTTGTCCAATTATGTGAAACTATTCGTAAGCACCGCAGGATAATAGTAGTGCTTCGACTGAGAAAAATACGGAAGCATTCAGAGCGTCATCATCACAGTGACGACGGATGGGCTTCTGATGAAGAATTCGAGCTGGCGCCTGGTTTCACCTTCAGCCAAAACGAGCAAGACGAGTGCGAGAAGGACAGACTCGGTGATGCGCGGAAGAAAGCCAAAGCTAAACAAAAGAAAGAGAAGGCGGACACAGAAGCAGCCAAGCGCAGGTTTCGACACGAGCACGAGAGAGCCAAAGCTAAACGAAGAGCGCGGGCTGGAGGCGCGAGATCCGAGGATCGCGGGGCAGAGAGAAGTGAGGGTCGCACGGTGCATAATGACCGTCGCGAGCGAGACCGCGAGCGAGATGGAGTAAGACGAGGGCATTCCAGATACAATACAGAACGGGGAGATGGAGAACACCCCCGTCAGCACGGAAATGTAAGCAAGAGACACGGCGTGACGCCATAGAATCACTTGAATGAACAACAACCAAAGGTTGGACCCAAAGTCTCCGGATAAGAGGCATAAGGGGAGCCTGGAATGTATCAAAGCTCTGAAGAGGACGAGTTGGCTCGTTTATGCAGAGTACACACGGCTAATACGTCGGTTCAGCAGGCAGAAGGGCTATCACGCTCACAACCTCGGCACGCGCAACATCACGCCCAATATGGGAGACATGATACTCGACATGGGAGGCATGAGTCTCGACACCGGAGGCATGATCTTGGACCGACCGCCGGGGCTCAACAGCAACGGGAGCCTCAAAGGACGGCAAGGTCAGTCCCTCCCGCATTGGACCGCCAACCCAGCCGTGATTCCACGTTTTCTGGGTATTACAGTTGCAATTCCAGTATTTCAAGGAATCAAGGGGGCTCTACGACCTGACAGACGAAATAATTTCCAATGGCTTGAGCATATTTACTCATGTCTGGAAACCCTAGTCTCTCAACCGAACTCGGATTAGTCGTGGATCATTCTCGGGCGCTCAGGAAAGGGCAAGAGCATTTTCTCAAGGTCACATGGAGAAGTCGATGATACGCAGTGTATTACCAGGACTGCTGAAATCCGTGGTTTCTGGTTATACAATCGATTGGAATTTCTTAGCGTGTAACCGGTCCTCAGTCAATTTTCTGCTCGCCCTGAGTTCATGGCGGCTACCCTACAATGCCGACATCAGAAACATAAGTCTTAGAGGGGGCGGAGGGGCGATAAAGGCAAATGTGTAACACACCCCAAGTATTAATGATCAATCCCATCTCTCAGAGCTTGACGTGATTCATATTGATCCAGGCACAGGAGCTGGTATTATCGTGAAGTTCCTGTTTTGGCGCACGCTGTTGCGATTGTTGGTGAAATTGACGGACTGTTGCGCCCTGTTCAGGCAGTTCCGATAGCCTGCACATGTAGTCAACCGTGACCAAGCAATAACTGAAAGCAGGCCCATTTGATTTGTGTGCGCTCAAATAACATCACCAAACAGTTCTACACAAGAAGAGCCCTCCAGCCCTCAATTTTAGGATCACCTATTCCCGAAGAAAGCGTTGACCATGGTTGAATGCATGCTTTTAACTTTTTATTATTTATGAGCTCAGCAGCGCAGGCCCTTGATAGCCCGGCGCAGCCCACCGACCGCCTTGTGACTGGGAAATACGGTGTTTTGCTTGGCCTCTGCCTCGGTTGTGCGGCTCTACAGATATGGCAGCTGCGAGTGGCGACTCTGGCTTTCTCATGGCTTTGAGTGAGTACCAACGTCTGCCGCATGACTGTAGTCACCTCCTCGTCCAGGTATAAAATCTCTTCGACATTCCTCGTCCTGGTATATTTTCTGAAATATCATAGACATGTTGAGGAACACGCCGGGAGACAAATGAAACACCCACTCATATTTGATCGTGAAACTCCCTAATTCTCATATCTTGACACTGACATCCTTCTCAAATAACGTCGTCGCAATGGGAAAGCTCTCTGGCTTCCGCATTTGCAGTTGCGTTGTCTGCCACGCGCTATTGGCGAGGCTCACAATTTGGCGCCTCGTCGCAATCATTCAGGTAGGAATACCAGATTACCAACAGGATGGCGGAATCTCTTTGGACTGATGACGTGCATAGACTACTTTTGCCCTTCTAGGTTTATCGTTGTCGGTAGGGGTCTTGCGACCATGGGGCCCGGCCACACTGTCTCCGCTCCCTACGTCCGACAACAAGATATGGCTCAAAACATTCGCTCTGGCGAGCGGTCTCTGTATCTTTTGGTCCGTGCTGGGGGGAGTATTCAAGGAGAATGATTTTCAATATCTGGAACGCCACCCGACTGGACACCGCTTCTACCTCCTCGTCAGCGCTGTACTTATTTCTGCCACCGGCATCACAATCGTCGTGAGTACCTTCTTTCCAACATTGGACCAGATCTTGTTACGGTCAAGGCTAAAACTGATAGGGTTTCGTTTTTGTGGACATGCTCCCCCAAGCCTGCCACCACCACTATAAAACTCGCCCGCCAGGTTGTAATGTAGCATGGGCAATCGTGGCCTTTGAGAGCTTGTGGTGCCTATTGGAGCTATTATATTTCTCACGCGTTTGGCCGCTCGATAGTGGTGATGGTCGCAAGTGCAAGTGGGCGGTGTGGATTAGGTATTATCAAGTACGTGGCACAAGCCGCTCAGGCATGAGTTCCATTCCTTATTTCTCCATCATCTGCTGACTTCATCCCGCGATAGACCTTCTTTGCTGCGGCGTCTTCTTTGATCGCAATCCTTTTATTTCTACCCCATAGAATTCCCGTGGTAGAGGGAGTTCGCACCGGATACTACTACTGGTTACTACTTCTTGAAGCCATTGTGTGTGGGATTGTCTGCCTCTGGCATTTTATGCAAATAGTCGGACCGCACTGGTTTGAGCGCTCTTTTACACTGTGTGTCTTTTACATAGTCATGGAAATTCTTTGTCTCATCCCAATTGGAATCGGCCTGGTGAGTGATCCTTTATTGCATGTCTGCCCTTAGTGGACGCTCCTCTTGGTACCCAGTCATTACTGACACGATCAACAAGGGTTTCACGGTCATTTTTTTCTATGGTAATGCTCCTTGCAATCCAATCAGTAACGATTGGTGCTTCGTGGTTCTGGTTATTAATGTCCTCACCTGCGTTCTTGGTTTAATCCAGCTTGCTCGGTACGCCAAATTGCAATATGTATGGGGGGAAGTCATGCCACCTTTGAAAGAGACACATGAGCAAAAGCGCGAGGAAAATAGGCTCAGGGAGGAAGAAAACAGGTGCAGGAGAGAACAGCGGAAAGAAATGCAGCGGAAAGAAACGCAGCGAAGGGAGTACAGCCGGCGAACAAGGAAGCACAATACCAACGATATTCCCATGGCTCCCCAGCGGACCTGCAACCCGACGCCAAAAACGATGACCCACGGTTATAATTATCGACCTCGAGGCACCACGACGGGTGGTGGGTCTCACATGAAAGCAACATCCACCCACCAAACCAACCACAAAGATAAACGAGACAATGTTCACGAACTTCGTCGACTTCAACCGAGTTATCAACCGAGGGCACCGGATAACACGTTTTCAAGCACTGGTCAGAATGTCCCATGGCCACAATTCGCTGGTAGTAATTATGCAACCAGCGTAGGCAGCACACAATCCCAGCAATCGTGGAACAACTCGAGCTCGGGGCCACGGGTAGCCGAGGGCGGACCAAGAATACAAGAAAGAACAAGAGCAACACCCAAGTTCCACCACGATCACACCGCAATCCCCAGATCTCAACATGGAAGCATAGTATCTCATCGAGATGCATCGCAGCCACACCGCACGCGTCGACGCAGGCCTGAGACTAGTCCACAGCGGAGTAGACATCCTCCGGGCCATCGTGAAGTGAAACAGGTGTCTCCAATGAGTTCCTTCGAAGACCTAAGCTCCCTCACTCCGCGAGATCCTTCGCCATGTTCCATGGTTGGTACACCAGTTCCTACTATCAAAGTAACCGACTGTGATTCTCGCAGCAACTCAATGTTATCACAAACGTCCAACCATCAGCCGCAAGCATCTGGATCTGGAGGGTCACCAACGCCCCAGAACGCATCTACGGTGCGTTATGGAGTCTGGTACAGTCCCAGTGATGCTGGCTACGACGAAGTATCAGGTCCAGTGACCCGTCAACCCAACGGCTCATAACGCACAATCGAAGCTCAAAGTTTTCATGCCCCAAGCTCTCGGCTCATTGAAGCGCCTTCGAACTGTGAAACGGATGAGAAAGTTAAGACTTGGATGGGGAGGACGACGCGGAAAGCTTGAATACTATTTGCCTAGGTTTGGCTACATTTGTTCTTGCTAACGCTTGTGTTGAGGTACCAGAGCTTTAGCTTCTAGTATGTTCTGATAGTTTCGATCATCTTTGCTTATTTGAATAACGCATGTCTTTGTACCCCGAAACGAGTCATTTATGGTAGGCAGATGTCACGCGTAAGCGGTGCCCAAAATCAAACTGATTTCGATAGAACAACTGAATTTGCTTTGTGATTGTTGTCAGACTTCCAGGGCCGTATTAGCGTTTTCGGGGGAAATAGATGAAACCAGATAACCCACGGCATAAGCCAGATTTCAGCGGCCATCCACCCACAGTCATTTTTACAATTCTCCATCTCTTCTCAAAAATTGTCCCTGAGGCCGATTTTCATACAAATAGTGCCCTCAAGCCCCCGAAGGTAGGTTCACCCAGCCCCGAAGCAGGATCCCATCCCACAGAGGCACTATAGCCACCGACGACCTTCTCGCCCTGCTCACAACCCTCGATGAAACTGATGTCATCCGCCACGTCCCGAATCGAGGCCTGACCCTCCTCAGAGTAGAGCAGAGGATTGATAAAGCCCACAGCCGACTTCCCTTGTCGAAGCCGAATGTCATTGAGCAGCACAACCAGTGAAGCAAAGAATGGCGCCGAGGCCGACGTCCCCTTCTGCAAAGTCGTGGCGCCGTTGGTGATGACAGGGAAGCGGCTCCCAAGCAGCGCAATGTCGGGGATACCCCTCCCCGAAGCATTATAGAAGCTCGCCGGGATCGTGCTGCTGTTGGCGAGGACGTTCCGCACGTACGGCGCCGTGCTATTCGCCTGCCAGGAGGGCGCGGCAAAGTAATTCGAAAACCCGCCGCTGGAGTAGGTCGCCGAGCCGCCCCAAGGCGCCAGAGCGCCCACGGAGGTGACCCATGGGCATGACGCAGGAAAGGTTGGGATGAACCGCTCTTCCCCGCTGGGCCCCACGCAATTCTCATACGATGTCCCGGCTGCACCGCCGTCGCCGCTTGAGGCGATGACCGTGATACCTCGTGCGGCTAGGGCCCCGAAGCCGTTGCAGACTCTTTCCGCGTAGCTTGGGGGGACAGACTGTTCGTCGTCTGCGTAGGACATGGAAAGCACTTGCGGTGGGTCGTCTAGCTGGAGAAGGTGGTTGATGAGGTCCAAATAGGGTTCGTTCTCCGACTGGGAGTCCGGCACGGTGACGTTGCCTGGCTGCGACCACGTTGGCGGCCGCCCGCCTGTGGCGTAGTAGGTGGTGTCGAGGGGGGCGATGAATGTGGACGAGTACTCCAAGTCAAGCATTGCCTCAACTGAAGCTGAAGATGCAGTATTGTCGGTGCTGCCGCCATTCACTGCCTCGACCGTGAAGTTATAGCTCTGATAGTTGGAAACATTGCGTAGGCCGTAGGACTTGAGGAATGACTTGAAGTCTGTAGTGTCGGGGTGGTCGCCCAGGAAGCCAGCGAGGGCGAGCTTGCTCCCGGGGGCCTTGTCTGGTGGGGAGTAAGTGATGTTGTATCGCTTCTGCAGATATGATGGGCAAGTGTCGGACGAGCAGTCCACATTGTTGCCAGGGCCGACCTGTCGAGCTATCATGCCCTGTTGTTTCTTTTTGGTCGGGAGGCTGGACACCAGGAATTGTGTTGTTGGCCAGACGAAATCGACATCATCTGCCATGCATTCGGGAATGCTGTAAGACAGCGTGCGAAGCACTGGGGTAGAGCCGTTGTAGCTGTAGTATGCGTACTTCGCCTCGAACAAGACCTCTGCGTCTGCTATTGATGTGTCGAATGTGACCAAGCCTCCGGCTTTCGAGAAGGACGACGTAACGCCTTGGTTGCGAAGCCATGTTTGTATTGCGAACACACTGGGTCCGACATCTGGCATTGTTTGGAGGAGCTGCGCTTTGCTCAAGTACATTCCATACCGTGCGGACTCAGGGTTGCTAGCCTCGTGAGCTATCTGGAGGTAGTCATGATGAGGAGATCTGACGGCGATCTTGAAAGGAATCCTGGTTGTTTTCGCAGGTGAGGAATGGTATTGCCAACCAGATGGTGCTCCCGAGATTCTGTCAAATTGAACAAGAGGGCATGCGTCAGGAATTGAAGCAACGGCAGCTTGTGAGCATGTGCTCAATGCCGCGACAAGACCAATCGCTATTTTCGAGATCATTATGAGTGCAAGCAATGCCTTGGCTTCTCCAGTGTGTCAAGATAGATTCAGTCAAAGAACATTCTCCGACCTGATTCCCGTCCTTGGTCACGATTCCGATCTTATTGGCCTTTACTGGCCTGGCACGCCTGGCCAGCCAATTTACCTTGTCCATGGTGGATAACGGTGACATAATCTGATTATATAAGGAAGACGGCGATGTCTTGTCAGAGCATGTTGCGAAACGGGTCCTCAAAGTCCTTGTTACTTCTGGAATGCGTTAGACCAAGTAGGATCATGATTTGGCTTGTTTGTGGATCAGGTGATGTAGCATGTATGGCATAATGGCAGGTAATTTCCGCGGAAAGCTTGCATGTTAGGCGAAGTTAGCCCGAAAACATGCCCTGCAGGCAATTTTGACCGCCTTCTAGAAGACCCTTGAGCGAGGTGCTAAGAAATACGAGAATTTTGTAAACCACATGCCTCAACGAGCATAGATCGGAGGAGCATTGCGTGCTGATCTTGCACGCAATGGCCCGAGCCTCTCGTGTTGAATTTGAGCTTCCTACCCCTCCTGTCTCCGTGGGGAAGTTGATCAGCTGGTGAAGTAGAAACGGACAGCCTCTCATGAGAGACTTCCCCATTCTGGTCCTTAGATCCGTGATGATGGGGGAGGGACGGACAAAGTCCGGGTGGATCCCGTACCCACGGATTGCGATTAGAACCCGAGTGCTTCTATAAATAAGCATAACAGAAAGCTTGATGTTGTTTACAGGTGCTATCAGGCTTCTCCACTATCAAGTTGACCGGCCCCACGACCCTCGACCCATGCATGCTCGCTAGCTCATTGCTGTGTCCATACCTGGCCCTGCATCAGAGCCGACTTGGCTCGTGTTAAGCTTAAATGACTGATGGCTGATGTACCGAGCCTTTATTGTTGTTTGGCCTACGACGCATCGCACTCAAGCATCTGGTCTGGTTCCTACCGCCTCCTAGACGTCAATCCATCACGACGTCCTTAAATGCCATACGTGGACAAAGCAGCAAACGCGGTCAATCTCAAGTCAGAACTGCCAGAGATTAGAGGAGCACTGACTGAATTCTGACGTCATGTTTCCACAACTCTTTTCCACTGCAGCAGTCATTGCGCTTTCGACAGCGGCGCCCAGTCCCCGGTCTGTTGATGGATTCGCAGCCATCCCTCTGTCATGGAAGTACGGCGGCTTGCCCAAGATCACCGCAGATATTGTTTGGGGAACTCCGGGCCAGAACTCGTCAGTAGAAACCGTCTTCGACACTGGTAGCGATGGATTCTGGGTCGCAGGACCAAATAACTTGGCCTTTTACGGAACCAAATACAAGGGAGACAGAGGCCCTTGCAACGAGACCCTCGTGCCGTACTATGACTGGACGGTCTCCACGACACATACTCCTGCAGTGGACAACATCTTCTCATATGCCTATGCAGGAAACGCGCATATCGTCAAGACCTTCTACACGATGAACGATACTATCGGCTTCGCACAGAGCAGTTACCCGAAATTGCCGAACCGAAGGGTCTCGGTGTCCAACGAGACACTGCTAGCAACGGGAGACGACACAACCTGCGGTGGATACAGTACCGACCACAGTATCTTGGGTATGGGCCCAGGTGCTGATTTCCGTAAAGACCTCTTGGATGATGGCGCGGTGTCGTCCAACACTTTAAGCATATGGTTCGACCAAGCTCCTGACGACCTCAAGGGCACGTACAGCGGCACCGCACTTGTTGGTGCCCTACCTCCCAGCTCCAAATACAGCGGTAGCCTCACCACGGTCGAGTCAGATTGGTCCCAAGGCAACTATTATGCGACAACACCAGAGTTTAGGACAGCACCCCTGAACAACACTGGTAACACAAGCGTCATTCCTCTCGAGTTCACGCCTGCGACGTGCCTCTTGGACAGCGGTAGCCCGAACCTGGAGTTGCCAATCAGCACAGACATCACAAACATTACTGGCCTCACCGTTGTCCCTTTCACGTCAATTCTTGCGTATGAGGGTTCCTGTGAGTCGATCCCAGCTGCAGCGACTCTTGACTTCAACTTTCAGAATGTCACAATCTCCTTGCCATACCGAAACCTTATTCGTGGCTATCTCGACGGTGTTGAGCCTGGATACTGTGTCCTGAGTGCGTTCCTCGGTGAGACAAGCTGCACTCTTGGGGCGCCGTTCTTCTCAGCGGCTGTCATTGTGTTGGATGATGCGAACAAGGAGATTTCTCTGGCGCAGGGCGGTATCTCGACTGGGGCAACTGATGGGGTCAGAAGTCTGAGCGGCGCTCAAGTGCTGCCCCAACAAACCCTTTAACGTCTTTGACTTCATCCATCATCGAATCTTGGCCTGATGTTTATACTGGGGCCGTTGACTTGCCCTTCCATGTATATAGTGTCATCCCGTATCTCACATACATCCAGTCACAAACTCTCATGAACGGGCCAAAGAGCGTGGCGTGCCAGTCACCGAACAGCCAGCTGATGGCAAAACTATAAAATAGAACCTCTTTTCCAAGAGCTGTCAGCAATTTATCATTCTCTAACTCAGAATCTGCGCGTCGGTTGTGTAAATCTTCATCCAAATTTCTGCCCCACCATCGATACCATCGACAATATTCCCAAGTCCCTCGAAAAAGATGAGATTTGACAGATCTAACTACGACTCCAGTCCAAGAAGTCGATCGAGAGTCAGAAATATGTCCAGAGCGAGGAGGGATGACCGCAGTTGGAGGTGGCCTGCTGCCAGATCGGGTAGATCTTTCTCTAGAAACACTGGCGATTCGAGCGACCACAAGAGAGGCAGAAAACGTTCCAGAAGCCCCTACTGTTGCGGGATCAAGTGGAATAAGCGATTCTATCTCAGCGTCTTTCAGGTAAAGTATTGCTGTCGGCGCTGCTGTGAGCCAGTCTGACTGATGAGCCTCAGCTCGCCTTACTCCTAGCCGTTATGCTCCTCTTCACCGCCATCGCACTGCACTGGAATATGTCCCCTGATGCGCTCCTCCACTCGCAGCTTGTGGGTTGGGGTCTCGGAATGATTGTGGCGTCAGCTATGGGCCATGTCGGTATGATGCTGCTGCGCTACAGGTATTACAAAAAACACAATAAGGCCTACGTGTACACAGACAAGCGGCTCGTGGTCGCCGGGGAGGCCATACTATGCCTTTCTTACGTGGTTGTGCTTGGTGTATGTTTCTCCAAACCCCTCATACCTGCAACCAGTCTCTAATCAAGAAAGACCTGCATTTTTCTGTTAACCAAGGCTCAATGCTCGGACACCAAATTACCAGGCTGTGCGGTGGGTGTTGCAGCTGCTCCAATTCTGGCCATTCTCACCCTGTTACAAATGTTCTTCGCCGGGAAATCTTATGGCCAATTTAGAAAGATGAGAAAGGCGGAAGAGCAGTCTTTGGAGCAGAGGAGGCGTCAGCGGTCAACTTCCAGTGTGGGATCCCTGGCCAGCAGTGGACAATCAACTCCGAGTGAAAGGTTCAGAGATGAGACTAATATATACATGCCGGCACCTGACGCGCCACCATCAATTCATTTACCTCCGGGTGAAGATCCTTATCAAGCTCAACCTGTTCCGATTGGGCGCCATCCATCAACTGGGGGATATCATCCAAACGAGTACAACTCGTTAAGCCGTGGGGTTCCAATGACTTCTGCACCACCGCAACAGGGCTTCGCACCACCGCAACAGGGCTTTGCACCACCGCAACAGGGCTTCGCACCACCGCAACAGGGCTTTGCACAAGGCCCACTCCCAGCACAGAACACATCAATTCCATTCTCGGGAAACTTCTCGGGAAACTTTCATGGGAATCCCATGGGCATGGCCTAGGATGAATGCCGCAGCAAAGGTCATGGGGCAGGTTGGAAGGTGTAAGATGGCGATGAGGACTTACCTTTCGGGATTTTTGGTTCACATACCTCACCTGTTTATGTTTTTTTGGGTTGACCTCTGGCTGATTGGTCGCTGGTCTCTTATTAATGAAATCGTAATCACATTCACACAAATTCTTTTGCAGTTCTCACATTACCTTCATGACACCCATGTCCTCGGCGGACACTATGGCTAGTTTCAGGCTTTTCTGTATACTCTACTCTGCATCACCTGGAGTTTTAAGCGGAGATAGAAGCCTCGTGCATGAGCAGCATTATTGTTCAGTTAGTAAATTAATGATGGAATATTGCGCAAATATTATACCCGGCAAGGCGGCAGCCGTTATTTAGCATTTCAATTTACCAATTATTCATACCAAACCCCTCTCGAGACCCTGATGAATATAATATTCGCGATGTTCACAGATCACAAGAATCCATCTTCGTATGGCTTCCATTGTAACTGGCATGGACAACAGCTAAACGTACCAACTCGTTATCTAATTACCAGCATATTTGGTTCAAACATACATAACACAACCCGTATAGTCTTTTCCCTAATTTGCCACAATGTCAGCGCAGTGCACAGAAGCATTTTAACCTAAAACTACCGGTTTATGGGCATTTTAAGGACAGGTTTTAGTTGTGCAGCAGAAGCTACAGGACCAATTTAGTTCTGAGATGTAATCATTGCAATCTTGGATATACTCCTAGCCGGTCCGTCGAGAGGGGTTGTCAAACCCGATATGAAATGTTGAGGAAAAAGGGTGCGTACACCAGAATTCTCATACGAAGTGGATATGCAATCATTATTTCTTTCATGTCTGAGTAGTAACCGAGACCATTTCGGATGGTTTTATGTCGGAGGTGGCGTGTCTGCTGGCAATGACACGAGATATGTGAGTGAGCATCAGTGTTAGAGACACAATCTTCACATTTAATTTCTGCAGAGTACCTCAAATATTGTACATGTGCAAGCAATGGATATGAAGTATGTAATTTTTAGTACCAATGAAGTCTTGAATGTGTCCAAAGAGGCACTACGAAATAGAAGGCTCCCCTGACTCTTTTCCTGCTGCATTCCCCTGCAGGCAGGACTTATTGATGCATCTCACTTCATTGCTTACAGTCTCAGCCATTTTCTTTTTTGTTGTCATAGTTCGATATCTCAGCTGGTGCCGCGTCTCTTGCACATTTTTCAAGAATTCTTTTTTGAGCTTTGGATTGGCCCATCCATCTGCAGGTATAGTGTGGCTGATTACAAGGAATCCTCTGGCGCGTCAGCAGAGCTGAAGAGAGCGGGGCTCTTACTAGTCGATGCTCTTCTCCTGCCCTCTTTCCACGAAGTAGCACAGATCACAAGGCTCCCACAGTAACATAACATTGTTGGTCTGTTACTCACCAGAGCTCATCATGGCGTCTGATACCGTTCAATCTTCTTCTCACCATACGGCACCGGTCAGACCTGATACCATCTCTACAACAGCGGGAGAACCAAGCGACTTGACCTTAGTGCGTCCACTTCGCACCAGCACACGGGCTTCCACGTCATCTGAGAATGCTGGGCCCGTCGGTTTTCCGACTACCAGCCCCCCTCAAGTGTGAGTATGAAAAGGTTCCCGTGCTCGCATGGAGCTTCGAGGCTAAGTTTGCTGGTCTTGAATATTCAGATCCAACGAAGCTATCTCGAGATGGACAGATCATGTCAACACTCTCAGTGAGGAGCAACGGCAGATATTTCTGCGAGAAGATCCCGGCGACGATTTAGTGGCTTATGCGAAGGCTGTCGACAGCATCATTGACGACAAGCTGAAGGCCAGCAAGGTGGTCCGCGCCACCAAATGGATTGAACCTTTAGTCGGCTTTGTGGAGATGTGCCGGCCCCTTATAGATTCGTTGGGCGGCATTTATCCACCGGCAGGACTTGTCCTCGGCGGTGTCTTCGCCGCCCTCACTGTCACCAAGCGGGTTGTCAAATACCAGGAAGCTCTTGTGCAATTCCTGGCCAAAGTCATGAGTAGTCTTGGCCAACTGAACAAGTTCAAAGCCGCGTTCCCAGATACATCTGAGATCCAGACGGGCTTAGTTGATGTGTTTGATATCATCTTGCAAATATGTGCTCAGGCTTCGACGTTGTTTCTTGACAATAGAGGGAAGGAAAAGAGTAGCAGTCGACTTTTCTGGAGGTCATTCGAAAAGGACTTTGGGGAGTGGAAACAAATACTCGACATCAGCATCGAGACATTCGACAGAACGATCCAACTTGTCTCCGGACAGAAATTGGGACACTTGCAAGAGGCTCAGATGATGGGACTGCGCATGCAGCTGGACACATACAGAACGATTCACAAAAACGAGACTAGGCGGCTGTACGAAGAAAATGAGCGCGAATTACGACAGATTCAACGCGATCAAGGTATGTAAATCTCTCGAACGGTAGTCGGTATTACCATTTAACGTATTGATCCAGATGAGAAACGCACCAGTCTCTTAGCTTGGCTGTCTTCGCTTTCTTTTCAGACAACACACAACAGCATTCTGGCCACGACCCTGGAAGAAACAGGTCGATGGCTTTTACATCATGAGACCTACATCTCATGGAGGGCAAAGTCCCGTGAAGCACTTCTTTGGGTTCACGGAAAGCACGGTAGCGGGAAAACGCATTTGGCGGCGCGGGTCATTGAAGAATTGAGACTGCTCTGCCAGGAAACAAACGCCGCATCTGACAACAACGAGGCCAATGACCGTGGTGATTACGCGTCTGCGCTCACCACCGACAACCACGAGAACTTTTTGCACGCACGGTCCGCCGAGCCTCGTGCAGCTCTCGTCGTATGGCAAGGGCATCAACGGCCAGAGACCGCTGTCGAGAGCTCCTCAGACAATGCCAACTGGTCGTCGCTGGCGGGGTTTGATGGCCACAGAAGCCTAGCTTCAGAAACTCCACTGCCTTTCAATAGAACCGCGCTTGCGTATATCTATTGCAGCTCGCAGCAGGTACAGAAATCCGATAAACTCAAAACGGGTCGAGGTGTTCAACCAGCAGGCTGGTACGACACTACAGGACTTTTGGGTTGTCTTCTCAAACAGCTGTACCAGTTCCTACCAAGGGACCAGGATGTCCTAGCTCTAAGAAATCTCTGCTTCGAAATGAGAGCAGATCAGCCAAGTAGGGAGGACATAATGAATGGAATCAAAAGCGTGATTTCAATGTTCAGCCAAACTTTCATCGTGGTGGACGGATTAGATGAGTGCAGTGGGGTTTCCAGCTTTGAGTTTGACAGATTCTGCAATTTTCTGGCCAGCCTTGCGAATCTTAGCATAAAAGGCCCTTCAGCAAATGTTTTGATCTTTAGTCGCCCTGGATATCAAGCGATCACCATCGCCACCCATGATTGTCCAAGCATCGAGGTTGACCAAGGGGCAAACGCAGAGGATATCAGTTTATTCATTGACGACAGAAGCGGAGAGCTGACCAGGGACTTGGCTTCACTGAAAGAGATACAAGACCATTTGCTGAACTCTGCAGATGGAATGTTTCTCTGGGTCTCTCTTGTCATCGACTCGATCAAACAAGAAAGGACTGCAAAGAAAATGAAGGCTGCTGCGCGAAACATGCCTAGAGGCTTGACAGGAGCTTATGCCGATGCTCTGAAGCGTATCATTGCCACGGAGCCGTCTATCAGGCACATGGCGTTGAAAGCACTTCTTTGGACTGCCAATTCGAAGAAGCCCCTCTCCAAGTCTCAGCTTCTAGAAGTACTGGCAATCGAGGACGGAATGTCGTCAATTGGGACTGACGAGAGGCTGGACGATGACATCCCTTTGACGAAGGACTGTGCCGATCTCCTCATTCTCAAGGACGGACAGTACATGCTTCTTCATCCTTCTCTGGGAGAATTCCTGAGAGGTCTGTCAAACAATAACCTTGAAGGACTAAGTGATTATCGAGATCTACAAAATGAGGCACCTCGGATTCTCACGAATGACTGCCTCACATACCTCAATTTTGACAGTTTTGCTAGAGGCCCAATGCCAACGGAAAGTTCATTGAAGGCATTGTTCCAAACTCATCCTTTCCTGCAGTATGCTGGTGTTTTCTGGGGAGATCACCTGAGGGAAGCTCTTGATCGAGACGCTACGGATCTCGGGCAGGGTTATCGCCAACTTTTGCAGCCGCAGATGAGCCGGGACCTTCTACACCAAATATATCTCATGTTCTCCAATCAAGAAGCCGCCACCTTTCCGTTTCCGCCTGGGACTACGCCCTTGCACATGTTATCTATATTCGGGCTACATCAGCTTGTGGGGGTTTACAGCGGAGCTGAAGTGGATATCGACCAAGCCGACGGGTTTGGAAACTTCCCTGTGGACTATGCGGCACAAAATGGGCATAGAGCGATGACCAAGAAGATATTGGATGAGCATATGAGTCGAACACCCGAGATCGGTCAAGGGGGCCATCGAAGATGTAACAGCAGATCATGGCTGATGGGCACAATTGTGTACCAACACTGGACAGATCTTATGGTCATCCTGTTGGAGCTTGGTCACTCCACAGCCGAGACTGGCAAGCTCAGCCCAACCGCTCTTCACTTGGCATCGGAATATGGACATACGGATATGGTGGAGAGACTTCTGCTTTTTGGGGCACAGCCTAACACTAGAGACGCTGTTGGACACACCCCCATAATGATGGCAGCCCAACGTAAACATGTTGAGGCGATAAGCCTGTTACTTGACCATGGTGCAGATGTACGTTGTCGCGGACACGATGGTCTGACAGCGCTGCATATAGTTTCAAGTCTGCGCAACGGCGATGAAGACCTGCTTGCAGCTTTGCTAGGCAAAGGCGGTAATATTGAAGCGAAAACAAGTTGGGCGGAGACTCCACTTCATTTTGCTTCCGCATTTGGCTCAGAGAGACTCGTCTCCTTCCTCCTCGATCGTGGCGCAGAAAAGGAGGCCAAAAGAAAAGATGGCATGACTGCTCTGCTCATTGCAAGTAGGTGGGGCAGAAGCGATGCCGTCCGCCTCTTGCTGGCCAGAGGGGCAGACATCATGGCCATCAGCCGGCGGTCTAGCACCGCACTTCACCAGGCAGCAGCATCCGGCGACGTTGAAACCATTTCGGTTCTCTTAGGTGTTCCAGCTGGCAGAAATTTGTTGAATTGGCAAGACTCTGAGGGTTTTACTCCTCTATGCGCGGCTGCCTCCATGGGCAGTACTGCCTGTGCGGTGAAGCTGCTTGATGAGAGAGCAAACATCAATTTAGCCACTGACATAGGTGGAACACCATTGTTGATTGCTCTGAGTAAGGGACATAGACATCTTGCTTCATTGCTCGTTGGATCTTATAATGCTAATCCTCATCACGCCGATTGTTGTGGATTAACGGCAATGCACATGGCAGCCATACTTGGCCATGCAGAGGACATACAGATGTTGCTGTCTTGGAGTGTTGAAGCTTCCACCAGAGATGAAAATGGTCGGAGTCCACTCCATCACGCAATAGCTCGAGGCAACGTGAAATTCGTGGAGGGCTATATCAGATTTGTTCCAGCGGAGAATGTTTTGGAGCGGCAGAAAGATTCTGAGCCTCTGGGTAAGCTACTGCCCATCCGCAAATTCCTACCCCGAATTACTTATGTCCACGTTGTTGGTGACTGAGTATAAAGAAGATCACTTCAACGAGACTCAGTATGCAGCTAACATATACGCAGTACGTGTGCCAAAAATTTGCATATTCTAATTTGAACTGCATGTTATTGCTTGATCATTGAGATCAATAGAATCTGAAACGAACCACATAAACACGCTAACCAGGTTAACAATTCTTTACAGCTTCATTCTCCCTCTGCAAATGGCAGTCATGAAATAATCAAGTGCCTGACAGACTGGAAACCGGCACTGGGACTCTGGAGATCTGAAGATGGAGATCTTGCCATACATCGAGCGGTGGCGTTCGGAAAGATTGATTGCGTCAGATATCTCTGCAATGCTGAAGTTATCAACGTACCAGGGGCAAATGGGAAAACACCACTCCACTACGCCGCCATTGCGAATGACCCCGCAATGGTTAAGTACCTTCTAGAACACGGAGCCGATGTCAACGGCGGTCAGTCAAGTGAGCTCAGTCCATTGATAGAGGCATTGACTTCGGAGAGCGAAGAAATGGTCAACATACTACTCGATTGGGGGGCCAGTGTGGAATCCATTGGTGGTAAACGTTGGCGCCCGCTCCACTATGCCACAGCCGAGGGCCGCATACGACTGACCGACCGACTTCTGAATTTAGGATGCGAGCCAAATCCTCAAACTGATGAAGGGGAAACGCCATTCTTTCTTGCTTGCAACAACAATCATACAGAGGTCATTAGCTTATTTCTTGCTCGTGGAATTGGAAATGTCACTATCCAGTCCTGTGCAGGCTCAACATATGCCCACATCACAGCGTACCGGGGACGCGAAGATGTCCTAGAGCGACTTCTTCAGATGGACAAAAGTATCATTTTCAAAACTGACTGGGCTGGGTTTGACCCCCTCAGTATTGCAGCATATTATGGCGAGTCTGCTGTCGCCCAACTTCTGATTGGACATGGTGCATCGCCAGATGGGCCAGTAAATACGCAAATGACACCACTGGCCTTGGCTGCGGATGACGGCAATGTCACAGTGGTGGATCTTTTGCTGAGAGCCGGTGCGAAAGTTGATAAGACTGGGGCAATGCTGCGTACGCCACTGATGTGGGCTGTGGCCTCCGGATCCGTGAAAACGGCCCATCATCTGCTCAAGGCTGGAGCAAATCCCTTCCTCAGAGATGACTTGGTACGTTTTACAAAGTTGTGATCCTCCTAATCGCGCGAATGTCTCGCGGGTCCAAAGGTGTGGGATCGCTGGTGTCTGAGGATATCTATGTTTCCCAGGTGGTCTTGGTCAAATTCGAAGCAACAGTGCGCTCAACACTTGCGACATCTTATTCTAACTTCCAAGACAGGGCCTTTCCGCTTTCGATCTAGCTTTTGGACAGCCTGCGATGAATATCATCCTCAATCCTTGGCACAAACCACTGGATGGTATTTATAGCCATCGTGACGCTCAAATTCACATCCTTTTGCAATTCGTAAGCCGGACTGCGAAGATCCTGGCTTGCATGACTGAACAAAGAGCGTCTTTCGAAAACTGTTTATTGGACATGTCATTGGTACATATCTGGACTCTACAACACGCTCTCTTGATCCTCACTGGCCTACTACACGAAGCCGTCCAAATTACGGCACCTGAGTCGGCTAGTATGACGAACCGTTTCGACTCCTGCAGGCATGCGCAAATCGAAGATGCTCGCACGGCTGTGCCGGTACGAAAGGGTGAAATCATCAGGGACTTAAAATTGCTTTTCTGCGACTTAGATGCAAAAGACACATGTTGCTTCTGTTACCAAAAGCTGGACAGGGATTTCTATGTGTGCTCATTGTGTAGGAAACATTGCTGCTCCCAATGTCAACACTTCTTATCTTGCCTATCATTACAGGAACGTCTCGAGGATTTTGGGCAGCTGAGAAGATTAGAAATAGAAGTGGAAGCTGTCCTTAAATCTCTAAGGCCAATTATTCACCTGGACGCAAGAGTGCTGGGAAGGGTAATCTCTCAGGGAACAAAGGTGCAGCATTGGGTTATCCAAAGAAGCGAAGACTATTGGAGAATGAGGCGCAGCCGCAAATTCTACAACCATCTTCAACAGGATGATTTTATTGGGTGGGAGGCTGTTCATATCATGGGGTTGATTCTTGCTCTCTCATCAAGACAAGCAGCGAGCGAGGTTGGCAGCCCAGATTCCAAACATGACGAGAATATGGAAGATAATTGGAGGGAGCTTACGGTACGGTGGCATGACCTTTTCGCATTTCACAACATTACGAATGGAGCGAAGAGCTTCTGTGTTCACCATTGCGGAAAGTTCTTGAAGGTGCCTAGGCATCACGGAAATGCCGCCCTCGACTCATCTGGGAGACTTTCGGTCGAATTCTTCAATTTTCTGGCAAGGAAATACGAGACTGCTATGGACGCCGGAATTGATACCATCAGGTCTCTTCAATGGTCATGTTTCTCAGGCAACGTCGTTGAGGATCTCGAGGGTCAAAGTCCATCTTTTCGAGCCGAAAGGGCAGCCAGGGATCCGAATTCAATTGATAAGGACTTCAAACATGGCCCTGATGGTGAGGTTCATACTGACAAAGTTAAGGAGAACACGCCAGATGTTACCGACGATTCTTCAACTGAGTCCTCCGAGTCTACTGTTGTGAGTCAATCCTCGGAAGTTGAAGATGAAACGGCAATCGACATTGAGGATTTTCTGGACCATTTACTGGGTAGACGAAACTCGCTTGTGAAACAGGGGCATCTCACAGAGGAGGATGAGGTGGTGCTTAATACAGCATGGAACATGGCCCAGGCTATAGTCTACCAGGACACTCCGCGACCTTCACTGAAGGATATTTGTGATCAGGGTGCCGGGTATTACACCGCTCCATCAACACCTGCCTCTTCGGATGGCGGTAGCCCTAGTATCAATGTCCCTTCAAGCTACGGCACACCCAGATCTATCTCTCCTGTATCATTAATTTTGGACCGCGATGAATAGAATACTGGCTAAGCAATTCAATTCACACGTTACATAATTTACGATCGATTTGCAAATGTACACAGAAATCATGATACCTCATGATACTTTAGCCTTCAAAATATTGGTAGAAATGACACACGCCGAGGAAAGTATTCAACTTGATATGTATTAGTATAGATGTCTCTCCACATCCATTGCTGGTGGATGTCTCACTTGAGCTATAATTGTACCTGTAGAGATGACGTCGCATGAAAGTAATTAAACGGTTCACTCACATAACACGCAGCTGAACAATTGATCGTGCACTTTTCGGTCGCCAATATATCGTATGGTTTCTCAATTGCCTTCATCCGACTCACCTACGGTCCAAGTCTGCGCACTGCCATATTGCTGCTTAAGGTCTGCTCATATGGTATCTAAGAGCAAATTTTGGAGCTCCGATGTTTCAGAAGGCCAAAAGTTTCTGTCAAGTCCAAATTAATAAGCAGTATCTCATTGTATTTGCAACAGCCTGATGGAATCATAGTGCAGTTCCCGCCATTAGACATGGCAAAGGTTGAAGGTATTCCGCTTGGATGGGGACTCGTCAACAGTCCCGCTTTCCGTATTTTCTTGAAGTTGCAGAATTCGTCTGATAATAACATTAAAATAGACACATACGATGCACCGTTGCGTTGGCTCGCGCACTGCAGCTCAGGGGCGTCGAGTCTCCCGTGCCTCTCCATCTTTCAGCTCAAATTTTAACTCATCAAAATTCTGCCTCGTTTGATAAAACTTTATTTTGGAGGCTGAGTTTCGGTCCTTGGACAAAGCAAGATTGTAGAGGCAGGGGGTCATTAATACCTTAAAGCGGTGAGAATCTCGCTGTGGCACTACACAGCGAAGATGAGCCACGAAGACACCTAGACCAGTGGGGGATCTCCGCCTGGTACGACGCTGACCGGAATCAACCACTATCTGCGCAGATATGCACGAATGAGCAGTCTGGCCGACGTGTTCAGCTCTTCGTGGCCTCCGGCTGACTGGATCGCGCCAAGGACGCATGTAAGACGGAAGCCCACGCCTCCGGTTGGTCAGCAACTGCCGAGCACGCGTTAGGGTCACTCTGGTAGGCACACGATACATGGATTATATCACGATCAGGTCATCCCACTCGTTTGAATGGTTTGTGTTCGATAGGGCTGAGTCTGTACCCCGCCCACTCAGGGTTACGTCTGCAGGCCTTCAGGCTAGAGCTCTCAATCTTACCTTCGGGACGTACGGTCTACATGCTGAGCAACGGGTGATCGTGTTCTGCCTGGGTTCGGACTCTGGGCAAGATGTCAGACTTTAGTCCTGGTATTTGAGGATGACTGTCGGCCACGCACCTGTTCTCGTCGCTGTCTCTGCATCATTGCTGATTATTCTGACCTTTCGACACTCGTTCAAATGACACGAACATCTGCGCTGCCAGAATGGCATGGTCATCACACATCAATTCCCCATTCCAAGTGGGGATTATCGTCCTTTGCGCTATTCTCAGTCCTGTAGCGCCTATATTAGTTGGTCTGCGGTTGTGGTCAAAGTCAATACTCCGCTCCCGCCTAAAATGGGGCGACTACCTCGTCATTTTATCTTGTGTATGTCTAGGGCATTGATTGATGCTTTTGAAAGATCAGAACTGACCGAACACAGCTGACTCTATTGGGTGTCTGGCTCCCTATAATATTCTGTATGTGGCGAGGACTTTCGTATTCTGTGGTGATCACGCAGAGATTGAGCTAACATTAGTTCCTACCAGTATTCGCTGGTGGAGGCGGCGCTCACTGGGAATTGAAAGACCGGCCTATAGGTTTCTGGATTATGAGAGTTGAGGCAAGTCGACCCATCCATCTCAAAGACAACTAAAACCTTAGCGCCACATCTACGCGAAGAGAGGTCTGACCGAGCCCATCGCAGTGTCTGGTCATCGCCTCCACGTTCTATCTCTTGTCAAGTTATCTGTGCAGGGTTTCCATCCTCTGCATATACTATGAACTCCTCAGGCAACTTCCCAGGATGAGCAGCATCATCATGGCTGTAGGTGTCTGGGTCATCGTATGCGGCGTCGTCTCCATGGGGGTTCAACTCGGCGTCGGTATTCAAGACGTGCTATTCGTTATCAGCGACCTAGGCCCGAATGCTAAACAAGAAGGACCAAAATGGGTAGTGTACGGTGTACTGCCGGACGTACTGAGCTGTGTCTGCGATTTTGTTGTTTTCGCCCTCCCATTAAAGTCACTATGGGGGCTGCAGATGCGAAATCGAAAACGAAAGATCCGATTGATCTTCACTTTCACAGTGGGCTTTATGTTGGTTTCATCCCAATCATCATTAAAAAAGCTTCCTGAATGGCTGACAAACGTGTGCAGTGCCTGCGTCCTGTCTCTTCTACGAATCCTCGCTTGGAAGCTACCGGGTTATATCAATGAAGCCCCCGAAGACACATATATCCGAAGAGACGCATTTGAACTTCTATACCCTATCGAGATTACGTTCGGAATTCTTGGTGCTTGCCTCCCGATGCTGCGACCTATATTTCACCGTAAGGAGTACGGGAGCAGATCGAGTGGGAACAGCTATGCGATGGGGCCGGTCCGGAACGCAGGCTCGCGAACCGCACTCACCCAGGACTCAGTCTATGGTAACAACAACAGTTCACATAGCAAGAGGCCTTCAGTTGGCCTTGATGAGGAAGAAGCAACGTGGTAAAGATGCGCGTTCAGATAATAGAAACACTGTCTGTTCACTGGTTGACTCAGCACAGTGCGTTTGATTCCGATAAAAGGAATTGTTTTTAATTGACGGAAACTCGTTAAACGATCAGATTTGAATGATGCTTTCTGCGATCAGGCGAAGTAAGACTCAAAAGGGGATATACCTACCCTACATTGTAGGTATGTGGTCAACTAGAAAGTAATATACGAGCGACACCTTCCGACTCGTTAAAGAATCTCCAATTAAATTTGCTCAATTATTTAGAGGTCGACATCTTGTACGTTTTGACAAAGATCGTAAATCTATCGATACTTTGTGCAGGCGGCAATAATGAGAAAGTACTAATTATGCCTCAAGCTCGCCTCTCCTAATACGTTCATGTCGCATTGAGTTGATTCTATTGGTTCCTCTGAGGACCGTACAGCTCCCGTTTGAAACGAATTTCCGGGCTTGCATCGTGCACAGTATTCGGTATCGATTTTAAGAAAAGACAAACCCACACGATAAATTCCAATGGGAAGTTAGGAGGTTCTGAAATGCCTTCCAAAGCCTCCGAATTCTTTGCGACTTAATCGTTATCGAATTCGCTGCTGGCTTCCTTCGAGGTTGACTGCAGTTTCAATTTCGGCCCGTCTCATTCTGGGAGCAAGACCGTGTCTCTAATTTACATGAAAAATTCGTCGTGTCACCATTCAAATACATAGTAACTCAGCCACTCATGTAGAGGCTGCATTGCATCGTGGTAAAAGACAGTGCATTGTGTACTCCAGACACGTCCAAGACATTTGCGCCACTTTTCAGGCAGCCCTGGCCGATTGTAAGGGATGAAGCCTCGAGACCCGCTATTTACTCTTTCGGTAGCTTTTGGTTTCTTCATACGGGAAAGAACAGACATGCAAGGTGCAGCATATGTACTTGGCCGTGCCGTGGGCGCTTGTCAACGCACGCCCATGGGTTAAGAAGGGGGAGGGGTTGCTGCAGCCTACACTGGTCGGGCGGTCTAATGTTGGCCGCCTCGCCCAATTGTTGAAAAGCTCTGTATCCCATATCAGGCCTGGGAACAGCGACTTAAGCATTTTCACGGAATCGTCATAAGTAATCGATGCCGCATCGGATCTTGGAAATCGAAAAAGGAAGGAAAACTACGACCTTATCTGAGCAATTATTGCTTGAGGCCATTGGACTCAAACTTGGCGACACCCAAAGTCAAGAGTGGCATGAGCCATTCGATCCTGCAGAAATTTCTAAATCGATCAGTCTTAATACCCTTTCCAGCGAGGCATCTTCCAACCCAGGCTGGAGACTGTTGTGATGAGGAAGGAAGTCAGCGCCATCTACCACGCACTCATCAAAACACCACCGCTGGGAGTCAAGACAAAAACTCTCAGAGAAATTAAAAAGCTCGCGAATCGACACAAGATTCCCTCTCTAGTCTTCAAAACTGGCTCTGGCAGATGCGGCCTTACCTACGCCGAATCAGGGGAGCAGAAAGCGGTGCAGCGCTTCGAGCAGGACTTGCGAGGCTTGACAAACCGCAGGCAGATATTTGCCACAATTGTGCCGGCAATGAAGGCGCCTATTCAAGAAGATCGAGCAACGAGACCATCGGGGGAGCGTTATGTTTATGTCGATGGTCTGGCAAAATTTGGGACTGAGATGGCAAGGAGGAGTCTGCGAGATTGGTGGGCTGACATCGTGAAGAAAGGATCTCTTAAGGACTATTAAGACATGTTTCACGCTTGAATGGCATATTTTATCACGGTAGTAAATTGATCTTCCGTTGATTTTGTCGTCCTGTAGTTGCCCGAATTATTCATCTCATCGATGCTGAAAGAGACCCTGACTAGTGTTTATCGACTGCCCCGAAACTGGAAACTGGTGACTACATCACCTGACCCGGCTTAGATTTCCGTCGCAGTCTATCGAGAAATCTTAAACTTTTTCTGTGACTGGCCTTTACTACAGCGGTCCTTGGGGTCGTGTTGTCAGGGCCGAGGCTCGTCGGGTGGACGGGTGCTTTTGCAGATGATGCGTTCGCGCTTTTATTGTCTTCGACTTGACTCTCGTCAACCTTTGATTGTGAATCGATAAGTTCCGGAAGGGCCTTGGCGGTTTCAATCACCAGGCCATCAATGTCCCTAGATGAGTCCCCCGAGACGTTAAATCTGTCTGAATCTGAAGGAATCAAATAAGGTTTTTTGATGGATTCTACCGGGGCAGAGGACTGAGATGTCCTGGGTGATTGAGGTGTGGCACTAGGCGAGAGCTCCTGAGATGAAGCCATGCTGCTGCTATTCTCTGTACTGACTCCCTGTCCATTTGAATGGGGCAGCTCCAGCTTCTGACGAGTGAACTCCTCGCATTTACCGTTGTTGGAAAGTATCCATCGGAAGAAACCTAAGGGATTACTTTGTCCGAAAACAACGGCGCCGTGTTTGAAGTCATCGAGGCTGTTCGTTGGTCCGATGAGGCGGCTTGGAAGTTTCGATGGGAGAATTTGCTGTACAGGAAAGACAGGTTGGTCATTTCCTTCTTCTTCACAGGGACAAGCACCGAATGCGTCACGGGGATATGACGCATTGTGCCAAACTAGGTTCGCGGTCAGCTTCATCGGGCGAGCCGATAAATCGCCATCAAAGTTGTCGGCAATGCTCATAATATCTGAGATGCCCACACTCAGATAGCACTGCTGGGTGGGCACTTCAGACAGGTGCTGACAGGGAGCTCGGTCTCCTATGCCAGCATTCTTCAGAATGTTGCCGAATCCCTTTCCGAAGAGCGTGATGGCGTGAATCGACCTCGTGAGCTTAACCCAACTAAAACTGTTCGGCCCGAGCGTTGCGACACGGAGGTACAAAGGATCTCGCATCGAAACCAGCTCATTGAAATCCCACCCCTCGAGATGTTGGAGTGGCCGCTGAAGCTTGGTTTTGATTCCCGGGGAAGTCTCTATGGTGGTTTTGTACTCGATCATTCTCTCGAGATATTCATACAACTCCACCACCTTGTCTTCCACGGTGTAATTTGTCGTGCTTGTCTTTGTAGATGTTGTAGCGACTCCATTTATGTCGATGACTGTTTCGGTAGTCGTAGCCGACGATGACGGATAAAGAATCATTTTTCTATTTTCGTCATTCAGAAGTACTTCAATAGCCGAATTATACGTTGTCGGCGTTTTGCTGTACTTGAATTTGGAAATATCGAATTCAAATGCCGTCTTGAAGTGGTCCGTCCGAGAGAATTCCAGGGATCCAAGTAGCGCATGGAGCAGTGCGCTGACCCCGTTCACGAGCCAACCTCGCTTGTCCCCTTGATCCCAAAAGACGACATATTTTCGTGAGATCCACCTCAGTTTCCCTATGTAATCGCCCTTTGTGACATGGATCGGGGTGTCTTTTGAGCCGATCCCAAACGTAGCACCACCCGTCACGATATGGGACAAGCCTAGTGTGAATTTCTCGAGAGCGATTTCACGGCCAGGCTGTGGAAGTCCCGAGCGTTTGACTGCATAGTTCATGTCTGGGCCCCCTGCAAGCAGTATCAGCCACGCATGCGCACACCACTGAACTGGGCGGTACAATTTGGCTAGACCGGAATCCATCCGGGGCTACCAAAATTTATGAGTCCTATAATACCGCACAAAAACCACATGCATTGCCACAAGGACCCACGAAACTGGGGATAGCGGGTTTGTAGTGCTAAGATTGCCCTCGTTGGTATGTAAATCTGAGATAATTGACTCACCTACTTGGTGCGAAACATTGGGGCACCAACCGACAATGTGTCTGGCTGCTGCCAGACTGCTGGACGATGCCAATACTGATTTCGCTTGATGACGGCGTCCGTATAAATATGATATCCGGCGCTCGTTCGAGTTCACAAGGTGATGCCAGTTGAAAATCCCGGTGGTGTTACCCGACGTGACGAGCATGGACCGCAAACCTTTGATGTAACGGTTACCCATCAACTCATTAATTCGCTGGCCCCCGATCAATCCAGCCATCACATTTAAAGGTACCTCAAGCCCCGGATTCCCTGTCGGTCTGCGTAATATTGGATACCCAGTAACGACCACTGGGTTTCTGAACATCCCATACCAGCAGTGTCCATTGTCATTAGGTTTTGCACCATTGAAGTCATTCTTGTCGAAGACGTAGTGGAAATCGACTCTGAAGTGCTTGACAAGTGTGGTTATGTTTTGGACTCTTGGGCGGCAGGAAACGGGGCCAAAGGCAAGACTGGATTGTTGAAGCGATCCGGCGAGCCACGCGATCTGTTCGGCTATTTCTGCTATTACATCCGCTACTCCATTGACATTAAGAACGAATCGATCATTTTCAACGAATTGAGCCGAGACCTTGGCATTACCGACAATTTCCCCTGCTCAAATATATCAGCGAATCAATCATGCCACCCAATAAATACACAAGAGACCACCTGAGTGGTCACAATATTTGAGGAGGGTCTAGATGTCAAGGAAAGAGATGCAGATGCAGATAAGCATCCATGTGCAAATTTGACAGCTCAGGAGACGCACTAGTTGCAACTTGCCTTCTGCGGACTTCTTCATAATTCTCCCGTCGAATGCAGCTTGAACAAATCCAAGTATGTTTAAACCCGTGCACGGCCAGGTCTGTCGTAAATAAGATGAGCATGTCAACGCCTGGGCGTCCACGCCGCGTCCAGTAAGTGTGATGACGTCTCCGAGGCGTACGTCCTTTTCGCCGTACTGTTGACGCAGGAACGCGTCAAGTGCCCAGTGGAACACTAATTCGACGTGAAATATCTGGGCAAACGGTGTTGTACTCAGTAGGGGTACTCGTTGATTCAAAAACTGAAGTATATGACCTCTCAACTTATTCATTGATTCAGCAGTATCCGTATTCAGTACGATGTGCCGCCCAATGGTCGATAGTAGCCATCGATACGCCACGGAGCTGCAGATAAATTCTCTATGCCGATAGCCATGAGACTTCACGGATTTTGAAGCGCCGTAGTCTGGAATGTCAACATTTTCGGCTCCTTCCTGGGTGTATAACCGTCTTGGAGAGCACTCTGCCACAACTTTTGTCCATTCTGCGACTCTAGAGTAGAGATGTTCATCCATGAAAAAGGACTTCGAGGCGCGTTCCCTGTTGTCGAGATTGGCTGTTCTCTTGACGAGACTGCGAAACTGGTCTGATATTTTACTGCTCCCCGTAAGTATCGGAATGACATGGGTTCCATGCCAAAACCAAAGTATACAGTCAAATCTCGACGTGAAAAGATAACTTGGATGCTAAGAAATAAACATTGAAAGGCCTACAAATAGCCTTTGAAGATCGAAAGGGGATTCTTTCAGTGCAAATATGGCACTAGAAAAACAAGCGCCGTTGTGCTTACTGTCTATTTCGGTAAACAAAGGCTTGAGCCTCTTTTTCAGTACTATGACCTGTGGATCCGTTTGCGAGCCTTACAGCCATCTGACGTAGAAACTCTGGGAGAACAATGGCCAAGTCTTCAGCATCTTCGCGTCGAAGTCCGAGAAGCTGGACATTGTTCCAGATGTCTTCTGCCAAATCGAACGCGTAAACATCCAAGGCCTCCCTCTTGTCTTTGGAAAGGTCGTTATAGGTGTCTTGAAGACTTTTGTCATCATGGAACGGATATGGCGTCGTAGAGAGCCCTGAATACTGAGGTGCATCCTGGGTCAAAACACCGTCGCGGTAAGATCTAAGCGCAATATCGAAGTCTGTCGGTAGAATATTGTCTAACGTTGAGCAATCAGGCGATATGTCTGCATTGGCGGTGGGAAAAGTCTCATTATCCTGTGGAGCATGTGAGCTTGATTCCTGATCCGTCGGATGACTGCATCGTCGCCAAGCTGTTTCTTGTTCAAAGCTTGTTGTCGTGGGCGATGTTTGTCCCCTCTGCGTCGTCGAATCCTCAGGGAATTTCTTGGTATCGTACGGATGGCCAGCATCATTGCGGCTGAGGTAGTATGAACGTGGAAGTAGGCTTTTCAACTTTCCAGTGTGCCTGTATCGCGCACCTAGTCTTCTTATCAGAAAAAGAGAGATTTTCGAGGGGCGAAACTTTCACTGAAAAAAACTTTTGCTCAAGTAACGATTTCGAGGTAGACTCCAATTGATCGTCCACACCGAGAAGAGAGGCTTGTCCACATGCAAACCTCTCTATCAGGCAAAATCGAGAGTTGATGTATCAAAGAGAGCTTGTTCTCACCTGGGAACCTTTTGCTTTCCCTCCATCGCGCAGAGTCAATCTTCAAATTGAGAATCATTTCCTTCAGGAATCAGTGACGGCCGTTTCAAATTGTAACTTCGACATAAAGTTGCATCATACCGCCGTCAGGCTTCTGTGAGCCGTGACAAAGTAGCCCTTGATGGCCTTTCCGCCCGGTGCTTCCTGCCAGGTGTCAGATGAGTATGTAACGCCAGCCGACAATCTCCCATACCTGAGAGACATGTGGCCGCACAGCTGCACGATGACCAAGGTAAGAACGTATGTCTGCGGTAATAACCTCTGGCTCAATTCCATCGCCCGGTATAAAAAAGCTTTCCCGCCTGTTGAACAAGTCGGAGCTCTCATCTACAGCGCCACAAGACATCTCGGTATGAGCTGAGTTAGGTTTAGAGCATACGAGGGGTCAGGACTCGGCCATGACGTATAGTACGGCCTCGCAGCTTTGGAGATTCGTGAGTCAGGGACTTCGCAGTTCGTTAACGCGAGCGTGTTTTGGTTGAGTTGAATGCGCCAGAAATGAAGTGGCGGGAGCAGGTCGGCCGGGAAAGTAGTTACGAGACTCGTGTTCTCTAGACACTTGGGGGCCATGGTATGTTTCTGGAGGCTGATTGCTGGGCTGCCTCAACTTGGGTGGTCGCACTCAGCTAATCATCTAGCGGAATGCATACACCTGAGACTGACAATACGTGGCTAATACGAGAAACCCGGCATTTGCATGAGCCTTTCAGCAGGCTCGCGATCAGAATATGGTTACCTCTCTAGTCCCAAAAATAAATCATTTGTTTTGACGCACTATATTCCTTGAATCGGGCATGAAATTTTCCTTGTATTCTGCAGGTGTGGGTACACAACAGGACTGCTAACTTCAACAATTCTTTGGTGACCTGTCGTGCAGAACTTGGGGGCCATGCTCGAACGCGAGGCTGCATAGACAACCACATTCATACGACGATGGTCTATCAGTACAATGTCATGCAAGAAGCGAAGTGACAAACAGTATACCAATTTGATGTCACAACATATCTCTTCTTACTATAGTCTTGATAGAGTAGTCATACCGCATCGAGTCTTGCTTTGGAATGTAGTACACTCCCATGAGCCCTTAATACAAAGTTCATTACCAAATAGGCGTTAACTGCAAGTGAGTCAGCAATGTACAGTACCGACTGGTCTCAAGATATGAGTACGGAACTTAAGCGTATATTGTTCCATAAGAAAATGTCTTTTCAATATTACAGGGGCAATATGTGGATTGTGCTGGGAAGGGGGAAAAGAGTCAAACATGTGTTCCATGCGAAGTATGTTTGTATCCACTACTAGCCTCTTGCCGTATTCATCGTCTCCGGTGAGACTAGCATGCTTCTGCACACATGTAAGGGGTTCAACCATAGAAAGTATAAGTAGTTGAATTGAAAGTTGAACGTCTGCTTTACTGCATTGGCTGACTCGTTTGACAGTTCTCTGCTTGAAATAAAGTGCTGCACGCAAATTGTGATCCAAATGAGTAAGGCGTATCTACACAATGGCTAGTCATACCTTCACTACTCAGTTTTATAAGGACGCAAATATAACGAAGAAGACTAATGAAATGACCAGTGGTCTGCTTACAGTTCTGACCACAATAAAACCTACAGGAAGGGGCAAAGGAATTTACTGAAATATAGGCTACCGATTTCAAGATAGTCATGTGTTATATCTGCTGAAAGGGTTATGACATAGCACAACTTTTATCTAGGATGGCGGAAGAGCCTTTTAGTCCAACCCAAAATAGTCGGGAGTACCATTTGGCATGCCACAAAGTCGCCACATCATGCTTCATAAAGTTCTTAATGTTGGAGCATTTGAGACTGGATTGATACTTCAAATCTTTCGGTGCTTTTCAGGCCCACCACACCCGCATGGCGTTGACGCTAAATAGCCCCGAAGACAAGATTTTAGGCAACATTGGTGCCGGCATATCACGCAAGTGCGTGAGTGAGTCAGCAAGCGGATCGAACTACGACCTCCATAGCGAAAATACCGCCGCGATAACTCAACATCAACATCCGGATGAAGCAAACAATCATTCACCAAGCACGGGCACTCCTGCCAACAATGACAAACACCACAACCTCCCCGGCAAGAGCCTGGCTCCGGCACCTCCCCAAGGCCGAGCTCCACCTCCACCTCGAAGGCACAGTGACGCCCGAGACGCTCGTGGTGCTCTCCCAGCGCCACGACGCCACGCCCCTGACACTCGCCCAGGCCCGCGCACTCTACACGTACAAGGACTTCCGGCACTTCCTGCGCACCTTCAGGCTGGTGTGCGACCGGCTGCAGACGCCCGACGACTACGCCCTCGTGGCGGCGGAGATGATGCGCGACCTGCGCGCGCAGGGCGTCGCACATGCCGAGGTCTTCATATCGTGGGGCAACATCCTGCACTGGAAGCCGGCGCTGCGCGTCGAGGATGTCATGGCGGCGGTCGAGGGCGCGCGGCTCAAGGCCGAGGCCGAGTCCGGCGGCGAGTTCTCGCTGCTGTGGATCGCCGACGCGGTGCGGCAGTGGGGTGCAGAGCATGTCGGCAAGGTGTTCCGGCTCGCGGCGCGACTGAGACAGCGGTTCCCTAGTATTGTGGGCGTGGGCATCGGGGGCGATGAGGTCGCTGGGCCGTCAGGGCAGTTCCGTGAGGTGTATGCTGAGGCTAAGCGGGCGGGATTGAGGCTCACGGCTCATGCTGGGGAGGCCAGTGGACCTGTGAAGGGACCGCTGGAGATCCGGGCCGCGCTGGAAATTGGCGCAGAGAGGATCGGGCATGGGCTTGATGCGCAGCATGACGAGGGTCTTGTGGACGAGTTGGCGGATAGTCAGACACCCATCGAGATCAACATCACCTCAAACATTCTGACTGGCGGGATTGGCTCGGTGGAAGAGCATCCGCTGCCGAAGTATCTGGATAAGGGGATCATGTGTATGCTGAACTCAGATGATCCTGCCATGTTTGGTTCATGGTGTCTCGATGAGTACGTGCTGGTTCACGAGCGGCTTGGATTGGATCTAGAGAAGATGAGACGATTGGCAAGGAATTCTATCTTGTCAAGTTTCCTGGAAGAGGAGAGGAAAAGGGAACTCTGCCGGAAGATTAAGGAGTTCCCCCTTCCGTAGAATTGCTGTTTACATCCAATAAGTAGAGAGTGAGGCATGGGTGGCGTTTTCAACATGGGACGGAGGGGTGGTATCAACTACAGCCGGAGTTCTAGATATATTGGGCCATCAGACGATCTATATTGAGTCTCTACTGTTGTTCTATATCATCAAACTGCACATATGTATGCACCGGCGCGCGTCACATCAACACCACGCTGCCCACGAATACTTAAGATAAGATGCACCACCCAGCCGCGCGGCACTGCTTTACAGCGAAGAAGTTAGTGTCCAGAGACGTGGGTGTGAGCGGAGGTACCATACCTTGTCTTCGAAAGGGTGGTGTGCGAAGCAAAGGGGTGGAGACTGTCGAATGTTCGGTTGCCCAAGGGCAGGGAGTAGAGATCACTCCCGACACCTTCGGCCGCCGTCCGGACCGAGAAACCGGAGGCAGAAAGATGGCCCATGAAGCTGGGTCCGGAGCATTCCGCCGTTACGAAATAGGAATGAATACTATTCACAGCCTTCACGACTGTCTTATGGAGTCTCATATCAAATTCACATACAGCTTTCGGCCACATCATGGCTCCCTCACATCAATACTCACATGAGTCGGTGACAAAGAGACGCACACAATATCCTCTCTTACGACGGAAGCTGCAACATCCCCGTCTACCCGACTAGTGGTCGGAAGTCCCGGTACACATACACACCACACAAAGCACCAAGACTAGACATTCCCACCGCCACATGGCAAGCGTCGCCGTCCCACCCTACGATCTCAGCCCAAGCCAACACTAAAAACCCTATCTCAACGGCAATAAACATGCCCACTCGCTCGCACGCACGGCAAGCAATAAACATTTTCCAAAGCCCCACAGCACGGCCGCAAGGCTCCATTCCCACGCAGAAAAGACAGCAGAAACCCACCACCACCAGGCCAAAGCACACACACACACACACAGAATCCGCCCAGTTGTGTGTGTGTGTGTGTGTGCATGCGTGCGTGGTGGTCCGGCGCTTAGAGGCGCGACCAATCGCAAGGCACCGACTACTGCACGACATGGGGAAGCCGGGCGCTTAAGGGGAAACGGCTGGATGGAGGGGTTGAACGTGCCTGCGGTGGGCGAGACCCATGATCCCTGATCCATGTCGGGTCTCCCTTTGGTCCTGTTGGCACGAGGTTTTTCGGTTCGGGGTGGGAATAAAAATTGAGGGGCGAGTGGGCGGTACGTGGATAGTACATTAGTATTATAGTAGACTAAGTACACTTTTGAGAGACAATAACGTGCAGGGGGGCCACGCAGCTACGATGAGAATGTTTCACGACCGGGAGGGTAGTTTTTCTACTTTGGCGGTTTTTTGTTTATTATTATCTCTTTTATGTCTCAGATCATGCAGGCTCTGCGTGCCCTGCCGACGAAACACTACACGAGCTAAGCGACCGGGCAAAGACAACCGACCGCGATTGTATACAGAGAGAATCAACCACAAAAGTCATGCGCTCGTCCTACACCTGGCCGGATGAGCCATAAAAAGTACATGGATACACAAGTATCTGGCCCCCTCCCCTTTTCCTCCACAAGCACGCATCAATTATCCCCACGCTGAAGCTACCTTTCTCCAGTGCACCCAGCAAACTTGCCCATCCATCCATGTAGATACATAATCTACCAACAGTACCTAGTCTCTGCCCCTAGTCATCCTCCCGCTGCACCCTCCTTATCACAATGTCACAATGTCACTTTCCCCAGCGCCGCCCACATCGAAGAATTTCCCATGCCCATGATATCCCCAACATCCCGGCCCATATGTCGGCGGTGTGCAAATATGCAGGCTGAGCGACCAGACCATTCTCTCCCCCCCCCCCCCGAATATTTCCTCACGTCAAAGAATTCAGCTCGGGCGCCGTCGACTGGCTCTGGGCCCAAAACTGATGCAGAGCCTTACATGAATTATTTCCGGTCTGGCTGCGCTCTGTCTCAGTTTGTCGTGTTTTTGGGATTGTTCTTACTCACTCCCATGCTTTTCCCCCTTCGATCCAGAAGTTTGGCCTCGCAAGCAAGGCCGATCATTGCCCTTGTCGGAGAATTTTGTTTTAGATTTGCCGTTGACACCTCTGTACGAGATTGCTTTTGTGCCGCAGTTGGTGAACGGGACGTATATAAATAACCGTGTTTCATTGCGGCTACCAAATAGAAGTGTCTCACAATTACTGCTGGCAGGGCAAAAAAAGGGCAACAAAGGTCTTCCATCAATTGTGAAATATGGTTGTTTAGGCATGTTAGTGGGGTGCCTCACCTGCGCAACGCACATGACCAACAGATCTCTCGTATGTACTCGCATGTATCGCGCCGCCGGCCGGGAGACCGTCCGCGGCGGCCATAACGGGAGCAAGCTTCACGGAGAGGCCGTCGAAGATGGCCGCGGCCCTCCTGCCTGCAGGAAAACATGGGCCGCCAGAACGGGTCGCGATTTATTCGCGTGGCTGGGGAACATGGAATAACAAATAACAAGGGTTTTAACAGAGTTGGTGGGGCGCCACAAGGTGAGATCGAGCACTGAAGACGGGTCACGTTCACTATTTTGCACAAAAGGTTTGGAGTTGATACACAAGATCGAATTCGCCTGATAGCTACAAGCCAGCTCCGGTTCCCATCCGGGCCTACCCTCCCAAAGACATCCGTCCCTAGAGGCTCCTCCAAAACAATAAAAGATTCGATCGCTGGTCCACCAAGATGCCCCTTTCTCCCTTTCAGTGGTATATCCAAGCTTTGATACAATACTGTCAGGACGCCGCCAGCAACGCCAATTGCCGTGTGTTTGCGTTTGAGTGTGTGTGTGTGTGTTTGTGCGTGTGGTTCATTCCAAAAATGAGTCGATTCCTCCCGTCCGTTTCTTTCTTCCATGATGATGTCTCCACAAAAACTCCGATTGCTGGCTTTTCTTGGTCGTAAACGGCGATGCAGTTCATATTCATCATAATTAAGTGTGGCAGGTTGGTGAAGTGGGTGAGGTAGGTTGTGGTGAATGCGGGGTGCGCAAGATGATGTTGGCGACTTCAAGTGTTCGCAAATGTGGATGCGGTCACTCGAAGACAGCCAATGACCCACCATGGCGTGAGACGATGGCATTGATACCCAGGCCGTTGTGAGCCAACAAAAGAAAATGTCGAGCAATGATAGTGTGGTGGTGCATGTCGACTGAAGTAGTCGCACAGTGCGCTATTGATGCTCCTTGAACTCCTCGCTCGTGAAATACTCCATACTGCGTCGTGACCCCTCATTCGACTTTCCGCCTCTTTCCTTTGGGTGCCGGATCCATCCTCGGCGTGTATGTCACCGTCCTTGTGACCACCTCCCTGATGTGCCTGACACTCTTGCCCTTCTCACACCGGCTCGAGTGTGTTCCTCCAGTTCCCACTGCCGAGGTCGGGGGCTTCACATCCGCATACCTCTTCGCCTTCAGGGCCGCGTCCCAGTCAAACGGGCTCTTGATGCTCCGTGCACTGAAAGGTGATCGCACAGGGCTCTCGACGGCCGGGCTTGGCGGTATGCGGAGGCTTGGAAAGGTGGTCGGCCCACTTGCAGGCGCCGAAAGGGGTAATGTGACCAACGGCGAGGCGGGCTGAGCAACCGAAATTTGCGCTGGTTTTGAAGATTTATGCACAAGCTCGCATGAGCAGCTGCAGTCTGTGGCCTCGCTGCTTGCTGTTGTAGGCGCACTGTCCAGGTCGACCTCTCCAGCGCTCTCCGCTGCTGAGTCTTCCGATTTGCATGTCACGGTGCTGGCTGTACTACCGGCCGTAGAGGTCCGGTTGAGCGGCGTCTTGCCCATCAGGGGTGCCGTAAGCGGCGGGCTTGATACCGATGGAGACGCGACGCTGATCGTCTTGAGGAAATCCATATAGGCCAATGGTGGGGTGATTGGAGTTGGCTCTGGCTTCTCCTCCTGCTTTCCTGACAACATGCTCGGAGTTGGCGGATACTCGAAAGGTGCTGAGGGCAGACCTGCCGAGGGGAGACCCGCTGAGTAAAGGCCTGCCGACTGCAGCGAGCCCTTGATAGATGCTGAGTGCGGAGTCCGTACTGAAGAGGCAGACAAGAGAGCATCCGATGGGAAGTTGCCAGAGGTCGGCGTGGCCAGGGCGGCCAGCTTGGGTCGTTTTGCGGGAGGCATCTTGACAGAATGAGCAGTGTAGAAAAGATATGTAAGATGTGACGCGACTACCCAAAGACTGTAGACGTGTATATGTGCGTGTGATAGACGGGCTGGACCGACAGCGGTGTGTGTGACGTGCGCCAGTCGGGTCCGAAGATGCTGTCAAGTCAAGCGAATGACTCGGGAGGTTCACCCGTTGAGCTGCACTGACAGGAGATCAACTTGCCTATGGCAGGCAGGAAGAGTCGAGTCCGGCAGTTGGGAAGGGGGGGGGAGAGAGAAAGAGTGGGTGATAGTAGGACCTGGATGGTTATATGATTTCGAGCGAGTGGGCAGCTGGGTCAGAGGCGGCGGCGGCAAAGGGTTGCAGGGTGAAGGAGAAGGATGATGTGGGATGGGATACTACAGGCTGCGGCAGGACGTAAAGGGCGGCTAGGGTGTGAGCGCAGCGAAAGGAAGAAGAAAGCTAAGCCGCTGGCAGACTAGGTCCCCGCGTCTCGACGTCGACGGACGGCGTGTAGGATGGTTGGATGGGTATGAATGCCACCCGAAAAAAGACACTTTGGGTGGGCCAGGAATTGCTTGGACCTCGTGGCTTGCTTGTCGACTAATAACAGCCAGTGTTATTGTTGTGGACGAGCTGGCGCCTGTGTGGGCGTGAGCGTGGGCGCGGAAGAGAGTGATGTGCTCCAAGGGTGGTCGCGGCTTTGGAGGCCAGGCCGGGGTGCTCACGTCTTCCAATGTCCTGTCGGGGAGGGCGAGACAAGCAAACAACAGCGCGAGAGACACAGGCCTGACAGGCAGGAGTCGGGCGCTTCGGTCGAGTCGAGCAGTGGTGGACACGGGATCCAGGGGGGCTCACTTGCTGGAATAGACGCCGGCTGGACCAGCGTGGCTCCAGAGAAGCACAGAGCAGCAGAGCAAGAAGCGGTAGAGCAAGGTGGGCCGGCAGAGGGCAAGCGTCTGCAGATCGAAGACAAGGCCCACGATCTGGAGGGGCTAAGGCCGGGGCAGGGAATAAGACCCCTCGCGCGGATGGGTCTTGAGAGGTGGAAGATGTGCGATTGGCCGGGGCGACTATGCGTGTGCTAGAAGATGCCTTAGTGTAAGCTCGAAGTGCAGCCCAGGACTGAGCAGACGAGAAAGGCGCAACGCAAGTGGATAAAGGCGCCCGGGAGCGAGTGACACGACTGGAGGATGGGTGGTGAGCGAGCAGGTGAGATGGGGTAGTTCAGATGCATGTGCCATGGGTGGAGGATATGGGTCATGGACATGGGCAAGGATGTGGATGTGGATGTGGATGTGGATGTGGGCATGGGGGGGAGGATAGAGAGAGAGAAAGGTACATGTATGTGTGTACTGAGTATGCATGTGTGTATGTATGTATATGTATATATGTATTGTAACACAGGAAGAGGGAAAGCGTCTGGCTGCCGATGCAGTACGACTGACACATGGGGCAGGACACATGGGACTTACTGTTACAGCAGAATAGAGTCGATAGAGCCAGCTGAGAGAGAGCGTGTGTGTGTTTGAGTAAGCGCCAGGGGCCAGCAAGGAGTGGCAGAGCGAGATGGAGATCTGTCGAAAATCTCCGAGTCTTCTCTTCCTTCGCCCAAGACCAAGCGAGAGATATTCGAAGGATTGCTTTGCCTCAGGCCTGCCTTGACTTGGCCTGCCTTCCCGTAGCCGTAGCCGTCGTGCCGGGACGGACTCTGAAGGGAAAATGGCCCCTCTTCTTCTCGTCGCAAGCCCGACCGTCAGCGCGTGACTTGATAGGCGAATGAGTGTGAGGTGACAGGCGGATGTCCTTGGCGACCTGGGGCAGCCTTATTACTGGATAGCGACGGCTGTTGACTGCCGGCTGGCTTCCCTGCTAAAGGTGTGTGAATGAATGTGTGTCTTTGGACTGTCTGTGCGCAATGTAAATCCGAATATGAATATGTTTGTGCGTCTGTGTCTGTGTCTGCCTCTGTCGTCAGATCGTCAGACAGACAAACCCTGTCCAGCTGATGGAGCTGCCTCTCGTGCAAAGAGTGGAGAGAACAGGCGAGCGGAACGGATGAAGCGGGAGAAGGGCAAGAGAAGGACAAGAGAAGGCAGAGAAGGAAGACGAGGTCTTGTGGTGCCGTGGCCGTGATGTGATTGTGATTTGCTTCGGACAGACGACAGGCGACGGGCGACGGCACTTCAGGACTCTAACGGCTGGGAACCCCCCTGTCGAGCCTTCCTGTAGCCGCTGTGATGGGCACCTGGGTCGAACCTGGGCGGGCTGCTGGCCGGTCTGATTGGGCAGGTGGGGCTGCACGCTCTAATGACCCTGCACGCAGCGCGCTTGCCTTTTTTTAGCATCACTCCCATCTCGCCCTGCTCATTGGCTGGGGGCTGCTTACTCATCAACCCGGGGTTCGTCCAACCACGTCCCGTCGCAACCTTCTTCAGATGGCAGCTGCGATCAAGAACTTCAACTTCGCGCTGGGAGGGCAAGAACGTTGCCTCAGGAAAATCAGGGAAATTTGTGGAAAACTTTGACAAGTGCTGTGCAACCTGACGACTTCTTTTGTGGCGATATCACGAGTAACGCCGACAGTACTGCCGCACGAAAGAGAGGGGGGTATGCCGCATCCTACCAAAGTGCCGAACACCAAACCCATCCAACCGACCAAGTGGCTGATCCTTCAGATCGCGTGGAGTGGGTTGTGATTCCGGCAATCAGCAACCAGCAAACTTCAACCTTCATGCTAATGCAGTAAGAGCGCCTCAAACACGTTGGCTCGAGTCAAAAAGACCAGCTAACAGCCACGCCAATGGTGTTTGACGCCCCTGCCGCCCTACTATGCCACATCGAGCAACAGGCGCCCCAAAGCGACGCGTCTATCAACGCCTCCCAATCCTTCTCTTCATTCGCAAGCGCGAGGGATCGATATTGACCGGACGTCGCATCAGGCTCGGCCACGTTGTCGATCGAGGGCTGAATGGGGCGTTCGATTTGTGGGGATGCCCTCTCATTGACCGGATTTAACGCCACCCGCCGCCATATCCGTCCAATAGTTGTACCTCGGCCGCCAATGACCCTTGATGCCGAACCTCCGTCCCAAACCGAGGGGATGAGAGCTAAGTTGGTGGATTATCCGATCACCGATTCAACGGTATCTACTTGCTTGCCGGAATAGCAGAGACGCACTCATGACACTGATGTATCAGTGTAGAGACGCACATGTAGCAGACAATTATACGTGATTAGAGATACGAAGGTCCTCGAGGATAGTTTGTGGATATTGATCCTCGGTTAAGTTAGCAGTCATACCTCTGTAAGATATGCGCAAACATGTACTATCTTCTTCAATTTATCATAATATGATCTTTGATTAAACCCTGGAGCTGACATCCCAAGACCAATCATCTACCTCATCCCTCAAGCTATATGATATGTGATCGATGTTCTCTGAACTTCTCTGCCCTTGGCGCTTTCAAAAAACTCCCGAAAAGAGCATCCATCAATCTCAAAACCGCCGCAACACAGCAACTTCCCTTCAGCCATATGCCGGTAGCTGTCACGCGTCGTGATCAAATCCTGATGGGCCATCGCTCATAGAGCCGAGCAATCTCCCACTTTCAACCCGGTTCTCTGCAGAAGGTTTCCAAAATCTCCACTCCCATCTTTTGGTTTATCGCTACCTAATCAAGTCGCGTGCGGTCAGTCCAGGGACAAAAACAATGCCATTGGTATAAACTGGTACATCCTTTAGTGGTTCTTGAAAATGATATTACTGACACAGGGACAGTTAAGAGAAACACGTTAGAAGAATATATGACAGTGATGTAGCGGAGTGATAATCATCTTTCATCTTGTTGCTTAGCCTTGAGATGATTGACTTGTCTGATGGTGTGATTTGTACTCAACTCCAAGGTTGGAGGTGTTTTGAATGATAATGTCCTACCTTCCTTACCAGATTATTCAATATCCGGGTAAATAGAACCAAACACTATTTCACAGACGGTGATGCTTCAAATGCTCACTCAAGTGATATGCAGCATTGGTATAATGTCCACTGCACTTGGGTCGACTAGGATATCCTTTGATCTCGATGAGTCCTTACTTGACGACAAGAAAATGTCCCTTTAGTGATATGAAGACCGACTGGTCGGATATCGTGAACTTTTAAAGAAATGAGACAAGAGCACGTACATATCATTGAAGTTATGGCTGTGATGTACGATTCACCTTCCGGACGACTCCTCTGCGGAAGTCTATGCATGCACAATGTACGGATGGATCGATGTATGAACGAGTGATCTTGATATGAGATGGTCAAGATAGTACTCGACTCTGATGGGGGCACAAAGACATCACACAGGTGTGAATTTGTTTGTACCTCTCGTCTGATCTCGCTGACCATGTGTTTGGAGGCTCTTCATGACGAAATCACCAATCGAACACACAGTGAATACCCAACTGCCATTGTCCAACTTGTCACAGAAAATGACTACTCAGATGCCGCTTCTTCACACAACACCACTCACAACTCCGTTCTCATTCACTACTTTATCAAAATGACCGATAATAACCTTGGCTGAAATTTTTGCCCACTTCCGTGACAAGGATTTCTACTTGGGCTAGATTTTGGCGCTTCTTATCTTACAGAGGGAAGTCTCCATCTCCTTCATCACGTATTTGAGAGGCTCGCTCTCTCTCTTAACATTTCTGGTGCAACGACCGAACATCTCATACATCTGCCATAATCGGCACTGAGGATCCCTCACCATGGCTCCCTTCCTTCATCGACTGCTCGCAACGCTCTGCATTCTTCTGTTTGTACTCCCTGCCCTCGCAGTGAATGCTTCAGCAGAGATCACGGAATTCCACGAAGGCCGAGTCCTCACGACGTACAATCTCTCAGCGGACGACTTGGCAGAGCGGGTCGTCTCTTTCCGTCTTTACCCGAGCCTTCTGGGAAACTCCGCCAACAAACAAACACGTATAGATAGCGCGAGTCGGTGCGGAGCAGAGTATGACTTGCCCAACCAGGACAAGTCTACGATATCCAGCGTCTACGGATCCTGGATCGTGCCTGAGCTGATACAACGCAGCGAGGGTGTTTCCGACAACCCGCCTTTAAACTGGCAGTGGATCGTCGAATGGGTTGGAATGGACAATGTTGGGACCGATGGCCAGTCTGACCACGATTGCAGCCTCCTTGAGGTCGGCGTCTTATCATTGGTAAGTCGAGACTGAACCGTAGTTCGCACCTGAACTGATGATAATAAGTGACTAACGCCACACTCACGCAGATATATGGCAATCATGAAAACAGCCAGCAAAAGAACACCCCGTTTTGGGCAATGTTTCCGCAGCAGCAAGTTCCCCTCAACATGGAGAGTAAGTCATTGGACAGGACTAATGTCGCAGACACTCAAGATCCATCTGAACACTTCTCACCCTTGAAATCTGGAACTAATCAATTTGTCAAGTTCGTAATGGCGACTCTGTGAGTGTGAACGCCACCGTGATGTCAGAAAAGACAGCAACAATGTAGGTAATACCCGTGTAAAAGCAATTCAGCTACATTCCGCTAATTTCCCGGATAGCTCCATTGAAAACCTGTCAACGCGATACCTCATTGAGGGAAAGCTCACAATCGGTCCGGATGAAAAGCAGAAGTGGTGCGGACGAAACGCGGCCTGGGTAGTAGAAGGCACGTGGGCACCAGTCAATGTACCGGCTCCCGGGCCTTTTCCTCCTTTTGCTAGTTGGATCCTCTTCAACTTCACGAATGTACATGCCATCACAAGCACCGGCGACCAAATCGGTCTCAGCGAGGCGACACTCTTCGATACAAAGCAATCCGACCCAGATGCACATGAGTCGTTGACTTTTTGCAGGCCGGTGCAAATGGATAGCAGCACGCTCGAGTTCTATCCTTACTAGTGAGTGGCAAAGCTCCTCTACATGGTGTCGAGGTATGATGGAGCATTTGGGAAAATGGTCCAATCCTTTCTCTATCTCCCAAGACCATAACCGGAAGCGGTCATCTAATCCTTTTTCTTTTGAAATGCCACCCACGTGGCTTATAAGATACAGCTCGATGAAACGCTCCTTGTTGCGCATGAAGTCTACATAACCAGTAGTCTACATGATCACCGGGTCGCAGATTCGAGTTTTCAATGACACATTTGGTTGAATTTGAATAGATGTGGTATTATGAATGGACTGTGACTTCTTCCGGCCAGCTGTCATATGCGAGCGACCATCTTTTTTCCACTGACTTTCCACTTCCTCAGATCGTCCATCACATCCAGAATCTCCTCCATTCCATGAACGATCTCTACTGGCGGCGGTCGTATCTTTCCTTCTCTGAAGAATCGTTCCGTCAACCGCAAGAAGTTTTTGGTCTCTTTGAATAATTCCTCATCCCCGGGGAGAACTTGGCCTCGCACCTGTCGAGCCTCTCCTAGCACGGCCTCGCCTGGAGTGAATATTGACTTCACGTCCTCCCTTGGGAACGGTGTGAGAGACAGGGAATTGTATAAACAGCCCTCGCCAATAGAAGACATTGCATCTGCGCAAATTCTAGGCGACTCAAAGGCACCCACACAGTCAAACACCAGTCGCAGCTGACCATCCGTGATGTTCCTGATTTTATCGACACAATTCTTCGCGTCATGGTAGTCAACAACGTAGTCAGCTCCTCTGTCCTTCACCAAGTCGAAATTCTTCACGGAGCAGGTTGCGATGACTTTCATACCACTCAACTTGGCCCACTGGATCGCCATGAGCCCGGTCGTCGTGCTACCACCATAAATAAGAATGCTCCTCTCGGTAGTTTTCACGACTCCTTTGCCAAGCAGACTTTCATGGAAACTTGCACCGATATCTGGAGATGGCAATCCCATCAAATGGTAGAGTGCATAGAAGACGGTACTAAGTGCAACGTTCACACTCGCAGCCTCAGCCTCACTGATTCCCGTGCCCATTTCCCCAAGTCGCAGTGCCGCGTCTCCTTTCACAAGGATGTACTCGGCGAACGTCCCGGCATTCGGCATCGGCATGGCACTGGCTATGGCCAGGCCGGCGATTTTATCCCCCTTCTTGAGGCCATTGGTCACCGCGGAGCCGACCTCAATCACTTCGCCGGCGTACTCGCAGCCTAGCGTGATGCCAGGTGAGAACATGCCCTCGTAGTCGGCGAAGAGGTAGTCGCAGGGGTTGATGCCGACATAGGATGGCTTGACAAGGACGTATGTTGGATGCTGGGCCAAGGCGATGAGGGGCGATGGGATGGGTACGTCTGGTACGATCTTGGCGTGGCCTGGGGCTGCCCCCGACCGGATGGCGCGCATGGTCGTGTTTGTCTCCATTCTTGGTTTGTTCGTGGTCAGGGAAGGTAGGGTGGCAGCGGTTCTGTCCCGGGTTATGCTTTAGACAAGATCAAATCAATCTCAGAAAGGATGGCCAGTTGCGGGGTTCTAGGCCTGGATCCTTTCGAGGTGGTCAGATTATTTAGCTAAACATTGAGTCAATTATGATATAGCCGTAGGATGAGAGCTAATGCGGTCATCAAAGTTCGGTTTATTCAAGGTTGCAGCTAAGAGAAGGCTATGTTACATGATTCATTTTGATCACACACGAAGCCAGTCACATAACAGAGAAGTGTCACTTACGATCATATTCATCTCCCAGCGTGAGACATGCAATAACGTTGTTCCCACGTATTGAAAGCACACTTAAGGCTTCCTTCATCCTTCCCTCTATACCACTTCCAACCTCCTATCAGCCCTTCATCCACATCACCTGCCAGCTCTTATCAGACCTTACTCTGCATCACTTTGAGTCTCTTATTAGGCGTTTCTCTAGATCATTCACTAGTTCGAAGCAAATCTTCCTCGATATCACTTACATGCTCTCATCAGACCTCCCTCTGCGTCGCTTACAAGCATTCATCAGCTCTTTTTTTAACATCACTTGCAGGTTCTCGCCAGTACTTCCGCCATATCACTTACGGGCTCTTGCCAGCCTTTTCTCTGCATCACTTTCAAAGGTATTGCCGACCTCGGGGTCACATTCCGAGTGGCTTCAGCCAAAACACTATTCAGCTCGGCAGGAGGGACTACTTCTGGCTCTGGTATTTTTGAACGCTCTTTTATGAAGCAGAATGAGATCAGCGAGACTTTTGTCATTAGCTTCGCCTAAACACAGCTCTTTCGGAACCAGTTTCTGGTATTCCGTAGTAGCTGAAGCAGCGATGAGCATATCGATATGTTGAGTTCTGCAAGTGAAAAAGAAGAAGCTTCTGTGGAACAAGGAACAAATGAAGAAGGTTGTAGATACCAGGTGAAACAACCATTGCCAAGTTCAGGTCTACGATATCATCCAGTAAGACTAGTCAAGTCAAGATCACACTAAAGCAGAAGATCTTGGTATTTCCCGGGTCTTTGATACTTGAGCTTCATTCAATTCTTCTCTCAACATACTAGCATGCTTTTTAGAGAGCTTCATATTCATGAAAGACCTTGACCAGATGAACTGCCAGCCCCTGCTGGAAATGATGAGCCTCCATGTGATTGGGATCCACCTTGTGGTGGCGTGGCTCCTGAGGGTTGCGCTGGCACACCAGCCATGCCCGGGAAAGGTACCTGCTGACCCCCTGCCATCATATTGTTCCAAACAGCCATGTTGAAGTACTGGCGTTGTTGATCTGCGGCATGCTGGTAAGGTGTGGCTTGCGGCTGCTGAGTCTGTCCGAATGAGGCCGGCATACTGAAAGGGCTAGGCATATTGGGCATGGGAAATGGTCCATAGGAAAACGGAGCCATCGCAACGGGCGCAGTATGTTGTGCCAGATTGTGCGCTGAGGCCTGCGAGACATTGGTGGCCTGAGTATGTTGTGCGGCGTTATCTGAGGGCTGGTCAGATGTCTGCTGCGAGACAGGTTTGCTCTGCAGCACGGCCGTGGCACTTGTAGCCTCCTCGCCGGACGACTCCTCGTCATCTTCCTCCTGTGGAGGTGGCTCTTGATGCAGAGCCCAATCCTTCATAGAAAAGTCCCGGGCTCTGATCCCCATTGCTTTTGCCCTCCTGTCGGCATCCTTGCCGTAGATCTCGTGCAAGTATCGCATGAATTCCAAGTACGCCTTTGCAACTGTTTCGAGATGGCCTATCGTGAGCTGTATCTTGCCTGTCTCTTCGACAGTACTTTCGACCTGAGTCTCAGCTTGAAGAGGTGTAATTGATGTCCGATTCTGTGCATCGTACTCAGCCAACGCGAACGCGGTTTGGCAAGCGTTTCGGATCTGCCGCCCATTCCATCTCATTTTCTTATGCCTTCTCCAGTATTCTGTAGCCCAACTGAGTATTTGGTCGTGTTCGATGCTGATTTCAATTCCTCTTTCCTCGACGCGTTGCTGGATGTTGCGAAGATTCAGGTCGAATATCTTTTTGGTGGAGCTGCGCTTCAGTGGGGGATAGTACAGGCTGATATGAATGCGCGATGAGAAGGCTTCGTCAAAGTCTCCGATTCGATTGGTGGTAAGGAATAGTACGCCAGCGTAGTATTCCAACACCCTCAAGAATACTATCGAAGTTCAGTCGGATGACAAAAGAGGGCAGTGATTTCCGCACAAGGCTTCTGACTCACCTGCGACCAGGCTGTTCCGCTGAAAATCCTCGGGTGAGCGGACCGATAGGAAGACGTCGGCCTCATCAAGTAGCAGGATACAGTTCCATTTGTTGGCAAGATAGAAGTGCCATTCCAGAGCGTCTTCCAATTCCCTCGCATTAGTGCCCAGGTCCCCTTAATTCTTTGTCAGCATGCGGTAGTAGATGCAGATGTTGTAATAGGTAGACAATGGACACTCACCAGACGTGATCTGAAAGAGAGGTTTGTTGAATGCTTCTGCTACGCCCTCTGGAATTTGGCGTATTCAGTCTTCTATATTCACCGACACTAATACTCTAGTTGGGGAAAATGTCACTTTACCTGCTGTACTTGTTTTGCCAACTCCCGGAGCACCATGGAGCAAGATGATCAAACCCTTGCCTAGTTTGAGAGTATTAGCGATCTTAGGAATGATTGATTACTTGAAATCGTGGGTTTTACCTTTTCCTCGCACCACGTCCTTCTCTTCAGCCTCGTACCTCCTTGTGGACTTGTCTTGGAAATGCTGAGATATGAGGGATTTGACGATATTTTTGTGACCTGGAGGAAGCACCAACTGATCCAGTGTAGTCTCTGCCGGTTTGTTTAGATCTCTTGTCACACTATTATTCGCAAGTATATCATCGCCGGCCTGTCGAGTTCTACCTCCAGAATTGAGTGGGCTGAGATACTTCAAGTCCATTTGCGCTGGGCGTCATTCAACACATGTTAGCCTTTAGCCCGTGGGGATGGGAAAGAAATGGCAATGCCAAATAAAAGGGCATGCTTACCCCATTTGCGGCTTCGAAGAACGAACCCGCAGACCTTATACGACATGATAACAAGATCTTCATCAGACAAATGGTTCTCATCAAACGTCTTGTCAGAAATAGCCCGTGGGTAAATAGCAAGAGAAGGTTTCTTCGTTCGATCTTGCGGGTCAGGAATGAGAGTGCCAATGTAGGCTTCATTCCACTTCTGCTCAGCGTAACCGTCCTGATGGACCTGCTCTCCAGCGCAGCAGCTTGCCAGGCATGGGAGAGGAGGCAGAGGTTGCCCGATTGGCTTGCCGATCAGCTTCTCGACATTGGGCTTTTTGAAGCTTGAGCCACGGGCCCAAAACGCAAATGCTTGCTCGAAATCGATAACGACTTGACTGTCAACCTCTTCCTTCGGATGGAGAAGAGGCCCGTTGTAATGCATTGGTGTAGATCTCGCCATCTTAACGAATGTTCTCCCTCTGTCAATTAGATCCTGTCGGAATTCCGTGCCCTCGTTTGTCGCCTCAGAATCTAGAAACTTGACCAGACGCAACGGTAGTACGGGAAGTGTGGTGATGTCTCCTTCTCCTTCGAAACTGACGAAGTCAAAGGTCTTCCTTACTGAACCCAACATCTCACCATCGAACGCAATGTAGACGCAATGAAGCGTGATTGTTGGCTCATCACCCTCGGGCTCATCAGAATCAAGGTCTCTCCAAGGGGGCAGTGTCTTATGACCAGAGCTGTTGATACTCAGAATCCTGTAGGCCTGTCGTCGTTCCTGGTCTAGCACCTCATCACCGGGCTTAAAAAGGTGCCAAACATCTGCAAAGGTCACTTTTTTGCAGTTACCACTCAAAAGGTACTGGCTTCTTGCCCGAATCATGTCGATGAATTCAACAAGGCAGGCCAAATGTTGAAAGGCAGCCTCCGAGGAAGTATCAATCCCTGCGCCATCGTCAGAAAGAGTAAGGTAACTAGAGCCCGAGTAGATCGATGCAGCGTCCTCATTGGGAAGCTTGGGCTCCTGTCTTGAAGTAGAGCCATCATTTGCTACGACACCAGGGTTATCTGACTGCACCTCGATAGAAGCAAGAACAGATTGCTCCGCAGTTGCTGAGCTTTCGACCTTTTCCTCGGCACCGAGATGGTCTGCTGGCTCTTTCAACTTGATGGCAAGCTCCTTGTACTTGGCTCGTATTTTATCTTCCCAATAGGTCAACGCGCGGAACGGCCGGCACATCACGAATGAGTTCTTGCTAATTCTGGAGCCCCTTATCTCTTCCAGAATGGCAGTGATATATTTCGAATGGATCCGAATGCGTTCTGGCAGTGGCGAGGGCTGTGTGCTGGCCGAGCCCCTCCCCTTGTGGACGATGGTGGCGTTTGCGTCGCTTTTAGACTTGGGTCCGTCTCCTCTATTACGATTACCCCATCGTGACCACCACACACTATCTTGAGCTTCCTGGTCAAAAGAGACTACTGGCTCGCCCTTAAGAATGTCGATGGCAGAACAAAGATTGCCTTTTTGCGCGTGCGCGTCTTTAAAGGCATCCCAATCCAAGAAAAGCAGTTCTGGTTTGGCTTCCAAAGATAGAGGAGATAGCAAGAAAAATAATTCTTTTGGTCGCATTGGCCTCACCGTACCGGGATTGACGACGTCCGTCATAGGCGGTGGCGGTGGTGGCGGCGGCGGTGGCGGCGGTCGCATCGTCGGTGCCCTATATTCAATCGGCGGTAACTGCCGAGTCTTCGGCAAAATTATGCCCGGATTCATCGGTTGCGGTGGTCTTTGCTGCGGTAGAATCTGCTGCGGAGGTCCTGGTTGCCATTGAGGCGGCCTTTGCTGCGGAGCGCGCTGCCGCATCCTCGCATCTACCGGCTGGCCAGGGTCGGGCGGCCGTGTCAGGACCTGTTGATCGGCGTTTCTGGCAGTGCTTCTAGCAACGACCTCGAAGTGTGTTGCTTTCAAATGGACCGTCCAAGGGTCCTGCAGTTCACTTTCGGTTTGTGCTTGGGGGGAGAGCTCAGCATCTGCATGAGCTAGAGCTAACGCTGTGCAAAATGCCTTCCGGATTTGTCTGCAGTTCCAACGGTCCCAGGTGTGTCGTTGCTTGTGGAAAGCACGGGCGAACTCGAGTATATCTTCGTCTACTACCAGGCAGGCAGGTCTTGAATCGTCCCGATGCTGCTCCGAAAACAGACCATTGATCCACCTCATGTTGAGCTCAAAGATCTTCAAAGTTTGATCCTTGTCGAGGGGCGGGTACAGAAAGCTTGCATTGACCCGTGACAGAATCTCTCTTCCAGATGATTCCACATAGTCGTGGGCAACAAAGGGCTTGCGATCGGCAATGAGAAAGGTGATGCCAGAGAAGGTGTCCAGCATCCGCAAAAGAATTCTGCGGAAGATAGCTATAGAAGTCAGAAAATTATTTCACACGCGAGACCCTTCATGGACCATCGGGATCATGTGTACATACTTTGGTGGGCAGAGTCCCATGCAGCCCCACGGCCATAGTCGACTTGCCCCTGCAGGATGGTATCGGCCTGATTGAGCACGACAATGCAGCCCCAACGTTTTGCCCAAGTGAAGGATTGCTCAAGATATTCTCTGTAGTCATCTTCGAAGACTGGCAAGGCCATTTCTTGAGTTGTGCTCCTGTTAGCAATATTACTATGCATTGGAGATGTGATATAAGCTTTAGTGCTTGGACCCTCTCACCTGTATCAAGCTGGAGCAATGGGACGCCAGCCATCTGAGCAATACATGCTATGAGCATGTTCATATCAGTAAATTAAAATGTCCGAAAACCACTGCAATCTTACCAGCAGTTGTCTTCTTCCCAACACTGGTTTCGCCATAGAGGAGTAAGACCAATCCTTCCCCTACATCATAGGATCTCATCTGATTAGCAGACCTCCTTTTATAGTGCAGTACATCCTCAAATTCGCCATAGGAGAAGCAAGTACCTTCATGATTAGCAGCCACAGACTGATAATCAATGATCTTCGTTGAATTCATTTGCTTGAGGTGATGAATGGTAAGATTCTTCACAATCTCCTTGATGTGGTTTGGTATAGCTAAATCGTTGAATGGTATGCTTGATTTTTCTGCCATAGGTGAAGCAAAGGATAGATCAAATACACCTTAGAATTTTTATATTTGATTAGCGATCAATACAATTCGAGAGAAATTGTATATAATTGTATATAACTCACCCCATTTCGCTATGTTCAGAATATATCCGAATACTCGATAGTTCATGATCAATAACTCTTCTTCTGTCAAAGTCCCTGGTTGATCCAACTGTCGTGGACAAATAAGGATGGAGGGAGTTTGGTCTCCAGACTCCGTCACTATAAGTTGGTCGCAAATGAACTTCTGATGCCTAGCTATATCCACGTATGAGTCGTCATGCGTGTTCTCATCCTTTGAAGAGTCGGCATCAGCATTATTGTCGCATGCATCAAATCCCGCAGCGAACATGCGCGACTCTCCAAGATGGTGTTCAATGATGGTTTTCCAATCTTTGAACATCTCTTCGTCGCCGCTCAATGCCTCTTGAAAATCGATGATGATGGTGGCGTTGACTTCCATCTTCTTGTCAAGAGTGGTCCCACTGTATTGCATGGGTGACACATTGGCAGCCTTCACAAAAGTTTGTCCACGCCTAATGAGATCCTGTCTCATATGCTCTTTGCGGACGACAGCCCTTTTCATAGGAATCAGCTCCAAATTTTCAATATCTCTTGCTAGCCCCCATGCCCTCATGACGACTTTACGGAGGACGGGACCGAGCCACTGGCCATCAAAGTCGATGCAAACGCATTGAACAACAAGAGACTCATTCTCCACAATGAGTTTGCCTTTGCTTGCAACGAGTTTCCTCTCGGTTTCAATCCTGATGACCTGATATGCTTGACGAAGATCGCGGTTCACGACAATATCTCCAGGCTTGTAAAGAAGCCAGAGGTCGCTGAAAAAGATTTTGTTGCACTCAGGGCTCTGCAGGAATCTCACTCTTGCTGAAAGGTGCGTATCCATGAATTGGATGAGACACTTGAGTTGGGCCGTTTCCGCCTCATTCTCGCTGTCAGCATTTGAGGAGGTTGGCAGGGTTTCTGCAGAGATTTCTTCAGCTTTCTTCTCCAGCTCCATTGCTGAGTTACGGATCTCTTGATCAAATAAGACTAAAGTCTTATATGGGCGGAACATAATGATTGGTCCATTTTTTACACGACTCGATCCACGGATCTTGTTGAGAATCTGAACAACATAATTCGAATTGATTCGTATTCTCTCTGGCAGCTCAACGGTTTCATTGACAGACTTCGATCCATGTTTGCTGAATGTGTTGAAGGGTCTCTGGGCTGTCAGCAAGATGTCGATGGGAAATTGGTCTGTTTCGTGGGTAGAGTGGAATTCGTCCCAGTTCTGATAGTTGAGCCCAGAGGCTTTGCTGGACCTCGAAGGACCATCTCTTGAGACCATAGTGATCAACGGCTTCAAGCTAATTAGTCAGTCATGGTCCGTTTATTAGCTAGGTAGAACTTTGACTTAAAGACCCTTTTTTATAGTGACCCGGGGTGGCCATCAAACATTTGTGGCGCGTTCTTGGAAGTAGTACTCGACAATGTTGGACTCTTGCCAAATAGTGAATCACGGCCGCTTTTCTCTCACAGCAGAAGTGGAATCTTTGACAAATTGAAAAAGGTTCGAAGATAGCTTGGAGACTGAAAGGCAAGTTGGAGGAAGCTTTCAGGTTTGTGCAGTGTTAACCAGCTTTTGGCATCCTGCACTTCGACTATCCAGCAACCTGCAAGGCGTTAGGTGGGCAAATGCAAGCTGTGAGAAAAGGGGGAAGGCACCTGGATTTTGAGGGATGGCTGAAACACTATAAAGAAGCAAACATCTGCAAACATATTTGGCTTTGCATGGGCTTCGTGGGATGTGACCTGCATGGATACGTGCAGTGGTGCGAGAAACAGTCCAATACGGATTGCCGCTCGCCGTGGGGTGGGAGCGCCAAATGTGCCACAGCGTCACCAATCTTATGTCAGATGTGCATTTCGGGTTATTTGTCCGGTTTTCGACCGAATTTTGGCCTGCGGCTCTACCGTATAGCAAGCGTCGTCTATCTGCTCACTCGAATCAACCGAGTTCAAATGGTGCCTTTGTTGATCATTTTCATTCACATACCACACGCAAATTAATCGGACTCGATTCATGATTCTGTCGATATGTTCCCCGTGAGGTCGCCATATTCCGAGGAAAACGATGATGAGATAGCGTCAAATTTGATCCCCAGGACTGAACGCCCACCAATGTCTGTCCAATTCATTGACAATGATCTGGCCGACTTGCACGCTGCACTCAGGAATCCTCTGTCCACTTTTGACTCTCTTTCAGGAAGATACGTAGAGCTTTCACTAAGTGCCGAGCTCGCAAGAATGGAGACAATAATGTCTCCTTCCACAGACGAGATAATAGGGGGTGGCAGTGATTCGACACAGATTCAGGAGTTTGTTCCAACTGTCACACCGATGGCGTTCTGGGAAAGAATTTTTCAAGTCTCTCTCGAACGATTCAACAGCCTTTGGCCTGACGAGCCGCACGACCGTGTGAAGTCGGGGTGGAACTATAGTATCCGCAAAAGTTCGACTTGGGAAGATGTTTACGCCCAGCTTCAGAAAGCCAGAGAATTTTACGATGGGGACACGAAAGGTCTTTGGGGCCGATACGCAAAGTCTTACACGAAAAAGAGGCGCTGGTTCATCGACCACACTACTCCTATAGCTCGACAAGGCGTGAAGTTTGTACCCCAAATAGACTACGCAACTCCTGTCGTAGCAGCAGTCCAGGTTCTTGTTGATGTAATTCCATAATGCCCACAATTTCTGCGTCATCATCCTGCCGGGCAGCTGATATGCAATTCGCAGGCATTCGAAACGACTTCACGCGTGCGAGGAACGATGACCGCAGGACTCGACAGAGACGACCTTGAAAAGAAATTCAGCGGCATCGAAGTCTTTCTCGCCACCTTTCCGAAAGACTTAGCCATCAAAGAAGCCTCCGTACAGCTGATTGCTGCCACGCTTAAGGCTATCGAAGACGTGATCGGGTTTTTCCTGGAGAGCAACGGTAAGTATGATTCAAACGAAGCGCTTGATCATGATTTTCTGGACTCACTAAAATTTATCATCAAATGTCATAGCAAAAAAAGCAATGTCTGCAACGTTGCGCGGGAAAGATTACCAAAAGAAACCTCTCGAAAGTATTGAACAGATTCGAATTCGTAGCGAAGAGCTTCTTCAGGCTGCTCAGAAGTCACACATTGCGGAGACTAAGCAGATGCTCGATGTGGTCCTGAAAGGTTGGTATATTATAGCACAGTTTTACCTAGGTCTTTGAAGAAACCCTGACACCCGTCTTATCTAGGAACGGCTCTGTCATTTCTGGGCCAAAAAGAGACAGGGACGAGAGTAAAAGATATGTCAGAGAAAGTCACATCTGTTCTAGAGAAGCTAGACAAAAGGGAATGCAGTGATGCTTTCCTTCGAAACACACTTATGGACTTTCTAAATGAGGCACAGGAACAGAAGCGGAGGGAGCTCGATGAAAAGGAGAGGGAGTTGGAGGAGAAACGAAAGCTCACTGGTACGAGAACCTGTGCCTCTTGACTTCTACTCACCGTCACCATTAACTCATCTCACAGAAAATATTACTCATCTCAAGGGCAGTCTATTCAGACTGACAGAACAGGTCGAAAGACTCAAGGGAACGACACCTACTCCCAGCCCGGCACCCCTATTCACAAGTCCGACGACCTTTTCACTCACTATGCCAGTATCCCCGATGAATTTATCTGGCCCAAATCCACCGACTTCATTTCCCCATGGATCTCAAGGAATCATGTACCCACCAAATGTTCCTTGGGCGGCCTCACCACGGCACTCAGACGACCAGCAGCCGCTACCATTTGCAGCCAATTCGCAAAGAAATATCCCTATACGATTCGACATCGTTGCCTTGGAATTACTCCTTAGAAATTTCGAGCTGATCGACGAAGTCGATCTTAATGCTATCCTCGAAGATGAGGAGCAGTCCATCGCGTTTAGGGAGAAACGCAAAGCCGACCTCGTCGTTTCTACCAAGCAATTCCATGACTGGATGGTCAGCAACAAATCCAGCGAGCTGCTCATTCATGGGGAGTTCCGAAGGTCTCGATCAGCCTCTGAGCCTGTGTCAGCCCTGTCAGTTTTCTGTGCTACCCTCACGCAGACCTTCCGGAAATCAGGTCATGAACAGATTGCCCTAGTCTTCTTTTGCGGCTGTCATACAGAGCGAGATGATCAACATCGAGGACCTGCCGTGATGATATGCAGCTTCATCGCACAATTGGCGAAATCCTGGCCATTCGACGTCACGACACTACAGAACAACCAGTTGAATGTTTACAGCCAGGAAGAAGTCGAGAGAATGGTCAAAGATGAGAATTTGCCAAAGCTTTGTGACCTTTTTCGATTCCTGGTTATACTGCTTCCCGACTCAGCCACCTTAATATGCATCATAGATGGTATATTGCACTATGAGACGGACGAGCTTGAGGAAGGCTTGCTGAAAGTTCTTGGATTTCTTTTAAATCTAGCTAGGAACGGCGACACGGATGCGACTGTCAAAGTTTTGGCTAGTAGCCCCACCACGACCGACCTGGTGCAAACTCGATTTAAGGATGATGACTCCTGTTTCATTTCACTTACTGAAATTCGTGATCTTGGGCAGGGCTTTGGTTCAGAGCATTTGGAAGACTCTTCTGACGATCATATCTCCGGCGGTTCAGAGGAATCTGAGGACTCTGATGACTAGAAAGGTGGCCGAATAAGCCAAACCACGACCCGAAAATGTGGTCGAGATCAATCCATTTACTTCCCTTTGTCGACTTCATTGACAAATCTGTTTGAATTTGTGGGATATTAAGAGAATAGAACTATCTCTATGACAACTGAGGGTGTGTAGTGATCAGTATGCTTGACTAAACATTGTCAGTCTATCCATGGCTTGTCCTCGCCTCTCTAGAAGGGCCGTCACTGCGCGAGCGACTTCCTCGATGAGTCAGAGCCTTCATAGCTCTCACAACACTGAGAGCCCTGGCGGCATATGTCACTCTTCTGTCAATATATGGGTGGTTGTGAATCTTCTGCTGGAAACAAACGATCTGTCAATAAATATTACCGCCGTATTCGAAAGACTGAGCAACCAATTGTAGAGTGTGAACTGCAAGCCAAGTGAAAGTTTCATGGATTGCCAAATCTCTCCAAAGATTTGCTCGCACATTTTTCCACGTGGAGACTCACATTTTCGAGCGGTTCACTGACTTGTTGATGGCGCCGCTGAACTTTTCTCCTGTACTATTTGCAAGGACGCGATTTGTCTTCTGCAGCTGTGACGTCTCATAAACGAATTCTGTGGCCTCAAAAACCGGTAGCATTGTACGGCCTTGATTTTAATGTTCTCCCTCAGCCGTCAGCCTTCCATCTCACCACGTTCACAACATACAGCGAGTCGTGAAGACTAACTATTCGATACGGGAAGTCCTTACTAAATGGATTGTTCACAAACTTCGGTTTTCTTTTTTTATTTTTACCCTGGCAAAGGAATATAGCCCTGGGTGTGGCAGTTGTAGAGATTCGGTTGTTGCAACGATGAGATGTTTGTGGAAGCAGGTAGCTATCGTCTCATTCTGAGGTGTCTACATGCCCTCTCACAATTTTGCGTTGAGGCTACGGTGCAGCCTGGAATTGGAAATCGACATGACAGAGTACGCGTGATCCCGCCCACCTTAAGGAGATGAGAAAAGAAGAGATAAAAAGAGGTGTCAGTGTTCAGCAGTCCCACCGTCTTACTATTCGCTCATTACTTCTTGTCTTCGGCAGTGCAAACAAGTTTCTCACCACTCACAAATTGAATCTATCAGATTGCATATTTGTTTCCAAATCTCAAGCTATGCACATTTCACATTCGTGGCCTTGGGTTCAGAAGTCGCATTCAGTTTGTCTATGTGGGTGGTGTTGTTGTTTTGAGTCATGAATTCCGCCTGAAGGACATCACTCTATGATAAAATACTTTTGCTTTCAAGTATAAAGTCCCGTCATCTCTAGCTTAGACTACGAGGAGATACCTTTATTCACATTACACCAGTATCATTCCACACCTTGGTCGATCTCAGCATAATCTCAGCATCATTCCCACTCTTTCACCTCGATTTACCTCTTTCATCATCATTCAGAGAAACACAAGATGGCCAGCTCAAGCACCCGGGAGTCTTCATCCTCCGTGGAGCCCGCATCGACCGTGGAGCCCTCGTCCTCCTTGGAGCCCAGATCCTCCATAGAACAGCTCAACATATCTTCAGTGGACCCTAATTTTGCCATCAAACTACCCCCAGTCCAATGGATCCCCTTCACGATGCACCGCACTCAGCACCTGGGAGTCGATAAGTACATGTGGCAAGCATGGAGATACACCTGGAAAGCCATCTTACTCGCCTCTGGAGTTCCGCACGACGGCAGTATGAGCCCCGCGCGGTTTCTGCTATCCAAGCACGATGACCATGCTCTCGCAGTTCTCGTCCGGACAACCATTTCCACGTCCTCCCTCGAGGAACCTAAGATCGTGGGCTGCATTACTGCGAAGCCTATCTTTGCTTGGTTCTGCAGCGCCTGGCCAGGCAAAGGGTCAATCGAGATCGTCTATCCATCCCAGCTAAGCAAAGGGGAGGCCGCCAAGTTCTCTGTCCGCGGAGAGCCCTTGGAAATTATCGAATACGACAGCGAGTCAGAGAACTAGAATGAGCTCGCGGACCTTGGTCACCCCTGCTCTCGTGTTCAAGAACGGAGAACTCGGGAAAGGAGGCGCTAATGGGGAAATGGCTTGATATTCGAGGTGGAGCTCTTTGGACGGAGACAGATGGGTACGGGCAGTCAGTTCTGGGGCAGATTTGACAACCTTGGAAGACACTTGTATTGCTCCACTTCTGCAACATGTGCTCGCCTAGGTTAAGTTCCGAGCTGCGTATGAACATGAGAAACGGCGTGAATGTAAACTGATGATATCATGTCCATCATGTGCGAAAGTCGATGCCACGATTCACATTGCATCCCGAATGAGGGGCGCACCTTTCAATGACAGACTGAGATACTTAGTGTCAGCCAAATATCCGTCACATGGGTTGCCGTTGTTTGCTTGCATCTTGGGATGTGCTTACATTTCATTCTTAGCAAGTGATTTCACGCGGTGAAGTGAGTCCCTATCATCATTCTGCCAGGACAGCACATTGTTCTCTGGAAAAGGCTTGTCAGCATGAAGGATTGATATGCCACTGGACCTGCTGCCTTATGAGTTACATTCTTGTACCAGTGTCCATGCCTTGAAGAGTCCACGTAGCTAGTCTCATAGCGAACTAATACCAACTCATCATCAGCCTTCTCAGCAAAGATTCTTTAGATTTCTGTGCACCTCTTCTCAGCTTGCTCGAGCTATCGCTCAATATGCCGGTCTATTTCAGGCCATTTTACTACAAGCTCCTGGCGCCGTCTTCATGTGAAACTGGTGGCTTTAGGCGTGAACTTCGTCAGACGTGCCTTCTTTTGTGCTTCGCGGTAACACCCACTTCGGTGTCATCTTCAGTGCACGCCTTTGCTCGACACCTTGCAATTTCGAGGGACTCCTCACTTTCTTCCCATTCTTGGTAATAGCGTCGGTATCTGAAGGTGGCAGCGGCCGACTCGTCTGCTTTCCAGAGTCGCGAGTGTCAGAGGCGCTCTCCACGAGTCCACATGGACGAGCTTTCCCCTTCCGTGAGCTTGACGCCCGAGGAGACCGGCCGCCCGAGGCTGGGCCGGTATAGTCCAGCAACAAGGCGCCTACTGAGGACCCAGAGAGTCGGTCCAAACGTGGACCGGTTGGTCTATCGTCCGATGCCAGATTCCTGTTCCATGCGGCCTTTTTATAATCGACGAAGCCCGTAGGCTCGTGGGTTACGTCCAACAAAGCTCGTCCCAGATCAAATTCCTTCTTAGATCTCGTCGCTTTTCGGGGCGGACCTTTAGATTCTGGTTTTTTGCCCTCGGGCAAATCCGTCAGCAACTGCTCGCAGCTATCTTTCGAGTCAACTGTACCGGATGCCGAGCCATGCTGGCGGGCGCCGGTACCTATATTTGGTGGATCGCGGATCGTAAGCTTGAGACTAGGCGCTCGCTCTGCTGCCTCTGACTTCTTGGACTGGGAGGGGCCTGCCATTCTTCGGGACCGACCTTTCACCCTAACTCTTTGGACTTCTTCGCTCCTACTGCTGACGTTCGATTCGGATCGTTTGCACTCTGAATGATCTTTAGAAAAGTCGAGGAGGCCCTCATCCCAGGAACCACGAGTTTTGAACAAAGGACGAGATGCCTCTTTTGTTGCCTCGGACGTTCTGGACTTTGGAGACCCCTGCCAAGGTCTTGTTGTACGCCCTTTATCCCTTCTGGTCCTCCTAGTCTTCTCATAGGCTGACCCAGCAGCTCGGCCTTTAGCGCATGACCGGAGAAGCTCATGCTGTGCAATCTTCTTCCACCCTAAAGGGACCTCTTTTCCTGCCTTTCTTGCGTCTGATATTGCTTGGTGGGCTTTCACCCAGTTTCCGGAAAAATCGATAACCATATCTCCCTCTTTGCTTGGCCTCGCAGATTTCAATGCGCCCTCGCGGATGCACTTGATCATGTCATTGAGCTCGTCCATGTCGACGAGCTCGAACAGTGCCTTCGGTGGCTTAAACTCACGTAAAGTTGTCTCGTACAAAGTTCTCCGGAATGCAGAGTTACGGAAGTATCCTCTGACACCCCGAGGTACCCCAAGGACGGATTCTTTTTCGTTCAATGAGGACGGTGCTCCTGGCATGACACCACTTTGACCGAGACTAGGTGAGGCTGCTATGTTCATCAGGTTGCCCGTCTTATTGACTGGCGAGCAATAACCTGCGTACCCATTGGCCAAGTTGTCACCCTTCGCATATATGTGGTAGCCCCGACGGAAAAAGCCCTCCCCATGGCTCCATGTCTGACGGTTGCCGAAGTCAACTGTGATGTGCCAAGGTTCGTCAGGCTCATCTGAATTGTAGTGGAAGCGCCCCCTGTGTTCCTTGTTAGGACTGGCTCTCTGCAGATCCAAATGTGCGCTTAATGGCTAGATAGACCTTACTAACCGCACGTAGATAAATTCAACAGGTCGAGAGTCCTTCTCCGGCGGGTGTCCATCCGTGCACTGTATTGAGAACTCGTCAGTTGGCAATCGGCAAGTATTCAAATTGATCACGCTGCGGATAGCTTGCCTTCTCTCGTTCGGCGACACTAGTAGCAAAGTGGCAGAGTACACAGACTTCATTCCAGAACTCGTCATCTTCGACAAAGTTACTAGCGTACATGATGATAAGAGGCTTCCTCCTTGGCCGGCCATACTCGAGTATTTTTGTCTCTGGGTTGAGGAAAGTGGATCTTGCCGTATATGTGACCTTGACATGACCACCTTCACTGGAAAGTCGGTGACCGAACTGAAAGTTTCCATGTGGATGCGGAATGGCTGTGATGGAGTCGCCGTCTCAGTCAGAAACAATTAGCAGCACGCGGTATCGGGACAGCGGACTAACAAGATCCGTGGTCTTCTCCGTCTTTGACTTTGCCTAATGGGTTTCCTAAAGGCCGCCATGAGCCATCAGGCGGAGCTTTACATTGTAACTTGCTTGAGGCTGAGTCGGCAGGGCTGGACACAGACCGTAGCCGCTTGACACGGCTCAACAGGCGGCTCCCGTGGGAAAGAGACCAGCCTGAGCACGGAAGCACCCGACGCTGGAGTGATCTTGTGGAGCAATTGTATGCAGTTCGAGACAGAGGCTCAACTAATCTTGTCCAACGGTAATCCATTAAACTGGTACGTCATTCGTCGCCCATTCCTTTCTTTGATGTGAAGAGCGGATTCCTAGTGTGGACCAAGTAGCAATCAAGAGGCCCATGTGTGTGGGAGGGTGATTTATACAAGGCGCAGGGTGGGTAAACTGAGAGGGTTTTTGTCAAATCCCTTAAATGAGCTGCAAGAGGTGACCTATCCTTCGAGCTGTTGAGTCAGCACGAAGACCCTTACCCGGCTTTGTTCTCTGGGGGGTTCGTACCGGGGGGCGTAAGGGGGTAGCGCACCCATGTAACAAAAGTACAACCAAAACGCTGGGTGGTGATCTGTAGCAGCTTTAAAAAAGGGAGTACTGCCTGGGGGCAAAAATAACCTCTTGCGTATCCAACTGACGCGTCTTCGATTCCAAGTTGACATTGAATTATCTTGTGTGGGCCAGAGTTCTTTGTGCCCGAGTTGCTGCGTTATACTAAGGCAGGATCTAGTGGCTTGGGACGCTCTATATGTTGAGGCGATAATCTTTCAACGGTCGAATAACGAGAAGAGTCACTTTCGGTATTGAATAGGCCATCCGCATTTCGAATTCGAGGGAGCAGTAAGTAATTCACGTGCAGACTGCACGTCTTTGATGCTGTGAGCCCCGTTCCCAGCTGCTGTTTTAAGTGCATGGATGCAACTGTGCACAGTGAACAATATTGTACAGATTTTTTCTTATCGAGTTTTGGCCCACTGAGTCTTATATTCGCAGAGATGATACTTCAGGAGTGCCTCATGGAGATTTGTACGCCTAAGCAGCCACATGCACGAGTGTTTATTGCAGCGTGGTGACTCACCAGAGAAGCAGTTTGGGAGGGCTTGAAAATATTGACCAGACACCAACGGTCTTGCTTAATTCGCTCGTGGGTGGCATTATCGCATTTATCTATGTAGCGTCACAGCAGAGTTACGGGATCACATTTATTCAATGGTTATTGAATATATGACACGTGCTCAACAATTGGCTGAACTTGAGGCTGATTCATACTTGAGAGCGCAGTGGGTTCTATCAGCTGAGTTGCAAAGACCAATACTGCTAGACAAGAAGCCTCACTTAAAACGGACGTCCTCTGGGTTTCAAGATATACTCTTAAGACGGACAAAGCATCCGCTACACGTACCAATAGATACAGTACCTCGAAGTTTTCATCTATGGAAAAGGGAAATAAAGGTGGTCTTTATATGTTCACAATACTGACTCTCCTAGAAGCACATGTTTATTAGGATTCCGAGAAAACTCGCTAGTCCCTCTCAGTCTCAATGCTCTTGTTATATCATACTGTCAGGACCCTACACGACACTAGTCTTTCATCAATTCCAGGTGCCTCGACAAGTCAGGGGAATGCAACCGGATGGGCAGTATACAATTCTTTGACTTTGAGAAAAACAGAAAGAAAGACGAGCGATCACAGGGGGAAAACAAGAGCGAAGAGTGACGGGGTAGACGGGTTTGCATGCACACACTCTTGCTAGCTCACATCAACTTTTCAACCACTCCTCTAATGCACAGCTGTCTGTCGTCGGCCCAAAGCCCATAGAGATGTGCGGTCATCACAGTCGGTCCGAAACTGAACACACAAACGCCTGGTGGCAAACCTTCTGCAAGGAGTTTTGCCTGATGTGCTGGGGCTAGCTGACTCTTTCATTCGAATGCCAAAATTTTACCAAACACCTATGGACTTATAGAAATAAGGACCAGCCTCGAACCTCATGAAGATAGCATCATAGTAGGAAAGACTGCTACTTAGCGACGTGTCCTGGATGATGCGTCATCAAGTTAAGAAAGGGACTTCCGCTGCTGTATCATGGGTCTAGTCATCAGTTGTAACCCGAATACTTTGTGGAATTGGCATCTTGAGAGCCTGAGGACCATGTGAATGTAGGGCTTAGGTACATATTTCTCGGCAGTTGCCTGCTTTGGGAAGGTAATCTATCACGGCTGTTCTGCAGTATCATTCCATATTTGGTAATGTGGCTTACTGGTAGACCCCTAATGGAGAAAACAATTACCGGAGCTTGATACGAGACCGGAAACAAATAGAAGGCTCACGATAATCCGAAGCCATAGACATGCTCATGGCGGAGTAGACAATGCAGCTCTGAACCATGACCACCTTCGACGGACAATTACTGAGCAGGCAAGCAACGACCATCACTATCAGGAGCATAGACAAGCCACACCCACCGGGGACGGTAAGCGACACAAGCAAACAGTCGAGGATCTCATAGAGTGACCCATCACTAACGACGCTCAACCAAGAGCTCACCCAATCTCCACCAAACCCCCAGCCAACACCGCGCCACAAATTCCGGCATCAAAGGATCCAGCCGAACCCAGAACTCCTCAAACACAAGAAAAGGAAAACCAATCTGTCTCAAGCCCGAAACCAGAATGAAAAAGAAGAAGACGGTGCCGGCATTCAAAGGCTCCATACCTGAGAGGCCACGAAACCTGTCTCGGCGCAAGCTCCCAGATCCGGCAAGTCAATCGTCACACACACACATAAAGACAAAGGGAGGGTGGAGGCAGAAGGGGGGGTTTGATTTCCACCCAGGCCGAAAAAGCCCGCGCCCGATCTCATCTCATTTCATCACAGCGCATCACATCACACACCCAACGGCCTGCTCTCCGGAGAGTGCCGGGCCCCATTGGGGGTGGGTGAGTGAGTGAGGGTGGCGGGGCCGGACGGCCCGATAGCTCTGGAACAAAACATGTCACCCACACAACTCGCCTTAAGAGGAAAAAGGGAACCACGAACACCTGCCGTCCTGCTAGAAGCTAAGTGTGCCGTTCTGAAAGATGCCAGCTTGCCACGCCTGCTAGTTAGGAAAATGCCTAGTCCACCGCTATTCAGCCTCACCTAGCAGAACCCGGGGCGTCGAGTGTCTCAGACATAAAAAGGCCATGCTTCTTCTTTCTCCTCCGCACGCACGGCTGGCACGCACGCACGCACACACGCGCGCGCACGGCAAAAAGAAAGTGACACATACAGGCCAGGCAGGGCCCGCGCCGCCCACGCGGCACGGGGTAATTAACAGAGCCCCCATCGCCACTTTCTATGCACAGCGGCGAGAAAGAAGAAGAAGCAGCAGCCCGGCAGCCCCTCTTACCACGTGCACGAGGCCAGCCCTGCCTCATCAAAAGCATACTGGTATTGGCAACACAGGAGCGCAGATCATTGATTGCAATCACCCAGCTCCGGGCCATCGCCAATCTCGAGGGTCAGGGCGAGACGCATCAGCCCATCTGCGGTGTATATGTTGCTTTCGCCCTAATGAACGAGCGCCTCCCAATAAATACCCCCCACCCCCCCGGAAGCCTTTCAAAGGAAGCCATGCCGTTCCTTTGCCCTGCATGGGCGCGAACCTGCGGATCACATGGAAAGCGGAGAGCCAGGCACGCGCCGAATGCGGTGAAATAGATGAAATGGGGTGAGACATGGGGGAGAGGAATTAGTTACATGTGCATACATGTAATCAAAGGGACCCGCTCGCCATTATGGTGGGGATTACCGTCCACCCGGCGCCAAATCACCTTCAAGACGGCCGGCTTTGCAGGCCTGATTGGCTGCGCTGCACCCATATGGTATCGCTGAAGAAACGACCCCAGACAATTCGCACGTAGATGGGGCCCCCGTTTGATGTGCTGAGATGTGATGGCAAGTTTAGACGAGATAAGGGCGTCATTGGGCTTCTGAGAGGAAAGAAATTGTAGACAAAGTCTGAGAAGTCGTTATGCCCATGCAAAGCAATTTTTCGTCAGGCAGACGGGACTGGAAAAGACGGACAGCTCGTCCAAGCAAGACATCAACAATCGTGCGCTACCAAGTAGAATGAAGCCTAAGTCGAGGTCGGTGGAGACCATGCTGGCCGGTGCGTCTTGGTCGGCACTCCCTGACGTTTGAGGTCAAAAGAAGCTCTTGCGCCACCACACTGCCCCCATTGGCGAGCCTCGTCCAAGACGGTGGGTTCAAAGCCGAGCTGTGATTGATGCATCGTCAACACTAAACGACAAGGGACGGTCCGCCCGCACTGTGATCGTAAATCCGTCCAGTGAGGATTCACGAAAGCAAAAAAGAGACGACAAGGCTGAAGGGGAACAAAAAGGAAAAACAAGGCATGCGAAGTGAAAGAGACCATTCCGGAAGAATCGTGAGATAACCGAAATGTTACGCTGTAATTTGGATACCAAAGCCACGCTGCCGGGTTGGTCGCGTCGATTGCCGTTCCCGATTGCCAATGTTGTCTGTGTGCCACACACACAGTAAATGACGGCAATAAGATCAAACCTGCTGTGGGATGCAGTCATGTTGCAGAGACGATGTTGCCGAAAGGCAGGACGGTCGATGAGCTTAACGCGCGGCGGTACAGTGGTACCGTGTCCCCTCCCCGAGATGATCCAAGGAAGGGCTCGTCGCACCTCATGACGGACCACTCACCCTTCTGACCCCTCACTGGTTGTAGGTGCCGAATTTCTGACCAACC